AGCAGGACACTCGTGAAACGAAAGGCTCCGCCGGCTGGAGCCATCGCGCAGAAACGAAGTTATGCCTGCAGCCGTTTTTAGCCTTCAAATCACGAGTATATCCAGTCAGGTACGATCTGAGTTTGCTTTTCCAGAGTCTTCGATTCTGGATTGACTGTTGAGTTGGCGTACAGTGGCACCTGGACGTAAGAAAACTTGAGATACCAGAACGTTAATACTTAGCAAAGAGCACTTATATAATAGCTAAATTGTATACTAAATAAGAAAATAGAGATCATTGACTTAGCATCTTATGTTTTTCTATGAATGCGTGCGTGGCTGACTTTTTGATTCTACGACAAAGGAAATTCCAAATTGAAAATAACCTGAATGACCAGAAAGAGGTGGAAACAGTGATTCATAAACTGATTGATTTATTGCCATGCAGTGAGATTAGACTAATCTGACCTTGCCACTCACAGCATTAATCATCACAAAGTGAGTTGAATCTTGCTTATGGCGCCCGCTAATGTCCGGATCCTGCAATGATTATCCATGCGGACGGAGTGCGGACGAAAGACGAAAAGCTTACAAATAAGCCTCCTGAATAACGTTATGTAACGTTGTAAAACGTTATTCATTTGTCAGACGAAACATATGTATTCAACTTCTTAAATAAAGGCCATGAGAGTTGTAGAGAGCTCCTCATAAACAATCAACAGTTCTATCCTCTTGCGTCATTTACCCTACGACACCACCAAAATGTCCAAGATCCTTGCAGTGTTTGGCGCTACTGGTCAACAGGGCGGCTCAGTCATCAACTACGTGCTCAACGACCAAGAACTCTCCCAAAAATACAAAGTCCGCGCCATCACCCGAGATGTCAACTCGGCCAAGGCCAAGGAGCTCGATGAGAGGGTCGAGGTCGTCCAGGGCGATGCTTTTGACCTAGCGTCGCTTGAGGCCGCCTTGGTGGGTGTGCACACCGTCTTTGCCATGACCACGCCGGTTTTTGGGCCTGACGCCTTCGATGTCGAATACAACAGTGCAAAAAGAATTGCCGATGTTGCAGTTGAAAAGGGCGTCCAATATATCGTATTCAGCACTCTTCCGTCCGTCACAGAGATCTCTGGCGGCAAATACACCAAGATCGTGCCCTTTGACGCCAAGGCGAAAGCGGAGCAGTACATTCGCAGTCTTCCCGTAAAGAGCGCCTTTTATCGCCCAGGATCATTTATGGAGAACTTTCATTCTCAGCCCTTCTGGGGCCCCCGGCAAGCTCCCGATGGGACCTGGGTGATTTCCACCCACATGTCCCCCCAGACTAGGCTCCCTTTGATCGACGCCGTCGGAGACTCGGGCAAATTCGTGGGAGCCGTCTTGGCTGAGCCGGAAAAGTTCCAAGGCAAGACTCTGTCGGCCGCTACGAGACTGTACAGCCTGGAAGAGCTCGCCGCGACCATGTCCAAGGTGACAGGTCAAAAGGTCGTGTACGAGCAAATCACACCAGAAGAATTCGCAAAGGAGGTTCCCATCATGACTGAGATCTTTGTCGAGGCATTTCAGTACTACGAAGAATTTGGATATTTCGGTCCCGATTCCGAGAGCCTGGTCGCGTGGGCTGCTGAAAACGCCCGGGGCAAGCTCTCCACACTTGAAGAGTTTCTCAAGGCTCATCCTCCTCAGCTCTCATAAAGATGATGACAAGAGCCAAGCTCGTACAGCTGGGGAAGCGAGATGGATCAGAGGTGGAAGCATAGAGTCTGTGCACCATCACTGGGATGTCCATGTAAGATCATACGTTGGGTTGAGTTGAAGCACATGGTGAGCCTGACATGTGATGGATATTGGGAGAACGTTGGTTGATGGACTCTATGATAGCATACGGAGTGATGTTGTTTGTGTAACTATTTTGAGCTAACTTTTCAGGAGAAAACTCAGCTGTGAGGGAGGCGGTTTGACCTTTTTCTCTAATTTAAAAACCTTAAACTCCATCAGTCTTGATCATTTCCATCCGAGCGTCCCGGGTAATCGTGAATGGCTCTTGAGCATTTCTGCAGGAACACAACATCATGTCTGAGTCTCCAGATCCGCAAAAAGAGGGGCCTCGGATCCTCGGGCAAAGCTAAACAAGTTTAAAGCCAACGTTTGCGACCTGGCAGAAGCCACCCTGGTCAAGGGAGCCAATCCGAAAGAGATCTCCCCTGCGTCCAACCCACTCGCTTGTTCTGGTGGCCTGTCACGCTGATAAATGTTGTCAAGCCGATCAGTAGTTCCATCTTATCTCACGATGTTGCAAAAGCAGCTTGCGGCAACGGCGGCGCATTGACGCCAACTTGAAAGTTGTCAATATTTTCATGTCTGTCTTCTTGCTGTGACCGCCAGACTCCCATCTAACGTCTCAAGGTTGAATCATATCATCCATCAACAAGTGACCTCGCAAAACTCTTCTTTACGAGCATCAAAGGGTGACAATCTCGGCAACAAACGAGTTTCCTCTTTGAGCCATGTCATCAGTCAGTGCACTATCCAGGGGCCTGCCGTGATCGTCCAACCGTTGAGCCGTTCCTGGGACGCCGCAGGGGATGCCGAGGCCCTACGCAGAGCGGCCCAGCTACTTAGGCGCAGAAAAGTCGCTATCACTCCGGTCCCGGTGAGTGAAAAATAATGCCTCTCCACATCAGCTTCTGCATGCCAAGCGGGAAGCTTGAACGGATCAATTTCTTACACGAGGCTTTATGGGCTGCCGACCCTGGCTTGATCTCGGAGCGGCCAATGGATGGCGATGCGCGGGGCATCGGATCAGATTATCAGATGATCAGATAAAAAAGATGTCAGGGGTCGTGGCGGATGGCTGGACGGATCGAGCAAGGTGCGTCAAATTGTCACGCACGCTATTAACCATTTGTGGAGACGAGCCCGACCATGCCATGGGTTTTCGGTGACTCGGACCAACAACTGAGGATGGGGGTCTTGCCAGGGGGTTCTTTGGATGCATGGGGGGATATCGGATCCAAGCGATGGGCCCTTTCAGCTGAACTCGAGTGAGCAGTATAAGGGCAGGCTTCTTCCTCGACCTAGAGAGACTGTTCTCCTCGTCGCCAACGCTTCATCTTTAGTCACTCGCTAAGCCTACTTTGCTTCTCTCGTTTCAATATTTCCGAGCAATCGACCATCATGAAGACCTTCACCTTCCTGTCCATGGCCTCTGTGGCCGCTGCCCAGTTCCCCCTCTGCGCGGTAAGCACCACTGCGACTCCCCTCTCCGCCTGAGGGACTACACGCATGAGTCGATAGCTAACGCAGCTTCTCAATAGGTCGACTGTTTCACCAACGTCATCACTGAGCATCCTCCTCTGGACTGCACTCTTCCCGACATGTACTACTGCTTCTGTGACATGTCCAGCCTGCAAAACTACTTCATCCAGTGCGCTCGTTCCGACTGCCCTGATGAGGCCACTGCCAACAACGCCATCGCCTTTGGTGTCGACCTCTGCCTTGGTAAGATTCATAGAAGCTCAGTCTGACTGCCAACCAGTAAAGCTAACCAGATATATAGAGCTCGGCTACACCATCACCGTCCCCCCTCTGACCCAGCCTACCGTAAGTTGAGCAAGGTCTTGTGTGAGGGAGTCTGAATGCTGATATGATATGTAGAGCCCCGCTACCACGACCAGCCAGGGTGGAGTCGACACCACTACCACTGAGCCCGAGGTGACTCCTACTGAGACCGATGCTGAGACCTTTGCCGAGACCTCCATCAACGCCGAGACCTCCTCTGCTGAGACTACTGCCGAGGAGACTTCCGGTGCCGAGACCACTGGTGCCGAGACCACCGGCGCTGAAACCACTGGTGCTGAGACCACTGGCACTGAGGAGACTTCCGGTGCTGAGGAGACCTCCGCTTCCGAGACCGAGGGCGAGACCTCTACCGTCGCGCCCACCAGCCCCGAGCCCACTGAGCTGACCACCAGCACCTTCTATGCCACCGAGACCTACACCATCACCAGCTGCCCCCCTGAGGTGACCAAGTGCCCCGTCGGCAGCGTCACCACCGAGACCATCGCTATTTCCACCACTGTCTGCCCCGTCACCCAGAAGTTCACCACCAGCACTGTCTACGCTACTGAGGTCCACACCGTCACCAAGTGCCCTCCCGAGGTGACCAAGTGCCCCGTCGGCAGTGTCACCACTGAGACCGTTGCCGTCTCCACCACCATCTGCCCCGTCACCGAGGGCGAGGAGAAGCCCACCACCAAGCCTGCCCAGCCCACCGGCCCCTGGACCTGCCACGGCTGCAACTCGACCGCCATCACCGTCGTCACCAAGCACACCACCCAGAACCTCGAGCAGCCTCAGCCCACCAAGCCCGCTGGAAACGGCGAGTCCCACGAGACTGAGGTCCACGTTCCCTCCCAGGTTCCCGCCCAGCCCTCTGGCTCTACCCCCAGCCAGCCCGAGGGTGGAGATGAGACCGAGGAGGAGCCCGCGCCCAGCGTTGTCTCTGTCAACATGGTAAGTGTCTCACTTGCAACTCAAGTAAACAATAGCTAACATTGCTCAGGGCAACTCTGCTTCTGTTTCCAGCTTCCTTGCCGCCGCCGGCATTGCTGTCGCTGTCTTCCGCCTCCTTTAAGCGCTTTCTTGATGTAGTTTAAGGGCTGAGATGTAGATAGACAACTTTTCAGGTCATCTACTGTCGCCGTTTACCATATTCTTACACCTTTACGGAGGAAAGATTTAATGAGTAATTGTTAATTGATGTTATTACTCTGGCTTGTACACGGCCGGGAAAATTTCGATCTGGTCTTTACTTGTTGCCTATTTGTGATACGAGCTCTGCCTCTCAATGGTCCGTGAATGTTCTCGTGCGTCTAGATACTGGTGATATCTTGTTGATTCTAGTTTCCATTTCCGAGAAGAAAAAAGACCATGGCACCAGTGCTAAGCTAGACTAAGATATTATTTATACTTGATGTAGATGTATAGTTGGAATGAAGGCAAAGAGGGCGGTTTTCCTATCACTCTGACCCCTGATCTACTTGCCATTCCTTGTCAGGGCCTTGTAACACAGTGCTGAGCGCATGATTATAGAATCTCTCGTAAGTCACCTCCCAACTCTCAGTATAATTGGGGACAAATCCAGCAATCTCAACCGGTAATGCCAACCCCAGGAGGCCGTATATCTTGTCGTGCGGATCTGTTGACTGCCTATGTCGCATCTGGTGCACAATGTCCAGGAACGTGGCATGCGGGCTCACACCGGCTAGCTTGTCCATGTATGCAACCGTCTGCTCTAGGAGCTCTCGGAGAGGACGCATGTCAATACTTTTGAGCTTTTTGTTTTTCTGCCAGGCGGGGGAAATCTCAAGTAGCTTGATCCGCGTGAGAAACCTGCGAGTGCCTTCATTGCCACCCCACTCAAATGCTGTTTCTCCGACTTGCATCTTGACAGCTTGTCCCAACGCGGCTTCCTGCACGACCCAGATGCGGCTGAAATACGGACGTTGTAAGATGTCTTTCAGGCCCAGGGCGATCTCATCTGTAGTCATCAAGTTCCAAGGGGACTTGTCGTCGAATGGCCGGTTCCCGGTGAGAAAGGAGATGATCTCGGTACCAGCCCTTGACGGCTGGATCATTTTCTTCTTATGCCCACTAATGCCCTGTTTCAGACACTTGAATGATGCCATGAGGAAAGAGGCCCAGCCGTCAACGGCTGGCGTTGAAATCATCTTAGCTCTTGACGGCTTGGTTTCTTCTCCAAGCCAAGCGTACACCATTTTGGCATCTTGATAGATTCTGGTCATGAGCATCACCTGACTTGTCTTCTCATCATTGTCTTCTTGATTGATGCATATTGCATCCGCCCACAACACGGTTGGTGTGTCGCAAGATCGTAGGGATTGGAGAGCCGAGAACAGGCTCTCCCCGATAGGGACGCATGCGTCTCTGAGATTCAGTTCTTTTCTTCTCCCCGGTCTGCCCCAGACGTAGGATAAGGCGGTATATTGTCCCCGAACGTTGTCTAGATTGGCCTCCTCCAGGCGTGCGACCAGAGGATCTGACCTTGCGCCCGGGTTCAGCGTCAAGAGCCTGATGGCCTGTCTCGTGTCGTCGAGAGGTCGATAAAGCGTCTAGAACCACCAATCTGTCAGTGGACGTCAATGTCATTTGTCAGGGAGCTTTTAACTTGCTTGCAATTTTGCCATCGTAAACCTCTGAGAACCACCAAAAGGCTGGGTAGGTGCAAAACCAGGACAAACAAATCACGTCGCATATCTCCTTATCTCACGCTCTTTACATCCTCAAGTCATGCGCTTCACCGTTGACGTGAAGCTAGCACAGCCCACACCACAGCCTCCACCAAATGTGCCGTAGGGGCATCTTATCACTGGCCATTGATCAGCCATTCGCCACTAGAGGCATTCTAGGGGGACCAGGGCCTGGGGCTTAGCCTGTACTCCGCCTACCTTGCGAAACGAGAAGGCTTTCTGAGGGTTCTCTAGAAACCAATCACTCCATTTTCATGACTGTGGTTACTCTTAAATCTGTCATACGTATCATCCCCTTCCATGAAGCAACTGTCATCAGCAGAATCGCGTGCGACTGCAAGACAACGAGGTTCAAGGATTGTAATCAGGGCTGGTATTTGTGGAGTTCCTCACCCGCTATGATTGGCTTATGAGAGGACGTCAGGGGGCTCCTGATGCTTCGGAGGTTCAGTTTGAACCCCGCTTCGCTTGGAAACTTCAACACCAGAACGATACTCAACGCGAGAAACCAGGGAGTAAGCCAGGCGGTTCTAGCCCTTTTACTTACTTAATCCTCATCCTGGGATGAGCTGTGCGACAGGTTACGAGTAACAGAGAACATCCATCAACACATAACGCGTCTCCCACATCAACACGATCCCTAACAAAATGGCAGGGCTATCAGCCGCAACCCCTTGCGCGACCTGCCATTCACTAGCCCTCGGAGATGAATACATGAATGAAGGCTTGAAACTCGCGCTTTCCGACCTTCAAGAATCTGCACTCAAGACTGGTGCTTGTGCTGCTTGCGCGCTTTTGTGGAAAGCTGTGTCGGCGGCTCTGAAGCAGGAAACGTCCAAGCCTCATGTTCTGTACGAATCCATACTCATCGAACACAAGCCACCAAAGCACCCTGGACCCATGGTCGTGCATCTTTACCCTGATCCTGTTGCATATGGAGTCACAGAAAAGGTTCTCCAGCTGTACACCTTAGAAGGTAAGAGACCTACGCTGCATTCGATTGTTCCAACGCGATAACCAATGACCGATTCTATAGGCGAGGTCCTGGCCCCGTGGGATCTAATTGGCCGAGGTTTTCAGATCCCGGAATATGGCCTGTCTCCAAGCTGTGTGGCATTGGCCCGCGAGTGGCTCGACATGTGCGTGAACGCAGAAGGAAAACACGCAAACTGCACCAAGGCTACTGTTCCGGTGCTTCCAACACGTGTCATAGCAGTTGGGAATGATCAAGTCCAGCCCCGGCTAGTGATAGCTGAACCTGACCAACAAGCATACTACGCAGCTCTCAGTCACTGCTGGGGAGGAAGCACACCGACCAAGACTACTACCTCCAATGTTGAGGACTACACCACTTCCCTGCCAGCCGATCTTCCAAAGACTTTTCTCGACGCCATCAAGGTAGCTCGAGTACTTGAAATTCCTTACCTTTGGATAGATTCGCTCTGCATCATTCAGGACTCTGCCGAGGACTGGCAACAAGAGGCTTCCAGAATGGCCCAAGTCTATGCCAACGCCTACGTCACCATATTTGCAGATGCCGCGCCTGACAGCACGTCTGGTTTCCTCGATCCTCCATCACGCAATGTCACACCGAGATTTAATGTCCCATTCAAAACACAGGACCTGGAGGAAGGCGTCCTTCATATACGATCACGGGGATTCCTGGCAGAGGAGCTCCCATTCCACGCCTGGACTACTAAAGGTGGCAAAGGTCGGAGCCATTTGTCGACCAGAGGCTGGGTGTTTCAAGAACGGCTACTCTCACCGCGCACCCTGCACTTCTCAAGTAACGAGATGGCTTGGGAGTGCAGGTCTGTCTGTGAATGCGAATGCTCAGCAACTTCTCTACGGACACTTCGCACCACCAGCGTCATCAAGCATTTCCTGTATCCCCAGAGCATCGATGTCTCCAAGGTTCAGGCCAGCTGGAGATCGGACATTGTGCCGGCATACACGCAGCTTAGTCTCACCTTCTCAACAGACAGACTGCCTGCCATCGAAGGACTGGCGACCGCGGCTGGTAAGCTGAGAAGCGATGACGAATACGTTTTTGGCCTGTGGCGAAACAGCATCAAGGCTGACCTCATGTGGCACATACCTCGATCTGGAAGACCCAGTAATAGGATTGTGAATGGAGGTGCACCAACGTGGTCATGGGCATCGCTCACAGGAGAAGCTGCCTACGATACCAAGCGATTAGCTAAAGACTCTGATCTGGCCATCTTGGATGTCGTTACAGGCGAAGGAAACCCTCCCACGTTGCTTGTAAGGGGTCATCTCGTCGAGGTGGAATTGTCCGACAGCGTGTGGGGAAATCCAAGGGTATTCCTGGGCCCAGATGATGAGCTGGCGGTTCTTTGGGATGTCCACGGCCTCGGAAAGAAGTTTGCACACCCATACTTCTTGGTCTGTGGCGCAGATGGCAATGGTCCCTTTGGTTTGCTGCTGGTTGCAGGACTGTCAGCTGACACGAGCAAGCAATTTCGAAGGGTCGGGTATATCCCAGGGTATCGTATCACGAGGCGGCGTCGTTCATGGTGGAGTGGTGGTTGGGTCAGTCACGTCGAGTCGGTTTCAGATGAGAGTGTGGAAGAGATGTCGGATGAGATGTGGGAGCAAGCGAATGAGGCTGGAGCGGTTGAGTGGACAAAGGAGGTCTTTCGGGGAGACGCTACGACGTTCAAGATCATATGATACAGGCATGAACGGCTAGTCTTGGGAGAAAGGGTCTAAACGTGACGGCTTGATTGGATTTCCGTTCTTATTCCTGTCAATATTGAAATGGGGCAGCATAGGTTATCGCCACAAGGGATCGATGCCGTTACGAGAGTGTTGGCCTTGTTGCCAGTCGATCCACCCAAAGTCACACCCGTTCTTCTCAAGGCCTCGATGAAGAAGGCCAAGATAGGTAGTCATGAGATCGTCTGGGCTGAACGAAATGGGCATCTGGCGTTAGTATCGTGGCCTGGAACTTCCACCACCTCCTTGTATTCATCTTTGAATGCATGTAGCCGTTGGTCGGATGGTCGTTGAGCGCAAGGTTGAGCCGTCTCTGTCCTCAAAATGTCTATCGGAGGACGATTCGTATCCGATCCAGGCCTCGGTCAGGACAGGGAACCAATACTTCTCTCCTGGTACAATTGCTCGCGTGCTCGCAATAGGGCGGTCCACGTATTGGTACGATCCCAGGACGCTCCGATCAAAGCCGAAAATGGGTCTTGTGACACTTCAATGTGATGTGTCAAGTGAAGCAGGTTAGCCCATAGCTTAATTAAAGGAGCCATTCCAAAAAACGAGTAGTCACTCTTGTCAAACCGCGGAATAGTAAACCGCTAACACGCCTAGAATAACCCTACTGCCGGAATTACCCATCGACTTCGTCAACGGGGACCACTCGCTTAAACTATTCGCTATAATCCCCATGGGGCGTAGTTTTGACACGAGACTATTCCCCACTGCCCGAATTAACCTTTGACGCTAGATGCCAGCTGTTGAGCTGAAACGTGCTCTGGTTGGCTAGAGCAGTCCCGCTCAAGGGGCTCGGCTGTGCGGGTTTTAAACCACGGCATTTGGCGATGCCCTCATTTTCAGGGACAAAGAAGAGAGGTATACTACTCCGTCCCCTGACTCCGAAGCCTACCCTGGCCACAAAAGAGTAGATTGAAGAGGGAGACACTTGTCGGTCCGATAATTCTTTTGACCAAGCCTGCTTCTCACAACTTCCTGCATGGTGCTACGACCTGGACCCCTTCGCTGGTACTATCATCAGACTCGACAAGAAAACGAGTCGAGAATCTCCATTGTCGGCCCGATATAGACCCCAGATGGGATCACTCCACGTTTACCTCCACACTTGCCGATCCGGGGTCGCTGCGGAGCGAGAGAGAGAGAGTCTAGGCGCTTTACACAAGTTCGTGAGACTGTTGTTATAAAAGGGAAACTTGAGGACGAGATCAAGTGTTGGAGGAAACCATCATCACTCAATCACCCACACTAGAATTCAATTCATCCTTCTTGGCTCAAAGTACTTCATTCATCCCCGTCATGGACGAGTCCAAAGAAAAGTCCCATCACCATGAGGGCGACAACGCCGCCCAGAATCACCCTGCAAATCCAGGCGTCACCGTTGGCCTGTCCCCAGTTGACGACATGCTCAGGGCGGCCGAAGAGGCGGCCTTGCATGAGAAGGATATGTCCATCAGGGAAGCCATCAGAGCTTACCCAAAGGCCATCGCCTTCAGCATGATCGTATCGCTTTGCCTTATCATGGAAGGCTACGACACTGCTTTAGTGGATGCCTTCTTCTCCCTTCCGCAGTTCCGAGAGAGATTCGGCGAACGTCTTGACAACGGGGACTATCAAATCACCGCGTCGTGGATGTCGGGTCTCAAGACTGGCGTCCAAGTTGGCCAGATTCTGGGACTGATGGCTGCTGGCGTTATCGCTGAGAGATACGGCTACAAGAAGACAATCTTGGGATCCCTTTTCCTGCTTATCGGCTTCATCTTCATCTTTTTCTTTGCCTCGCATATTGCCATGCTTTTTATTGCTGGCGTTTTGTGTGGCGTTCCATGGGTATGATCATACGCCTCTTTTGCACAGAGATATCGACCTGACTTTCACAAAAACAGGGAGCTTTCCAGACATTGACGACCACTTATGCGGCCGATGTGACCCCCATTCCACTGCGGCCGGTCCTCACAACATACGTCAACATGTGCTGGGTAATGGGCCAGCTCCTCAGCTCAGGTGTGCTGCGTGGGCTCATTGACCGCCACGATAACTGGGCGTGGCGTATTCCATATGCCATCCAGTGGGCGTTCCCACCTCCCATCATCATTGGCGTTCTACTTGCCCCTGAGAGTCCCACCTGGCTCGTACGCAAGGGCCGCCTCGACGATGCTAGGAAATCTCTGAGGCGGCTGGCCAGCGGACGATCCGAGGACGAGATCAACAACACAGTGGCAATGCTTGTATACACAGACCAAATGGAGAAGGAGTCGGTCGAGGGCGTCTCGTACTTGGACTGCTTCAGGGGCACAAACCTCCGCCGCACTGAAATCGCTTGCATGGTCTGGGCTGCTCAAGTTCTATGCGGCATCTGGTTCGGTGGCAATGTCATTTACTTTCTCCAGCAGGCCGGCTTTGATCCAGCCAGGTCATTCGACTTTGGCATTGGCACCCAAGCCCTTGCGCTGGCCGGCACCATAGGCGCCTGGTTTCTCCTCCCTCACGTGGGGCGCCGAAGACTGTATCTCGTCGGTCTCAGCGTTATGCTCACTGTCCTTCTGGCTGTGGGCTTCATGGGCATCCCAGCCCGCATGGATGCCATTGGCTGGGCTTCAGGCGCCTTGATGATGGTCTTTGTCGTCACGTACGATCTCACCGTTGGCCCAGTCTGCTACTGCCTCGTAGCAGAGATTCCGAGCACACGCCTGCGCATCAAGACTGCGGTCCTGGCCCGCAACACGTACAATGTCATCAGCATCGGGGCCAATTTTCTGAATGCGCCTATCCTCAACCCAGGGGCATGGAATCTCCGTGGCAAGGGAGGGTTCATCTGGGCGGGCCCTTGCGCTGTAGTTCTCGTCTGGACCTTTTTCCGCCTGCCAGAAACAAAGGGGCGAGCGATCTCGGAGCTGGATACTCTCTTTGAGAGACGCGTCAGCACAAGGGACTTTGCCAAGACGGAGGTGACCATCTTTGAGCAGAGTCAGAATGAGAAGCTGGGGGTTGAGTAACTGGTCTTCTGACACGAGAGTTCGGGGGTTGCCTTAGAAACTGGGGATTTCTGTGTAATATAACTTTCGTTGCTAGTTAAGTCTACTCTCATTAAGATATAGTAATCTTCTAGAATGACGACGCAAGGATTTCTGGACGATTAAATCGAGTGACGAGCAGTCGGAGATGAGGTCAGTTCACTCGTAGAGCTGCACCGAGTAGCCCAGAAGTGCGTTTCAGCAGATACTTTAGGCTTGTAGCTAACCGAGGTGACCTTAATGCGATGTAGGTCATGAATAACATTCGTAGTTTATACCGGCAGACCCCGAGTCACGAGAGACAAGGCGTAGGATGGCGCGCTTAGCATCGTCGAAGCGATCTATCGGACTAGTAGCTATTACCGGGACTCGGACTGTAGCCTCAAAAGGATATCGTATGATTCCTGCGGGAGGATCTGGCTCGCGAGCAGGGTAGGCGGGTTCTGAGCAAAGAAGAAGCTTGTCTGTCTTGGGCATTTGAAAGCTGGTGCTAGGATAGGACAGGACCTCTCGCCAAACGCCTAAGGAGGGTGTGATACAAGTTTGGGAAGCATTGTCGGACCGACAACGTGACTTGATCGGCATCGACGGCCCCGTCATGGGATCAATGGATCATATCAAAAGCCCGTATCGGTACAGACGGAGAAGTACTCTTGTTTATCGGCTCCCCTCCAGTTGTGCCCCCGCACATCCCCACCGTTCTGAATGAGGGAGCCTTGGCCAACACTGGTTTAAGTACTCGTCTTGTCCAGCAGTGAACTTGCCCAGGCATTTCTCTATCCTACCCATTCCCTTACTTTACATGTCTCGTTTGCAATGACTGTCACTACGACATATACCGCCGCGCCGACACGGAAGTCGCAGGGCTTCCATCCTCGACCAGAGTATCACCTCAAGGCCCCGCAGGGATGGATGAACGACCCCTGCGCTCCAGCCTTTGATCCAACGACAGGCACATATCACATCTTCTATCAATGTAAGAGAAAATGTTTCTCTCTATATATATACTCTAACACCGTTAGGGAACCCTCGGTCTTGTGAATGGGGCCACATCTGCTGGGGTCATGCCACTAGCCCTGACGGCCTACGTTGGAAGCACAGCACAGCCAACCCAACACTCCAACCCAGTGAGCCATATGATAACAAGGGCATCTGGACAGGTTGTCTATGGCCAACTGGGCCTAAAGGCGAGAAGGACCAGCTCACGGTTATCTACTCATCCATCACATGCCTCGACATTCACTGGACCCGTGAGCATGTCCGTGGCTCCGAAGGCGTATCGTTGGCGACGTCTACGGACAACGGAAAGACGTGGAGGAAGAGCGACCTAAACCCCATCGTTAAGAATGAGCCGGAAGGCCTCAGGGTGACAGGCTTCAGGGACCCGTTCCTTGCGACTTGGCCTGCTCTTGATGAGATTCAAGGCGAGAAGAGCCTCTATGGGATTCTTTCAGGCGGGATTGCCGGCAAGACCCCAACCATCTTCATCTACGCCGTCTCCCCGACCGACCTTGCCGAGTGGAAATACATGGGACCCCTAGTTGATCTTGCCCCTGGCTTCCGTGTCCCCGGGCCTTGGACAGGCGACTTTGGCGTCAACTGGGAGTGTGTTAACTACATGACCTTGCGAGGCGACACTGAAGAGCGCGACTTTCTCCTTATGGGGACGGAGGGAGGTCACAAGCGCAGCGATAAGGAGAGAAAGCCTGATGAGCTTTTCGCGTGGTGCCTCTGGCTCGCTGGCTCTCTCGAGCAGACTGCAGAAGGCCCGAGGTTAAGGCATGACTTTGACGGGATCCTGGATCACGGAACCTTGTACGCGCCAAACTCGTATGAGCATCCCGTCACAAAGAAGAGGATCGCGTTCGGATGGATCAAGGAGGAAGAGCTCACGCTGGCTCGGCGTGAGGCTAAGGGCTGGACGGGATACCTGTCGCTTCCCAGGGAGCTCTTCTTGTACACCGCAACAAACGTGGCCAGGGGCTTAAAGTCGTCGTTGAATGAGATCCGCTCTATCAAAGCGATCCCCGACGCCTCGGGGGCCAACACCATACAGACGCTCGGCATCCGGCCGCTCGACGACCTGTACCTCCTCCGGCCCTCTCGACCAGACGAGTGGTCAGCCATTGGCAGTTCTGATACTTCAGGTATCTTGAAACATCACACTCGCTCGACGAGCTGGGAGCTGGAAGCCCTCATCAACTTACACGCCCCGCACCCCCGGCTCGTAGGCTTCCACATCTGTCACAACACTGATACCTCGCTGCGGGCTAGCATCTCCTTTGACACGCAAGAGGAGAGAATTGTGGTGGACAGGAGCGCGTCGAACCACGAACCTGACATTCGAAAAGATACTCAATCGGGGGCGTTCACACTCTTCTACACCCGCGATGAGGGGCGCGAGACGCTGGAGCCGCTCAGGCTACGCATCTTCCGAGATGGAGATACGCTGGAAATCTTTGCGAATGATCGGTTCGCGCTGAGCACGACAGTCTGTGTAGATGAGACGTGTGGGGGGCTCAGCTGGTTTGTCGAGGGCGGTGGCGGTGCGGAGAGCGTGTTTGAGACGATTCGGCTATGGGATGGTCTCGAGTGAGAAGATAGGAGAGACCGAGAGCAATGTTAGGAGTTAGTCCGTCTAGTGTTTAAGTTTTTATCACCGACATAGTTATACCTCGTCCAGTTAACAGGAGTAGGTATCTTTGATCATCCTTTCGCGAACCTCCAGTGATCCGCCGAGAATAAAGTGCACCTCCAAGATTACAGTGATAGGGACTGTTTACGGTGTCATCGTTCGCTTGTCACCCAACATATGTACTCAAATTTTCATGCTCGCTTTGAGGGCAGCCTCTACTGAGCTGCTTGCGTCATGGCAAGGCGTCTACGCAATCTTTTCGGCAATCCAGAAACTCCTCCATATCAAACGCAACGCAAACTGTAGCCCGGCAACATGGTTTGGTCCGCACTTTGCACAGGGTGCCCTCAACGCTACCGTGGCCTTCGAAGGCTCGGTCCCCGAGGAGATCATAGAATTCATCCGTGAAGAATCGGCGGGGAGTATAGTCCGATCCCGCCCCGAAATGCACAGGGCTGGGGCCGAAGAGATGGCCCGCCGCATTGAAACGACCAAGACTCAAATCACAGACTTGTACAAATCTGTCAACAGGTACAACCCTCATTTCTGGAGATTGATGCTGGATGATCCCTACTCCGCTGCCGCCTCGAGACCCATCTCGTACTCGCCCAAGTCAGAGGAGGAGGCCTGTCTGGTTACTTTCTATAGCTTGGCCTCGTGGATTGAGACGTATCGGTCGTTTGATATAATGCGGGATATAATCGAAAAGACATGAGCAAGAAACGGGGGGGAGACATACCTGAGTGCGAATATGGGAAGCGGTAGATCGGGTCGAGGAAAGATTGGCAAATGCGGCGCACGATTTTCAGACCTTCTAGAGGCATAGTTGGGTGCATGTCATGTAATCGCTCAATTAAATGCAGATCCTATACGTAATTCTTTTATCCAATGTCTTTACACCTTTTAACTCGCTAATCTTTTCGGATCCTGCAACCTAGCCAGTTCCAATAGTAGCCTGTAGGTATAGACGGTCATATCGACCTGCCTCAGAGATCTTGAAAACCAGTCTCTTCCCTGTTCCGCAATAGTCTTAGCTGTTTTTTGTCCCTCTTCAGTTGAAGTGAGGTAGGAGACAAGCTCGGGAAGCTCCTCGAGACTTTGGCTGACGGGCACGTAGTGAACCCAGGGCATCAATCGCTCGTCGTGCCATTCTCGAAATATGGTCTGCTTTAACGGTACTGAGTTTGATGCCAGAAGCTTGTAGTAACGCCCGCTTATTCCGTTTCCGTCCGTGTCGAACACGAGCCGTGATCGAAGTGCCTCGTCCTTGTCTGCCCAAGATTTAGTCTTGAAGTAGGTGCTCTGATCTCTGCAGTATTGTCTTTCACATTGGAAGATCCTAGTGAAGGCAACATCAAATAACCGACTGTTGAGGAAAGTCGAGTATACATGTCCAAGCATGCCGTTCTTTTGTCTTAGATAAGAGTGTGGCTTCCGTTCCAGGTTCTGAGCCAAGGCCACAAATCTCTGTCGTTGGTGGTGTCGCCATTCGTCATCGAGGACAAATCCACCTGTTGTTGAGCCAGCCCAGTACAAGTTGTTCCATTTACTCTCCCATTTTACATCGGTCAAGACGTCGTATTGGAACTCTTTTTCGATGTATGCTGGACTTGGGAAGAGAATGTCGCCCATTGTTGAAGGAGCACCTGTCGACAGTATCGGCACCAATCCTTCGACGAGGTGAAAGGTTTTCGGACTCATGAGAAAGCCGTGCATATTTTCGTACTCGGGGTGTTGACACAAGTCCTTCGCCGAGAAATGGTTTTTGACAAACGGCATGTTGAATGTTTCTACCGCAGGCTCAGGGTAAGAACTGCCGGCTTTTCTCTGTGAATAGACACAAGGGAAGCTGAGCCTTTCCCAAGTTGACCTCTTGGACATGTCGATCGAACTAAACTTTGCTGTTGGGTTGGGGGGAATAAGAACCCTTGGTTCGTCAAAGTGGTTGATGAGAAACTTGACGTCTGGAAGCTCTCCGGGAAGCTCGCCCAAGAGGGTGTCGAAAAGAAGACTGTAGTGTCTATCAAAAGTCCGGTAAGGGTGCTGGCACTTGGTTTTGGCTTCCTTTCCTGAAAAGTCGCAGAGCCAAACCTCGCTGCGTGGTGTTCCCTTCATCTTTGCCATCACATTGAGCACCTCCTGGCCACTCAGTTTCCAAAAAGGCGAAACAATGTCGTAAATCATGTCATATTCATCAATAATCGGCGATTGATTTGACTCTGCAAACCTGAACCAGGCATCGAAACCTGGCGGCGGCTCTTGGTGGTATCGTCGTCGATATTCGTCGCTAGCGGCTTCATAGCTTTTCGACTGGTTTCGGAGAAGCTGTTCGAAGTTGCCCGTTGCGTGACGAACCAACGCTTCAACTGGGTGCACCGGCATTGCCATAGAGCTATTCAGTGAAGAGGGTTGTGCATTTCGAATCGCCCAGATATTGGAAAGATATGGAAGAAGAGAGAGGAGAAAAAAGCCCCAGAGAATTGATTTTCCCTTGGGCTGGCCCGGAACCAAGTGAATGGTTTGGCAGAGCGCAAATAATGACACCATGACATGGCATAGAGCTCGTATCTCCGATGATTCTCGGAAAGGATTGCTCGTGGCTGCGATGGCAAAAGTCCCTATCGTGGTGGCCATCAACCACGAGGTGTTTCGGGTCTGGAGGTGTCAGTAAGATGTTACTAGTACTTGACAACGGGGCATTACTAACAAGCTGAATCATAAAGAACCATGATGAAGCTTTGGAAAATCCCAAGAGAAGGACGTAGAAAACAGAACTTGTAAGAAGACCCAATGCAATGGATTGGATCCCCAGGCCCACCACCAGGAGAGCCACCACCCGTATCGAAACTCCAGTTATAGATGCTTCAATGTCTACGACCGGCATCTGGTAAGGGCCATCTTTAGGTCTAGCTGTAAGAGCGCCGTAGACAATGAGAAGGGCGACTACGAGAATGCTGGACAACAATGACTTGAAGAGGTCACCATTCGATAAGGAGAGTGCGGCAACAGAAGCCACTAGAGTCACTCCCCATCCTGAATAGACCAGAGGAGAGAGGGGATAAGCATCGGTGGCTGGCAAGACGGGAGGCTTGTGTCCAAGATGCCTCTGGATTATGAAAAGCAGTGGCGTTAGGGCCGGCTACAAATTGTCAGTGAGTGGAAACATGATTGCGCAGGGTCCCTCTTACAAAAAGGGCGAGGGAACTACACTCGGCCCTGTAAAAAGAAGCGCCTGCTATTCCAGCAGCAACAATCCATTGTAGACCTGATGAAGCCGTCTGAGCTCCCAGGTCACCAAAAGGAGTGGATGCGGAGACTTTTGAAGGGGGTGTGCGTTGGGAGTGCTTGATCAGAACTGGGAGCGTCGCCCAGCAAAGAAGCTCGGAAAAGAGCTCTGGACGTCGCGAGGATAGATGCTCCTTTAATATCGAAGAAGCCACAGCAGCGGCCGATAATGCAACAAGAGGGTCAACGACTCTGAGGACTGTTGTGCGCATTTTTGTGACGGGGGGTGGTCGACGAGGCTACTCCATCAACGCGAGAGAGAATGAATGCAAGTAAGAAAAACACAGATGCATGGAAATCAGGCTCATGTTTGAGCGAATAGCACAGCCTCATTGAAATTGCATGGTTTTCAGATGCCCAGTCTTCTTGGTACCAATTATTTGGCAGCAGGCCAACAGGCCAAGAACCAACATGCATAAAAAACCGAGGCAGCCTAATGTCACACAAACTCGTATCCCATTGAAGGAGCACTCGGTAATCTATGTACTACTCGTATACGGAGTCCTTAGCACGTGGTCGTTGCTGGCTGGGAAAAGGGCGCATGGAGGATGAATCCTTCGATGGACAGCCAACATCGTATTGGACCCCGTGTCGCTGCGTCTCCTCTAGCCCGACCACCCGGCAATCTCGAGCCGAGAACCGTCGGGTGATGCGGGGCGTCGTAGGTTGCGCGTCTCAGACAATTTGTTCCTTGGTCTGGACTCTGGAGGCGCAGCAAGGAGAAAGTGATTGGTTTAGAGTACGACGGCACCTTTGTGGCGGCAAGGGGTCATCCAGTTAAGCCAACAGCAGCAGGAAAAAACACACTTGGCTCATTTCTTGGACTCCCTTGGCCTACCGTACTCAAAAGACTCCTTGATGATAATGCGCTTGGCAATTGATTGGCAAGCGGCGCATGCTGCCAGAGTCGGTAAGCTTCGTCTTGGTAATGACGTTTGGAATTGAAAAGAAGCAATGAATGATCGACGCGACAGCACGGACGCTACCCCAAGAGGCTAGCCCTGTCTGCCAAGCGCTAACAGAGATGAGCAACAAGGGCGTTTCTGCGGCATTCCTCCCCTCACCCTGTACCTGGCGGGTACGATTACCCTCTGAACAGTTTATCGAAGTTATGGTTGAGTTGGATGCTCCACATGCTGTTAAGAAAAGCGACGAGCCAAGAGCGTGTATGGGGCTCACTAGCAACGGTGACGAGTAACATTTGTAGATTTGCCGACGTGCCAATGTTTCGTGCCGCCGCTGTAGATTAAGCTTAATGGTAGGTCACTTACTCCATACCAGGGGAGGAAATAGAGGCATCACCATCTATGTACCGTTATAAAGAATGCTTGTTCATAGGATACAGGTCTGGGGTATGAACTACTTTATCAAATATAAATATGGAAAGCTATTGCAGGTCATCTAACCATGAGTCAACTAGCATTACTTGTGGGGAGAAGTTGCGAGTGATGGGATGATCTTGAGATTATGCAAATCGCTGTTAAACAAAGAACTCCCAAAAAAATATTAACAATAATAGGAACTTAAGGACATAGCATTAAAATACTATATAAACTATACACTAGAGAGCAAAGCGCCTCACTATGACAATAATCTTGAGTACCGTGTAAACGTCAGCAAGAAAAACATGTGAAGGCCTATCACTAAAAACAGGGTCCAGCAAAGAATCCAAAAGACGGTCTCGCTGCTCGCAATATCGCGTACAAAATCCTGGGAAAGGCCTTGCCATGATCCACGCCGGCAGCCAACCAACGATCCAAAGTGAGAGAATGCCAGCAACCAGGCATACCAACCATCCCACCCAAGTCAGCCATGAAATGTACCATTTTCCATTGGCGCTGTGCCACTCGGAAAACGTCAGGAATATGAATCCGGGGACGGAAAAGGGATAAAACAAGCTGAGGGCTGCAGGTATTCCTAGTACGACGAAAAACACGACATGGCTGGTGCGAAAGAGTCGCTGTCTGACAAGTCCCTGGTCCACGGCGGGTATCGGTTGTTGAATCTCATCAATCAACCTGGCGTAGGACATTATTTCCTGGCTTCTTTCCAAGATCGAATGCGGAGGATTCAAGCGCAGTGCCGCTAGAGAGATGAGCTCGAACGCGAAGAGGGGAATCGCGTATAATACTACTAGCAGCGTAAGGTCCAGTGGTGTTTTGGTCGTGAAGGCTTCCGTAAATGTTATAATAGCTAGTGTGAGGTAAAGAGTTCGAGCTGGTCCAAAGGTTTGCAAGTGATCTAGAGCCTCTTGCAAAGACTCACTGCCACCAGGTGTGCTTGTTGGGCCAGTCCCGTCATTGTCCCTGTATTCAGGCTTCTCCCACCATGGTTCCTCCTTGGAAGTGTAGTAACGACAAATTAGTGTCGCCGTAACTGCTTCTCTCAGGGACCTTTTATGTATCATGGTGCTTTGAGCGGCTGCAATGAGAGTCGGGATGAGGTCGACCAGGCCAATTTCCGGTGCAAGTCTGTAGAACCGGGACCGCTTCTGGTAGACTAAAGACCCAGGCATGTGAAGGGCTGATACAACGGCGAGAACTAGGATCATTCGAATGGCCCGAATAGAGGCATATTGATCGTCGCATTTCTCGGTGACGTCGGGAGTCGGGGCCGGAGTCGCATTTGAAGCTTCCAAGGTGGATGTCGGTTCGAGAGAGATGCCACTCGTAGTCTCCGAAGCTAGGCTAGCAGTAACGGTAGTGAAAGTGGCGAGTAGGAAGAAGAACATAAAACCCGGGCTTGTGTTCATTGTGCATCTGCCGGATGATGTGGTGCTTTTGGGCTAGGGTTCATGGTTTGACGGTACCAAGAAGATCGCGAGAAATAGCCTCGAATGGACGCTGCAATGGTTCTAAACCACAATATATTTACGTGGAATAGTATTATACTTTTTGGGCAATGATATCGCGCAATTAGGCAGAGTCGCCCGGCTTGTGGGTGGAATGAGGCTATGCATGTACACAGCCCCGCAGGCTGAACCCCAAGGCACACGCTTGTCGATCTCGAGTTTATCAGAAGATTGGACTTGATTAAGCCTTGTTGCAACTTCTTGCGCTTTCAGTTCATTTTGACCTACATCTTTTATCCCATGCTCTTGGTGAAGGCGTTCCCACGACATGATGAGCAATGGAGGTCTCTTTCGAATTCAGTGCCTGGATCATCAACTTTTATTACGCCAGCTGGCTCAACGAGACAAGTTGGGATGAGCCGGAAGCTGATTCGCCTAAATTTGACGATTGCGAACCTCCTCTGCTTCTGTCGCCAACCTTGGTTATCTGGCTAGTCCTTGTGCCAGCCCTCGCAAGCGCTGCCCAGCTCCCTGGATCTCTTCTATATCATGGCCACTCCACCCTTTATCGCCTGTCGCCAATCTCCGGTCTAGCTGACTGCTTTACCACATACACGTTGGTAGGGAAAGCGTTGGCTAAGGGGCATTCTTGGCGACAGTCCATCGTTGGAGTCCTTCTCTTGAGACAAGGGATAGGACACAACGACCTTTGGTGGAGGAAATTCAACCTTTATGGAAAGACACGCAGCGAGGGGTCTGTCTGCACATCGGATGCCGGAGATGAAGACGAAACTGCCACTCTCGCACCTACAGAGTCATCAGACGACTGGCTCAACCACGACACCGAGGAATTACATCTCAGACTCGCACTCGCTCGAACCACAGAGCCAATTACCCCTGAAAGAATAGCCGGGTCTATTCTCGTGCTTTTCTTGTTCGTTCAAGCCGTTGCCTTTGTTGTGCTGGTTCCTACCGTGTCATTCTTGACGGCGTCTGCCATACTTGGTTTGGTATATACTGGCAGCCTTTGCATGTTCGAAATGTTAGTTTGGAGCATGGCACTCAGCGCATCTATGCATTCCATTGCTGAGATGCCCTGGGGAAATGCGATCGAACTTCTTTGTACCTTGGACCCTGGGGATGGTCCCCTTTCCCTCACTCAAGACACAACGGGTAGCCAAGAATTGAACTCAGACATCGAGCTCGAGTCTTGTCACTCCCAGGATATGAACGACAGCCAGTATACCAAGCCAAGGATGCAGGGGACCCCAGCTTGGGGTATAGAGACCAAGCTGATATCAGGCCTCTTTGGGCTGATCGAAGCTTCTGCTTGGATCGTAATCACCTATGCGGCGTGGAAGGTGAAGCCCCGGCTTTTGTTCCCGGCGGCGGCAACAGCAATCTTGATCAACCTGGGTCTGATGATAAATTGCCTGTTTCCTAGGATCGTGGATGTGCGATTGGGGATAATCCGGCGGTTAGATCTATCCGACCAGGAAACAAACACTGCGGTCCGCGTTGGCATCGCCGCTCTTCGCTGGCTGCTTACGAAAGCCACAATAGCCAACTTCATTGCTGTTGCATGGCTTGGGCTAATGGTTGCCATATTTATCTTGGGGAAGGCTGAAGGATGGCCTGTAGACGAAGGCAAGGAGCCCACTACGCTGCCACAATGGTTGGTTGGGCTGGCTGGTTCATGATCTCGGGGGAGGTTAGACTAATGCAGGCTTCTCTTAAGACGTGATGCTGTTAGTTTGAACAGAATTGTCATTTCTGCCCGTTTGGCTACTTGCTCCAATACCTCCACTTCGCCTGACGATGCAAATTGATATCCCCAGATAGAGTCGCCAGAACCATGCCATACAATCCTCCAATCGGCCATTTGCTCAGCCAGGACTCGCTCCACTGCTCCGTACTTTCCCCCTTGGCCTGAACATTGACCTTTACCTTGTCGTATACCGTCGGTAAAGTTGTGGCGGAATACTTCTCCCTCAGAGCTTGATACCACCCATAGTCGTATAGGTTCCAGAACTCGCCTTCTTGGTAATATGTGTGGGCATATAGCCACTTGCGGCCACCAAGAGCCGTGAGTTTGTGTTCCAGATCACGGTTTTTCGAGACGAATTCGTCAAAGTTCTGAGGGCCCCAGCCCCAGACACCAATGTTTAGCATTGGTTGAGATATTTGAGCCTCGCGAGGGGTCTGCTTCTCCATGCTGTCCGAATCCGAGACTTTGCTGTTTGTAACCGGATGGAAAGTTGGCATCGAGCATCCTTTCAAGGGACAGAGCCACAGCGGCCAAATCCCGAGTGAGCGGTCGACCCAGTTGATGAATGTCTCAGCCGTTTCATATGGTAGTGCCAGGTCTTGAACAACAAACTGTGAGGAAATGCGGCTGGCGTGGAGGGCATGATACAGAGTCCGGGTATGCGAGTAGTCGTCAAGAAGCCAACGAAAGAACCTGTTAAACGGGATCGCCTTGAAGTAGGTGTAGCCCTGGCGACCAACCCAGAAGCCGCCTCTATCATAGCGGAAGAGATACTCGGTGAGCGGCACGTACTCTGTCACGGTTGATGACGGAGAGAGATTTCGTGTTTTTTCCTGCAGGTGAAGATAGAACCATGGGTCTCCGGGATGACTGAAGGTCTGCACGGGACATTCTGAAGGCTTGACGTTGGTTGCTTCGCCTGTGATGATGACGCCGTGATCTTGTGAATAGACAATGCCGTCAAGGTAATCGATTTCGGTGTTGTCACACTCCCTCTTGATCTCTGAAATGGCCTTTGCAACAGTATCAACTCTGCGGTACGTGGTCTTGACGAATCTCTTGGCATCGATAAGCTGCAACTCCATCGCCGTGGTGATACCGAGTGTCCCTGCAGCGCCGGCAGCGCCGTGGAATAGATCTGGCCTTTCCTGCCGCGATGCCTTGACGATATCACCATTCCCGAGCACCATCTCCACGTAGTTGACAGTTTCGTTGAAGAAGCCGTGGCGGAACGAACTGCTTTCCCCTGACGTCCCCGAGAACCCGCCTCCCGCGGTGATGCCGGGGAACTCCATGACAACGGGAGGAACAAGGCCATACGCAATGGTGGCTTCAACTAGACGATCCATAGGGACGTTGGGCTCCACGATGCAAGTCTGTCGATTGACGTCTACGGCGAGGACGTTTGATAACATGCTGATATCAACAATGTTCTGGTTGGATCCATGGCGGGGACGGGTACTGTTCGAGGAGCCGTGAAACACTCGGTATTTCTCTCCAAGCTTGAAGAATTGGCGGACAGCAGTCGCAATGTCCTCGACTGCTTGGTCATGACGATCCATGGAGAAATGTGTCTTGTCGACGGATTCTGGTATGCGGAGAGAGGGGGGTTTGAGGAATGAAGGTCGCCTGGAGAGGAAGAGGGGCTGCCGCATTTCTTTACAGAAGAGGACAAGTGACAAGACATGATTTTGTTGAGGCGGTGCAACTAGGGAACGTGGTCTCTTTCGGTGCACTACATGCGCGGCGTCACTAGTTGACCAGGGGATGTGACCAAGTGCCTCTTTTTCCTTGGCCAAGACTCTAGCTTGTGTTTCCTGACAGCTCTGTACACCAAGCCACAGGCAATTTTCGTATCAAGATGAGCAGGATAAGCTGCGCTGTGAGTGGACGCAGAGATAGGCACAAGTGCGCAGCCGTTCTGATTGGCTACCTTGCTTCTTCCTGTGCAGAGACGCAGAGACGGCGTGAGACAGTCTCAGCCACCTCAACAGTCCGACCGAGACACATCTTCATACTATTTGGGTCCGGCCTGAGACTTGAGTCGATCAGGCAAGGGGGACAAATCTCGCACCTGCGTCCTTAAATCGTCGGGGATCGTCTTTCGCTCCACAAGATCGGGAGCGAAGCTCCGCTGAGGGGCCATTTCGGTTCAAGCATATGGATTACTATACGATGGATCGAAAGATATGGGGTACAAGACCCGGGGTGATGTATTTGATATGGGGTGAAGAATCTGCTCGATCGATGCTGCCGCAATCCACTTTGGGGCCGAGACTCGTTAATGTCTCTCGATTCATCGAATCTTGAGACAATTGGATGGTTTCTTGGCGGAGAAGAGGAAATTCTCTAATCCTTGCTTACGTCGATGTTAAATGAGCCAAGTGCGGTGGTGGTGACAGGGAGTCCGCAGAGACAGAAAATAAACTCAGCGAATCTTGATGTTTTCACATTTTATGTACGCCAGAGCAAGGCCATGTAACTACGGTAATGGCATCCCTTGGCCTGCTATTGCCGCTTGTCTTGTGGCCACCAAGGCAAGGAACTTGTTTTCAATGCTATCTTGTCTTGGCCGTGTCTAGCACCACATCTCAAAGCGTTTGGATTTTCCATTACCAGATCCCCGGGATAAATCGCCATGGCACGCGCTTACAGTATTCCGTCCATGCAGCACCGTACTTAGCCGAACACCTCTTCTCATCCCGTATACAGCGATGGATGAGCAGCATGGTCATCCATATAGCATAAACCCAGACCACAGTTCGAGTGCTTCCAACCAACGCACATGTGCTGAAGCTGAGAAACAGGTCTCCCACGTAATTGGCGTGCCGTGACCATCCCCACCAACCACTGCACAGAAGTAGACTTTTGTGCTGTTTACCGTCCGAGGTCTTGAATGACGCTACTATGTACTCGGCGGGCTTGCCCCAGATGTTGCATTGCCCAGCAGAGCGGCGGAGCTTGTCCTTCTGGTGGTTGACTGAGCGGAATAGCACATAGCCAGCTAGGCCAAGCGCAAAGAAGAAAGCCAGGTAAGGGGCCGAGGCAGATTTCGGGTACAGACCCAGGTATTGCCCTTGGATAGTGTATGTCGTTGGTAAGAAACAGAAGCAGCCCCATGCGAGGTAAAAGCCGTAATGATCGTGGGCAATGTCGATTGTTCGCAGATACCAAGATTCGTTGACAAAAAAGTCAATCACGTATATGGTTTGGAGAGTCGTGATGAGAATCAGAGAAGGCTCAATGTACTGTTGTGTCTGGTATTGATATGCCATGTTTGAAAAGTCACTAGAGTTTCATATATTAGCAATGGTGATAAACTATGCCGATGTAGGCTTACATCAGTGTCCAGGCGATCATTCCTGGTCTACCATTGCTGAAGAGCTTGAGATCAAAGCTATCGCCAAGTCGCGGGTTCAGCTCGATGCCCATGTAAAAGTCATAGAGCGAGGATCCTAAAGTTTCAGGTTAATATTTGCTGAGCCAGCAATCGCAGATAGGAAAACGCACCACTGAACTTTCTGTCTTCTGGATGAGTAGGTATTATGTATGCCTTCACAAAGGCAAACGTCGAAATGACATATCCAGCCAAGTTCATAGCCCCAATCAAACTGCTCCAGTTTCGAGGTATGAAGCCAGGATCCAATACGCCAGCCAGGCTAAGAACAATGTACAAAACATGAGTTATGATCCAAGCAGACAGGCCATTTATCCGGTAAGATAGAAGATATCCAGCGGGGGTTAGCTGTCCTTTGTATGTATCGCCTGGGAGGTATCGAAACAGCAGGGCCTGTAATCCAACCCAGCACACGATGGCCAATACTCCCTTAATTGTTAGTCGCGGGCCGTATTGGATGCAGATGCTTCAAAAGCCTTCCTTCATGACGGCCTCTGCAAAGAGGGAGAATGACGCGTCATACTGAGCGAGGGTGATAAAGACGCATATCGAGGTAAGCGGCGCAAGAAAGCACGGCGATGCCGCGACAAAGGAGCGAATCCAGGACCTGCCAAACCCAGTGCGACCCCAAACACTTCCACTGAGAGATGGTGCCGACTTCTTTATCGACATGTTGATTGTTGTTGTAGAGGCCGAGTTTGGCCTACCCTCTGCGCGTCGCATGGTGAGATTCCTCGTGTAACCTTGTTTTGCTCTTGCGGCGGGTGTAATCGCACGTTTAATGGCTGGGCTTATATGGGCTGCGTCATCGACTGGCAACCAGCTCCCAAGCATGCATGGTTCACAAGTCACGTCTTGGGCGACACGGAATGTAAAGAGGCTTGGCTAGGCTTGATAGCGTCAATATCTCCGTGGGCCTTGGGATCCGCTCCCCTGAGACTTGCACCGCCAATACGGGTCAAGAGCGATCTCCCGACCTGAGCCAGGGCGCTTAGGTTCAGCCCCGTTCAATGGCCAATTGAAATGGCTCCCCGAGGATAGCTCGGCAAAGCACCGAGACAAGATTCGGTCCGCTTCCAAAGCCACAGATGGTGATGGAGTCTCAGCTCGCCGCGACACGGAACAGCACATCCAGCTGACTTTGTTTGCGGTGATATTGGGCGAATAGCGACGCATTGAGGGCTGAAAAAGAAAGAGTCACCTTTTGTGGCTGGCACGTAGTCTGACTAGGCCGGCAGCCCGGTGGGAATAGTCGATCAAACTATTTAGTTAGCGCTGACCGTTGTCTTCCAGCTGGAAAGAGCGGCAGCAGTGGCTTGAAGAACAACTGGTGCATCACGTGGTGAATATTCTCTGGGCTTGGTCAGTTCTAGGGGGCAGCGAGGTGATGAATATCTGCCTGTGTTCTACAGATCCTGTCACAGTCCTGAACGTCTAGGGCAACTCGGGGATCAGCATGATCGTGGGCCAAGCTCCCGATGGGAGCCAACCTGTGACCACTGATACTCCCAAAGATGAGTCCTTTCATTTGGCTGAGAGCGGCCAGAAGCCACTGCCGACCGTTTCGATCAGAGGCGTCTTTTCCAACAGGGTGGAACCTGTTAACGTTCAAGTTCGCCATCTTGGCGTTGAACTCACAACAGAGACCGTTTGGTCTAAGCTACCGAGAAGGATCACGTCGAGGCCTGACCGCCAGCCCCCGAAAGAGATTCTTCGAGATATCTCAGCCGACTTCCAGCCTCGATCACTGACAGCAATCATTGGGGCCAGTGGATCTGGCAAGACAACTCTCTTGGATGCGTTATCCGACAGACTTGCAAGTCAAGCACGTATAAGCCAGGGAACGACCACCTTCAACGGCCATCACAGGGTTCACAATGTCAGGCACGCCTATGTCACTCAGCAAGACGTTCTCCTCCCTACCCTCACCGTACGAGAGACCCTGAGATACGCTGCCGACTTGCGTCTTCCGTCCTCCGTAACAGCGCTGAAACGTTGTGAATTGGTCGAAGATGTCATCAAGGAGCTGGGCCTGCAGAAGTGCGCCAACACTCGGATTGGGAACAGTAGGAAGCGAGGATGCTCAGGTGGAGAAAGGCGCCGTGTCAGTATTGGAGTCCAGCTTCTCGCAAACCCATCACTTTTGTTCTTGGATGAGCCTACCACTGGCCTTGATGCTGCGAACGCCTTTCAGTTAGTAGCCACACTCCAGGACATGGCTCAGAAAGGGCGCACCATTATCATGACGATCCATCAGCCCCGATCCGAGATATGGTCCCTGCTGGACAATCTGCTTGTCTTGGCCAGCGGAGGACTCGTCTTTTCTGGCCCCATCTCGGAGGCTCTCCCCTGGTTCGAGACCAAGGGCTCCCGCAAGCCCCCGTTTACCAACCCTGCCGACTTTGTCATCGACATATCCTCGATCGACTACCGAAGCCCTCAACTAGAGGAAGAAAGCACAACTCATATCAGCGCCTTGAAGTCAGCCTGGCTGGTTGAGAGTCAGGGTCGTTTCCCTCAACTTGTTAGCGCCGGATGCCCTCTACTTGAATCCCCCTCACAACGAAACACGGGCCAGCACAGATCCCAGCTCCAGCAACTTTGTGTTTTAACTAAACGGACCATCAGAGTCACATACCGAGATCCTCTGGGCATGGCGGCATTCATAATCGAGGCCGTTATCATGGGCCTCGCGGTTGGGTACATGTTTTATGACTTGGGGCGAGACCAAGTTGGCATTCGGTCCCGGCAAGGGTGCTTATATGTTGCTGCAAGTCTACAAGGTTACCTAGTACTCATCTTTGAAACATACCGCATGACTCTCGATATGCCAATATTCGACCGGGAGACATCGGAACGCTGCGTCAGTCCTGTTGCGTTTGTCTTTTCTCGCAGACTTGCGAGGCTATTAACCGAGGACTTACCCGTTCCCATCATCTTTTCCGTTTTGATCTACTTCATGACCGGACTGGACCGTCAGGCCGACAAGTTCTTTACTTTCTTTGCCATCACTCTTCTCAATCACTACATCGCCGTCGCTTGTGCAACGGCATGTGTGGTCGTCAGCAGAAACTTTGCGACTGCAAGTCTTATTGCGAGTCTGATTTATACTCTGCAGAGTCTTGCCTCGGGAATGATCGTCCAAATCGAAACCATTCCCGTCTATGTTCGATGGACTCGTTGGATCACCTACATGGTGTGTGTACCTCTCCCGCTGAATTTCTTCCTGTTCTGACCTTCCCAGTTTTATACCTTTAGCGCCTACGTTGGAAACGAGTTTCAAGGCAGTGTCTATGAATGTCCATTCCGAGATGGCCAGTCAGATCCAAGGTGCACCCGCTACAGTGGTGATTTCGTTATCGAGTCGCTCGGCTTTCCGCAAAACTGGACGGGCATTGCCATAGCTTGTATGGGCGCGTTTGTCATTTTCTTTGTCTCATTTTCAATCCTTGGACTGCAATATCTGAAGCCAACATCGATTGCGAATGCTCGCGCCCCTGTGCCACAAAGGGAGGTTTCTCCAAGCTTGGAAATGACGGCCCAGCAACCAATCGCCAAGGCCAGACGTCTCCCAGTCCGGCTTGAGGAGTTTTCTCTGATATTGAGGACTAAAAGTCTGAAAAGATTCAGAGCTGGTCCAACTGAGAAGATCATACTCAAGCCCATCAACGCAGAGTTTCAACCAGGTGTGCTCAATGTCATTATTGGGCCCTCTGGCAGTGGGAAGTCTTCCCTCCTCAATGCCATAGGAAGAAGGCTTCACAACTCGGCAAGCATCACATATCATCAATCGGGGACAATGAGAGTTGATGGAGTAGAAGTCTCTGATCTGACATTCAGATCTATCTGCTCTTATCTTCGTCAGGATGATGAACTACTCCTTCCTGCCATGACAGTTCGAGAGAGTCTTCGCTACGCAGCCCTGCTTCGCCTCCCGCAGAGTATGACTGTCCAAGATAAACACCAGCGCGCCGCGGAGATTCTTCTCAAGTTGGGTCTGAAGGGCTGTGCAGATACCCTCATCGGGAACGAATCTTTGCGAGGCATATCTGCGGGAGAGAAACGGCGGGTTTCTCTCGCTATCCAGATCCTAACCGACCCCCAAGTCCTTCTGGTGGATGAACCTACTTCGGGACTAGATGCATTCACGGCCAACTCTATCGTGCAACTCTTGCAGAGTCTCGCAGAGGAAGGTCGTACTATCATCATGGCGATTCACCAGCCTCGCTCAGACTTGTATGGACTTTTTGGGAACCTCTTGCTCTTGTCCCATGAAGGATCGCCCGCCTACTGCGGACCGGCGAAAGATATGGTCGACTACCTTCGCGAATGTGGCCACGACTGTCCATCACAAACCAACCCTGCCGATTTTGCTCTGGATATCGTGACGGATCTTGTTCAGCATCGCTCGAGAGGGGGCAAGGTGGAAAGCGGCGATAAGGTGCAAAGATTAACCGAGCTCTGGAAGCAGCGATCCATCCTTGCACAGCGAGAGCTTGCAGAAAGTGACGACGGGCAAAACCGAATCCAGGGGACAAGTCGGGATCTTATCGACTCAAGCTCTGAGAATCAACAACCCCTCGAATCTTCAGTTGTAGACGCCTTATCGGTCCGCGATAGAACGCCACTGTATACCTCACTTCCACTCCTGGTCCGCCGAGCCATTACCAACACTTGTCGACAGCCTCAGCTGGTACTCGCCCGTATCATGCAATCAAGCGGCGTGGCCATCATCTTCACGCTCTTCTTCGCACATCTTGGCCACGACTATCTGTCTATACAAACGCGTCTGGGTTTCTTTCAGCAGTTAGGCGGCTTCTACATCATTGGCATGCTCACCAATGTGGCAATCTATCCTAGTGAGCGGGATGTTGCCTACCGGGAAAGTAGTGATGGCGCATACAGCTTGGACTCATTCCTAACCTCCTATACGCTTGTGGAGCTACCTTTTGAGATCATCAATGCTCTGTTTTTCGGCATCCTTGCTGTATTCGCTATTGGGCTCCCTCACACAGCAGCCACCTATTTCGTTGCATCCTTGGCCTGTTTCAGTGGGCTTTCGTGTGGGGAGAGTCTAGGCATCATGTTCAACACGCTCTTTTCGCACACCGGGTTTGCCATTAACTTGATGGGCGTCATATTGGCCCTGGCTAATAGTATGGCTGGCATATTGTCCCTGGACATGCCACCGCTGTTTGAATATCTGAACTACCTGTCGCCCATACGCTATCAAGTGCGTGGTGTCGCATACTACTCGATGCGAGACTTGTCGTTCGACTGCAACTTTGACAACGACACTTGTCCAATAACATCTGGCGAGCAAGCTCTACGGCTATATAAATTCGATGAGCATCCACTCGTTAGCGTGGTTGGAATGGGGGCTTGTGTTGTTGTGTACCGGCTGCTTGCCTGGGGGTTGTTGGTTATGGTGAGAAGAAGGACTACTAGTTGAGATAGATACTCAAAGGATAGAATACCAAGATCTTCAATTACTAAAGTATTCCCATTTCTTGGACGGGTAATAAACACATGAGCTCTGTTCACTCTGATACAGTTCAATTTCTCTTTGTTCGCTGCTCTATCCTTCTACTTTGCAGCGGACAAGGTCTGTCCTGCTACGGACGCCATAAGCAGGAGGCATTAGGTTGTAAGCATCTGGTGAGAATATGCTCAATGGAGATTGATAAAGGAAAGAAGAGAAAGAGGAGGAAGATGATAGGGAGGAAGAATGGTGGCTCAGGGGGTGGCCGATGTAAGCGGTAAGACAAGGAAGCGAGATCACGTGTTGAGTTGGGAGAAAGGCCATTATCTGCAATGATGACAAGAAGCTATTAGCTATAATAGAAAAACCACAGTCACTAATACATAACGGCATAAAAACCTAATACCGTGCAACACTGTAGTGCTAGGCCATGGTGGGTTAGAGGATTCTTTTTCATATAGAAAAAAGGGTTAATATCTAACTATTAGACTCCTTCCTGTTCTATACCATACTAAGTGCCGCCTTAACTGCCGCCTTGGAAGAGAAGAGGCATGATCTGGCCATTGATAGGACCATAGGTATCGAATGATCGATCATAGGGACTGAAATCTTTGTTGCGATGGTTATCTATGCATTCAAGGGGCCGATCACGGGCAATGGCAAAATGAGGCAACTGAATCGCCTTGAAAGTGATAAACGATAGATTGAACAAAACAGGACAAAGGAAGCGCCTCAAACCAAAGTTTAACCGGCCTGTTGGGTTGAAGGGCCGATAGACATTCCTTCATGGCGAGACTGACCGCGCTGTGCGCCGATTTGTGGATGTTCTTGTCGCGCGGTGAGGTATCATACGATGCAAACTTGGGTTTATTCCACCTTGTGCCCTAGCCATTTTGAGACACCTCGTCACATCAACAACTATCACGTCAATTTCGAACGCGTTGAGGCTCGGAGGAGCCGGACTTTACAAATGCTGACAGTATTATAGGCGGCTCGACTTTCAAGACCATCACCAGGCTTGAGGAGATATATAAAGTCGTTACGGAACCGTTGGAAATTGGTTCTCTACTTCAATACTCATCAACAAGAACAAGACAAACATTTACAATGGCTTTCATGAATCTCAAACTCGTTTTCCTCTTCCTCTTCGTGACGCTTCTGAAAGACGTCATTGCATACCCAATTTACCAGACTAACGGCGACCTGGATCCCACCTTTGAGACGGATATACGTGATACCCATCTCATCTACGACTATGATGCAACAGATTCGGACGGGAACCCAGAGAAGTGGCGTTATGAAATCTGGTTCTTTTCCGAAGACCGCGTTGTCTACGCCATCCACGGCGGTCCTATGGCCGGCCGCAAAAACTACCAAACCGCCTCCTACCAATGCGTGCGAATTGGCGAGGTCTGGCAGATCAACTGGCTCGAGGAAACCGGCACCATTGTTTCCCTAGTCTATGATATCAAGGGCCAGACGATTAGCGGTCTCTTGGGCTTCTCTCAGGGACACTGGGAAAATGCCGAATCTGCGCATGGCGACAAGAGGAACCCCGAGGACTTTGCACGCTGGAGGACTTTGGCAAAGATTGGAATCCAGACGGATAGGTTTATGTTGACGGAGAAGGCCAATATCTTGGAGCAGTTCAAGGGCCAGGGTGAGTTGGACACGATTGACCCAACGGGACCAACCTTTTAAACGAAGTTGTCCAACGGTCCAGGTAGTGTTGTTGGGGGATAAGTCTTTCGTTTGTGCAGAGAACCTTTTGTACATAGAAAAAGGCTAGAGACTCACGGGAGCCTCAAACTTACAATCACCTTCGTCAGCAGTAGAAAAGAGCCGCCTCGAGGTTTTCTTTAGGGTAGTTCTTACTCATTATAAATTGATCATTTACGCTCGATATTTTATGTTGTGTCTCAAGAGAGCGAGAAAGTCATGACACTAAGTTCTAGAGTCGCCTCTCAAGGAATGGACATCTCTCACCCACCTGTGCGTGAATGTATACGCGTATGTGTTCTGTTCCCTAAGAAAGGACTGCAATACGGACGGCACGTCACTCGTAGCCGTAGCCGGAACACCCGAGGCTCTTGCTGGGCCTGGTGACCCCGATGACAAATCACGACTGCTACCCGGAGTCAACGCTCTACGTGTGACTGGCTCCAGTGACAGTCCTGAATAAGGCTTGATTTGATGTTATTAGAGATATTGTTTGCGTCTAAGGACAAGTCTTACCGGGCAAGGAGACCAACATCGCCTTATATACGAGGAGAGACCAATTCATTAGTCTCTCTATAGGCTATGTTTAGAAGCTGAACCTTGTCTCGCGTAGGACGTTAAGCTTGAGCGGGACCCATATATTGGGAGGCATTGACGTATCGTAACACCTTTCGGTAAAGGCGGATATATCTTATCTAGGCCTCGCCCCCGCGATGATGCCGTTGATGGGTTTCCTCAGGCCTTCAAGGCGGAGATAAAGAGTACTCCGTCCGAGAGGTCAATTGTCATGGCACTCGGCAGACTAGGGTATGTATCCGAAGCGGGTAGTTTTGATAGTGGGGACGCTCGTATTCAAACTCACCGCCAGGGCATGATCGGCGTAACTATAAGTAACATTGGATAACCTTTCCTCTGGCATCTGGGCTTCTCACTCATTTGCTCACATCACTGATAACCACAATGAATGTGAAAGCATTGGCCGCGTTGCTGCTTTGCAGCGCCTGCGCAGCAACCAAAGAAGCGCAGTACCCGATGCTTTACGACACCGGATGGGGTGGGCCAGTCCGATACGCGGACAAGTTCAACATATCGAGTAATTCCACCGGTTTCACCATGGTCGAGGCTACCCTCGTTATGCCACACCTATCGATACCCAAGAACCCGCGTGAAAAGGTAGAGCAATACACAGCGTCCTACTGGATCGGACTTGACGGTGTTCTATCAAACCCTACACTGGTTCGAGGACTCTGGCAGGCTGGCGTTATCATGTCGGTATGGACTAATGGAACGACCGAGTACACGGGGTTCCATGAATGGTAGGGTTTGACTCGGATCCCCCGGACCTTGACTAACCTGTTCGTTGTAGGATCCCAGACGACCCGTTGAGTGTCAGCAAAGCCCAGCTCGCCATCTCAGAAGGTGACCATCTTCATGTGCGTGTGGAAACCACCAACAACGGTTATCATGGCACCACCACCTTGACCAACCTCAACACCGGCAAGATTTACAGACATAGCCAAGACGCCCCTGTCACGTGGCGCGGCCCAACTTGGCCATCCCAGGGAGCCTCGGCAGAGTGGTGAGTGAAACATTAACCCGTATGAACTCGACGCTGACTTATGGTGATCCAAGGATTGTCGAGGCTGGCACGTATCTCAACGGACCGCAGTACATCCTGCCTGACTGGGGCACTGCTTCGTTTCTGGGTGCACACGCTTGCTATGATGACGGCGAATGTGCGGTCGCTGGCGATGGTGCCGCAGATCACGGGCTCATGGCGGCTATCTTGTGGAATGACACCAGTACATTGTACACGCGATCTCGCGCCAAAGGCGATCATGTATCGGTTAAATACGTGGAGGAGCCGTTTAAGGGTTAGGCGTCATAAATAAGCTAGGTATTCAGCTATTTATACCTTGACCATAGCAAAAGCCGTCTCAAGTGACGAGTCATCATGAAGCGTTTCATCTAGCCCAGGCACCGGATGATCCCGTACTTCCATGCCATGAATACCAGGGCCGCTAGAGAGCATGAGCCTCTGGCCCAGCTCATGTACTGCAGACATTCTCTCTGAGACAGTGCTCTGGCTTAGTTAACCTATGAAGGGCCGGGTTTCAAGTAAGTATAACAAAGAACACATGATCATCGCATTGTCATCACACTATCAGCGTAATATCAACACATTATAGCAACATATCCTAATGCTGATACAGTGGGTGAGCAGTTAATATCACGGTTACATCCTCATCGAATATGATGCGTAAACTTAGCTCAGGTAATAAAAATATCAGCTCCGTTTTCTCTAATATAGCTTGATTTCTCTCTGCTCATCACTCCGTCCTTCTACTGCCTCACCTCTCATAACTCCATACACAAAACATTCGCCAGCAAAGGTAAAGCCTTCGTCTTTAAATCCTCCAGCTCGACGATTCAAAACAACAGGAAACCTGCATCCGCCAATAACCCACACCTCCTGCCCTGGTTGAATGTTCCGTGGCCCTAGCCCGAAACGCCCTGACTCGGTGATGAACAAGGCCTGCGGACGTACCATGTTCTTCATCCAATCATCAATGCCATCTCCATGATTTGGGTCTTGAGGGACCAACTTGCCGGTAATGAGGCCTAGAAATGCACTCATCCAGTTGTCTGGAAGTTGTCCGGGGCATTTCTCTTGGAACTCGGTGATAACCTTCCCCCATCTTCCGCCACCGGCGAGGAACATAGACCCAGCTGATCCGTAATCTTCCACACACGTTTCTTTGGAACGGTCTTCAACCACAGAAATGCGGTCAATTTGCAAGCCATGCAAGCAGAGGATCCGATCGTCTTCGACCTTTAAGCCTTCCCCAACGCCATATAACCCCCTATCTGCGGTGCAGCAGAGCCCATGCCATCGACGGTGATGGTCCCAAAAGTTCACTGTGCTCCGTTTCGAATCATCACGCACCCCGTGCCAATCCACAGCCCAAGACGCGAGGCCAAGTATTTCAGACACTTCGCCCCCTCATCCGATCAATGGCTGCAGGTCGGTTGATATACGGATGAGATCGGCCGTGACCCTCTGATACAAGGTTCTAACATCGATTGTGTAATCGCAGGTTCTCACGTTTGGCAGTGAAGTGTCACGTCGAAAACCAACAAGTCCATAGACCTTGTCCCTTGGATCCGTAGCTTGACGGAACCTCCAGCGCCACAAAACTTGAAACAGAGACTCTTTTCTTGTGAAGGCAAGTCCCCGCGTAGCACTTTGAAGGTCGATGGCTCCGCCATTGTCCCAGAACTCGTCTGGAATGTCGCGGGAGGGAGTGTCAAAGAAGCTGTCTGCCGCCCTGCGCATCAGGTCCCACGAAATCTCACACGGGCCCCAATAAACTGTCGCAGAGGATGGGAGAATAGCTTCCTGGACCGTCCATATCCGGCTCCACCATGGCAAGTTGATGAGAATCTTTAGTGCTTTGGCAGCATACTCTCTGGCCGAATCGTCATCCATCCAGTCGGGTTTCCCTCGCGACCCAGCGAACCAACACAAAGTGTCCACGGCTGCTCTAGCATGAAACACATCGACATCTCCCAAGGCCCCCAGCCAGATGGCGCATTGATGACATTGGCTGTAGACGCGGTGCATCATGCTGACCTGCCAGGTCTTTTCCACATCATCACCCTGATTGATGCATAGTGCGTCAACCCAGAGATATCTGGGCTCATGAGTCATACGAAGCCTCTGCAATGCGTCAAAAAGGTTTCTGGCAACGGGAACTGGCGTTTTTTCAAGCCAAACAGTGACTTTTGTTGCTTCGTTTTCATCGCCCCAGGTATAAGATAGGGTCTCATATGGCTGTTCCAGTTCGTCCAATGTCGCGACGTGGAACTTGCAGTGTATCTGCGAACCTGAACTGCCAGGCTGAACTTCCAAGATTCTGATTTCAGCTTGATCTTTGTTCAATTTTGGGAAGATGAGGTCGCTGGAAAGAATTTTAACCGTCATGGTGGATATGAATAGCGAGAAAACAGAACAGAGTTGGTGTAGCTAAAGAAGAACCAGTTTGAGATTCAGCTGCGTTTAAGAAGGAAAGATATCGCTATTTCAGGTTATCTTTATCACTACACTGCCCCAATCCTGTCAGACTGAAGTTGTCAGGAACGTGTGGCGCAGTATCTCAGACCTTCTTATGATTGGATGGTTTTTACGGGTGGATCAGCAAGTGTCAGCCAGCGGGATTCACGTGACCCTTTGCATCTCAGCTCGCGGGTCCTCATTTTTGGGGGCTATTTTATTCTCCCGCACCAGCAAGTGAAAGCACACATCAAGGGACGCAGATGTAGACATTACCCGGGCATTAGACCCAGTGATTCTTATCAATACATCGATCCTTGTCTCGGTGTAGGTCAGGCGCCCGCAAGGCACAGTTCAGCTCTAGCAAGTGATTATCATGAGTAGCATAAAGGGGCCAGTCACCAACACTGACCTTCTCGCACATTAATCCACCTAAATCCAGCATCTCTTGCCTATCCCCCGAGTTTCGTCCGTTCTGAAAAGTTGTCGTGATGAAGTCCCACTCTACACTCCGCGGGTTGTGCGTCTTCCCCTCTTCTTTATGTCAGTGTAGGAGGGTATTTCGGAATATGACGCTAGCTTTCGTCTTCGGGTAGGCAGTCTCCCCTCGTTGTTGGTATTCAATCAACTGCTAATACCTCCCCTTGGGGTAGCGGTGTGATGCTTTACATCGGCGTTGAAGCCGTTTTCAGAGGCTTTATCCGGGACTCATGTGAATCAGACTCTCTGACATGAAGACGAAATTTGTAGGCATTGCTAATATCTCAGTTCTTTAACCCCCGGGGCAATCTATGCAAAAGCAAACGTAGTCATTAACACTTGCCCAGTTCCACCTCTATTCTATAGATTCTTGAATGTACTATAGTATTCAGTAAGGATAACTTCCAACAACTCCCCCATGTGACCATAATCTACGCCCCCAAAAGTAGCTTCCTCCGCCAACTCTTCTTGACCTTATCTGGAAACATCACCTTGAACGGCTCATTAAACACTGCCTCGACACCCTCGCCTGTCTTTGCCGAACATTCCATGTACATGGCAGCCCCAATCTTCCGAGCAACTGCCTCGCCCTATGCCGCGTAATTAGTAACGATCCAGCTGGTTCTGGGAGAAAGAGAGCCTCGTACAGTCGCCCACGAGACAGGATCCCCTCCGGAAGTCAATACGTTGAAACCTGGGCGGCAATCGCGGACACCTTTCCGGCAGCCTACAAGAACCATCGGCGTCTTTGGATAGTCTTTACGTACTTCTGGTATCCACTGCGACTCGCCTGTCAGTATGTACTGCCGCGAACTCTGGACACATCGAACCGTTTTGTCAAAGTTTTACCACGGGAGACGCACCACATCTTCGATGTCGCTGAGAAGGTCCGAGCGTGCGATATCAAAACAGAGGAGGAACAGATCGGTGTCGGGATAGCTGAGTTGGCGCAGCCCTTTGTAGTCATCAACGCCGGGCGTATCCCAAATAGCGAGTTCTAGAGTGCAACCAATGTCCAAATCGGCGACAAAGTTTTCAAATATCGTTGGAAAGAAGGATTCCTTGATATCATGAGCTGTGAGCAATCGGATGGATGTTGGTCATACCGGGGGGTATTTCTTCTCAACAAAAGTTCTTGGGTGACCAGTTAGTTGGCGTCTTGTGAACCAAAAGTTGTGATGGAGAACGGAGAACTGACCTTATCAGTGCTGTTTTTCCTCCAACGGGGCCGATCACTGTGGCCTTTTTTCGAATGGCGCCGGTCCCACGCTTGACCTTTTCTGGTTTTATCGGAGGATTTCCGCCAAGATGAACAAATGATGGAAGAATTAGGTCCAGTACCAAGCTGCAACATCTTGGTTATTCCGCATATCCCACTGTTGATTAATTGGCCGCATATTGCCTGTTGCTACTTCTAGGCAACTAGCTAACTACCACTGACTTTCAAATCAGGATACGGGTGAGGATTATGCCTTTTATTCCTTTTGATAGGAAAGGTAGGTAGCTTAGAAGGAGCTTCAGTAAGGGCATTGCAACACTGATAACCCCAGTCTAAGGCTCCTACCCAGTCATTTGTGTCAGCTCAACTTACTAACTTGGTATCGTGCTATTGAAGCCTGGGTTAGCCTTGAGATGCATTATGATTGTCTTAGTTCCGGGTAGTCTTGGTGACCTGTTGTCGTTCTGCCTCTAGCTATGCATCATGAGATAGCCACAGAAAAAGGATAAATATCCAGATGATGCACATTTCTAGTAGGAAATGCAGATGAATCGAGCATGCTCCAGTTTCGTCTCCGAGCTATGTAGTATAGACATTTACTCTTGCCAAGCACACCGTCCAAGGCTGAATAGTTGCAAGGGCATGAAACTCAAAAGGATTAAACAACCTTGATCGCACTCCTTGCCAAACGAGGAATAGAGAAAGAGATCATTTAACTCTATCCTGCAGAATGTATCAAGGAGTCTTCTTACTAATGGAGGTCCAAGCGTGTTAGGAACAAAGAAATTTTATCCCACCGGCTCCCACTTTCAAGCTCAACATCTCTGGCTTAGCAATGACCATCCTTTCCCGACACGTAAACAAGGTCTAAGCTTTTGTCGAGAAAGTGCTTTCATTGGACACTCCGTATACGCCTCGAGGCGTCGTACGTCTTGCATACTTTTTCCAGTGGGATGGCCGTCATCTCGGCACTTTGTCGGAAACGCTGGGGATGTCAATGTCGTGACTGCGCCTTGTTACCAAAGAGTTGCATTGTGTAATCAAATCGAGCTAGCTTTGGGAGGTGGGAGCCGAGATCCACGAACTCAATTGAAATCGAGTGTGAGCTTGACACATAATGAAGCCTTCATGTCGGGATGCGAGATATTTAAAGAGCACTGGGACCTCGTTTCTCAGGCTTGTACCTTCACTCACACCAACAAATATCCCTTTCTATAACAGAACGATTCAATTTGATCAAAATGAGACTGTCTGCCTCACTCCTCCTTCTATCTGCATCGGCAGTGACAGCGTTTCCAAGCAGATACTCCAACTCCGGCTCCCACTGCGCCAGCATTTCCGGAGACAAGACCATCAACAGCTTCCAGCTGTACCCCGAAAATGCTGCTTTTGACGAGAGTCGCTGCTCCGTTTATTTCAGGTAAGCTAATCATACTTCTATCATATCTCTCATATCTCTCATATTCTAACGAAGCGTTTCCAGCTCCGTCTACAACGCCACGGTAGCAGTCTGGGATCCCTATGTCAACGCTGTCATCGATTCGATCAAATTCAAGGGCCTCAGCGGAGATCCTATCCTTCATGCCAGCGGCGTCAAGGTAGATCCCCTCGGAAGACTTTCCGTCGTCATTGACGCCGGAGCCGCTTTCGATACCGCAGGCCAGGACATTTCTGGCGACAACTTCCTCGTCAAGTATGATCTCAAGACACGTCGCGAGCTCTGGCGCCGAAACTTGACGGCTATCACCAATGGAGTGTACTCGGGCTACCAGGACATTGAGCATGACGAGCACGGCAACACCTTCGTCATCGGAACCTTTCCGAGCAGCATCATCCGGGTCAGCGCCGACAACAAACAGGCCAGTGCATGGTATCTCGCAACCCCACCGGATCATACCAAGCACGGCTTCACAGGCGCCGTTTCAGCTGGGGACTCTCTGGTTGTCACTGACAATATTGATGGCCAGTTGTACAAGTTCAACAAGCGCGACAAGCAAGGAAAGTCTTCCAAGATTTCGCTCAACTCCGGCAACAGCCCCATTGGTCAAGGCCTTGACGGAGCTATTCTCCCTCCTTTGTACCACGGCACTGTCCTCCTGGTCTCGGACAATACCAACGGCACCATCGTCCTACACTCTGCCGATGGAAAGTGGAACAAGGCTCGGAACTTGGGCACTATTGCGAACAAGCATCTCGCTGCTGGAGGCTCTACTGTTGCAAGCTTGCAGATTGGATCGAGCATTTATTCGGTGACCGAGTATTTTGGTGATGCCAAGGTCAAGGGCACGCTGGCTGGGAATCGCACTCAGTTTCCTCTGCATGACATTACCAAGCAGATTGCTCATTTGCTAGAATAATGTCTGCCAGGAGAATTAGTTTGAGGCTCTTTTATTTAGATTTCTTGTAAATTGTATATAGATATTCTTTCACAGGATCTTAGTCTGTGGCTCATAGCAAAATCTTCGGACCAACAAGTCAAATCACCCAGTCAAAGGCGAAAACAGTGACCAGAGCCAACCACCCCAGCCCACTTCCCCTTTAACTCAGAACTCCCACAAACTATCATTAGAATCTTGCCCCTCTAAGCTGTAATCGCCAATGAGACCACTTAGGAGGCTGCCAAAAGCATCAGGCATACCGACATCGGCTATCTGGGCCGCCCATTGCGTAAGATCCTCCATATTCGGAACGGTAGAGTCCATAGGCGAAGTCGGCAATGGCTCGTGCTGCTTCCGCTCAACTAGCATAGCCATGGCTCTTGAAGTCAGCGCCTCGAATAAATCCCGGTATGGCGCGGCGCCTTCCCAGCGTTCCGCCATAATGGCCAGTAGCATGGTGCAGGTCGTAAACGAATTGCTGACGCTATCGATCCTCGCGGCTTGTCGGACAGCAGGTGAAGTCCAAAGGCAGTGCAAGTTGGTCAAACCTGCCAGGAAGATGACGTGAAGGGTCGACCAGGTATAGTTGATGGGTTTCCCGATGTACAGACGCTTGCATGATTGGCATATATCACTGGCAGCCTGCATGCACTCCAAAAACACCTCGTCCTGCACATTCTCGCGGTTTGTCAGCTGCCCACGGTAGAGGAACAGAATAGTCTCGTTGTAGGTCACTTTGTAATCCTCCGCATTTGAAAAAACGGTTAGGGGAGCGCCAGCCCGTTGGGGTTCAGGAGGTGTCGCGGCCATCCATTCATCGAGCTCTCTACGTAACGATTGCACCTGTGACTGGTAGCTTTCGTCGCTATGGCTTTGGCTAGCAGCATTGGAGTATATGGATGCGTAGATACGAGCCCAGATGCATCGGATCCGGAATTGGTGCAGCGCGTGCGACATGGTAGTTACTGGGCCGCCTGGTGGACGAGGAGGCCCCTTGACTCCGGTCTCGGTGACGGACGAGTCGTCAATATCCAATGGGAACTAAGGACCAGTCAGACAATTGATACAGAATCCTTCCATATACACTTGACTAAGACTCACCTCAGTATCGACTTCCTGGATCGGGAGGCTCAGGGGAAGCCCGAGATTAACGGAAGAAGCACAGTCCATCTGGTATGCGCACCAAAATACTCGCTTCCGTAGCTCAAGACGCAGGATATTCGTCTTCAAGTTGATCTTCTTGACATTTCGATGGTATCCGAGTTCAATGCACTGACGCAGCGCAAGGCCCGAGAGATTCCTATCCGTGGTCATGAGCCTTAAATTCGTATGACGAGATACCCATTGCTTAATTAACTGACCATACGGACGGGCCCATAGAAGACCGGATTGAGAACAGCGCACAACAAAGCAACGCTTGTATAGACTCGAGACTCTTTTTCGCTAGAACGTGATCAATGTATAATAACGCCGAGACGTAGAGTTGCTAGATGCACACGGTTAGTCAGCTACATCATTGTTAAGGTGTGAAGAACTCACTTGTGGGAAAGATTTCTTGTTGGATTTCAGAAGAGCTCCTATCGCGTAAACCTGTTTGTAATTAGTGGAGGGCCCTCGGATGGATCAAACAGGTTCTACGTGCCATGTTCACAAAGAAAAGCTCAGAAGGACTGGCCACCATAGAATCCAGACCGACAGCGTTATTCTCCCATTGTCTAAAAGTCGGCTCATGAAGGAAAGGGTACTGCAAGTGAACATTTTCGAAATACGCGTTGCTGAGTGCCAATCCAACCTCGTAACTTGGGAGTCGACAGGGGGCCAATGCAGACGCATCCATCTCGTCTAGGCTGGAGTCGAATCCGTTAGATGTTTTGTCCTGCACTGCCTGTCGGACACAGGCATGAATGACACGGGAGAAGGAGAACATGGATGAAGGCCCAAAGTATTGCGGCTCCGCCCCCGAAGCGTGGAGGCTCAAGACGCCTGCTTTTGATATCAGATCGGTTGCTTCATCGTTCTCATCTCGATCTCTTGTTGGATAAGACCCGGCGGCCGCACCGAAGTGGTTGAAGTCCCGAGGGCGAGTCGCTTGAAGTCCGGCCGAGGGTTGCGGCTGACTGACTTGGCCCTGTTGTTGTAGGAGGCGCTCGAGAAGCTCGACGCGTTCTTCTAGAGTCTCGACGTAGTTCCTTGGCAACTGGCGCTTGGTAGAGGGATCTTCCACAAGGCAAGCTGTGGGGCATTGTCAGCGTGAAAACGAGGGGATTCTGTGGTCTGCTCACCAAGATCAAGCCGCTGGCAGTTGGCACACGACGGAACTTGGTCATCGCACTGAGACGTAGTCAGTATCAAGTGTTATTGTAATTAATTGATAAACCTGTGTTACTTTTAGCTTTCTCTCCTTACAGTTGATGCAGGCTGTCTGCGCTCTGGGGCCCCTGCGTCGGGGAGGGGGTCGAATATGGGGCCTATGGCGAGAATGGGGGAGCATGATGGGTCTCCAAAAATCCACACCAGAAGGATGAAATGCTAAGTTGCAGTAAATGGCCTGTCGCGGGAAACTTTACGTGTAACTCTCCGCCTCAAATAAGTTGTTCAAGTGTTTGGCGATGGCAAGTTGATGAGAGCTTGCGCTAAGATGGTGTAGGCTGATATCGGATTAAACAAACCCCGAATGTGCCAAAACACATGACTCCTGCTATCAGAGATGGTAACTCGGCTTCACAGGAACCCTTGATTTGTGGCAGGGATGTTATTGACAATCGAGTCAGGGCCGTCAGTCACATGGAATTGATATGAGCAAGTGTCAGTAGTGCCCAAGAAACGGTTCAAAGAAGCACGTAGCACGCATGGCTTCGGATAATACACGATACTATTCTCTTGACAGATATAAAAGGCTAAGCTCATGGGCCCCTGTGAATGTTTCAAGATCTTATGAGACGTGCAGGCAGCCCGTAAGACCAGCACAAGGCGATACTGCAATACATGCGTCTACTTAAGCAGAAGGCGGATATAATCATACAGACACCTAGCAAAAGAACGAAGCTAAGAGGAGTTTGCATCCCTGAGGGCAATGCCCACCGTGTAACCAGAACTTGTGCCTTGTAGAAAGCCCCCAACAACTCAGTACCAAGCCTACATAATTCGCGGTTCAAACTGCCTGGCAGCAAAGTATCGATAAGTCTTGCGGAACTTGAAACGAAACCGCTTGCCAAAGGCGATAAAAAGCCCGCTACCAAACAGAATGGCAGTGATCAAAACACCCATCGTGATGTAAACATTCTGCAGTCCAACAGCCGCGATCCACGGCGGGAGCGCAAAGATGAACATGGTAGAGCATACGTTGCGGGTAAAGGTCACGCTGACCATGGCGTCACCGACGATCTAATCGAGGCAGACATGTTAGCAATTCCGTACAGACCAACCATCAACTAGATCTACTCACCTCGGTATAGGCATCCGTCATGTAAGTCAGGGCAATGGTACCGGCCGGTGCAGTACCGAAGCTGCACATGCCATAGCCGATAGCCAGAATAGGCCATGGCCAACCACTATTGAGCCCAACGCCGAACAAGATCATGCCAACAGGCACAAAAGGCGCAAAGGCTAACATTACCCAGAGTCGCATCTCGGGCTCATAAATGCCCTTGTTTCGCTTAGAGAGGAACAGAATCAGCCAGTCGCTCAGAGGGCCGCAGATGAGAGTTCCCAATGTGGATCCGGTGAATGGAGCCAGGCTCATCAAACCAATCTGATCGGCATCAAAATTGTACGGCGCTCGAATCATCCAGTTTGAGACAGTCGTGCTGATGACGTTGGATGCAACCATCATTCCACCGTAGACCAGAGACATGTAAAAGACACCCGGAACTGAGAAGAGGATCTGGAACGGTTGGTAGCAGTGTCGGAAGAATGAAGCAAGAGAGCCTGGCGAAGTAGTCGTAAGTGCAAGACGCTGCTTGTATGTCTTTCTTGGTATGGCAGGGTCGATACAAGCAACAGTCAGCTTGGGACCGCCCTCAGCTGGTGTAGTGGTACGAGCCAGCTCAGGGTCTTTCGTGTCGTCTTTGGTAGGGTGGACCTCGTCGGCAATATTGACACCGTCGATCGCGGGCGGGACAAACTTGGTCTCCTCGTAACCAAAGATCATGGCCACCAGGAGTAGCCCGAAGAAGATGGCAACCCACCACCAAACCCAACGCCAGCCCTGTGAGACAGTGGCATAGCCCGCCGCCGTGGGAGCCAGCGAGGCACCAATCCTAGTCGACCAGAAGTACAGACTGTTCATGGTTCCACGCTGGTTCACGAAAAAGACATCTGCAACCGTCATTTGCACTACCACTTCAGCCAGTGCGCCAACGAAGCAGCTAATGATGTTGACCATCATCAGGTCCACCACGTTCTGCTGGCGGGCAGACCATATGGATACGCCCATCTGAATGGCTGTGCTTAAGATGTACACTGGACGTCGGCCGTACTTGAGGGCGAACGGGATGAGGACGCAGGCTCCGACGGCGAGGGCACCACAACCCGCGGCGTAGCTGTTGTTCAAGGCATTGTAGCTAAAGCCCAGCTCATCGTGCATGGGGCCCCAAGTCGGTGTAGCAACATCGATCCTAGAACTAGTGTTGGCTTCTTTTTGATTCACGGAGACTGTTTTGACTTACAGCGCAAATACCATCAAGGCATAGAAGGCGGCAAGACCAAAGTTGGCATACTTGCGCGGCTTGGACCAATTCTTGAGTTTCCCATTAGTATCCTGTATACTTCAAGAGGTTAGGCAACTGACAAGTGGATCATTGGGGTCTCGCGACGGCTGCGGCTGCAAGATGATCTCATTTGACCGATCTTCCTCTAGGACGAAGTGTCAGCAAGTGGAACAGATGTCAAGTCCGGATTTAGTGACTGGGCTTTTACCTTCAAGCCGAACCGTGCCTGGGGGCCAGGCTGGATCATCATATTCTTCAACAGCAGGCATCGTGTAGATGAGATCTCTTAAGTAAAGAAACCCTGTTGTGGTTCGTTGAAGTGGTCTTGTGTCTCGAGGGCCAGGAGGAAGGTTGTGGCCTTAAATACCTGCATGAACACCAAGTTCAGGATGCGGGGAGATGCTAGGCCAAGGCTCGATATCTCAAGTCTGACTCTTGTCTCCTGCTATCTTGACACCCAAGCGTGGCCAGGGATTGCCCCAGTCTCAAGCCCCTTGTCCAGACAAGCTATCATGAGATGCGTACCCGTCATACGCGGGGTAACAAGGATACGAATGCAGAATGAATGTTGGTCATCCCGTGAGAAAATTGCTCGTCGATAGTTTCGGAACAAGTCTGGGTGGGCGACCTGGAGATTCTTCCTCTGTGGGTTGAATCAAGTTGAGTGACAATTACCCTGGACGTTGTTGACCTTATCTGTGGATACGGTGGGGCACCGGTCTAATCCGAGGTCAAGTTCCTATTGGTTGATGCAAGGTCCAGGGGACAGCACAACTTCCGGTCGTCCAATAGGATCTTGATCCATCCAACCTCGCGTATCGGTATCTTCCGGTGTTATTTCCGAAACCCGGGGCTGCTGGCTTCCTAATGGCTCGACGGAAGCTCCCAGTAGGTCATGATAGTATCAGTGGATTCAGAACCTGTGTTGGAATTCGAGGATCCAACCGAGGACACTGTCGAGGCGAGAACCGGCACCAATGGGTTAATCTTCTGGATCAGTGCCGACCCGATACGACGCTTTTTCCGACAATCGATGTGTCATTGTAAACACTCCCATCATCACAACGGGCGCATATAACGGTCCCAGACAACGCCATCAACCGTTCTAGAACCGTTGGCTCATCATTTCCCAAGTTCGTACTGCTAGCATCAACATCAGTATCTCAACATGGCCACCCACGCAGTTCCCCTGGCCAAGACCGATCCCATCATCATGGTCGGTGCTGGGATATTTGGTCTAAGCGCTGCTATTCACTTGGCTGAGCGAGGATACACAAATGTGACAATTTTCGACAAGCAGCCCTACGAAAAGACCCTGTATTCATACTTTGAAGGCTGCGATGCTGCGTCTGCCGGTGAGTTTGATCCCAACTCAAGATTGGCCGCTGCTAATAGGTGTTCATGACACAGACATCAACAAGATCATTCGCGCAGCATACGGCTCACAGACCATATACCAAGATCTCAGCCTAGAGGCTATCAAGGGATGGAATTCCTGGACTGAAGAACTCCGCCGTGGTGGCTCAGCTGTGCCTCCTGGAATGTCCTCAACTGATGATCTCTGGATCAACAATGGCGACCTGTCATGCACCGACTCAGACACTTTGCCTGACTTTGAGAAGGCAACCATCGAGAACATGAACAAAGCAGGGTATCACGACACCCAACTTGTGAACAACAATGAAGATCACATGCGCTTGGCTAAGGAAAGAGGGTTTGCAGCAAGATTGCAGCCTTTTTCGAAAAGGCTACTTGGAGTGATGGATACCACTGGTGGCATCACTCTAGCGGACAAGGCCTGTCGGTTTGCCCTGCACAAAGCAAAACGCTTGGGGGTCCGCTTCACTCTAGACTCCGTCGCGGGCAAAGTGACCTCTTTGGTGCAAGATGGGAGTGTCAAGATAGTGGGTGTTCGAACAGCCGATGGAAAGACACACCCCGCCGCGTTGACTATCGTCGCCTGTGGCGGTTGGACACCAAGCTTGGTGCCGTCACTAGACGGGCTGGCAGAGACAACGGCGGGCTCTGTCGTCATTTTCAAACTTCCAGAGGCCCTTCGACAGCGCTTTTCTCCATCCAACTTCCCAGCTTGGTCTTTCAAGATCGCCGATGGACCTGACGCTGGGTTGTACGGATTTCCCGTCGACGAGCAAGGCCATTTGAAGATCGGCTACCGAGGAACAAAATACACCAACCCGCGGGTACAGCTCGATGGTCGTGAACGCAGTGTGCCCATAACGCGATGGACAGAGGATGAGCAGATCCGCAAGGTACCCACCAAGGCGGTTGAGGTTATCTGCAAGTTCACGAACGAGTACCTTCCTGAGCTGGCAGACATCGATATCTCGACAACGAGATTGTGCTGGTACACTGATTCCTTCGACAACCACTTTGTCATCGATCGAGTCCCTGACAAACAAGGTCTCATGGTCGTCACGGCAGGCAGTGGTCACGCGTTCAAGTATCTACCCACCATTGGGAGTTGGATAGTGGACATCATCGAAGGGAAGGGCATGGAAAGACCAACGGTAAAAGCTTGGCGATGGAGGTCATTGGGCAAGGATGGGAAACCGGTGAATGAGTTGATGGAGGGCTCAAAGGGGAGACGAGCATTGCAGAATACCCCTCTGACCTCGGGACAAACCCAGGTCTCGAAGCTGTAGGAAAGAAATCAGTGGTAGGCACAGAAGTTCAAAATAGCTAGGCTACGGTGTTATACTGTATCGGGTTTCAATGCCGCTTTGTATTGACAACTAATTCATTTGCTATTGTGGCTGGTGGCCTCTTTTGGAGACACCGTGGATGAGAAGAACTCTAGCTGGCATTCCTTGCCTGCCCTCTAAAGGAGACGCTTATTTAGCAGCCTTTCTAGCCAAGAGCTGATCCACCTCAATCTTGTGCTTGGAGAAATTGTCGACCAGATCATCCCACATTTTCGGATCATGCTCGTGCTTCTGGTCGCTCTTCCACGCGTAGTCCGTGATAGTAAAGGCACGACTACTCTCAAACATGAAGGCGACTGAGCCTTCCGAGATCCTCATGACCGGAGGATCTTCTTTGGAAGCAGCCGCAAACTGCTCGTAGGCGACGCCATGAGGGACAAATCCACACTCAAACGAGACGCTGCCTGGGCGGAATTCGTCGGATCGGCCATCATAGTCGCCGTAGATGAGACCCATTAGCTCGGAGGCACAGTTGCGGTGATAGTATGGCGGCCTGTAGGTGTGCGATGCGACATCCCATCGGGGCGAGAAGATGAGAAAGTCGGCCAGCGGGGCGGTCGGATCCCTCGACTTGGCTGTCAAAACACAGAAGATGGAGCTATTTTGTCAGAATATTGTGGCCATGGGCGAAATGCCAATGGGGATGGACTTACGGGTCGATATGGTCAACTGAGATTGACCCAACATTAACAAATTTGGTGAGATCGTACTTTATAAATGTCAGCATACAGCATCCAGCAGCCACGCTGGTGACTGAGAAATGCCTACCTTGTATGGCACGTAGTTGCCAGACCAGGCGATAACGTCGAACGGACAGTGGCGCTGCTTGCTCTGGAAAAACTTCCCTCCCAGTTTATAGGTGATCTCCCAAGGGTCATTCTCAGTGACCTCGTAGGCAGCAACAGGGTGAAGGAAGTCCCGAGCATTAGCAAGTCCATTGGCACCGAGCGGGCCCAGCTCAGGCAATTCAAAGTTGGAGCCCCAAATTTCGAGGATATAGCCTCGAGTTGGCCCTTCGACCTTGACCTTGAATCTCTGACCGCGCTGGATAACGCAGATCTCACCGGGCTGGACGTACAAGAAGCCAAACTCGGTCTGGATATCTAGGGCTCCTTGCTGAGGCACGATGAGGAAGTCGCCGTCCGAGTTGACAAAGGCTCTCTTTTCCATGCTCTTGTTGCAGAGAAAGACATGCGTGGCAAGACCTTCGCGGAGCGTAGGATCTCCTGACCCAGCAATCGTCTTCAAGCCGTCGACAAAGTCCTGGTCCTGGCCATTGGGAATCTCGAATGGATTCCAGGCTAACTGGGTAGGAGAAACATGTACCCTCGGGTTGGTGGGAAGGAAATTCGACTCTGTGTCAGGGTTGTCAGGCAGGTTGGTCTACACAACAGTCAGCCACAATCATCGACACTTCTTTATCCGCAGCTACTAACAAATCCCTGGTGTGCAACAGCAGGACGGGCACGGTATAGCCAGGCCTTCTTGTTGACGTGGCGTGGGGCGACAAAGGCCGAGGCGGTGATTTGCTCAGCGTATAGTCCGAAACGGATAGCACGGGGGCTGTTCTGACCCTTTGGGATAGTGCCGGGGACAGCCTCTGACTCAAAGCTATTATTGAAGCCAGATTGGTACTGGTATGGGTCGTTTGGTCGGGTCTCGAACGAGGGGATGGAACCGTTCTTCTGGGTCTCTGCCCAGTGAAAGATCTTTTGGAAGTCCTGGTTAGTCATTGTGTTTGAGCATAAGCGCAAGAGTACCGGTTGACTGTTTCAAGCTAGAGTGCAGTGCTTTCTGTGTAATGCATAGCTCCAAGCGTTTAGCAGCTCGGCCATGGCAGGTTTAATATTACATGGATCATCCCCCACATGATACATCTGGGTCCCAGGTACTCGTGGTTGTGGGGTAGTTATCAGGTATCATGTCATGATCGGGGAAGTGGAGTAATGCGGGGTGACCAACTCGGCGCCTCTTCTAAGCCATCTTTCATGACGACTCCTGGATAGTTATAATCTTACCCGATACACACCTCGACTCCAAAGAGCAAGTCAAAAGCATCAGTGCCAATGATCTTCTTTCTAACGACAGCGGGCTTGTGTACCCCACAAATTAGTTAGATCTAGGCCCTTGTAGATCTGATGGAAGGCTGTCATCTCGGTGCCATTAGAGACGGCAGGATGAGCAAAGCTGGAATTAGAACGTATTGTGCAAGTCCTGGATGCGTATAAATACATGCCTGATTTCTGGAGTGTCGATCTTTTTCCCTAACTCGTAGCTTGACTCCCCAGCGATCGCTGCAAATTGTCATCTCTTTCAACCCCAAATCACCAACACCATGGGTCTCGGTATTCTTGAACCCCATCACCATACGGACAGTGTGCCTGGAACTGTTGTTCTCGGAGCCGAAGAGGCCGAACGCATCCATGACGACCGAACACTGAAGCGTGGCACTGGGAAATACAGCGACATCATTCTCACACCGCAACCTTCTGACGACCCAAACGATCCCTTGAACTGGCCGCAGTGGAAGAAATACATTGCCTCCTTAATCCTCGTCCTTGGTTCCTGTCTGTGCGCTAGCTGCACTGGACCTTTGCTCAATGCAAGTCTCGCTGTCCTCGCCGTTCAGTTCAATCGACCGATTGGAGACATAACCGTCCTTTCGGGGTACCAACTCCTGGTCGCAGGTGCATCAGGTCCCGCTGTATCGGCTTTGTCAAGGAAGTATGGGAAGCGTCCTGTCTTCTTCTTTTCGTCTCTGGCCTGCCTCTTTGGCACCATTATCGGATCCACCAGCACGACCTACAACACTCTCCTTGCCAGTCGCATCGTTCAAGGCTTTTCTCTTGCTGCGTATGAGTCACTCGTCTTTACCAGTATCGGCGATCTCTTCTTTGTCCACGAACGCGGTCTTTGGACCATGGTCATGGCGTTTACGCTGAATTGCGTGTCGAATCTCAGCTCGGTTGTTGCGGGTAGAATCACGTTAAGCCTGGGCTGGCATTATCTTTTCCACATCCTCGCCGCGTGCGTTGGATTCCAGCTGCTTCTTCTATTCTTCTTTGTCCCGGAGACTTCCTACGTTCGCAACCCTCAACCTGGGCACCATGTGATCAACGTGGACACTGAGGGTGTCACGGAGAAGCCCGCTACAGAGGGAGAAGACGCGTGCCGAGTGGAAAATGTCGAGTCTATACCGAGTATCCTCCCAAGGAAGAGTTTCTGGCAAGAATTGGCTCTCTTCAACGGCAGCTTCACCGATGAAAACCTCTTTGAGCTCACTATCTCACCATTCGTGGCTTGCACAAATCTCGCAGCTCTCTGGACCGTCTTCGTCGGTGGATCTGTGACATCCTTTTATGTTGCTATCGCGTACGTGATCGCTCAGCTATTCTCGCCACCTCCTTATTTACTTTCCGTCGCCGAGGTTGGCTACATGTCCTTGGGTCCTTTTATCGGTGGCGCCATCGGCTCAGTCATCGTGGGTGCGCTCCTAGACCCCCTGAGTCTTTGGATGGCCAAGAGGAACAAGGGAGTCTTTGAGCCGGAATTTCGCCTAGCTTTGACGCCCTTGGGTGTCCTCTGCGGAGCTGGCCTTTTCGGCTTCGGTGCTGTGTCCTACGCTCAAGGTAGCATTTATCTTGTCGCCTTCATGTGGGGACTGATGCTCTGCGGAACTTCCTTCATCATCGGTCCCTGTTCTGCCTATACCATTGATGCCTTTCGCGGCATGAGCGGCGAGATCTTCATTGCTAATGTCATGGTCAAGAACTTCCTGTTCTATGGTTACACCTACTTCATGAATGATTGGACTGCATCGGCTGGCGCGAGAGCGCCCTTCTTCACCTTTGGTGGGATTAGTCTCGGGCTTGTGTTGTCTACAGTATTGGTCTATGTGTTTGGGAAACGGTACAGGGGATTTTGGCACAAGCATAACATGGAAAAGTTCAACATCAAGACTCATCCGGATATGTAAATCCTTTAATCCGGTTGGGAGGCCGGGTAGTAGCCGGACATGTGCTGAGGTGATGTCTGCACAACCAACACTAGTAGTCAGGTTCAATTAAAAATGCCCCTAATTATCCTGTTGAACTCCAAGAAGCCAGCCATTCGCCATCCTATTTCACCTACATGATATCCTGCATTGGCAAGTTCAGATGCCACTTTCCAGAACGACGCGCCGATAGTCAAACAGAGTCCGAGTGAAAAAGCATATCAGAGGGAAGGAATGCGAGCGAAACGTCTATACCTAGCTCTGCATCAAAACTCCAATCACTGCCATGACGCAGGTAGGGGACTGCCGCAGCGCCGGATCGAGAATGAGCGACATTCCGTAGAGCAGCTGGCAAATCTGGATCTTTTACAACCCGAGATTTGCTCAGAGATAAACTTGTCGAATAGACCAATCGAAGATAGATCTTTGGGGCCAAGCTCAAGAGACTCTTCCATTGGAAGGAATCAGTAACCAACTCGTTCATGGCAATGTAAAAGTCCTCCAGCCTTTCAGTGCCAAGTTCGTGTCGTAAGATGGTGATGATGAGATCAATGACATCATGTCGAGAATAATGATCCTTCAAAATTTGAACTAGGCATTTTAAGCTCATATTCTGCCGCAGGAGCTCTTGATCCGAACCTTGCAGACTAGCGGCCGTCGACATTTGGCAATCCAGAGCATGCAGCGTCAGGGGTATTGCAGTGCATTGGACGACGGTACAAGGGAGAATTTGCCCTGAACCCAGTTGAGACAGCCTCTCAAAGCATTTTGTCAGGGCCAAAGTTGCTTCCTCAATCTCCCGCTGGTTTCGGGTTGTTGCCGTAAAATGGACGGATAGTGGATGATGAGCAGAGTTGCACTGAGTCACAAGGCATAGCCTCTCGTGATGACATAAAACGAGCCAAGCAGAACTGCCAGGTTAGTGAGTCGACATAATAGATATAGAAGGGGGATGAACTAACCAGTAGTAAATGATTACCGTGTTGAAGTACAAGTTGATAATTGAAAAGTCCTCCTCATCCTTTATGAGTGGTGAGCCTCCTTGTGGATTGATGAGATGCGGTAGATTGTGAGATATGTCTTTGTACCATTCCCGGAGTTGACTTTTGACAATAGCAATTTCAGCCAGGGTTGTGCTGAAATCGCCAGGCGTCGGCTGAGGGGGTACACGTGTGAGGTGGAATATAGTGCTCAGCACTTGGCAGAGATGGAGAAACTTTTCCAACAGCCCGATCAGGTTGGTTTTCAAAGACGCGTTGAAAACTTGGCTATGGTTGGTTTCATCTTTCAGGTCACCTATTCCCAAAGGCTGATGAGAGCTCACGTCGAAATGTGTGCCGTCAATCTGCATTCGTCGACCAAGACATAACGAGGCCAGCCTGTCTTGGATGATGCAGCACCACCAAAGTCGTTTCAGTGTATTCTCATTAGAGCGATTCATTGATGGTGACGATTCATATTGGCTTGCACCCATAATTTCTGCATGGTTAATGGCAATGGCCAGCCAGACTGAGTCCATTTGACCTGCCATGAGAGTCAGAGACAGTGAGCCACGAGACAGCAGGAGAGCCGCTTGTGAGATAATGAGTGAGGATGTCTCGGTGTCGAAATCGTATAGCAGCTAAGAGAGAATTTATTTGTGCACCAAAACAGTAGAATAACCTTGAGAAACATACCTTGGCTTTTCTGTAGAAACAAGATCTGGCCTGCTTACAGTCTGCAAAGCCCATGCTTTGAATGGTTTCGAGGGGGGTAGACTTGGAAAACATTCGTCAGTGATTGGAATCTTGGTTATCAAAGCAGTAATTGTCTTACATCGCACGATGCAAATAGAAAAGATTGAAAAAGTAGTAGTGAAATCTTAGGTGCCGATGGACTTGGTACCACGCCGCCCTCGACTATCTCGCAGAAATCGACCTCATTTAGAAGAGGAAATAGTGGATGAGTCAGGCGGAAGTATTGCCGAACGATGATGTCCAGGGCCGGTCGACTGGGCAGGTTGAAGCACCCTTGGGATGCTAGGTATGTGACGCCTTCAACTTGTAGATTGGCCCTGTTGCTCACTTCGAGGAAGTCATAAGACGTGTAGTGTACTGAACATGGTCTCTCCGAGTCGATAACAGGGGAGGACGTAGTGCGTGATGAGAGTTCATCTGGCGTACCCTGTGACACAGGCGTATGATAGATGCCCGTGATAGCTTGGGCTGGTGGTGAAGGCTTCCGGATGGGCTCTTCGGAAACTCCTCGACCGGAATTGTGCTGTTTTTTGTTTTGGCAACTGGGCCATAATCTGGTTAGAACAGATTCAAAGAGGCCCTTGTCCAGACTCACCCGTTTCTAGGTGCTGCAGAACCCACAACAACACAGTCCCATCCCTTGATCCTACAGCTCGAACACGGCATGCATCCGAATGAAACGTCGCATCTAGTCTTTCTCTTGCGGCATCTATCACAGGCTCGCGGTGCCTTTTTGCGGCGAGTTGCCGAAGGCTCCGAGTCCTTACCTCGTCTCTGCTTGTTTTCTTCACTATCCATGGAGTCGAAGCTAGGTTGTTACACCAGGGAGTTTTCTCAGAGACGCGTCTTACTGATACAAGGCGAGGCTCTCTCTAAAGATTCGAGTACGAACAATGCGAAAGAGCCTGGGGTGGTAAGCCTCCCCAATGATAGAAGGGAGCTGCTCAGCCATGAGTGGGATTAACCATTATCCCCCCCACAAAGACCACCCAAGGTCCCCAAGTTTGTTGACGAGGTCGGTGCCAGATGTGGGGTTCGCCCGTCCAACACCCCGCATTCGATCCAAGTCACTACTGGGCCTCGATCCCTTTACAAATCCTGAAACCAAGTTGGTTGCTAGTGGGTGTACTCGTAGTGCTGGGAGACATGGAACTAGATACTGGGTTTTTCCCGCAGAGACTCACTCGAACTCCTTTTGAGTTGCGGCAGCCTTATATGATTTCCACACCTTATCGTGCAACAGGCTCTAGCATCATAGACAAGACGGTTCAAGGCCGATGTACTGACTGACATCGACAATTGAATCCCAACCAACATGCTGCAGTTGCGGCATATAGGCCGAATATTGAGCGCGAATCCAGATATTGCTTTCCATGACTGTGGTGTCTATGTTGACACGTTGTTTCTGCGAGATACCATGCACATCATGTTCCGTTGCTTAACCAACCAATAATCCTCGTGAGTACCCTTGCTTGGATCACAGGCGACAAAGTCAAACTCCCTGACGAGCACAGGCACCAGCTTGTTCATCTCGAGCAAGCTAATGTTCTTGCCAATGCAGGTGCGAGATCCAGCTCCGAACTGATACAACAGTCAGTTCTCCATTCTGTCATGTTTGTGCATGTTAGGGAGAAAACTCACGGGCATCCAACATGAATCCATTTCTGATACCCTTTGCTTGTCCGAGTCTAGCCATCGCTCTGGCCGGAAAGCCTCGACGTCCTCTCCAAACACTTGGGGATTTCTATGAGCCACCCAAGTATTGATGCCAACGACAGTCTACCAAGCGGTCAGCGATTCATGTTCCAAATCTACGGGGTATCTAGGGGCACGTACACCTTGGGGGAAGAAAGTGCCGCTAATGGTAGCACCGCCTTGAGGAACGACTCTCGCAAGGGGGAGGCCGGTAGCTGGGTGGAGCCTCAAGGCTTCCTTAATGCATGCTTGAAGATACGGCATCGCTTGTGTGTCCTTGAAAGGGATTCGAGTTGTGTCGCCAAGTTCCTCCAGCTTTTGATCAATCTCGTCCCGCAGCTATGATTTGGTTAGTCAGGATTAAAATGCCTGGCCGGGCGGGGGCATACCTTTTGGAGGGCATCTGGGTGAGTTATGAGGTTGTACAGAATGGAACATAAAGAAATCGACGTTGTATCAGACCCTGCTCCGATGTTCACGAGACATGTTGACTGAACCGCAGGAAGTGGGAACTTGGCAGGATTATTTTCGTGCAGCCCCATGGTCCTAGACAAGAAGTCCATCCGGGTCTTTGAATCGGGATCGTTCTTCCGTCGGTTTCGTGACATTTCGATTTGCTCCACGGTGAACGTCCCTATGCCAGTCAGACCCTTGGTTGGAAACTTGGTCATCAGCCAGAACAGAAATCTGTGGAGCTCGTCGTAAACCCCAATCACGGCACAGTACTTCAGATACTCATGCAGGTTTCCAAAGATGTCGTCTTTATCGGCGCCCTCATCGAGTATCCCGAATCTCTTCCCTAACTTGACCACCGTCAGCAGAGGGTTATCGGTTGCTGAAGTTTCCAAACACTCACTGTGATCTGCCCAATGACATCAAATGCGTAACTTTGCATCCAGAATTGCAAGTCGAACGCTTGTCTAGACTCTGCAAGTTGGTCAAGGCGCGTGACAAGCATATCGATGCATTCGTCAACATCACCCTCCATATTCCGCAGTGATGTCGCCGAGTACAAGTTCGCCACTAGCCTTCGGTTCGAGGCATGACGCGTGGGATTCAAGTCGGTGAATAAATCCGTATGTGATGCGAAAGGATCGCCGGATGCCTTGTACCATGCTGACTTGAGCGGGATTGTTAGCATTGGACTTGGTACGAGGGAACAAAGCGTTCCGGCCGTTTCATGGCGTCTTCTCTTACCTTAACAAATCCCTTGGCAAGGCCATATATGATCTTTGTCGCCTCTGGGTCGTCGATGCTGAACTGGTTCGGAGCGATTCTTACAATTGGACCTTGGTTTGGAGTTAGTTGTCGCTCGTCTTGTATCTGTCACTGCCCCGTCTTTGAACCGGCGAGCTCAACTTCACGCGTACCATGTTGTCGGTGAAGTTGAATATTCAGTTTGTGGAAATTTCCCTCGGATACACGCTTCATGTACCAGTATCGAGAAAACCTTGCGGCCATCGGTCCGGGAACATGTCGTAGAGGCGAAAAGAAAGGGGATACTAAACATCGCAGGGTCATAACAAGTAGAGCCGCGCCGGCAATCATCGTCAAAAGAGGTAGTGTAATATATTCGATAATCATCTTTGCGGTTCAGCAGCTCTGGCCAGTTGTGTCTAGGCTGGGTAGCTGGATGGGCTTGCTGGTCATCAGTCAATTATTAATTGACCCTTAAGCCCCCTTGTTCACATATCAAACTCGATCAAGATGTGGGGTTCCCCGCACCAACACAACCCAAACGCCGTGATGGGTATAGAATGTGCCAGCTAAGAGTAGGAGTTTCCCCAGAAACTGTCAACCGTGCGACCACCTCCACGTGGGGTGAAGTGGTCCAATGCTACTGACCAGGGCTCATCAAGGAGTTTTCCAAGTCCTCCATTATGCACCATGTCTTAGGGCGGCCTGCCAGGCCGGAGGAGCAAGGTAACTCCATAATTAGAGATACGGGTTATTCCTTGAGGTAGGTGCACACAGCTCCGGGCTCTCGTCTGCTTCAATTTGCGACTTTAGGTCTCAGGATCTAAGAGAGGCGCTATATCTCCTTGCTTGCGCGAGGACTGTTAGAGCATATTGATGTTCACTATTAGAGCACTATCTAAGCCTTCACAGAAATTACATGATAATATATTAATCCCTTATCTATATTTGAGTAAGCCTAAGAAGAGATTAATCATAATTGATCCAGATCTTAGCTCGGTATGTAATGGCAGTCCCCGCGCAAGCAAGGAGATAGAGATACGGTCATCTAATTGAGGAGGCTGATATTGCCTGTGGCCAACGCGGCAAAAACTCTGTCCAACCCAGTCGTGTCCTGCTGGCTTAGAGAAGCCACTTGGCGCATCCTTCTACGCGAGCCTAGGTCCTTTTCTTCAAGAGAATAGTACATGCCGAAGGGCCCGAAAGCTGCATATGAGTCTGACGGCCAAGGGTCCCGTTGGGAGACGAAGTCGATCCATGCTTTGCGCATGTTTTCCCCTGTCCGCCTTGCTCCGTCCGACAGACCCGAATCAAATCCTCCGAACAGAAACACCAGGTCTATCCCATGATGAGCTCCATTTGACGGCTGCCAAGGGTTTTCCTCGTCCAAGAGGCATCGAAAGACGGGCTTCTGTGCTTGACGCCATTGCTTCGTCATGTTTTCCACCGGGAGAACGAATTTGTAGTCGTTGATGAAATCCAAGGCCCCGATCCTGCACGAGGATGGCCTATCAGCGCGGATATTGTAAAGACTCTTCAGCTCGCTGCTATATTCCCCGGCCAAATTAAACGCATTGTCGATGCGGTCGATGCTCGTTGTCCAGATACCTTCTCTCCAGATGATGGACTTACGGAGGTTAGCCAACTTGCAGAGTAATGGACCGAGCTACTCACCTCATTTCGGACATCACTGAGAAGAAGTCTCTCTGAGCTACCTGTGTTTTGTTGCCAGTCTTGAAGCACATTATCGGCTACCAGAAACCAGGACTGGATCCCTGACACCTTGATAGCCTCAATAATAACCTCGACAGGAGCGGTCCGCAAGTCAAAGTCTCCAAGGGTACTAAGATGCCGGCCCAATGTTTGACGAACAAATTGAGCTTTCTCCACTGGTTGGGGAGGCGACAGATACATTGAGCCTGACGACAGCACAAATTGCTTCGCAGGTGCATGAGAAACAAGATGAGCGTGAGTGTACACAGCTCCGGCACTTTCACCTGCTAGAGTTATCGCGTCCTACAAGCGCAGCGTCAGTAGCCATAAGCTGGTAGATAGTGTCCAACATAACTCACAGGGTCACCACCAAAGCCTGAGATGTTACGCCGCACCCAATCGAGCGCCAGGGCTTGATCGCGTAAGCCCAGATTCCCTTCGCTCGTCTCATCGCCAAACCCGAAGATGTTGAGTCGGTATTGAACAAACACGGCCAAAATCGGGTTGCCTAGCTTCAAGGAATCCTCGATAATTGCAGAAAAGTCTTGGAGTTTGCTGTTAGAAGGCCTGCAATCAGCTTATACGGGATTGAGATGCTTTGTAACACACCACAGAGCCCCGATGCAGCGCTTCCGAAAGTGACGGCTTGAGATCCCCCTTGAGAACGAATGTCAGCTCTCATTCACGTTCTGGTTGCCGATGTGGGATATGACATGCCATGAATCCACACTATGACGGGAAGTCTATGCCGTGGTGATGCAAGATCCTTAGGCGCTACGATGTCCAGGTTGAGACAGTTGAACTCATCTTCAGGTTCTATCGGGAGCTTGGCATCAGAAGGGATACGGAGTAAATGACCAACATCGACAGGGACCTGTGGGCATCGAGGGCTTTGAGTCAGAATCAGAGTTAGCGTCACCATCTCATTGATATCAGGCTACGGGACTTGACCAACCCATATTGAGTACAGTTGATCGTGTCCGACAGGTTTGTTGGCGCAGACGGTAGGCCGAATCTGTGTGGGATTGTGCCGTATGGAATCCCTCGAAAGTGAACCAGAGAACCGAGTTCAACTCCTGCAAACGTACACTGTAAATCCTTGTGATGAAGTGAAACAGACATTTTTGCAGGATCTGGGGTAGAGTTCAATATTCGGATGATAGGGAAAAGGTAAGGAAAGTGAGCGAGAGCGAAAAGAACTGGGAGTAATGGAGCAGCTGGGGAATTGTCATATTTATCAATGAATGGGTGGAATTGGACTTCTCAACCACCCCCCTCGTTCTCCTCTCCTCGTGTGGAAACAAACCCCACATAGCTTGGACATTTCCCAAAATCTCAACAGTGTCTTCTTTGCGTGTTTCTCGGACCTGTTTAGAAGAAATCCGTACGGCAATGACCCGGTGGCTGCCAAACTAGATTTGAACAAGAAATATTCTCCACGACGAAATCGGGCAGCGAAGAGTTGATTGCTACACGGAAAGACTCAAGACTCTGTCCTAAACATGAATCCATCCACCAACTTAATCAAGAAATCCAGCCCAACGATCTCTCCTAGTTCAAGCATACCGGCATATTCCTCTATCATGGTATCGCGGCCTTCCACGACCTTCTTGGTCCCATTCTCGTAAATGGCCATACCGCCGGCTTTCTGAAAGTTGTCCCAGGGCGCATGGCCATGCATGAACAGAATGACGTCCTGGGCGAACTGCACAGCCGAGGCTCTCTGCTGACTATCTAGATGCTCGTTATAGTTCTGGAATAGAAATGCAACGTCCAGTACATGCGTGGTGTGGCCTTTAAAAGGGCCCTCCCACGGATTTGGCTCTGAGAACTGCAACAGGAACGACTCTCCTGGGAATGTCTTGGCCAACGCATGGGCTGTTGCACGGTACCCAATATCCGAGGCGAACTGGATGATGCGCAGCAAAGCTTCATCGTCGCTTGTTTCGTGTCTGATCTTGTAGATTTCCAGTAATTTGTCTGCCACCTGGGACTGGTGCGTCAAATTCGACCGCACATGGTCAGAGAATGCGGCTGCGAGGCCCTGTTTTCTTTGGAACAGACCCATGATTCCAAGGACGCTGGCCTGGTTATTCTTTGTAAGCCAAAATCGAACTTGCACAGGAATTATGTGCACATACATCGAGAGGGGCATAGCCGACAAGGGCAGCCTCACAGGAAGTGTTCTTCCATGGTGGGTTCCCGTTGAGAATGGCCTCGAATGTTGGCTGGGATGGTATAAGCCTGCCATCCACCAGGGGGGTGAACATTATGCCCTTGTCTATCTTTGCAGATAAATACTCGGGGGGTGTATCTTTAAGGGCCTGGATTCGCTCGGCTGGAGAGCTACCTTCAACACCAAGGGCCTTGAGGATTTGCTGATACGGAAGTTCAGCCGTTTCCAGCGGCGGTGGGGTCATGAGAGGAGGTGCGCCAGCCAACACAACAACACGTGATGCGAGCTTCTCGTCAGGACTCAAAGCTCGTAGTGCAGAGACTATTGCGAAATGCAGTCAGTCGGTGCGCCAAAGATGTCAAGGTCGGATACCCACGTCCGCCTATGCTTTCGCCAGCGACCGTTACGCGATCAGGATCACCGCCAAAACCAGAAATGTACTCTTTGATCCATCGCAAGGCCACCCGTTGGTCATGGTGACCGTTGTTGCTTTGGAAACCTGCGTCGCGTAGTTCTAGAGACGTGAGGAAGCCAGCAATGCCAAGGCGGTAGCTGTGAGTGGACGAAGCTGGTCAGTTGCTGAAGAATAAGGAAGGTTTCTGGACGATGCCTTACTTGATATTTATCGCAATGATGGGTTTCCCCTGCTGGATGGAGAGTTGGACAATTTTCTTCGTGTCGACCTGGGGCCACCAGTTGGCGCCAGTAAAAAAGCCTCCTCCGTGAATGAAGACCATGACCGGAAATTTGCTCGACGGGGAAGCTTCCTGGGGTACAGTAATATTCATATTGAGGCATTCCGTTCCTGAACAACCAGGGGGCTCGGGTTTTGGCAGAGCCTTCTGGATGATCAGGTGTTCAACATCAACCCCAGCAGGGTCCGATATGGCTTGTGGGCTATATTCATGGCTTCAGTGTCATGTTTACAGGAGGTTGGTGCTGAGGGCCTTACCCATGCTTCGCGGCAATGAGGCCACTGCCATCATAGGATGGTAACCTCGCATTGTCAAACCAGTGGTCCAAAACGCCATATTTGACGCCGAGAAACTGGACAACACCATCTGCCTCGTTGCCTTGGACATTTCCGATTACCGGGTGATTGTATCTTCCTGGTGCAGAACCCATGGCGTGTCGATTTCGCAGCAACGTAGAGGAATGAGAGCTTGGAGAAATGTGAAGTCGAGAAGCTGGGGCGAGCTTTGCGTAACCCTGGCGGTCAAAGGTATCCCTCCATTAAAAGACTACTTAATATTTGTGAGCACGTGCGATAATGTTGATCACAAAACTACTCCTCCACAGCTATAGCAAGGTACCCAGGTAGGTAGTCACTCCACAAATACACATTCGTGTGTGTTACTTCGACACATCCTGCTAACCCTGGGCTACCCCACATTGAACTGGGTTTAGCGCAGGGGCAGAGTGGAGATACCCCATGTTTTACTCGTGGGGTCCAGGGGAACCCCACATTAGAGGCTGACTGGCGAGAATCTAGGGTAGGGCGCCTTTGAGTGCACGGCGCGCGCCAGGCAGGCGACAGTAATCATGTTGAGGAGCTTGTGTTGACTAATAAATAGCTGAATGAGATGTCTAGCACCGAAAGGAATGCATTTACGGCTAATTTAGGCAATTTTAAATATCAGGTGTGGGTTAAAAGACTAAATCGCTATGTGTCCATGCGTGGTCGTCTTAGATGCCCACTTACATACATATTAAGCCAGTCTTTCATGGAAGTATTCGGCATCCTCACCCCCCCACGCACGTCGGATCAACTCACGGATAGCCCTTCGTTCGAGTGGCCGCGGGTTCTTGTATGGATTCGACATTACAAGGTCAGCGGTCATGTCGATCCCTCTCTCCGGCATACCGTACCCCCTCAGGCTTGAGTCAATCTTGAGCCGCCGATAGAGACTAGTCATTCCCCTGGCGGCATCTCCCCCAGAGTCCGGCAGTGCCGACGCAATCTTTGCCATTGGCCCTGGCACGGCTGGAGCGTTGAACGCCAGGGCATGTGGAAGGACCGTAACGTGCGTTTCGGCATGCGGGAGATTGAAAGTGCCACCCAAAGTGTGGCACAGCTTGTGGTGCAGTTCCATGTTGACGCTTCCTAGGCAAATCCCACACAACCACGCCCCGTAAAGAGCTTCATATCGTGCATCTTCGTTCTGGTCATCCTCCCGCAATACGGGTAGTGCCTTGGCGAGGTTGCGGATTCCTTCGACCGCCATCAGGTCAATAATTGGGTTCGTGTTGCTTGCGTAGAGGGCTTCGACTTTGCGATGCATTAGCTGTTGTCTCCTGCGGCTGATGAGGGGAGCCTACCTGCGTGGGCGATTGCATTGATGCCACTGTAGACAGAAAGTCGAACCGGGAGGGAACGGGTTAGGTCAATGTCGTAGACAACACTGTCAGGAAGGATCCGAGGATCACGTCTTGTAACCTTGCGTCCCTGGTCCGTCTCCCCGAGGATCGGAGTCATCTCGCTGCCGGCATAGGTGGTCGGGATGCAGAGATGCGGCAGGCCGGTCCGTACACTGATGGCTTTGCCTAGACCGATGGTGCTGCCACCGCCGATGGATACGATGCTATCTGCCATCTTCTCCTTTGCTACCCGGACTGCCTTTTCAGTGACAGAGATCGGCGCATGCATCGTTGCCTCGCTGAAAACGGCCGCTGCGGATTGCCCGATAAGTTTTTTGATACGCTCTGCTTCATCCACTTGTTGTGGGGTGGAAAGAATCATGACGGCCTTGGCATTCAGCTTTTCGAGCGCCGAGGGGAGCTGTTGAAGTGTTCCTCTGCCAAATAGCACGCGGTATGCTCCGCCGACGTACTCGAATGTACTCATTTTGCTTGGTTAGGCTTGAAGGAGTCGATTGGTTCTGACTGTTGATATGATTTGGGTGTTACCACATGCTGTAGACCGAAGGCTCCTTTTCTAGTGATGCCGGCATTGCCAGGTACCCCACACTCCTTGTCTACACTTCCATGTGGGGTGTACTCAAGTGGCATTCCTCCCTTGAGATCAGAACCGCTCGTGGTCCGGGAGAGGAGGAAGCCTCAGAACGACATGTCCTCCCTGTTTAACCATGGCCAACTATAGACTGTCGGTGGGATAAGCTACCCACCGCAAGGCTGTGGTGACGGGTTGAATCATTGATTCGCTGGTACGTAGCAGCCAGGCTTGACAAGATGGTCCCCATCCGGGGAGTAATACCCCATACCCAAACCTGTTGCTCTTGTCAGCTCGCATTATATATCATTGGCCTGCTTTTACTTACATCCTGGAGACTCAGGCTCCATAGTCTTGCCAGTGCAGCAGCCAGAGACAAACCTTCGCTGAAACTGCAGTCTGTCTCATCAAGCACTTGCTTCATTGACTCCAAAAGCTGGGCCTCGGCGGGACTGGTCAGAATGTCGTTCAAAGCGTCAAGTTCTATGGCATGTACCCATTTCGTCACAAAAAGAGCTATAATGCAAAGTCAGCCATCGCGATGTAACGCAGTCTTCTGAGCACATACCACAGTCCCAAGCCGCAACGGCATGCTCAACACTCCAGTGAAATGCTGCCGTTTTGCGCATGAGTAAATGTCCTATCTTGACTGTCCTTCTTAGCCCATCAAACGACCGTCGTACAACATCGAGTAGATAAGGCGTCTTTATCATTTTCGTCGATGCAAACACCGCCACAGATGCCTCAACCGAGTCTGAGTCCTGACATATCAAGCTCAGGCGATTGAGGTGGACAGCGGAACTAAAGAGTCGGATGTAAGCAATAGGGAGGATTGCCCGACAGCTCGATATCAACGAAGGCTTGGCTGTGTGAGTCAATTCCTCTGAATTCGTGTCGGCACTTTCTTCCAGTAGTTCATGGTATCTCGCGAGAGACTGCATTGCCGAGTGAAGTAGTAAAGACGTAACGTCGGCACCTAAAAGAGCGGACGAGGTCGGCGGAGCCACTTGGAATAGATGCCACGTATAGACTACAAAGGCGTGTGTGGTTACCCACGCTGAGAATGGAGAAACTAGAGATCGGTTCTTTAGACGACTGGAATCGTCAGAAATGACGTCCATTAGCATTTCACGCATGGTAAGATACTCCGGTCGGTGCCCGGTGGTTCGGAGTTCTCGCCACTCGCTCGCTGTCCTGGCATTCCAGTGGCTTTCATCGTCAAAGGCCTCAAAGTCCAGGTCCTCGGCGGGATGAAAGCCGGGGTTGACATTGTAGATGATCATATTGAGGGTGCTGACGATAAAGATTCCACCCAAGGTTCTTTTTCGGGTCTCGCGTTGGATCCAGTCAGGCCAAGAGAGTGTTCTGTGGTCCGCTGCTTGATCCTGGAGGGATTGGCGAATCGACTCGTACACCTAGGATCATTTTTATGAGACAATGCCTCTAGACACGAGGATAGGAACCAAACGTACCAAGGTATAAAATCCGTTCTGGGACATAGCTGTGGACACCAGCTCGTCGTCACCGCTTAAAACGGTGAAAAGGGTCAACAACAGTTTTGTCTGCACAAACCAGATTGGGTAGTCGGCGTGAGACACTGAACTGAAACTTGCAGAGGTCATCTGTACCCGAGGTTAGCCAGACCTTCTGATACTCACAGCGAATAACGCACCTGTTCGATGGAGCGTACAGTGATATCGTATAAAACTTTCGCTCTCGGTCGGTCGAGGCGATACAGTGCACCAATGCTACACATGATGAGGAGCAGCGGACTCGGAGTTCTTGCCGGGGTAAAAGTTGGCCGGTGAATTATAGGGAAGTGGCCATGGAAACAGTCCATGTAGCTAGAAAGGAAGCCCTGGCAGAGCTTTCCAGTGGGAATCTCCTTGAGCTGGTGTTCTGGGACATGGCGTTGAACTAGATCTTGGTAGATCCAGTCGCGTACATGCACATCTGTTGTGAATACTTCTTTCGAGCCGCAATTCCTTTCCTTGGGTACATTCGAATTCGTAGTTGTCGCGCTTGCCCGAAGGTCTCGGGAACTGGTCTCTTGGACTTGCGGGGCCTCGTTGGGCAAGGCGGCGTGTAGCTCTCTAGAGCTTGCAGCCATACTCATTACAGGTGTTGCTGTCCAGGACAACTCCATCCAGTCAGGGATCTCGATTTGGTCAAAATCCGGGACGTCAAAGAAGTCATGCGGCAGAGGACCAAAGTCAAGCAGGGGCAGCCCTAGTTGGCCCTCTGAGGAGTCTTGCAGAACCGGAGGATCCGGCATTGCTGGGGCTTGTTGTTGTGGGTACTGGACTGGATATGGCGGTTCGCAGTGTTGTCCGTTCGCCCTTCGATCATCCGATGGCTCACTGCCACTGCCCGCAAGGGACGCAGTAGATCCGTTGGGAGAATCCATCGCAAGGCCGTTATGAGACCTCGCCGAGGGAGAGGCGTTGGGAGTGCGGCACATCGACTCACTGGTCGAGGTGCGCCGGGAGGGTGGTGTTGGCATGGAGTGGTGACGGGCAGCAGGTTGTGGGCCATTCATTGTGCCGGCGGGTTCAAAACATTCGTTCTCGTTGAGCGACGAGATGGGTTCTAACAATGAATCGCGACGGATGGTAGGATGCTGAGCGCAGTGCACCGTGCCCCCCTCGTTGGCAGATACGACCAAGGCTTCGGGCGGAGCATGGGGAGTCGTCCGAGTGCATTTATCGGCATGCAATGTGCGTTCGTGGCGAGTGACGAGGTCTCTAATGATGGCGAGAAAAAGCAAGAGGTAAGCTCAAGTTCATAGAAGCCAATCCGATACCCACAGCGGGAGGTACGAAGGAGTCTTACTTGCGCGAGTAGCTTTTCCGACAGTAGCGACAGGAAAATGGTTTCTCGAGTGTATGTCTCCGTTCATGCCGGATACAGTGCTCACTGCGCTTAAAGGCCTTGGGACAATGGCCGCACTTGTAGTGGCGAGGAGACTGGCTGATAGGATCTTGATCGTCAGATGCCATGCTGATGGTAGGTGAAATATCATGAGATAGATAAGGAGGATAGAAAGGAAATGGGGTGGTGGACATTGGAAATACCCCAGATTCTTGGATGCGTTCAGCCGGACGAAAAAACGCGGGGAAAGGGGACGCCACTCCCAGTAAGGAATGGCCGGTGGGCCAACCCTGTGATTATCACGGCTGCAGGACGGAGGGATCAGTAATATTGTTTCCCCCTACCACGGAGTAATACGTAAGTTGCCTATTATAAGGGTGTATCTAAGCTGTCAGGCTACGGGACAAACGAGTGGGCTATAATCGCTATTGTGAAAATTACGGAGGGTGCCTCAGCTGCCTGGAGGGCTTCTATCGCTACTACATGCAACCAAGCCGTGACACAGCTTCAGAGGAATAATGCAGTCATAACATAGCTAAAGCATATACCCAAGCTCCAGTAAACTTATGCTCTACAAATGACTAGCCTGCTTCTCCGGAATTGCTCCGCCCTCCCTCAGATGCCGGTACCTTTCGGGCCAGATGCCGGATTTTCCGGGTGCCAGGATACCGTTCGGGTCGACGGCGTCCTAGACGAGTCAGCCAGGTCTTCATTTCATGCAGATGACTGTAGAACTTGCTTACCTTGAGCTTTTCGACGAAGCGGTTGTAAGCGTGATTGTTGAAATCGCTCAAGCCCGCGATGAGATCTAAGTTGCCAACGTCAATAACAAGGCCATTTGTATTTGAAAGCTCTGCTTACCCATGTGGTTGACGTGTGCGCGGTACATGCCATAACCTCGCTTCTTGCTCTCGGCGTGGAAGTTGTGGTAAAGCTTATGGATCTTGTTTCGATGGTCCGGGTCTTCCTGGTTGAAGGTGAACATGTTGACCATGATGACGTGCCGTTCGTGCATGAAAAAGTCCACCATGGGCTCGACTCCAGCTGCTTCATAGTGAGGTCTACAGGCACGTATCCATTCGAGAACCATCTTGCCCGAGTTGGGGATGATGGGGGCATAGTCGCCGTGCGCAGCCTTGCCTCCGCCTCCGCGTGGCAGCGCCCAGCCTACTAAGGGAAGACTCCAGAGGCTTGGAATGCCGACCAAGAGGCTTCCATTGTCGTTTGGAACAGCCTTGTTGTCAAGAAGCTCTCCATTCTCACCCTCGAAAAGGTTGCCGGCTAGGGTGGCCTGGGGAACTCTCTTGGCCACGATCTCCTTGATCTCTTCAAACTGGGCTTGGATGATCCTCTTCGGACCGTAAAGTCCCCAGCGGCCATGCCAGTAGTTCATGCCCTTCTCTTTACGAATCTCCTCTAGCTTCCATGGAGGAATAGGGCCTTCGCCTTGCCAATAATCGGACCTTCTGCCAAACATGCAAAGCTGCTCAAGCAGGCTCATGACCCAAACGAGGTGAGGAATAACACCGGTCTGGCGAAGATGTCCCAGGACATCAACTAGGGGCTCAATATCCTCAAACCCAGGAACGCCAATAGTGCATTCCATGAAAGCAGGCGGTTGTGGAGTGAGCCAGATGCTGAGCTTGGTTACGATGCCCAAGTTGCTCTGCAAGAAGAGACCCTCAATCGACGGACCGAAAGTGAATTTGGACAGGAAGGCTGAGGGCGAGCGAGTGATGCCGAATTGTCCCGTTCGCACGACATCTCCATCAGGGAGCAGCACCTCAAGCCCAGAAATCGACTGGTGATGGGCCGAATGAGAGCCGAAGCCAGTACCACGGTCCAGAGTCTGCCAGAAGAGACCCCTGTCAGTACGCAAAAGTCATGACTATCAACAAGATTTGAATGGATGCTTACATTACCAGTTACGCTTCCCCATCCCAGAGAGGGAGTGCTTGGCCACACCTTTTTGCCATGCAAAGCGCAATAATCACCCAACTCCTTGAAACTCACGCCAGGCTCTACGACGGCGTAGGAGAAGTCGTCGCTAGCCTCGAGCACTCGGTTCATGCGATGAAGGTCAAAAGCGACGGACCCGTTGACTCGCGCAGACGGTCCACCGTAGCTAAATATTCACCATTAGCCTGTGTGCCTGGAGGCTGAGTCCCAACAATTGAACAGACTTACCCCAGGTTCTTGCCTCTGGAAAATGCCCAGATCGGAATGCCGTATTTGTTCGCAACCTTGAGAGCCTGCTTAGCTTCCTCGAGCGAAGAGGGACTAGACGCGGAAACTTGTCAGTGCTGCTAGGTTTCGATGGGTGCCGCGTTACGTACCAAACAGCCGCGCTCGGCATCCTCCTTCTCTCACTATCATCGATATAGATGTCGTAGGGATCGATGTAGTGAGAGAGAGCATCGCCGATAAAGACATAATCTTTGCCGATAGCGTCGGTAAACTCGGCTAGGGCCTGTTCAAAGGTCTCCCTCTTCACGCTAGGGGGTAGCATAGACTCGATAGGGTAGCCTTTTGGGGCTGCAAACGTCGCTAGGTGAGCCTCCTCATAGTCGGGCTGAGCGTATGTGTCTTTGGGTGCGCGGGTCGTCATTCTTGGGTTTTCGATTGCGGATCCAGTCTAAAGGAGGAGGTTGCAGTTGGTGATCTAGTAAAAAGTCCATCATGCGTATTTGTAGTCTCACCGCGAGGAGCAATGGCATGATGGTTGGCCGGAATGTGGAGGAGAGGGTGGTCCAGTGTTGTTGATGTGTGGAGAGTCTGGAGACACCCCACACTCCTCCACAGACTCTCTGATGGTGGTGGACTTTCTGGGGTAATGCCATGAGGTCGCCCTGGGCAAATTGGTTAGCTCCAGTAATGGTAGTTCTCATCTCTACTGAGGCAAGTCGGTGTATCTCCAGCCGACACCCCGTCAGTACGTTTCCGACTGCACTCTTGCTCATGATTACCACCGGTCTTGGCGACAACGCAGGCAATCGTTTCCTCATACCGACTACCTCTAAGCAGGCACCCACGAGAGCGATGGTGTACCCTCCGGAACCGCCGACAACCATGCTGGCCGCTGTTGTCGAGAAGTTCGGCGAACCGTACCGAATGAGGCGCATCTCACGACCCTCGTCGCCTCAAGGCCAGGACATACTGCTCAAAGTCCTCGCCGCCTCATACTGCCACACGGATGCCGTGTTTGCCTCTGGTGGACTATCCCAGACCTTGCCACGCATTGGTTGCCACGAATTTGCCGGTAAAGTGCTCGAGGTCGGGCCAGACGTCCCAAAGGCTCGTGGCATCTTTGCCGGCCTTCACGTCGGTGTCCCAGGCCGAGCCTATCATCCATGCGGCACGTGCTACGAGTGCCAGAATACAGGCTCTGATGAGATAGGCTACTCTCCGTACTGTCCACTGGCAGGCAACTTAGGCTTGACGCAGGATGGTGGGTTTCAGAAGTTCTGTCTCGTCGATAGCCGTCAAGTCGCACCTCTTCCCGAGGGCCTCTCGCCGCTACAGGCAGCACCATTGATGTGTGCTGGACTTACTATCTGGTCAGCCTTGCGCCATGCTGCGGTGCAACGCGCCAGCACGGTGGGAATTCTTGGCGCTGGTGGAGGGCTTGGACACTTGGGTGTTCAGTTCGCTGCACGCCTAGGCAAAAGAGTCCTGGCTATTGATGCGAAAGATGCAGCATTGGCGCATCTCAAGCAAGTCAAGCACAGCCTGGGCTCTGCTGGGACTTCGGTTCACGTGGTAGATGCATGCACCCTAAATGTGGATGAGACCAAAGGCATCTGGGAGGAGTCGCCAGCAAAACTCCCTACCGACATCGGCCTCGATGCTGTCATCCTGCTACCGGAGTCGCAAAAGGCTTTTGACCTAGGAGTTCAGCTGTTGAGAAATCATGGCACTATGATTGTACTTAGCTTTCCGAAAGAGAAGCTCTCCGTCAGTGCCCATGACTTAGTCTTTCGGGATATTAGGCTGGTTGGAAGCTTGGTCGGAAGAAACACGCAACTCAGGGAGATGCTAGACTTTGTTATGAAAAATGGGGTGAAAGCTTCGGTCAAGACATATCCCTTTGAGCAGCTTAATGAGCTAGCAAGGGACAGCAAGCAAGGAGTCAGTGGGAAACTTATCATCGACATGACTCTATAAATAGACAATAATGCTGAACTCCACAGTGAGCACTAGATGAAAACATGCTATAGCCGTCTTTGAGTGAGATATTTGGTATTTATTACTATAAAACACCTGGTAGACTTTTGGTCTCATCAACGAACCCTTTGCCTTCATCCCACACAATAACCTTGTCATCACGCCTCAATCCTTGGATGAGCGGCTCACGACCAGGACTGTCCCTCTTTGGAAGTTCATTCAAAAATGCCCATCTCGTACTCTCCTTGTATCCGGCTTTCTTCCAGTCATTGATGTCTTGATCTGGGTCGATGTTGTATACAGGCAGCGTTTCAAACAAGGCGGCATCGTGGGCGAGGCAGATAAAGACTCCTGGGTGGGCGTCCAAGATTCGTAACTTGTCGATGCTAGCCTGTGCGGCGTCACCGTGTATGTAAACAGTCCCAGGAACTCTAGATACCTTGTAAAATGGACTGGTGCGAGAGGCGTCGGCGTCCTCCTCAGAAAGAGTCCCAGCGGCGGGATGGTGTGCTGTAAACACCGAGCAAGGACAAGGACTTGGATAGTAGGAGTCTAGATGATCGCTCGGTATACTTGTAGGCAACGGCAGATAGGGTGTTGGTCGGAATGCTCCAGCAAAGTGGCAAGCGTCGGCACCCATGAAAATGAAGGTATCTGGTGTCGTTCTTGCGAGTCCGCAAATGTGTCCAAGAGCATGCTACAATGGCGTGAGCTGAAGAATTGAAATATGGCTTGGGGGGCAAAAACGAACCCCGGGAACATCTAAGAGGTAGAAAGAACCGTCTCCGAGATAATCATGAGCAGCGAAACCGGCAACCGACGTGTCGAACTCGGGCTCGTGGATTCGATGACCTCTGCCAACAGGCCCAGAATTAGCCGCCGATGAAGTAGGCTTAGTAGAAATCACCAACCTGAGATCACTCGCCAGTACTGGGCTGTTTAGCCTTTCCGGCCAGCCTGGGGCAAATTCGGCTGTGAACCCTGGCCCGACGACAATGTCGACCGAGGCCGGGAACTTGGATCCATCTCCAATATGGTCCCAATGCCAGTGACTCCAGACGATGGACTCTGTGCAGCATGCAATGTTAGTCAATGTTTCACATGGATGGATCTGTCATACTAAGATTCTCTAGATCAAAACCTGAACTGGTTAAGATCTCGTCCACACCGTAGTCGACCTGCATCCCCACGAGGTTACTGGCAATCATCTTGTTGGTCTGAGGTGAGCCATTCCAAAAGTCCTTTCGAGAACCACAGTCAAACAAAATATATTCAGACCCAAGATCCGTCTTGTGCTCGAGCAGAAAACACATGGTGTTGAGGTTGAGCGTTGAGTGATTGGTGATTGGAGGCTGGATGAAGACGGCAGCATTGCAGACCATGCGTGTCGTCGTGTCGATTGCCTGGACTCGCACTGTGGCTAAGGAAGCAGGCAGATCTAGGCCTGGGACAGGAATAGGCTTAATGTCGTGTGTCATGATCATCGGTGTTGATGGGCGAAAGGACGTAGCTTAGGATGGAACTTGCTATGGACACAGTAAAACCTTGCTGCCTTAGGGACATCTCGAGGCTTTATTTGTCCTCGAACCAAGTATACCTGGAAAACTCCACATTCCCCACCTTCAGAGCCCAGAGTGATCACGTTGAATTGGCCTCCAGGTCAAGCTTGGGGATAATGCTATGTCAACTCGCTCCCGCCTCAGATCCCCCCAAGTACCTGAATACCACCCTACAATCTAGATCCTTGCAATCCGGAGCCTCACTCGCAGCTGTATACACTCCCAAGACGGTTGATCCGAGAGCGTTTCTCGAACCCAGCCTTCTTGCCATGCTGACAGCCAACGAAACATCCTTCTTCATCAACTGTACTCTAAACCCTCCTTTGTATCCATCAGACGGGGGCGCCTTTGGACAAACTCCCGGGACGGGGTTGAACTTGTCACATATGGTATTTTGAGCCGTTCCAGCGCCAAAAGCGGATGCCAGGACGTGAGCGTCGACGCCAGCACGCATGCCCATATCCATTGCCTCGGAGCAGGCAATTGCAATGGCTCCAGACAGATAATTGTTGGAGAGCTTTGCTGAGAGACCGAGAGATGGTCCACCACAGGGGATCACCTTGCCGCCCATGGTGGAGAGGAGTGTAGTCAAGCGAGAAAGATTAGGATCCGACTCGGAACAGCCGAGGAAGAATGCCATCGAAGCATCGACGGCCCCGATCACTCCGCCGCTAACAGGGGCGTCATAGAACAAGCTCTGGGGAGATTTCTTTGACACCTGCTCCTTGATATATAGATTGGTGCTCGTATCGATCGTGGAAGAGTCGATTAAGAGTTTGGCCGTCGAGGTGGAAAATGCGCTGAGAATTCCCGAATCTGGATCAAGGTACGCAGACCTGACATGAGCGCCTTCGGGCAGCATAGTCAAGATCACATCCTGTAGTAATGAAGCGGTTAGCATGGAAAGCTTTATGAACTATTTATCTTGTTACTTACGCATATCTCGGCGACTTCTTTAGCGCTTGCACATTTGAAGATCGAATCAGGGAACAGAGTCACCGTCTCATCGACTACTGCCGTGACGATATCATAGACGTGGATTCGAGATCCTTTAGGCAACTTCTTTGCGAGATTGATGACCATTGGCTTTCCCATGGCACCAAGGCCGATGAAACCCACAGAGGTGGCCGTTGAGTCTTGGATCCGTGATGTCATGGTCATGTTTGCTTCCACCGACTCCCGTTCGATAGCTTAATCTGGATACGAATCAAAAATTAGAACTAGACTTCTTATATGTCACAATCTGAGACTGGCAGCAGTGGCGTACAACGTGTAGGAACGGAGCTCCGAGCGTGGGGTTGGGCAATCAGGACTTCAAAGTCCGGAGGCAGTGCGACACTCCATGTGGGGGAGGCAAGTCATTGAAGAAGTGCTTCATGCCTACCATATTGCCTGAGTAGCTTGTACTTGAATCTTCAACACACCAACCGTCACCAAACCACGTCAGGCTACCATGGCGCTCTCAACAGTCCAAGTTCATGCCCTCTCTGGGGGCCGCTTCACTCTTCCAGAAACTCAATTCGTGAGCCCGGCATCCAGCACAGCCCGCAAGACAGTCCCGTCGCTGTGCTTTCTCATTCAGCATGCTTCTCCCGCAACTGGTAAAACGACGCGCATCGTCTTTGACCTAGGCGTCCGTCGGGACACGAGCCGCTATTCAGAGCCCATACGCCGTCATATAGTCACCCGGCAGCCCTTGACAACGGATCCTGATGTTGTCAAGAGCCTCAAGCTGGGCGGGCTGACCCCAGACGATGTCGACTATGTTATATACTCTCACGTAACCACGCCCTTCATCCGCTTCCCTTGGCCTAATGTCTTTCTGACCGTGAGATCAGGTTCACTGGGATCATGTCGGCGAGCCGACCGACTTTCGTCGCAGCACCTTCGTCGTTGGGCATGGATCTCTTGACTTGCTACAGGGAAATACATCAAATCTACGAGGAGGTCATTCCTTCTTCGAACCAGACCTGCTTGATCCACATAGAACTATACAGCTTCCGGATCCAGAGGCATCCCCTACAGCTCGGGATGAAGCGCAGGTATCCGGTATCAATTTTGGCGGGCCGTGGCGACAGTTTGAGACCTTACCCTCAACCCTGGATATCTTTGGGGATGGAAGTCTTTACATCGTCGACGCCCCCGGCCACCTTCCCGGACACATCAACCTTCTTGCACGCACCCCCGAAAACGAGAGTGACACCAAATGGGTCTATCTTGCTGGCGATGCCTGCCACGATCGCCGCATCATGCGTCAAGAAAGAGAGGTCGGACAGTGGCAGGATGCTCAAGGCCAAACATGCTGTATCCATGCCGACCTCGAGAAAGCTAAGACTACCATGGAGAGGATTAGAGAGCTGGAAAGAAAAGGCGTTGAGACTATCTTTGCGCATGACGTGGAGTGGGAAGTTAGGAATAGGGATAGCCATCGTTTTTGGGGCAGTTGATCCACAAGCCGGGCTTTTGGGGGGGGTCTGGGAGAGACGTTTCCCCTGCAGGTCCAATTCAGAATACGAGAATTGTGTCTAATTCACCCGAGTCAACTACAACGTGACCCATGGAACGCCTCCATCTCTACCTGTGCTGGTCCTTTCCAACTCTTTTGGGATGCGGTGTGAGTATGTGGGGTACTTTGGAACCCCACGTTCTGTTAACACTGGGTGGAGTGGCCATGTCGGTTCCCATGGAGTTGCTTGGTAAGAGAATCACTCCCCATTCTACATCCAGTCGGTCACCTGTCTTGTCTCTAATCATAAGTATCGTCGTATCAATTAATGTAAGTGGTATAACTATTGGTCAAAGGGTTCTTCTCTCTCCGGCGCTGATCATCCATCATCCCCCCGCACAAGCCGGAACAGCACGCTTCCCGTTTCGTACTCTTGCACACTCAGACCTCACCAGCTATTCTAACATCGTGCCGAGGCTCTATAGCTCAAGCATCATGTCATCCAGTCAGCAGGAAACAAATTTGAAGGACAAGTTCATCTCCGAACTAGGACAAGATGCCTTTCATTCTGGTTGGAAATCGATCCTTGCGCTAGACCCACGCTTCTTCAGCGCAGGCTTGTCCTTGGCTCGTGTACCACGTCGGAAAACCAATCTATCGCCAAAGGAGCAGGCTTTTGTTGCTCTTGCTGTTGACAGTGCCGCGACGCATCTTTACACCCCAGGAATCCATACACATATCAAGACTGCGCTGAGAGAAGGTGCTAATGTGAACGAGGTGATGGAGGTTATTGAACTAACCAGCACTCTCGGCATTCATGCCTGCAATGTCGGGGTCCCAATACTGGTAGAGGTTCTGAAAGAAGAGGGAAAGTTCCTAGAAGAGGTCACGAGGCCTTACGACGCAAGACAACTGCAACTGAAGAGAGAGTTCACCGCTAAGAGAGGCTATTGGCATGAGACTTGGGAAGAACTCTTGAGGCTTGACCCCGAGTTCTTCGAGGCCTATTTGGAGTTTTCCGGGATACCATGGGCTAGTCTAGACAACGGAAGAGATGAAAGGAAGGGATACCTAACACCCAAGGTGAGTTCATCTTAATCGGTCTCTGAATAAGACTGTAAATGACGAGAAGACGTACCGAAACTAACTCAAGGGTAGATGAAAGAGCTCATCTATTGTGCTTTCGATGCGGCATCAACCCATCTCTACATCCCCGGGCTCAAGCTACACATGAGGAATGCCCTTGGGTATGGTGCTTCGCCGCAGGATATTCTACATGTCTTGGAAATTGCAAGCCAACTGAGTCTACAAACAGCTTATGTGGCAGGTCCCATTCTACAGGAGCTATCTGGAAAGGGTCATTATGAAGCGCAATAGATAGATGCCTATACATAGGTATGATGCATATATTTAACCTCGAGTTTGCTACATTAGAGATTCAGGAAATCCTTTAACAGAGAAGCCTAAGCACAAAGACTGGCAAAATTTCTCTCATCTTTGATGCAGTGGATGAAGGCAGTAACACTACTCAGCACACACATTTCTCTAAACTACCCTCTTTATGTTTCAATACGGAGGATGCGCCTTTACTCCGCCTTGTTACCAAGTTCTCTTGCCTTCTCACCCGTCTCACTCATCTCGTCGAGTACTCTCTCGGCAATCTTCATAGCTTCCACGCCAGCCGGGACACCACAGTAGGTAGTGCAGTGAAGGATAGCTTCACGAATCTCAAGCTCTGTCAGACCATTGTTCCTCGCTCCACGAACGTGGACAGCGAGCTCCGGCCCACGGTTAAGAGCCATCAGCATACCAATGTTCAGCAGACTCCGTTGCTTCTTTTCCAGACCGGGCCGTGTCCATGCGTACCCCCAGCACCACTCTGTAACGAGCTCTTGTCCGGGCTTGGAGAACTCGGTGGACCCGTTGGCGAGGGCGCGATCGACGTAGACGTCGCCGACCACGCTGCGGCGCATCTTCAGGCCCTGCTCAAACAGCTCCTTGTGGAGCGCGTCGAGCTTGCTGTCCTGACTCATGGTGGCGGATGATAGAATCGAGTCCAGTGTTGGTCTAAAAGCGGCTTCTTGTGTCGTTTAAACGAGGAGAGAGGAACGATATCTTGGGGGGTTGGTCAACACGGCGTGAACAGTTCAAGAAGAGAGAGGTCGGTTACCAGAACAGCCAGGGCAATAGGATGAGGATGTGGTTGCTTACTTTCAGTATCAATGGTGAAAGAAGGCCGCTGGACTTTGTGAAAAAGGTTGGTACTTGAAATAAGTCGGTCATCGGTTATCTACTGCCGAATGCGTGGGGCATCGTCGTGGGGGATCTTGCAGCACAGCGTAATGTGGAGAGACATTGGAGTTCCCCTTTAACCACCCCCAGTGTGTCCACCCCGCATTTGGCAGAGGCATGCGAGTTGCACTGTTAAAGGAGACCTCAAAGAGTCAGTTTTTGAAACGGTCGGCGTGCTGATATTCTGAACTGGTTAATCCAAACCAGCATCCCGAGTCTCATCTCACAACCAACCATGCCTGCCTACGTTGTGGTCTCGGCCTTGGACGCCGGCCACATTACACTTCCCGAGAGGCTGCTCGTGACCGATGCGGACCCCAACCTCAGAGTAACGGTGCCTTCGCTGTCGTTCCTCATACAGCATCAGCCCTCGTCCCTCATAACCGGCAAAGACCAAAAGACGACCCGCATTGTCTTTGACCTGGGTGTGAAACGTGATCTCAACGGCTATCGAGAGATGCAGCTGGCCCACGTGGCTCAGAGACAGCCCATCATAACGGACCCAGACTGCGCTGAGAGTCTACGCAAGGGCGACCCCCACAGTAGAGCTTTGGACGGGAACTCCGATCAGCAGCTTCTAGACCCAGGCAAAGATATTGACTTTGTCATTCTTAGCCACGTCCATTGGGACCATGTTGGGACGCCATCAGACTTCCAGAATGCTACCTTCATCGTTGGATCAGGCACCCTGGACCTTCTAAAGAACGGTGCAGGGCCTCTTTACCCAGCCGAACTGTTCAACCAAGATGAACTGCCACGACTACGAACAGTTGAACTCCCGCCAGTCGAGAGACACCACAGCAATGAGTACAACGACACCCCTTACACTCCAAAGCACACCGACATACCCGCCGAGAGTGTGGTAAATCTGCCCCAATCGGCCAGTCAATGGGCGTGGCAACCACACTCTGTCTTTCCAAACGCCCTGGACTTCTTCGGGGACGGGAGCCTGTTTGTCATTGACAGCCCTGGTCATCTTTACGGCCACGTGAATCTTCTTGCCCGCCTCTCAGAAGATAGATACCTCTATCTAGGTAGCGACTGCTGCCATGACCCCAGAATCCTCAGCGGGGAAAAGAATATCGCAATGTACGACGACGGCAAGGGAGGGGTGAGAAGTGTCCATGTACACACCGAGACCGCAAAAGTGACACTGGATAGCATCTCTGGCTTCTTGAGGGACATAAGTATCGAGGATGCCCAGATAGAAGTTGTTCTGGCGCATGATAAGGTGTGGAGGGAGAAGAACCGCCACAGGTTCTAGCCGGGGACAATCTAATTGAGGTGGCTAACACTACTCCTAGGTTAATATTTGGACTTGACTATTCCTTGCGGCATGAGCTTCCCATTGATGATGCACAGCCCCTAAACCAGTCTTTACTCCTTAAGGTGAACAAGCCAGAGCGATTGTGACGATGTAGTCAGATAACGGAGGTTACACTATGAATCTAGTTAACGATCTGAGTAGTGAATACATGATACGGCCAGTAAAATCCTACAGGCCGATCAGATCAACTCCAACCGCGGGGTGCAGCAACACCCCACATCCCTCGTCGGCGAGGTTGAGGCTATCACCGAGTGTGGGGTAATGGGTGCTGAGATGTTATAATTGCCGCTATTTTGTGTAAAGGAATTGTCTTGACAAGACTCTGTATCGTTCCATACTTCCATTCCCCAAGCTGGCCATTTAGACCTCATCTGGAGAGCAAGCCGCATTGCCAGTCACTACAGTACCCTTCATAGCCAAGAGCAACAAGATGGCTGCTTCATCATCAGACACGGTGGCTTTCATTGGTCAGAGACCCCCCTCCACACTGGGTGTGAGAAGTCAACTAACCTGGTTTCAGGCCTTGGGGTGATGGGCTACCCAATGGCACTGAACCTGCAGGCCGGTTTGGGCCAAGACAAAACCCTTCTCATTTGCGACACAAACTTGGAAGCGTTGGACAGATTCCAAGCGGAGGCAAGGGGCACGGCAACAGTCAAGATAGTTTCTAACGGCTTTGAAGCGGCCAAGGCGGCAGTGAGAAATATTCCACCCTCCCAAGTGGCCGGCCATCTTCTGACGACCTCAGAATACAGTTTTTACCATGCTGCCAGGGTCTGGTGCCGTTAAATCGGTGTATTTAGACCCTCAAACTGGCATCCTCGCAGGTGCTGTGGCAGCCGCTGAGGAGTCGGGAAGAACCCCAGAACGCAAGATTGTAGTCGAATGCGGAACAATCGAGACCGACTGTATCCATTCTGTCGCAGATTCATGCCGCGAAGTTTCCTCTTCCAAGCTCTCGGACACTCTTGTCTTCGTTGACGCGCCTGTCTCAGGCGGGCCCATGGGCGCCAATGCTGCCACTCTCACCTTCATGGTGGGTTGCCCACCATCCTTGTCACAAGAAGTATTCCCCATTGTCAAGTCGTATCTGGGGCACATGGGCAACCGAGAGGGCATATTTCTATGCGGAGACGTCGGTGCGGGCACAGCTTTCAAGATAATCAACAACTATCTAAGCGCCATCACGTCTCTAGCCGCATCTGAGGCACTCAACATTGGCGTGAAAGCCGGACTTGACCCTAAAACGCTCACCGATGTCATTAATGCAAGTGGCGGCCAGTGCTGGGTTACAAGCAAGAGCAACCCAGTCCCGGGGGTTCAGGCCAACGTTCCGAGCAGCCGGGGCTACGAGGGAGGATTTAGGATTGAGTTGTGCGCCAAGGTATTGGGCATGGGAACCAAGTTGGCCGAGAGTGTCGGGGCGAGGACTATCTTGGACAAGCCCACACAGCAAGCATTCAGCGAGGCAATGGGGGATGAAAGGTATTCTGGGAAAGATGCAAGGGTCGTTTACCAGTGGCTAAATAAGTCTACATAGATTGCATTGGCCATCATGGCTTTGATATGTTGATAACTGTATTTCTCAGGCTAAGTTGCCTCGACTGCCCCCTAGGTGTGCAATGCGGTTGATTTACTTATTAACTAAGGCCGAAAGCTCTGTAACATAGAGAGGGATTAGCTTGATCTATTAACTGACCTAGTAATCATACTGCCAGAAAGAAATTCCAAGGCTACCGGAGAGGTTACGCCCTTTTTCATGTATTCGTAGTGGTTCGTGTTTTAAAGGGATACAAACATAAATAAACACGCAAGGCAATGACACTAAAACGTCATCTACTATGAGAACAAGAGAAGTAGAGGTTGACAGTACGATAACCCGCTCCGGTTGAATGAAATGTCAAGTTTAGTCCAATGCGGTGTGGCTGATTTCCTCCTATACTAAGACTAAATTCTCGTCTAGGATACTCGATTCTTTTCTGCTAAAGCAAGAAAGCCTACTTGTAGTATTGGGTGAAATCATGCTGGATCGCCTTGACCGCCTGTATCATAGTGAGTCCTCAAGCTATTCTTGCCAAGTAAAAGAATGAAAATACTCACATTTTGGAGCTCTTGGGAGTATGCTGGATCAGTCTCTGCTTTCTTGAGCATCTGGAAGAAGTCATCCGTCTCGACGGCTCGCTCAGGATCCGTCTCGAACAACCTGCGCAAGTTGGAACTCGAAACTACATCAATGACATCCAGCCACTTTTGTCGCCTGATCTCGTCATATTTGTCCAGAATCGTGGCATCTGCCTTGTTCTCATACATGCCTCGGAGACAGTCATAGAGCCCGCCGACATCGACGATCCCTCCGGTAAGGCCCAGGCCACCGCTGTTGGAGTAGTGAGCATGAAGACTCTGACTATTTAGAAACAAGTGGCCTTACAAAGGGTTACAGAGATGCGCGGCGTCCCCTGCAAGCAGAAATCGTCCTTGACGCATAGACGTGGCCAAACGTTGATGGACCTTGTAAGGGCTGAAGTTAACGAGCTTATAGTCGGACGGACTTGGATGACCGGGCAGCATGTCTCTGAACTTGGTAGGCTGACGCTCCCGTAATTCCTCAAATGTGAGGCCGGGAAGCTCACCGTAACTCACTCGCCATAGCCCATCTTTTGTGATCTTGGCGGCCATGTAGTAATGCTCGGGGTGCACAATGAAATTTGAGTCATTCCATTTGAACTGGTCAAAGTCGTAGTACACCTGCGGAAATAGTCAGTGTCCCAGGGTATTAAAACACTCATGATTGAGAAGACGAACATTTGTTGCTACAATCTGTTCGTCCCAAGTCCTACCCGGGAACTCCGAGTCACCAAAGAGCGAACGGCGGATTTGACTATTTGCTCCATCGCAGCCAACGATATAGTCGGCGCTGAGCTTCTTCTCGCCATCAGGGGTTTCTGCGACTACCCAGGCCTTGTCCTCGTTCTGACCGATGCCAGTGACCTTGTAGTCAAACAGAATCTTGACATTCTCATGTTTCAAGAGATGCTTTCTGAGAATTTCACCTAGCTGGTCCAATGGCAGACAGACCATGCGGTCAGGGTCGTCAGACACGTTTCCGGCATCCAACGTCACTATGGGTGTGCCATCCAGCTTGCGCCAGGTGAGGCCTGCTGGCATGAATCCTCGCTCACGAAGGTCATCACCGACGCCGGCCCGGTTGAGCTCATGCATCGAAGCTGCAGGATAGTGCGTCGCTCGCGGGTTCTTATCCAGGTTGCTCTTCATATCAAGAAGGGTAACAGGGATTGAACTCTGCGCGAGCATCAGAGCTAGAAGAAGCCCAGATGGCCCTGCACCGACAATTATATCCTCCCATTAAGATCAGCTTGGGATTCGATACTTGGATATCGGTTCTAAAGTCTGCCTTACATCGTTAAAGCCGGGAGTGGGAGATGACATGGTGTGCTTAGGTATAGTGAAGAAGCTGAAGACTTTGCTGATTATGGATCCTGACTATGTGCAAATCCAACCGCCCCGGGCTCCAGGCCGAGTTATCTACCCGTTAATCTCTCCATACGCTCAGAGTTATCATGCGTCTAATTCTAGGAGCATTTACTGACAAGCGCTCGTTTGGGGACCCGTTTCCCCACATGTACACCTACGAAAAAAGAACTCCCCACATTGGATAGGCTTGACGTGGAGTAAGCATCTAAACAGACAAAGCCAAACAGAGTGGGGTTATTTGCCCAAAGTTGAACATGGGGGACCAGTGAATGAATTGACGGAGGGCTGGAGGAGGAGCCATACAGTTCTCTTGTAGTATCCAATCCTCTCAAGGATAGATGGCCAGTGCGATTATAATTGCCTGGGAGATTAACATGGAGTCTGCGCGAGATATAATCCAAGAAGCAAGGGGTAAAGCCCCTGCCTCGCTGGTGAAATTGATTGCGATTGTCGTTGCTAGTATCAGTCGACAGAAAAGGTCAGTGTAGTAGCAACGTGAATATGCAGGGAAATTGAATGAAAGAGGGTTTATAATCAAACGGATATGCTCGGAAGAAGTAGATGGAGTTGCGCGATGTCAGCTTGCTTGACTCAGCGCGATACCCGGATCCTGATGTCATGGAAGAGGTTATGGGGGCGGAGAATATTGACATAAATATTAGCGTTGACATGACCGAGATGGAGTAATCCTTGCACCTGCTAAGCTGGCAATATTTTACTGCCTGAGCTTGCAGGATAATCTAAGGTGGTACCACAGAACAGAACACCAGGGAAGTTGAGCATGTCTTCTTAAATATGACACAAATCTAGATACAATTTAACAAAAAACCTTGACTTATTTTTTAATTTAATGCAAGACTTTAAAGCTTTTCAATAGACTTTTACCATACTTTATTAATCACCTCTAGGGAGGCATGTCATGATCCCGGGTAGGCAACTGCTGCCTTTTAAGCTTTACGGCAAGAAGCCATGCAGATGAAGCTAAATTGACAAACCCAATCTTCCCTCATCATAGCTTCTTGCGTCTTCTTCTGACTTCTTCTTCTTGTTCCTCTTTCTATCGATGCCCCAGACCGAGACACGCACACACACACACACATCCAAAGCGTTGCAGGAAGCGCGTTACGCTGTTTAACGAGAAAACCTGAGAAACAATCAAATTTTTTACAATCTACAGCGAAGGTTGTGAAACTGCCTCATATCGTCGAGAGCATGGACTCTTTTCATTTACCTGATCCTGAAGCGCCGCCTCAGTACGAGACGTTGAAGACCCCAGCGGTGAAGATGCCAGCTACGTCCGCGGATAACCATTCACACTGCGTGAAGCCATCAAACGAATCATGCTTAGATCTCGACCAACGCTCTCAAAACATGACCATGAGGGATTGGATACGGAGGAGAAAGGGTTTCATCGCTGCAGCATGTTTGCGGAGCTGTTGCGAACTGTCTAGGGCTTCTCTGCTCAGCAGAACTTCGAGGTCAACGATGAGGGCTTATTGCAACGCGTGGCTAGATCGACTAGGCCCAGGACGTCTTCATAGAGGGTTCTCTGATGCATTCGCTGTTTCTCTGGGTCCCCGACTCCCGATAGCCGGCAGGCCACTGGAGATTGGGGAGCGTGCGATCTCTGTCGGCCCTGAACACGACTGGACAATTGAGTGGGGATGGGTCCTTAGACTACGAGCGTATACTCACCCTGAGAACCCTAGTTGTTCTCACTGGTCCGTCGATATTGGCATTTTCTTCCGGGACTTGCCACGCCTGCTGAGCACTGGTGGCATCTCATGGGATAGAGCACATGTTGATCAGAGTGACTTTCGCCACTGCATCAACACAGGCCCGGATGGGGCACGCCCATGGGCGCAGTCTTCGACCTATACACCCAAGGTCCCAAGCCTCAGTTGGCGAGCTGAAGCTGTCCACAGATCGCGCCATCTGCCTCAAGGCCGGAACAGTCTCGTCAGTCTTCTTTCTTCAGAAACAGTCTACCAGTGAGCAACGATGCCCCTATATTTTCAACCATTTAAAACTAACTCTAGATCTAGGGCCGAGATCTATCAGCGAACGGCGGCAGGGAGAGCTACGCGTGTTATGGCTTATAACCGGGGAGTGGGTTACGGGAATGATATCGCGGGCCAGCCTCTAGATGTGTGGCATGATGGCCTCCCTGAAAGATTTGGCCAGTTTATCCGGCCTTTGATGCCTTTTGATCCGTATGGTGCAGAATAAAGTAGAAGGATAGGGAGGATAATACTCGGCTGAGATCAGTGCCTGGTGATTGATAGGTGGTTTGCACGTCGAGTTGGGTTGGAAATGTAAAGAAAAGAGGCGGTTCTGTATGCGTCTGTTTCTGATTAAGATGTAAATTCGGAAATGCTCTAACGGCCCAAGGAAATCTGTTTATGAATGCGAACCCGTCATGGTGGCCCTCATGTGCGGCTGTGAAGGCAATCAGCTTGCCTCGTAAGGCTCCCACAAAGCTTTCTATCGTGACACGAGCTCCTGCATACGGCAATGTAGGAACCAAACAACCTAGCACACATCATTGCACACCTTCAGTGCTCTGCAACGCCATTCTCTTGCCTATAGTTGCTGCAAGAATGCCTTAAAAGGCATATGAAGCGGCTGAAAGAGGCGGGGTAGTTCAGCGTGCAGGACTACTTGCTACCTATAGCCAACGAGGGCATATAGTATGAGGCTTGGCATGACTTATAAGAACTGCTTGATTCGCTATCTCGAGTGGCATGAGCTCGGGTCTGAGAATACCTACCGGTGGCGGAGAAAAAAGAATATTACTCGTCTGCCAAAGTGTAATGGATTTCAGCTGGAAGAAGCCACAATAGGATATACGTATCATGTAGGCACTGGGGGTGGTATTTAGTCAAGTCTCCCCCACTGGAGAAGATGCGAAACTCTCCTTGTGATCCAGCCCTGTTACCAGTCTTTCCGCAAACCTCACAATGAATCTTATTGCTGCCTTGACGAGAGCCGTGTTTGTAATCCTAGTTGGAAACACGGCCGCCCTAGCACCACCCGCAGTTACATCAACCAGTGACCTACGGGATACCAGCCCGTCCCTGCAGAGACTCGAGGTTCGACAGGCCGCGTCTGACTTTGCCGAGGTGCTTTCGGGCACTCTCGCCATCACGGTTGCGCCCGATGCCACTTGCGGATTTGATTACCTAGGCGAACCGGCCTTGATATGTGAACCAGATCGATCCTGCACATGGGAAAGGGAGCGGCATGCGCGCGTGTTCTGTGGTTGGGCTACCTTTTGCTCCACCTGTCTCGATAGTTTAACATACTTCAATATGATCTTCAAACTTAGTTAACGTACTTGATAAGCAAGTGAGCCAGTCAAGCAAGTGTGCCAAAAATCCCTCAACCTACATCCTCTCCATTTGATCAATTAATTCTCAACCACCCAGCATGTCACAGTCTAATTGTGAGGCTAGAATGCTTCTTGCCCTTCGGGCCCTTCAAAATAACCCAAAACTAAGCCTCCGACGCGCCGCAGATACATATGAGGTTAATCGAATGACATTACGTCGCCGACAGCACGGCATTCAATCTCGACGCGATACTATCCAGAAATCACGTCGGCTATCTAATCTAGAGGAAGAGATCATTATTCACTTTATTCTCGACCTAGATTCGCGAGGATTTCCTCCCCGGCTACGTGCTGTTAAAGATATGGCTGATCAACTGCTTGCCGACCGCGACGCGTCACCGGTTGGCACGCGTTGGGCTCATAACTTCGTCAAGCGACACCCAGACCTTAAGACGCGTTTCTTTCGTAAATACGACTATCAGAGAGCCAAATGCGAAGATCCAACCATTATCCGCGATTGGTTTCGGCTTGTGGCGAATACAATCGCGAAGTACGGCATCCGATCAGATGATCTCTATAACTTTGATGAGACTGGCTTTCTTATGGGCATGATTGCAAGCGGAATGGTTGTCACAGGTGCAGAAAGGCGTTCAAAGCCGAAATCAGTGCAGCCTGGAAACCGGGAATGGATTACAGTCATTCAAGCGATTAATGCGGAAGGCCAGGCGATCCAGCCGTTCATCATCGGTGCGGGCCAATATCACCTCGCCAACTGGTACCGAGAAAGCAACCTCCCGGGCGATTGGGCCATTGCGACGACCCAAAATGGCTGGACCGATAATGAGACTGGTCTAGAGTGGCTAAAGCACTTTGACCGGTGTACAGCTAAGCGATCAAATAGTCGCTATCGTCTCTTAATCCTTGATGGCCACGAAAGTCACCACTCCATCGAATTCGAGAGATATTGTGAGGAAAAGAAGATCATCCGGCTTTGTATGCCACCTCATTCCTCTCATCTGCTCCAGCCCCTTGACGTCGGGTGCTTTAGCGTGCTGAAGAAGGCTTATGGTCGAGAAATAGAGCATCTGATCAGATGTTCTATAACCCACGTTTCAAAGACGGAGTTCTTTCCGGCCTTCCACGCCGCACACAAGGCCACTATGACGGAAAGAAATATCAGGGGGGCTTTCAAAGGAGCTGGGCTTGTTCCTCTTGACCCAGAAACTGTGATCTCAAAGCTTGATGTTCAGCTACGGACGCCAACGCCGGTTGAGGAGGCAGCTGAGCCGTCGACCCCTTGGGCTTCAAGGACCCCAAAGACCGTGATTGAGGCCGGATCTCAGTCTGAATACCTCGAAAGGCGGATCAGAAGGCATCAAAGTAGCTCCCCAGAGTCAATTTTAGAGGCTCTACAGTCTCTTGCGAAGGGAACAAAGGCTGTTATGCATCGGGTTGCCTTATTGACCGCTGAGAACAAAGACCTTCGAGAGGCAAATAAGATACTAAGCCGGCGGCGGAGGGCAAAAAGGACTAGACTGCAGAAAAGAGGGGTAATGACGGTAGAAGAAGGAAGGCAAGTAATTGATCAAATGGATGTGGATGCGCAGGTAGTGGCCGAATCGTCGAGGAGTGGTGGTCGAGGAAGGTCGGTCGGACCGGGTGTTCGGCGCTGTGGTGTATGCGGCAAGCCCGGCCATAATGCAAGGACCTGTCAGGTAGTGATTGAGACATCTGGGGAAGGGTATAGTGAGTAGTTTTAATTGATTAAATGGTTTATGGTGTTTTTATTGCGATTTCTATCTAGAGGGGGAGGGGAAAGTGGCACACTTGCTTGACTGGCTCACTTGCTTATCAAGTACGTTATAAGAAATAAGAAAATTATTTATTTTTTTATCTTTTTAAGCTCTAATCTCTTAATACTATATCTTTAAATACGATGCCTATAAGAACTATAATCGATCGGCGGCATAACCCTAATAACACTGCCGCTGCTGCTATTGCCGCTATTGCTGCCGCCTATAGATGGGTTGTGGAGGACACGTTGCCGGGGCTTCTTTGGGGAGGGGATCAAGGGTTTCAAGTCGTTGAGTCTTAGGAGTGACTCAAGCTGCCGAGAAGGAAGGTTTCGGTCGTGAAGATACAAAGGTTTAGGTGGTGGCTACTGGGGTGAGTTAATAGGAGCACGGGGAGAGATATCTTAGTTAGAGCTTGAATGCAATATCTCGGCGAATTGCCAAATCGTTGGCGCACATATCATCTTTGAACACAATGATACTTCGATACAAAGGTATGCGGCACTGAGTGCCGTACGAACAAGCTCACTCATTCCTGGTGAGTTAAGAAGCTTAAGATATTGTTTTTGTTACTTTGGCTAACGTCTCTACTCGCAGCACTTCATCTGAGGCTCCATATTGTCTTTGGGTTCGTTTCGGCAGCGGCATCATCCATTACACATGCGACTCGATAGCACCAGCTCGTTCCACAATCACTAGTACACGAAGCCTAGAGAAGCGGGAGTTTTCCACTGTAGTTCTAGTCGACAGAACACCGGCCGAGACTCCTGGGCCAGGTCCGGGCCCTCCCATCGGTGCGATAGTGGGAGGTGTAGTCGGCGGCGTGGCTCTCATCGGCCTGATTGTTCTGGGAGTTTTTGGATTGCGCATACTCAGTCGTCGTCGAAGCGGCAACCAGGCCACTCCAAGCCCTGCACCGAGGTTCCCAGTGCAGGAACAGATACAAATGCCAAATGCAAAGGCGGTCTCGGCATCATCGAACCCACCTCAGCTGGATGGATAGAATCAAACCTCTCAGGCGCTGTCTCAAAGCAATGCTTTATCATCTCACAGAGCATCTCAATTGGTTTACGCACTGCCTGTTACTAGTAACACGCCAAGTCTTGGTTCTTCTGTCAGGACCCCTAGATCGAGGACTTATTATGTCAAGATTCCACGTAGGAGATCTAGTGGATTATTATCTCAGTTAGCGTTGTAAGTCTTGTTGAAGTTCTTAAGATTCTAGCATTATATAGCAGATATGGCAATTTGGTTTAGCCTAGGTTCGTGTTCTATTTCATCACATGGTCAACCAACGAGCTGATGGTGCCAAGTATGTCCTAGTTAAAGAGTACAACCATTTGTGTGGAACAACCACAGATATTCAAGTACTCCTTAGCGATGGCTTGCTTGCTTGCTTTTGATACAGCTGCATAAGCTCGGCTGCCCAGCCGATGTGATGGATGCCTAAAGAATGCCCTGTCTTCTCCACCATTGAGAGCCTTTTCCCTCCCAATATCACGTAACCATAGACATCCTAGTTTGCTTCTTCCCTGGCATCAAAACCACCATGGCTTCTTTCAGCCCCCAGCCATCTTTCCATCTATGCCCTGACTTCAATATCTCCCCACCACCCGATGGCCACCTTGAGCTGGGCTCCGTACTACGAGGCATCGACCTGAACAGTGTCCTTTCCCCGCTCGATTGCGGCGATACTGTTGAAATCCCCGCTTCCCAGAAAATCTTCCGTTCCGAGAAGACGGGTTTCAGCCGCTCGCTGAAGGAGCTGAGAGGCATCGAGGGCAGCATCTGGGCCAAGATTTTCGGCAGCGATGGACTAGGCGCAATGTTCTCATTCTTGCGTAAGCGCGAGAATGACGAAATCCTCACAGTCCAGAAGCTTCTCGTCGAGTACTTTATCCCTACACCCGAGTACACGAAGGACGCCCTGGAAATCGACAGTGTTGCTTTTCACATTAATAACACAATGAGAAAGAAGCCGATTTACCTCATCACTGGGCTCATGTGGACTGAGGGCGCCAAGTTATCCAAGGTCTCATCCAAGAAGATCCAGGTCAGCAGCCAGGCTGCTGCCACTGACCCAAATTCGGGCATTACAGCCGGCGGGACCGCCTCGTACGACAACGAGGAGAGCCTTGCCTCTAGCTTTGACGGATCTACTCCGTTCATCCTCGGTATTCGGGTCCGTAAGATCTGGTGGGACAAGGCCGGAGTGAGACAGGAGGAGGAAGACGTTGTGGGAGCAACACTCAGTGATTCCAAGGCGATGGATGAGGGAGGGCCGCGGTATATCGATGATGAAGCTGCTAAAATTCCTGGACAAAATATCGTGGACGAGAGTCAGCAGGGAGTGGTAAACCCCGTCACTTGGATCCTGCCCTGAAGTAGCAACAATTTCACGTCGACCCAGCAGAAGTATCTTGAAATACACTGCCAGAAAACGGATCGGGCACATTAAATCTATAAAATTGAGCCTCAGGCCTTGAGATGATACACTCATCCCCATTATTCGCTCTCCTATCTCCATATCCACAGCACTCCTCATACCATCTGGTACCCCTCACCCAGTTATACCCCTCACTCGGTCAGCAAAAAAAATATTCCCCCATACAAAATACGATTTTTCATTTAAATAGTTCTTAAACAAAAGCGAAGCTATTAGTATGGAAAAATATCTATTTTATTGAAAATTGCATGGAATTTAACATTTTAACGTTACTTCCCTAGTGACGTATGCGGTATAGCCATATAGCACTAATATAAACTATCTTAAAACGCCTCCCTTATCACCCTCCCTCCGCCAAGTCTCATCGGATTTTTCTCTACACTAGCCTCCTAAAACGATGCTTAAAATGCCCTAGACGCCTTATATAGAGGATGATGTTATTGAAGCTATGCTAGATGTCACAGATAATAGACTCTCGCAGTATAAGGCCGCCCAGAAGTATGGTATGCCCCAGACCACCCTCTCTAACCGACTAAGAGGCATACCGCCTAAACCTAAAGTCACCCATCTTGCCTAGCTATTATCCAAGTCCTAAGAGACCAGGTTAGTAACCTAGATACTCCGGCAAGAGGCCCTAGGCTATGCTCTATCCCACAGTCAAGTCCGTGCTACCGTCGCTGCCCTCCTACGACAATAAGGCAGGGAACGGCCTATCGGTATATATTGGCTAGCCAGGTTTATAAAACGGCATCCGTCTATAAAGACAAAGATCGGAAAACGCTAGGAGGCGTCGAGATTTAATTATTTTACCCCGACTGCCGTTAATTAATACTTTAATATCCGGGAGAAGGAATATAGCTAGATCAAACCCGAGAATACTATTAATATTAACGAGGGCGGTATTATAGCCGGATTTAGTAAGTATTAGTCGTTCTGGCCATTGAATGAGCTAATCTATTAGAATATAGGCTTAGATTCCTTGGTTATTGGCAATAGCGACCCTAGGAGGAAGACCTTCCTTAAGGGCTCTTAGTCCTATACTTAGACTAGCTTTATTAAAGCCGCGATTATAACTAGCCGTCTTCTAAAACCGGGGATTATCTTTAAAGGCAAAGAGCTTTAGTAATAGTAGTTTATCGATGAGCTTAGGGAGGTGGCCGATTGGTATTATATCACGTCCGATAACGGCTAGATAGATAACTATATCGCAGTCGAGTAGCTCAGAGAGGTCTATCTTCCCTAAACGCAACCGGAAGATAAGTCTAATGCGAGGCTTATTATACTAGATAGCTATCGAAGCCACGTATCTATGCGTATCTGCCTGTTCTGAACTTTCTGAACTAAAAATGTCGCTGACTCTTAATCTAGGATAAGTAGATAGCTACGTGCTTTTTAAATAATATATATTGCTATTACCTACCAGCTCACTACTCCCACGGCCTATAGCCACTCGATAATAGCCCATTTAATACATCTAAGGCTACCTATTATAAAGAACTCCAAAAGCTAATAAGCCTAACCGACTCTGCGCCGGTAGATAAAGTCAACTTCATTAGGGCCTATGCTAAAGCCAGGGAGGTAAGTATAATAAAGAAGAATATCCTCTCGGGCTAGCGAGTAACTAGAAATTAGCCGGTTTCACGACGGAAAGCACTTATATATCCAGAGATTCAGCTAGATAAGAAGGAAACTATACCTATATTAGATAGCCTAAGCGATGGGCAACGCGACTCTAATAATACGCTAAAGACTAGCTATCATATCAGGGATCTAGGGAAGAATAAGAGCCCCTCAACGAGAAGGCGCTATTCTATAATATCAAAGGGTTTCAAAGCACAAGAGTCAAAGATCGCCTCGCTAAGCGCAAGAGTAGCCAGTTTAGAGGAGGAAGTCAGGTAATTAAGCAGAGGCAAGAAGAGAAAAGCGATACCGAATCCCAACAGGAAGTTCATAACACTAGCCGAGGCTCTAGTGGCTAGTAAGACTATTTCCAAGTCAAACGAAGCAATTAAAGAGGCAGAATCTATTGAGGAGGTGATCGAGGTAGGAGGGGTAGAAGAGGATAAGGGCTCAGATTCGGAGGCGGAAGAATTACTAGTTATATGGACCCGCGTAGGCCGCGCAATTAAAAGACCAAGAGGATATTAAAATACATTTAATTCTAATCTTAATCCTAAACATGAATTTATTTTTGCTATTTTTATTAGGTTCTTGCCAGCATAATAAAAAATCGCATTTTATATAGAAGAATATTTTTTTGGCTGACCGGGTGAGGGGTATGACCGGGTGAGGGGTACTAGATAGTAATTACTTAAAAAGTAACATAACCTCATAGCATACCCAGAGGGTAGATCAAGGCAACCCAGTCAAATAGATACAGTTTTACACTACTCCTCATAATTACGCAAACTGAAATCTCAAGACCCCTCCTGCCTGACAACCGATCACAACCACGTTTCCAGATACCGTAGAAGATGATACTCGATACAGTGGAGGAAGCCACAGCACTGGATATCCGTCCTTTGTGATCCAATCATCACCATCGCTGACCTCAAAACCAACGTGATAGTCCGTCTCTAACTCTGCCTCTGTCGCCTGGGCCAGTCCCCGTGAGTCGATTGACAGAGGCCCGCGGTCCGTCATGAAAAGTGTGGCACCTCGATGCCTTAACGAACGGCTAGTGAGCTGCCTGGTAGATGGAAAGCGTCGCACAAGAGTGCGCGATAGCACGTCCCAGACCTCAATGGTGTCGATGAGAGTTGCCAGGACAAGCTGACAGCCATCCGAGGAGAATGCGAGTGCTGCAACCCCAGGCTCATCGATTCTGGGTAATCGGCGATATGCCTTTTTCTTATCAACATCCCAGATTCGCACTGAACCTTGATATGTGCCACATGCCAGCCATGGATGGTAAGAGAAGCTCATGCACGATACTCCCTCTGCCCTAAACATCCAGGTGGTTTCGAGCGTGCTCATATTCCGGATCATGATATAATCTCCAGAAACCATGGCGAGCAGCGAGCCATTAGGTGTGAGCTCAAGCACTTGGATCCGGCTCAGGTCTATCTCAGAGGACGAATTGCTGATCGCCTGCCCTGTAACCCAGAGAGGTGCTTGTTCCTTGAAATGCTGCCTGACTGGTGTTTCGTTCTCACTAAACACCAGAGCTGACGCGTATAACTGCATGGGCGAGGCCTGCAAAGCAGGCTTGAAGTCAGTGGCCAGGCGAATCAGGTCCTGGGTTAGGTCCCTCAGGTTCTTCAAGGGAGTCCATTCTTCGGCATCCTAAGAATACAGTTAGCGATCGTCTTAGTCTTGACTCACTGGGTCGCCAAACTTACAAACAAACCGATAAAGGTCTCCATCCCTGATATGTCTATGTCTCCTTGAATCAACATCTGAGACTCCAGCCAAAATAGGCCAAATGTTCTTAGAAACGTTAACACGCTGATGAGGTCCGCAAGCGCACTCGTCCCTCCACCTTCCACGAGGCGGCGATGTGCGGCAAAATGATGGATCCAGTACATGGTGGCATATCGCACGGGGGCTAATGGGTCGGGGGTTGGTCGATGGATGCAAGAATAGGGTTGTCCTGTCGCTCCGAGGGCATACATATCGCGATGAAGGATTCCAGAGAGTGAGGCGAGGGACCTAATGAAGATATGCTTGTGCTGGAGCGCGGCGTCAGCAGGGGGAATCTTGGTGCGAATGTAGTCCCTCGCTGATCTGTCAATGAAATCGACGGTGTCTCCGCGAATTGTTAAGAAAGAGCCACAGTTGGATGTGATAAAGTATCTGAGCGCTTCATCTTTGTGGAAGAACTCGAACGGCTTGACAAGGATCTTTAGCTCTGCTACCGTCTGAGGACGATACACGGTGGCGACGATAGCCAAGACCTCCTGGCAGAGTTCTCCATCCCGCGAGCGGCGAGTGGTGAGATGAAGCTTGTCATAGAGCGACAGAACGCCAGCCGGCAGCGAACTTAGGAATTTCAGTATGTCCCAAGGTGGATGGTTTTCCAGCTCGCGACACACCGTGGATACCCAGAGGAAGTCGCCTCCGGCGTTGAAAACCAGGTAGGCATAGATATCACTTCTCACCGAGTCCTCGTAGTTCTTGAGCACTGCCAAACATTCCGCTCTGTACCTGGCGTAGGCGCCGACGGCCTGGGAGATTTGATCCTTGGCCAAGTCCAGATCGATCACTGCAAAACTGCCCTGTGTCCGGGTATCCAGCCGTGGACGAAGACTCATGCCGCCACGGCTCGACAAGATCCATTTCGAAGGAAAGTCCGAAGATGATCGGGTGATGAACTGGAACAGTTCCCCCACCTCTGCGGTGCGTTCGTCTACATTATCAATGATCAAGACTGCATCATTCATCGACGGGTGGCCCAGTATGGCTTGGAGTACCTCGCCTAACCCTTGCCAGGAAGCCAAGTCATCAGATAGGGCTTTCCCGGAGAGGTCGTACTTCTCTCGGACATATCCAAGGAGGTTTGGCCGTTGCTCAACAAGGTGGCGAATCAACTCGCCCACCACAGCTGCGGCAGTGTCGAGATAGCTGCTAGTTCCCTGATAGAGGGAATAGGAGACGACCGTGTCAGAGATCCCACATAGCTCATCGATGATCCCGCAGAGCAGCACAGTTTGGCAATGCCCGGTATCACCATTGATCCAGAGCAGTTGAGGCTGTGAGCTATGCAAGAACCTTTGAAAGTTTGCATCTTCAATGATCCAAGCGTACACCTCCCTTGGAAGACTACCTGCTGCACCTTCAATGCATTCCTTGACAGCGCTCAGGTCTGTGCCATATAGATGCTGTAGAAGTTGTATGTCCATGTCATCCTGACTTGCCTGGATTCCCTGATCCGACGATTCGGCGTCTTCGACCAGTGAAACAAGGCTTGTGCTGTCAGAAATACTGTGGGATAGAGACAATGGATGAGGAGCCGGAGAACCAATGGCGCCCCACGGGCTGTAAAGGGTTTGCGCCTGGATGGTAGGAGTGCTTCCAGATAGAGGCTCTGACCAAGGAACTGGAGGACCACTGCCGTATATGCTAACCCATGGGTTGTAGCTGCCTGGCAATTGGAAGTTGGGAGGAAGGGGAGTACCTAAAACCTGGGACAATGGCCGAGGAGCCGGAGTGCCCCTGTTTGAGTTGCCCCATGGGTCATAGGTGCTTTGTGACTGGAGAAAGGCTTCGAGAACCTGAGCATCCCAGGCTGGAAACACACTCTTCAAGGTCTCGATAGGCAGGGGAATGTCAAAGTCCGAGAGGCCTTCCACGATGCATTTCAGAATATCCAGTGATCGCTTGCAGTTGAGCAGCAAACCAAACAGTGCACGTCGAGAATACAAAACTTGTTCTGTGGGTGCGTAAGGATCCGGGTAAGAGCGCACCTCCCAGACCTCGTCGGTACAGTAGTTAGCCAGGGTAGCATAGATCCCTTGGTCGGCCGAGGATAGTGAAGCGTTGAAGAACTCATACAGAGACTCTCTGGTGAGGCTCTCTTCAAATCGCATGCCGCTGCTGAAATCGACGTATGGATCTCTTTGTGGTAGTAACCTCGTCATGGTCTGGACAGCCTCGTCTGCCTCCATGGGAAAGCCGGCCTCTGCGAAATGGTTTGCGGCCTTTTTCAGGAGATTACCGGCCTCTCTCATGTGTTTGATGATCTTGTCCTCCTTCCCGTGAAATGGGTCTGGAGGCGCAAATAGCGCCCAATCCATCGGTTCTGTTTGAGGGATATCTTCGTCTTGTGGCGCTTCCTCGTCTTCATGGGCTCGCACTGGACTCATGTCGCCGAGTGATGCCAGAAGATCAGTACTTTGAGTCTCTAGTCCCTCGGTCTCAAACTCATCACCCAGTGTACTCCTTTCGCCAGGGTTAGAGTCACCACTAGGAGCCTGAGAGCTGGCAAAGTCGGTGTCTTCTCCATCCGCAAGGTTCTTGGTTGATAACCTCGGAGTAAGTAATGCTAGGAACTGCAAGTGTCCAGCAATGTGATCCATCATCTTTTTGTGCTTTGTTGGCTTCATCTCCGACCTCGGGGCGGTGGGCGTCTCCGGGTCTGCTCGACTCTCTTCCTCCTCGGGGACATCAAATCGGACACTCTTTCCGCCGGGGAGATCACCTGCAGCATCTTTCGACTCCGGCTTTGGGGCCTCTGATGGTTCATCCGAGGTCTGCAGGTCCCTGGCCCGGTGTTTTCCAGATTCCTCAACCGGTGCATAACAGCACAGCGGACAGATATCTCCAGTAGGAACGTTGTCAGATTGCTTGTTCTCGGTGTTGTGTAAAATTATTGGGCCCTGTTGCCACACGAATTCATGATCCTGCTCGATGTGGGCACTCCAATCAGTTCGGCGTGCAAAGTTTGGAGACTCCAAGCACGTAGTTTCAACGCACGCAAAGGGAACCAGGTCTTCATTCACATGGGTCCTGTGAGGTTACGATAAGCACGTGTATCTGTGAGTGATGGGATGAACCTACTTCCACCAAACATCGTTCGCAAATTGATGTCCCGAGAAGAGCTTTCGACATAGAGGACAAGGCCCAGTCTCGTCTTCATCCTCAAATCGGGGTGGTTCCGGGAACTGTGCTCTGGTCTCCAGAACCGTCGTTGCACCAGTCCGCCGCCGAATTGGCTCGATTGTCTTGGATGGCATCGAGGGATGTGAGGCTGGATCTGATGCAAAAGTCTCAGACAGGAACGAGAAACCGATAGAGCCTCTCCGAGCTACAGGCCTTGGCCGGGCTGTTTCGCTGCCATCCTTCACAGCTTGTTGTGGCGGGACTGCTTTGGGAGGCAAAGGCGTTGTCGGTGTTCGTTCTATTTGCACTTCTCGTGACGGTCTGAAACGCCGATGATCTGTACGTAGTTTCCTATCGTGAGACTGCCAGTAAAGCAGCTTTGTATATCTATGCGCCATGGACTTGCTCAAGTGCTGACGTAGACTCTCACGTGCTTTAGGATAGAGAGCTTTGACGGCCAACTCCGCCTTGGCCTCAAAGGAAGAGATCTCTACAGATCTTTTCGATGAGAATGCTTTGACACGAGTGTCTAGAGAAGACCTCGAGGACTGTCTGATGTGGATAGCGAGCCGGTCAAGCTCATTTATCGACATGCGTACACCCTCGATTTCGGTTTCACGCCTGTCGTCGTCCTCATCTGAAGAATCGTCCGAGTCTTGGTCGCCAGGCTCGGCTATGACTATAACTTGGTCAGCTTGCGCCCTCTGTAGCATATGCTCATATGTTTACTCTGCAAAAGATTGCCTTTGAGCATGTTCAAGGTATGTACGACAAGATCGCGATGCTGTGGGTGACGCTTCAACCGCTGATCAAGGCTTCCGTTTCCACTGGCAAAGACGCCGAGATAACCTGTCCAGTCCTTGAATCGCTGTTGAAGTCTGCTCAGGCCGGTTGCGTATATCTGTTCCGCTTGGTTGGAACTCAGTTGGCGCAGGCCTTTGTCAAAGTGCGACTCGCAGATGCTGACCCTGGTTGAGATAGACTCCGTGGCAGGGTCAAAGCCAGCAGGCCCTGAGGTCCCTTGGTATCCAAAAGCTGCCATGTTCGAGCGCGAGGGGATGAGACAGGACTCCCTCTGGTTGTGGCCCCCGGCTGGCGCTTGTAGTCCTCTTGTTTGTTTGTCGTTGTCGCCGGTCGGGCTGAGGGGACAAGACATTGGATGCGATGTTTTCAGCTCCCGTCAGCCTCACGGGGGCGCATCCCAAGGCCCCTGGACCAATAAACGGCGCGTAGAGCTGATTGAGGACAGGTAGATCAGAAGGTTTGAGCCATCGTGTTACCATCGATAGGTGTTGAACTGGTGCGCCAAAATCGAGAAACCGAGACTTTATTATGGTCTCTCTCAATCGACTTCCCGCGCTCCGACAAGATATCGCCATAGATGTTTAAATATACGAAGAACTTTGGCAGGTACCTCTCTACTAGTATCTGCGATTCAGCCCCTCAGCTGGCCGCAATTGTGGCCCACGGCGGCTGCACGCCTTGGCTCGTCACAATCTCGAGCACACGAACAGATTCTTCCTCCTTAACCTACAAACACCGCACGAAGCAGTGCCTCCTCTCTCCGACTGAAGCTAGGTTTCGTTCTTTTACCATTTCCCTCGAGATCGTGACGCTTTACAGCCCTGTTCCGCCTGCGTCAGGCCTTCTGAAGCTTGACCCATTTCCACAGCCTGATCTCAGCCGCACGTCGGAAAACGAGTCGTTAGCGATATCCCGGTACCGGCTCTGGGCAGATGCCGCTTCATGCCCAGCAACTCCTATGAATCGAGAGAACGGCTAGTATCCTCTTGTCCGTTGAGTCATTGGATACTTCAACAATTCGAATAGCTATACTCTTGGACTGGGCGGGTTGTAGGTGAGGGTCCTCACCTTGGAGCTTCGGCCAGCACCATGCCGTTCAACACTCAACCTTTTGCTCGAGGTATTGAACATACTGTCGAGTGGAGTCTGATCAGCGACCTGCGTCAGATGAGTGACCGCTTCGGCCCGCCTGGAGCTGTTGGAAACACTCGTAGCAGCACACTAACACTCAAACTCCGCAACGCCATCAACGACCTCGAGTTGCAGATCCGCAGGACATTTACGATCCTACAGTTTGATCTGCTCCTTCAACTGCAAAAAGAAACTCAAAACTATGCACCCAAGCCACGGATGCACAAGGATTCTCGCCAGAACAGTTGGGGCGATGATAGCGACGACGTATCTTCAGAGTCAAGCACCGAGGGACATCTCGAAGATTGGTCCAGTGATGGCTCGCAGCAGGGCTTTGGTCCTGCTCAACCGTCAGTTGAGGAAGCACGATCGCGTCTAGAGCGATTGTGTGAGTTTCTCGAAGCTCGAGTCAGCCCGAATCTGAGAGACAACAAAGCCAACGAATACCCACGACTAACAAGTCTTATCGAGAGTGTCAAGTCCCAACCTGACTCCTCCCCGCTCGACCTTATCCCAACAGTTAGGCCTACGCCCACACCATTTCTCTTCAACATCACCGAAGATGAAGCAACTGCAAGGGCGTTTCTCGCTTTTGTTGACCCAGCACAAGGAAAGCCTTCCAAAGAAATCCGACGTCAAATGATTACGGATGCCAAAGAGATGGCCCAATTCTTCCTTTCATTCAACAGCTTTGTCGACGCGCTGCAGATGTCGACGGGCACCCTAGATGTCCTCACTTGGGAGCCTACCACCAGAAGGCTGGCCTCGGATGAGTCTGTTGCTTCATTTTCCCTGCTTCGAAAGTTCCAACACCAGACAGAAGCTGCCTGCCGTGCTGTGTTGTCGCACATCGCGTCCTGTAGCCACCCCAAACACGAGGCTCTGTTACAACTTCCAGGGTGGGAGGAGGTGTCTAATTGGGACTCGACAAAGGCGACAGAGAGTCTACCTGTTCCGCTCTTCTTCACCATGTGCTTGCTCGATAAAAAAACGCAAAAGAAGCAGGAACATGGCCCGCTTGACAGCTGGCAATATGCTAGAATGTTTTTTCTGCAGTAAGAATGCCTTGCCTATACTCTTTTGCCTCCTCAAGACTGAATCCATGTTTGGCAGGCCAGATCATCCCGGTAACTACACAGAGAGAACACTCTGCGAAGCACTAAGGTTGTCACACCGACAAAGGATAGATCTGGAATTTTACGTCTCTGAACATCACAGACCGGCTATTCCAGTCACGATACCAATTCATATACCGTCGAAACTACAGAGAACGCGCAAATATGGCAAGGACTTCCCACGTCATAGCCTATGGGACCTCATCGAGCAGGGTCGTCTCAAAGAGCGGAATCAGCAAAATCAGCAACACCAGCGAATGTCTTTCAACGAGTGGGTGACCGTTTCCCGCCCAGGCAACATCGTTGGTATGCACGAGCGCAAGGCTCTGGCCGTCAAACTAGTTCTCGGTTTAATGCTGTCTCTGGACTCTGATTACGTCTTTGAGACCTGGGACCCCAAGCAGGTTCACCTTCTGGAGTCTGTAAACACATACACTCCCTTTGTCTCCCTTCCTAGCAAATCAGATCTCTCGGGTCAGGAGAAAACTCTCTCTCTTTCCCATTTTCCCTCACATGGCAGCATTGATGATCTCGATATCCCGGAGCCTTCGCCCCAGTTCGTGTTTCTGGCGAAGGCTCTGGTGCAAATTGCACAAGGTGAGCGTCTTACTGCCTATGAACAAGATCCTTGTACGGACCCTTGGGAGGCATGCAACCAGATCCGAGATGATATCCGGGAATACAGTCAAATGGCGACATGCGGCGCAGAGGTGGACCGTGAAGTATTTCCCTTTTTTAACGCCGCCCTGGGCTGCTTAGAGTTCCATGAGAAATTCCCCTGCCGCTTGATGGCGAATCAGTCAAGTCATAACAAGATGGAAGTTGCGTGGAAACTGGTATTCGACACCATTCTCGTCAAGATCGACAACAATTTGACTCTGGAGAGCATGATTGCTCCCAGCAGTCCGCCTCTCGCCCAGGATCCATCGCTGAGCCGTTCATCCTTTCCAAGGCATGAGATTTCTCAGCAATCCCTGTCTATAGGCGGTACTCTTCAGAACTTCTCGCACACCACTGCGACCGAGATGGCTCTGTCGGGACAGCCTTCTCTCCCATCTGTTGAGCTAGGCCAACCCAACGTCCAATTATTCGACGCTAAACAAGTGGCGAGACCTTCAACGTGAGCTTCTCTTTTCTTTTACCTAGACTTTTAAATTATTTACGGACATGCTTTAACGTCCATAGTGCCAATAAGTTTTGGGAGCGTCTTGACACATTCCACAAGTCGTACGCTCGCTTCGTCACCGATCGCAAGACACAGTCTGGAGACGAAACCCCACGGAGAATCCGAATAGCAGTCATTGATACTGGAGTTGACTTTGGCCATCCGGGAATAACGGTTGCCAAGGACAAGGGCCGCATGAAGAAGGAGTGGTGCCACAGCTGGGTTGGTGATGACGCAAAAGACGAAGACAATGAGTTGCACGGAAGCAATTGCGCCCATCTCTTGCACAAGTCGGCTCCCGAGGCGGATATTTACGTCGCAAAGGTGTTTAACCAGAATAATGTGAGAGATTACGAAGCCGAGAACATTGCCAAGGTAAGATTCCTTCAACCCGTGGCCAGATCGGAGATCTCATCAACAACCAATGAATATACTCACGATCCTTACAGGCTATTGACCACGCAGTAACCAAATGGGATGTGGACATAATCTCCATGTCTTTTGGACTTAATCGTCCAGCCGCTCGAGACGATGGAGACGTGGAAAAGGAGCTGTTGGCCTTGAAGAAGTACAATGACATCGTGGAGGAGATTGAGAAGTCAATTCGAAAGGCCTCGCCACGCCTAATATTTGCAGCTGCTTCCAACAACGGGAAGAACGATCGTCGGGCATTCCCAGCCAGCGACAATCCTTACGTGACTTGCGTCCACGCCTCAGAAGGGAACGGTGCAGATGGCGGCATCAACCCCGAGATAGGGAGCGGTTTCAACTTTATGACGCTGGGGATGGGGCTGGACCTAATGGAAAAGGAGAAGATTTTGGACCTCGTTAAGAAGGATAAGATGGAGAAGCAAGGGAGGGACCCGGTGAGATACAAACAGGTGGTAAAGTCTGGAACGTCATTTGCAACCCCAATCGCGGCGGGCATCGCCGCCACGGTCCTCGATCTCGCAGATCGCGTCGACGCCATCAACAAGCGAGCCAAGGAGAAGCTAAGAAGTCCCGAAGGTATGGAAAAGATGCTAAAGCTCATGTCGACCCCCAAGGACGTGAGGGACTGCATGTGCTACATGGCACCATGGAATCACTGGACAGGTGGTTGGGAGCTGGAAGATTCCGAGATTAAATTGGCCTGGGCCAGCATCAACGTGCAATTTAGCCAGTATTGATCCATCAAATTCAATTCATAATCTATGGCTCCAACTTGAGCCTTTTCTAGTGATACTTTAATGGGCTGGACGCGAGGTATGTTGAGAAGTGTTGGAATTGTCGATGGGATCATGATCTCATATAAGCCCAGAGACTCAGGGCCTCTTACTCGACTACAATATCGTTGTAGCTTTTTTATGACCTTGGATTAGTGCTATATTTGAGTTAATAGGTCCAAATACTACACTTTCGCAATCCTATCAACGTCAATATTCGTGTCAATGTTCTCCGCTCCCACTGCCTTCTCCATGGCATCCCACATGACAGCAGGAATCTTCCACCCTGAAGCCGTGATACCACCATAACCATTGAACAGCCATCTATTCATGTCGACTTTATCCACCCTCATAATCCTCTGTGCAAAGTCGGGAAGGGCACCAAGTCTTGGGTCCTCTCCTCCAGCACCGTCACAGTAACTAAGCCGCATCGACGCCAACGGGGTCGAGAGTCTCATCTCTGCGAATCCAAGGCAAGACGGAGAGTCTGAGTTGGCCACAGCTTGCGCAAATGAAGTCACCAAAAGGGTAAAGGTCTCGGGGTTTGGCACTTCTCGTATCTCTTTACACGGTCGGTCCTGATTCGCCGTTGCTTCTGCTCTCCTTGTGAGACGGTCCTCGATATCCGAGTTTTCCGAGTTTATATCCGGCAGAGTATCGCCTTGATCATCTGAGTCAGAGCTGAATTCTGACTCTACGTCGTATTCCACTTCTTCCTCGGATCCAGGGTAGACGTCGAGCAACCACCCTCCATCCGGCGTTACCATGGACATGTCGACAAACACAGACCTCACTGAAGGACCAAAACATCTAAAGGCGCAATATGACAGGCACCATTTTCCCCAGAGAAAAAGAGAAACAAGTGTCGGAAGCTCGCAGATTCTTCGCATCCCAAGACTGAGACGATCCTCTTCCTCATCCGGGATAAGTATCGCCTCTTCATTTCGCGGGTCAGGATTCCAGAGAAGAATAGTCAACGTAGCCAGAGAAGCGTACATCGGCTTCAGCAATGCGCTAGCGAGTGCGGCTTTGAACTCTTTTCGCAGAGTGGGCATGCGGCGTGGTGGCATGTACAAATCCCAGATCGTGTGCTCGAGGCATGGAAGGGCTTTGGCCATGACACAGATGGCATCGGGATGGAGTCTCCGGCCGCTTCTATGCCTTGCAACAGCTCAATCGCGTAAATAATGCAACAACAGCCTCTGTAAAAACGCGCGAATTCTCCGCGGCCTCCCTGGAACTCTGGAACTTGTTCCGCAGGCGCTTATCGCTGATAACCGGGAGAACGACATCAAACCGAATAGCCTTGACTAAATCTCGAATTGTCTCGTCTGAAAAGACGTCGCCAAACTGTCTTAGAGACTCCGGGTGGCTATTGAGTTTCACCGTGTTGAATGAGCGCGTCTCGACGCGACTGAGGACGGCTCTTGAGACCCTGCCCACGGTAACTGAGGCGACAAAGTCGAGGGTTTCCGAAGAGGACATTGTAAGAACTAGCCCGAGCTTTGGCTATCGCATGTCGACTCGAGAATGTGCTTCGATGTCTCGGTCAAAGCCCTACTGCGTGCGTATATCCGTAGAACGCGTCAAAGTGGCACCAAAACTCCGACTCTCACGAACTCCGAGGATGACTCTGAAGATATCCAAGCTCTCAGACGCGTTCAGACAAGGACTCAGACTAATTGCGGTAGACAAAAGCCATACCGCTTCTAATCTCGATCCGCACTCCCACAAAGCGGCACAGCAGCCCACATCGCGGGAGCATTCAAGCGAGTCTAGCGAGAGTCCCAAGACCCCAAAAATAGTGGTAGCAAGGGTTGACGCCCATGTCGAGTAATCTTATTGTTCGCCATAGATCCGGCTATGGCGGATAATGAGTAAAGCAAAGACAACTCCAGCTGACAAACAGACAAGAGTTGAACAACATCTTCAACATCACAATCACCTACGAGAAATGACGCAATTCCTCTCCTTCACCTCCAATCTTCGGGTGCCACAGCCGATACAGGTGGACCACCCTATCATGACCCTGCATTCTCGATGGTGCAATCAAAGACGTGCCCATTGCGACAGCCCGACAGACCCGGTTGAATTAATAATGCTGTCCCCACGGCGAGGTCTATTTATGTGTGGAGTTGTGCCATCTTTAGACGTCTTCCCCAGATTGATAACCCAGTCTTTGATCAGTGATCAGTCATACACTCAGCAAACATGGCCCAGGCGGATATTATTCTCTACACCAACCATCGGTGCCCCTGTAAGAGCTCATACTACCTGGTCAGGATGCATGCTAACAAACCCAGTCGCTCACAGGGCTCACATCACCCTCGCGGAACTCGGCCTCTCCTACAAGGAAGAGATCATTGACCTAGACACTCCGAGGACCCCCGAGTATCTCAAGGTCAACCCCCGTGGTCTGGTGCCCTCCATCTCCTACAACGGAGAGATCATTACCGAGTCTGCCATCGTCGCCCAGTTTCTGGCCGACACCCACCCTTCTGACTTTCTGCCTAAGTCGTCGGACCCCAAGGATGCTCTCACCCGGGCTAGGATCAACTTCTTTACGGATGCGTGGTCAACCAAGGTTCAGTCGCATATCTTCAAGCTCACCTACTCTGCGTCTGTGAGCGAAGAGGTGGTCAAGGACGCTACCGCCAGCATCGTCAAGGAGATTGAGCCTCTCCTCTCCAACGCCGCGCCCTTCTTCAACGGCAGCGACAAGCCCACATTCGCCGAGGTAAGTCGGTACTTGTCCACATGTGCACTATAGCTAACCAGCTTGGCAACAGGCAATCGTCGCGCCCTTTGTCATCCGCTTCTTCACCTTGAGCAAGCACGGTCTCGTCCCCACCAGTTTCGTCGAGGCCCTCGAGAAGGAGGCTCCCAATTTTTACAAGTGGGCGCAGGCTGTGATCAAGCACCCGAGTGTGTTGTCCATCTACAACGAGGATGTGATTGTCGATGGTACCAAGAAGCGAATTGAGAAGCTCAAGGCTCAGGCTTGAGTGACTTCGGCATGAGTGATGGGAAGACGATGATACGCAGACGGGATGATGATATCATGACAGTTCAGAGTATGAAGCTACGAGAAATATTTGTCAATCTGATGAAGAATATTTGTCAATATTATGATGCTATTGTCGCATCCACTGCGTAGTATTGGCGGTCGCGGCAGATGAATCTCATCAACACCATGGACAAACATCCAGTGTTGGCAGAAGGGTGAGCGACTTTATCCTCCAGCGACAAGTCTCACTGTCACCAGTTTCCAGCCATGTCCTCTCTACTGCAAGGTACAATGCACCATATACAACCACTTACTCGAAGCCACGAGTCATATCGTGTCCTCGCAAACATGTACTCCCCATCACCCGACTCGACCTATCGTAGCACTATGATCCTCCCTCCTTCGTCTTCTAGTGTAGCAAACATCAATGCATCCCAAGACCATGCCGACCACGTGGGCCAATCTCTCCGACAAAACTCAATGGAAGGGACTCAAGCAAAGCAAAGCAATCAACCCATTTGTGTCTCCTTTAAACACCCCTGTAACATAGCTCCAAGGGTAGACACAAATACCCACACATCCCCTGCACCAAAGCAGCACTTGGCTCTACACCACTATTTAATACTACCAAGCACCTTACCCCTGCCCAGAGAGCCAAGCGTCCCAAGTGGAGAAGACCCCTTGTCGTTAATCCCGCTGGATTTCCTGGTTCCCTTGACAAAATCCAGGGAAACATCGACGACTAATTTTAAACCTTACAGACGCGCGGCTCAGAAACCAGTAACGCGTCTTTGAATCTCTGTCCCTTGAAGAAGGAAGTCATGTAACCCCCGGCAAGCCTCTCCCGCTTGACCTTGGCAAAGTCTCCAAGTGGAGTTTAGTGGTGACACACCGTCCGACGGTGGTTGATCTTGGCGGGTCAGGGAGGCGAACGGGAAAAAAACCCTTGAAATTACAGGGCCTCATGGATCTCCAAGAGCCGTTCCAGAGTTGGAGATGGCCTCCTGAGTTTCCCCAGCACGGTCCCTCTCCGTCGTTTCTTCTCCTTTTCCTTCCTTTGACTTTCCTTTCTGTTCTACATTTCTACTCCTGTTTGCCTTTTTCTGACGCGTCTCAGTAGACGAGTTTCTTCTTGTTAACTTTCTGTCGTTGTTTGTTTGCTCTTAACTGTCACTCCTTATTTGAGCGTTTCAGTCTAGCTCGTCCACTCCTTGACCGCGACAGACATTTATTCACTCCTTTTCCCGAATTGTCATGCGATAGATCCTCTTCGATACTGACACCCAAAATGTTTTCCCGCTATCTCCTCCCGGCCGCCGCCATCTTCGGCCTCGCGACAGCCCAGACTACCTCCGAGTGCAACCCCCTGAACCAGACCGACTGCGATCCCAACCCTGCCTTTGGCACGACGCACCGCTGGGACTTTAACAGCACGCCCTCTGCCGACCTCTGGGAGACCATCGTCGGCGATGTCCCCTACGACAAGGACCATGGCGCCGTCTTCTCGGTCAAGAAGCAAGGCGACTCCCCCACCATCCGCACAAACTTTTACTTCTTCTTTGGCCGTACCGAGCTCCATATGAAGGCTGCTCCCGGAAAGGGAATCATCAGCTCCATGATGTGGCTGAGCGATGACCTCGACGAGGTTGATTGGGAGCTTCTCGGCGCTAATGATACACACGCCTCGACAAACTACTACGGCAAGGGTGTTGAGGACTTTACCCAGGCGGGATGGCATTACATGAAGGACGGCATGCAGGAGGATTACCACAACTATACCACTACCTGGACAAAGGACCAGTTGAACTGGTATATTGATGGCGAGGTTGTGCGAACCCTCAACTATGCGGATGCCAAGGCTGGAGAGGCGTACCCTCAGACCCCGATGAGACTGAGCATTGGTATCTGGGCTGCTGGAGATCCCACTATGCCTGAGGGTACCCGTGAATGGGCCGGTGGTGGTGAGTGACTCAATTCAAGTGGCGATACAAGCAACATACTGACCATGTGCAGATACCGAGTACGACAAGGGCCCTTACAGCATGTACGTCAAGTCTGTTCTCGTGGAAGATGCCAGCACTGGCAAGGAATACGTCTACGGTGACAAGTCCGGCAGCTATAAGAGCATCGAGATTACCAAGTAAGACCTCACTCCACATCACAAATAAACCCTCATTCTAACATATATAGGGGCAACTCAACCGCCTACGAGAACCTCCACAAGAAGCCCGAAGAAGCAGACAAGACCACGGGCGAGAAGTGGGAAGCCCTCCCCACGAGCACCAAGACAGCCGTGTACGGCGGAGGCGTCGCCGTCGCAGCAGTCGGCGTCAGCGCCCTCGCCTTCTACTGGCTCCGAAAGCGCCGCGAGGGCGCGAGCGAGGCCAAGGCCGCCGAAGTGGCCGAGCAAGAGAGGACGGACCTCATGTCTTACCGGGCGGGAGAAGACACGACGAACCAAGGCCACGAGTACAGCGCTGCCCGTTGGCAGAAGCTTTCTACTTGATAACAAGTAATGATGCTGCGTTGGAAAAGTTTTGAGAACAAACTACGCAAAGCACATCATCCCTCTTGGGCAATTTTCTTGATTTCATTATTTAATCTGGCATTTCAGGGTATATACAACACAACAGGAACAATCATCACACATCATAGGAAGCACAACAATTCTTTTTTAGCTAGGCGTTGCAAACAGATAAACTCGTAGGCGTTAGAAATAGAAACCGAAATCTCACTTTTTAACAATCCAAAGAGAGTCTTGGGGATCAAGTGGCAACGAAAAGAATATTCTAGACTTGGAATGTCAAGAGCGATTCGGCGCCAATGTCAATTTTGTCAGCGCAAGGGCGTGAGTGTCCGGGTATTATCGTGATTACTTGGGTTAAAGCCGGCTCCGTTGTCGGGGCTGAAAAAAGTTGAAAGGATTTAATTGACGATAAATCCAGACTCACCTCGAAAAGAAGAAATTTGTATCAATTCAACTCAGCTTTACATTCTTTATACGTCTTTTACCCTCAATCTCATAGCAAGCGTTCAAGTTCATCAAGCATATCACCACCACCCTCAGAAAACACCAGACTCAACCTCCTACCACCTCAGAACTAAACACCAAATCTCATCTCACCACCTCCATCATGTCTCTCACTTTCCGCCCCGCCACCCCCGCCGATATCCCCCCAGTCCTCTCTCTCGTTCGCTCCGCCTACCGCGGCGAGTCGTCCCGCACCGGGTGGACCACAGAGGCGGACCTCGTCGCCGACGACCGCATCTCAGACGAGTCCCTCCTCGCCAAGATCACAGACCCCAACGGCGCCGTCATTCTCGCCTTTTCCACCTCCAACTCTGGCACTTCCACCCCTCAATCCGACTCTGACGCGGATCGCGACCCTAACCTCGTCGCCTGTTGTGAGGTTGGTCGCCGCGACGGAGACCACGCCTACTTTGGCCTCTTTGCCGTGTCGCCTGAACTACAGGCCGCCGGCATCGGTAGACAGGTTCTCCAACGTGCTGAAGAGCACGCCAAGAAGGAATGGGGTTCACGTATTATGAACATGTGGGTTATCTGGAAGCGTGAAGAGCTCATCGCCTGGTATGTCCGAAGAGGATATCGCATTACCGGTGAGAAAGCGCCTTTCCCTTATGACCAGCTTGTCAATGGCAATGCGCTCAGAGATGATCTGTACTTTGAGGTCTTGGAAAAGGAGTTGTAACGTGCCGGACACATCAGACAACTATAGAATCAAGTTAGAGAAGATAAATAGACAGGGCAACCACTCATCGCATCATATGACAAGAGCCACTTCGACTCAGTGCGTGTGAACCACTCAAACCAATCACTCATGTCAACACAAGCACACACTTGAACGTGAAATCATCATGGGCTATCTCGGTCCTTCTCGAACCCTTATATACACTTTTAGACATGTCCCAAATTCCAATCGCTTTGCATACAATTTTCCTTTCTCTTTGGGTATATTTGACCAATTTACTGGCCCTCAACCTGCTTGAGGATACCCTCGAGGTTGATGCTCTTGGGTCGCTCAATGGGCAGACCTAGAGCCCGGTCCCAAACCAGCTGGGCAAGAGGTCCAAGACCTCGGGACACACCAAAGGTGGCAGTGTAGTAGAGGGTCTCGTGGAAACCGTAGTGGTGGAACAGGACACCGGAGCTGCTGTCGACGTTGGGGTAGGGGTTCTTGGTCTTGCCGTGCTTCTTGAGCACCTCAGGGGCGATCCGGCTGTTCTTCTGCACAAGCTGGAAAACGGGGTCCTGAGCAATCTCAGGGCGGGCGGCAGCATAGTCCATGAGAGCCTCGAATCGAGGATCAGGCTTTCGGAGGACAGCATGGCCGTAACCGGGAACGACACGGCCGGAGTTGAGGGTGGACCAGAGGTAGTCGTTGACATCCTGCTCAGTGTACTTGGCAGGGATGGCCTCCTTCATCTGGAGGATCCATCGGAGAACCTCCTGGGCGGCGAGACTGTTGCAGAGGTTAGTAATATGTCAATTAACATGAAAGAAAAACTTACCCGTGGAGGGGACCGGCAAGACCCTGAAGACCGGCACTGTAGGACAGGAAGGGGTCGGACAGAGCGCTGCCAACCAGGTGAGTGGCGTGAGCAGAGACGTTACCACCCTCGTGGTCACCGTGAAGAGCAAGGTAGAGACGGAGGAGATCCTGGAAGTTCTCGTTCTCCTTGCCACCCTTGCCAAGCATGGCAGCAAAGTTGTAAGACCAATCCTGCTCGAGGTCAACCTCGGCAGGGAGAGCACCACCGCCACGGTAAGAGTTCTGGTAGATCTTGGCAGCAATGGTGGGGAGCTTGGCCAGGAGGGAGATGCAGTCATCAAAGGTAGGCTCCCAGTAGTCGGCCTTGTTCAGACCCTGCTCATAAGCCTTGGCAAACTTGGACTCGTAGTTGAGAGCAGACACAGCCATGGCGAATTGAGTCATGGGGTGGAGGTCCTTGGGGAAGTTATCGAGCATCTTGGCGACAAACTCGGGGATCTGGGCCTTCTCAGCGAGCTCGCGAGAGAAGCCGCGGATCTGGTTGGTCGAGGGGACCTGGCCAGTGAGGAGAAGCCAGAACATGGCCTCGGGAAGCATCTCGGTACCAGTCTTGCCCTTAGGGAGCTCCTTCTGGCAATCCTTGATGGTACGGCCGTGGAAGCGGATACCCTCGTTGGCATCGAGGACGGAACCCTCCCAGACCATGGCCTTGAGGCCACGCATGCCACCAAGGGTGTTCTCGACCTTGACCTCGCCGATAGTCTTGTTGGCATGGGCCTTGACCTTCTTCAGGAGCTCTCGCTTGGCGGGGATGGCCTCGCGGAGAGTGGCCTTGAGGTCGGGCTCAGCCGTGGCATAGCCGCGGGCGCCGACAAAGGCGGCACGGGTGAGGGGCTGTGAGAGAGATGTGTAAGTTGAAGTCGATCACATGTAGATCTCTACAAGACGTACCTTGAGTGAGCCAAGAGCCCGGCGAGAAGTTGTCAAATTGAGGGCCATTGTGAGATTGTGTGAGAGGAGATGAATTGGGAGAAGAGAAGGGAGAAGGACGAGGAGAAAGGTGAGGTAGGGCAGGTATGCATTGGAACTGAACTTGGGCCGCGGCTTCCCTGCTATAAACGAATTGAAGCGGCAATGGGGAAGGCACAAAAGTACAAGTACAGGTGGGGGTCCGAGCTGGAGCAGTTGGTTGTGCGTCGCAGCGTCTGGGGTAAGCCGGGCGGAATAGCGGGGGAGGAACTGCAGCTGGTGGTTGTTCTATTTTGTCATGCGGGGTTGGGTCAGTGCTGTCTGTGCTTTTTTTTGGGTGCGTCATGGTTGGTCGGCGACGTGCGGAGAAGGGAGACTTACAGCCGGAGAGTCTTGTTATCAGCGTGATGGAATGACGAGATTGCAAATAAAACAGGTGTTTTGAAGCATATAAAGAGAGTCCAAATAATACAGTGAATACCCAATTCAATATCAATTCACATTCCCCTTCCTCAACCTCTCTCACCCTCCCCCGGACCACAGGCACCCAGCCATCCAATCTCCCACGGGTATACCAAGCCTCGACAACCGAGGACAACCGCCACGAACCGGCTGCTGAATGCCACGGCTCAAACATACAACATCCACGGTGTCGCAGACCAATCATCTTCCTTCACTCATACCGCCGTAGCTCCGTCATTGGTCAATTCGTCGTCTCGTCGGCAATGTCCCTCTTCCTTAACCAAGGCTCTGCTGACATGAACACGTCGAGACTCAAGTACCGAGCGAAGCGTGAACCCCAAGGGCAAGGTGCCCTTTTTTTGTCTGGTTCACCCTCGTATGATCCTGGGGAATTGGAGACATTCTCTCGGCTACGGAGCTCGTGTTCGGCGACCGACGGTCATCGAAGTTAAGTCTGTTTGTTCATTTCTCACCTTGGATGACTTTCAGCTGTGTAAGCTAGGCTCACAGATCATGGTTCCGATATCGTAGGCCAATACTTGCAGATAACAATTCTTCAAAACTATTACCGAAAAATGATAGCCAGTGGCATGTTTCCACCGCTGTAATAGGTTATTGTCGTGCGATATCGCTTCCGTGGTGTTGTGGTTTACACAGTTTGTTCTCGTTGGAGCTGTCACGGACCACGGCCACGGCCACAGCCATTATTCATCAGCCGAGCTCCATCGCTAATCCCAGGCCACCTCTTGCATCTATAACCCTTCTCTACACCACCACACCCTCCTCCTCTTCCTCCCTTTCTCGACACACCCTGTCGGATTTCTGGAAGTTGAAGATACTTCAAAATGATGCGCAGAATATCCACTCGAGCTCCTCGGCAATTGCTCTCTATCGCCTCCAAGCCTAGAGGTCCCGCCCTCTTCCTCGCCGCCCGCGCTCTGTCCACCTCGTCTGTCGCCAGAATGCCCCTCCACAGCAGCCACGCGACTCAGCCTGCCGATGCCTTCCAGCTTCTCCCTGAGTCGCAAAAGGCTGGTGAGGCTGAAGACCGTCTGTACGAGGCTACCGTCAAGGAGATTGAGGCCTGGTGGGCGTCGCCTCGTTATGAGGGCATCAGGCGTCCTTACAGCGCTGCTGATGTCGCCTCCAAGCGCGGCACGCAAAAGATCCAATATCCCAGCTCCGTCATGGCTCAAAAGCTCTTTAACCTCGTCCAAGAGCGCCAGGCCAAGGGCGAGCCCATCCACACCAGTAAGCGCCTCGCCCAGCACCAAATACACCCAGACTAACACCATACAGTGGGCGCTATCGATCCCGTCCAGATGACCCAGCAGGCCCCTCACCAAGAGGTTCTCTACATCTCCGGCTGGGCCTGCTCCTCCCTCCTCACCTCGACCAACGAAGTTTCTCCCGACTTTGGCGACTACCCCTACAACACAGTCCCCAACCAGGTCCAGCGCCTGGCCAAGGCCCAGAACATGCACGACCGCAAGCAGTGGGATCTCCGTCGCAAGATGACTCCCGAGGAGCGCGCAAAGACTCCCTACACTGACTACCTCCGCCCCATCGTCGCCGACGGTGATACCGGCCATGGTGGTCTCTCTGCTGTTCTCAAGCTTGCCAAGCTGTTTGCTGAGAATGGTGCCGCTGCTGTTCACTTTGAGGATCAGCTCCATGGCGGCAAGAAGTGTGGTCACTTGGCTGGAAAGGTTCTCGTCCCCATCGGTGAGCACATCAACCGTCTTGTCGCCGCCCGTTTCCAATGGGACGTCATGGGCTGCGAGAACCTCGTCATTGCCCGAACCGACTCCGAGTCTGGCAAGCTCCTCTCCTCGGCCATCGATGTCCGCGACCACGAGTTCATCCTCGGTGTCGCGGATCCCTCGATCGAGCCCCTTGCCGAGACCATCCAGGCTATGGAGGCCGAGGGTGCTGTTGGCACCGAGATTGATGCTTTCGAGGCCAACTGGGTCAAGAACACCAAGCTCGTCAGCTTTGACGAGGCCGCCGTCGCGCACATGCAGAAGGAGGGTGTCGCTCAAGCCCAGATTGACGAGTACCTCGCCGAGACTGCCAAGGACCGCGATATGGGCATCTCTCGCCGTCGCCACCTTGCCGACAAGTACACCAAGACGCCTGTCTACTTCAACTGGGACGTCCCACGAACCCGTGAGGGCTTCTACCACTACCGCGCCGGCATGGACGCTGCCACCAAGCGTGCGCTCGCCTTCAGCCCCTATGCCGACCTCCTCTGGGTCGAGACTGGCGACCCCAACGTCGAGGTGGCCGCCAAGCTCGGCCGTACGGTCCGCGAGGTGAACCCTGGCAAGGGTCTCGTGTACAACCTGTCTCCTTCATTCAACTGGATGGCCCACGGCTTCACTGATGAGACGCTCAAGTCGTTCATCTGGGACATTGCCCGCGAGGGCTTTGTTCTGCAGCTCATCTCCCTGGCTGGTCTTCACTCTAACGCGACCATCACGACAGAGCTGGCTCGCAACTTCAAGACGGAGGGTATGAAGGCGTACGTTGATCTTGTGCAGCGTCGTGAGAAGGATCTCAACTGCGATGTCTTGACGCATCAGAAGTGGAGCGGTGCTAGCTACATTGATGGCATCCTAGGAGCCATCCAGAGCGGCAGCTCCAGCAGCAAGAGCATGGGCGAGGGTAACACTGAGGGACAATTCCATTAGAGCATTAGTGAAGGATGTATAGGGTGAAGAGATGGAAAAGCATGGGTCGGAGTTGGGGCTGATTTTGTATATATCACTTGGTACCATGTGAATGCTACGAGATTATGAGCAGGCAGTGTCTTTATGCATCATTTCACTACACTTGACGTATTTTAAAGTCATTATATTCAATCTCATGCTATTCGTTACTGGTTCCCTGACCTTTCACTCTCATTGACTGCCACCCGCTTACAGAGAGTCCTTGAGGGCGTTGTTCTGAGGAGGAGGGTTGGCAGGACCCTCAGCAGTGACATAGGCCTTGGTCATGCCACCATCAACAGCAAAGTCATGACCATTGACAAAGCTCGACTCATCACTAGCCAGGAACACAACAGCATGCGCCTGCTCAACAGCCTCACCGAACCGACCCATGGGGAAGTGAACCTCTCGCCTGTGACGCTTCTCCTTGTCATCACCAAGCCAATCCTGCAGCAGAGGGGTGTTGAGAGGTGCAGGGCAGAGGTTGTTGAACCTGTATCCCTCCCTGGCGTGAACCATGGCGAGCTCACGGGTGAGAGCGAGGACAGCACCCTTGCTGGCGGTGTAGGCCAGCTGAGGGGTGGCAGCACCGACGAGGGCGACGACAGAGGCCGTGTTGATGATGCTGGCCTTTGTCTTTTGGTGACGACGGAGAGAGAGAACGGCGTGCTTGCAGCCGAACCAGACACCCTTGACGTTGATGTTGTGAGTCAGGTCCCAGATGTTCTCGGGAGTGTTGACGGCGTCGTCGTCCTGAGCGTGCATGATGCCGGCGTTGTTGAACATGACATCAAGGCCGCCCCAAGAGTCGAGAGTCTCAACCATGGCCTTGACCTCGGCCTCCTTGGAGACGTCGCATTTCTAAAGGGTCAGTTGTGTGTTGAGTCAAAGTGGTGAGAGGCTTACAAAGATCTCGACGCGGGGAGCGTTGGGGACGAGCTGCTTGACCTTGGCAGCAGCCTTTTCAAGAGCAGGCTGAGAAATATCAGACAAGAGAACGGAAGCACCCTCCTTGGCAAAAAGGATGGACGTCTCAAGGCCAATACCACTAGACAAATTGTCAGTTGTAAGAAGGGAGGTGAAGAGTCAAGACACCTACCCGGCAGCACCAGTGATGATGGCGTTCTTGCCGGCAAGGCGACCACGAGTCTGAGAGTCTGTGACGGCAGGCATTTTGATATGAACAAGTGTGAAGAGTAGAGTAAAAACTTGGGATGAAAAGAAGATGGTGATGGACGGGGTTATTAAAGGAATTGGTGTTGTGATACAAGACAGCTGTGAGGGGCAGCACGAAAAAGTGGCGGGGTCGGAGGAGGGGTGTGTCTTATCAAAGAAAGTTCGATAAGGATAGAGAGAGCACAGGGAAAAGAAAGTCAGTTGATGACCCTAGATATAGACGAGAAGAAGAGAGGGCTAGAAAAAAGAAACAAAAGGTCGTCTGATATTCGCTACCGCTGTTCGTTTCCCCGTCAAGTGAGGGGCATTCGATTTCCGACAACGGGGCTGTCTTGCACGAGGTCCATATCGTTGGCTAATACTAAGCCCCTCATCGCGGCTATTGTTGACCATTCTGGCCGTGTCTCGTACTGTATGGATCGTGACGGGAGCTTATCAGTTGTACAGGAGTGGTGGGGGGATTGTAGATGTTGGCCGATGTAAGCGCGGTAAGCTGTCATTGCTGTAGCGTGGGATTGACTTTGTGAGCTATCCGATACTGTACTGTAGAGTAGACTACCTAGCCAGTAAAGAGAGCTTCTTGGATCATCACAGTGTTCTCGACGTCGCTGAATGAAGCTTCTATCGATATCGTCAGATCCAGGGTCCAGATCTCATGCAGCATCCTTGCAAAACCCGATGTCGGCACTGGGTCACGAGACGAACTGATCAAAAGCCAATGTCCCAATCATCCATTAGCGGTGTCCCTCGTGCACTGTAAGACCGCGCGGCTACATGATACCCCCAAGATGCCGCGATGATAGATTCCCCAGGTTTGAATTGCTTCTTTTTGAGATACAGCCGCCATTAGCTTGTTCAACGGCGGCTCCTGTCAAAAAGAGGCTCTGTGTGCCGGTCGGTCCGAGCTTTTTGGGGATCAAGATGAATGCCGATGCGGGGTGACGATGATGGTTCAGCGCGGCAATACTAAATGAAGCCATCCTGGTCGCGTGGCATTTCTACTTTTGGGCAATGTACTCCAATCTGCGAGATCTCAAGCCATGACGCGATCTTTACATTCCCTGTGCAACTGTTGGTTCTACAAGCAATTGAATCTATGCACACTCTTTCTGCGTACTGTATTACTATGTCGGGTATCAATGAACCTGTTTAACCATCATGACCGACAAGCCTCACAATCTATACCCGTCAAGTCCTAGGGCGGCACGCGCACCGAGGAGCCGTGGTCCCCCACATTGCCGCTCTTGACGTCACTGAAGCCTTATCGGTCTGTGTCTGCTTATCGTAGCCGCGCTGGGCTTCACATGGATCCTAAACTTGATTCATCCAGCAGAGATACCTACCCCTCCTCTCTTTCGTCCCGTGTCTTCCATCTTCCCCTTTTCTTATTATCGCGGCTTTCATCTGTTGAGCTCCATCTTGTTACTTTTCCCGCTTTCCCGCCCTCAACTCCACCTCAACCGCGCGCGCGCTCCTCCATAGAGCTTCAGCTTGAGCTTTGAGCTTCGGCTCCACGACGACTTACTTCTCGAACCGACGTCCTAAACAACTCACTTGAGTCTCCTTCGGCTTGACTACTTTAAAATAGTCGCCTTATCCTCTTTCCAACATCCAACTCATCACCCTCACACATACACATCTTCTGAGCTCCAAGCTCAACCACCACCAAAATGGCCTCCGAACTCTTCCCCGACACCATAACCCCCGAAACCCTCCCCCAACTCCTCCAATCCGACACCATGGTAAAAGTCGCCGGCGTAGACGTCGACGGCATCCTCCGCGGCAAGCTCGTCTCCAAGAAGAAATTCCTCTCCATCGCAGAAGCCGGCTTCGGTTTCTGCTCCGTCATTTTTGGCTGGGACATGCATGACAAGACGTATATCCGCGAGCTCAAAATCTCCAACGCCGAGAATGGGTACCATGATCTTCTTGCTGTGCCGGATTTGTCTACTTTTAGGAGGATTCCTTGGGAGGATAATGTTCCCTTCTTTTTGGTTGATTTTCTTGACCCTGATACCAAGAAGCCTATTTGCGCTTGTCCGCGTGGTTTGATCAAGACACAACTCGATAAGCTCAAGAGCCATGGTTACGGTGCGATGGCAGGCGGTTAGTCTCCCCTTACACTATATACTTCCATCAACTAACAAACATCAGCCGAATATGAATTCTACCAGTTCAAGAACCCCGACCCATCAACATCCTCCCCGGCCGCCTACCTCCAAGAAAACCCCCCACACCAGCTCCCCGCGCTGACTGAGGGCATGTTTGGCTACTCCCTAACCCGCCCCGTTCACAACCAAGAGTACTACTACGACGTCTTCAACACGTGCGCCCAGTTCTCTTGCGACATTGAGGGCTGGCACACAGAGTCTGGCCCCGGCGTGTTCGAGGCTGCCCTCGAGTTTGGAGAGATCTCGCAGATGGCTGATCGGGCTGCGCTGTTCAAGTACGTTGTCAAGAGTGTTAGCACAAAGTATGGTATCACGCCTTGTTTCATGGCGAAGCCTAAGCAGGGACTTCCTGGAAACAGCGGCCACATGCATGTCTCCCTCGTCGACAAGGCCGGCAAGAATCTCTTCGCTCGCGACACACTCGATGAAAACGCCCAATGGAAGGACATTGCCGGCCTCTCAGATCTCGGACGACACTTTCTCGCCGGCATCCTCGTCGGTCTGCCAGACATAATGCCTCTCCTCGCCCCAACAATCAACTCGTACAAACGCCTAGTCGAAAACTTCTGGGCACCCGTAACCGTCTCCTGGGGTCTTGAGCACCGCGCAGCCTCAATCCGCCTCATCACCCCACCAACCTCGAAACCCTCAGCCACGCGGTTCGAAGTCCGCGTCCCAGGCGCCGACACGAACCCTCACTTTGTGCTGGCTGCGGTTCTCGGCTGCGGCTGGCGCGGCGTCGAGAAGAAGCTCGAGATCCCCACCCCGCCGCTCGCCATGGGTCAAGACGTCGGTGGAGAGGCGGATCAGGGCGAGAGGCTTGCCAAGAGTCTCAAGGAGGCTACGACGCGCTTCATGGCCAAGGGTAGCATCGCGAGGGAAGTGTTTGGAGATGACTTTGTGGAGCATTTCGGCGGTACAAGAGAGCACGAGATTCGTCTGTATGACGAAGCTGTAACGGATTGGTAAGTCTTCTCTTCAGCCTTTATTGCTTCTCAACTAACATGTTCCAGGGAAATGAAGCGCTACATTGAAACGGTCTAGTTAACCGGTGCATGGGGTTGTTATTGTTTACTGTATTGTCGATTTAGAGCGTATTTGTTGGGTACACTTCTGTACCATGAGCCATACTTGAAACGAATTGAGATGAATTCAATCATCGGGAGCCATCCTGGGGACCGAGAGATACCCAAGAATAGCTTGTGTTGTTCAAGACCGTTATTGTCTTTTTAGACTATTGCAATTCATCAGCTAAAGTGCCGTCTTGACTGTAATTTGAAACGCTGTAACCCTGAGCTATCTACTCAAACAAGTGATCTCGCGATCCCCTCGTTATAATACCCATCATGTCCATATCCATATCATATCCAGAGACTCCAGGATCGGTATCCATCCTGATAGATCCTCTCCAGTGTACATCAAATCCTTCCCGTATTGTACATCCAGCCAGCAAGTAGACTCCTGTTCCCGCTTATAACCAGTGTCTGGATATCCGTTTCTCATCCAAGACGATATGCAGTAACAATACCCAAAAACACCTGCCAATGACCATATATGCCTCGCGCATACAAGTAAACCCGTACTTCCTCTAATACACCTCATAATAAAGCCACAATGCCTCAACGCCTAGGCCAGAAACTCCGTTGAAGCCTTAATCCTTGCCATCATTCGTCCTCGCTATCGTCCTCGCTATCGTCAAAGGGTTTTCGCGCCGTAATAAATGTCCTGCTCCAAGTCAATACTGGTCCTTAAGCTCTGTGAAGTTCAACTTACACTTTGGCATAACTGCGCAGCATTGGATCCTGGACTTCCATCTTGACGCGATCCAGTAGCGCCCTTGTATCGTTCTCTTTCCACCCACACATGCCAAACAGCATCATTGTCCAGTTTTCGAGGCCTGCCACCATGTTAGAATCCTGAAATTCGCATCACCAATAATTGCACATACCCGAGTCAATCATTTCACCCAAAACCTCGCCCTTCTTTCGGTATATGGGATCCGTCCCCCAGCTCTTCACAGGCAGCCAGTCAACACGCTCCCGTATAGCCTCAGCGCCCAAATCGGCTAGCCATTCGGGCACTCTTGGCACAGGGTCAAAGTCAAGGCCCATCTTCATACACATTCCAACAAATGTCATTTCGAATTCGAGACAAGCCGCACCAATCTCTGGCTTCTCGCCGGCCATGAGATTCGGAAGATCAGCCTGCTCTGGGTCGACGTCGAAGAAGCGTGGGCGGATCTCGGTAAACTCGAGCTGACCTCCTGGTTTGAGATGGGCGTAAGCTGAGGCCAGCATTGCGCCCCAGTCGCGAACACCGCCACCCACGAGATTCCTCATATGAATAAAGTCGTATGTGGGTGAAGGCCAGGGATCCGTAGCGTCGGCAATCTCAAAGGTGACATTGGGCGGAACGTCCTTGGGTAATAGTGCGCTGCTGAGGTCAATGCCCAGTATTTCGACCTGAGGGTATCGCTGCGCCATGTCGCATGCCCACAAGCCGCTACCGGCGCCAATGTCGAGAATGCGAAGAGGGTTTTCGAGAGTATGTTGATCGAAAGGTAGACGAGTTGCGACGAGGTGGCCGTCTAAGCACAGCTTAAACAGTCCATGCTGCAGAGCCATGCGATGCGCCTCGGAAGCATCATTAGGTGTGAATAGCTGACCAGAACCGTGGTAGGTGTGCCCGTATGCGTGGATCGGGGGAAGCGAGTCTTGGGAGATGGTTGAGTAGTTGGAGCTGGTATCACTAAAGTCGGCGTCGTCTTCGGCGGGGCTCATATCGTCGTCAATCTGCAGGCGGTCGATCTCGGGCCACTTGTCGCTAGACTTTAGTAGATCATTTGTGGGAGGAGTAGACGGCGCTTTCGTGTGGGGATGTTCTGGACCAAGACGGGCCATTGTCGCGAGTCTAGGTTGCGACGATCGGCAAGGAGAATGAATGAATTGGTGCGCAGGGTCGTGTTCGCGATGTAGAGAGGAAGCTGTATACGTTGGAGTCGTAGTCGGAAAAGTCGTATTCGTCGTCAGTCGCAAGATCGTGAGCTGTCAGCAGAAGAAGGAGGAGCAAGTATTCGGAGCATGTGCGGGATCGGTCGTGATTAATAGTGGGCGCGCATCCATAGCCATGAGGACCTAAGAGAGTAAAAGAAAGAAGCACAGAAAAAAGAGGGGATGAGGAGGAGAAGAGAGAAGAGAAGAGAAGTAAAAGATGGAGGAGAAGAGACAATTATTGAAGCTGGAGAGTGGAGAGTGGAGGTTGTCAGGTCCAGGATGGTCGATGCAGACGCAGACGCAGTCTCTTTCCGTGGCCGCGCAGCCTCTCCGACTTAGTCCTTGCTAGCCAATGCCTTGGGTAGCAAGTATCGCGATAATTACAAGAACCGAGAGGCGAACGAAATGCGGAATCAAGGCCTAACATCGGCATTTGCACCCCATGTTTTGCGCGCGCCTCAGCCCATCGCCTTCGCCTTCGCCGTCGCCGTCGCCGCGAGCCAGAGAGAGAAACTCAGTGCTTCGCAAGCCCCGAAACACACATTTGACAGGCTCCACTTTTCTTTTCCTTGGGCTTTTCTATCCGTCTGTTCCCTAATGCGGCGACGAACCTTGGCTGTCATATTTGCTACATAGTATTGAAAAGTACTCGATACATGTGTGAATGCTCCCCCTCGGAGCCGACGTGACGCATCAAGTTGGAGTCGTAACTTAAATGTTAGGAACGTGTTCACGAGCCGCACCTTGGGCATCTCGGGATGACGCACTCCGAGATCCATCAACATGGAGTAGCTACGTATGTCTACGTCGTGCATACTCTTTTAGGGAATAAACAATTCAAATCATTTCTTTCCACGACATCATCACAACTCAATTGCTACTCGCTTGGACTCTTTTAGACTTTTGGCGCCGCCCTGAAGAGCCTGGACCAGGCCCTAGCCCCATCTCAATCTGCGACCAACAGCAAATCATCACCAGAGTCGCCCTGTCATTTTCTTCTTTCTCCAAGGATGGCCCGGTAGTTGCAGTGTCTCGCCCTAAAACATCCAATCCCATCCTGATTCGCATAACACGGCTGAGAACCCTACTGGCTCATGTCATCTCTTGTCAAAGCTTTCAATGCTACCCCAACCCACCATTTTTCACAATATTGAATTGGAATAAATTAAGCACATGTCACCGAGCAAGCCTCGCGATGGCCGAATATAGCTTCATTAAGCCGGATCAACATTGCCGACCCGACCTACCAACCTCTCCTCTCCTTTGTCTCTTGTCAAATCTTGGTCCCCCCCGCCTTTGGTGGAACCTTGAATGGCTTCTGCTTCTCAACGCGTGGCCCCCTTGTTCATCTTGGGGTTCTAGACCCAATGGTGGAGGGCAAGCTTTGAGTGATGGCGTGACCTGGCATGCCGCCCTCACCTTGGCTGTGCGTCTCCAGCGAATCATGTATCAGTATTGGGCAGTTCATCTTGGTTCAGAACCCTGACCATCATCACAGTCGTTTCCGCCAATCCTTGATTCGTGCGCGGTTTCTGCCTCTTTCGCTAAATATCCCCATTGGCTCTCTTCCCGACATCACCCAGAGACAAAAGTCACACAGCATCGCCAGGCCTTGAATTAATTAACAAACACGGGTCGGCGCGGGGCGGCGGCACGGCTCGATAGAATCAGTCATGTGAATCCTCCCAGTAATTGACTCGTCATGTTAACCAAGGGTTGCTCAACTCCTTCGCTCTCGGCCCCTCCCCCGATAACCGCCCAATGCACATCATCCTGATAGACACGGCGTCGGTCGCCTTGTTGGGCAGCCGCCGACATGGAATCGACTCTCTCGAGCACACACCTGCTCAGAATTATCGCCAACCGCATACGCCTTAATTAATACGCGACGTCTTTGTCTGGACTGCGCCGCTCAGTCACAGATAACGTTGCAGAGGAACGGCACGACAACCCTCCGTTGAGAGTGCCTGGTTGAGACCGACATGTCCTATTCGCCGGCTTCTCTTGTTCCGTGCCCGGTTTGTCGCCATTGGTTCTCGGTTGGGCTCGGCCTTGGGGATCATCATGACGGCTCGGACGTGACATTCGTGACAGGTCGTTGCTCCACTCGGCTCGGTCCTTGTCAGTTACAGGGTCGGATTATACGAGATTAACTCGACTACGAATTGTATCAAGCGCGGCAGCTAAACTTACTCGCCAGCAGGGGAGAACGAAACTCGCGTTTCAAATATCTCAAAGCCGAATATTGTCGAGTTGGGCGTCATTGTGTAACACGAGACATCAAGCCTCAGCTTTCCTGGACAACAAGGTTGAAAGAGTAGCCATAAGACGTTTTCAAACGTCTCTCGAGAGCTCAGTTTGGACCTTCTGAGGTCAAATTGACATCTGTATAGCTCATATATATATTAATAGAGTCTAGTCGGTTGCGTCAATGTTCCCAGACTGACGAACCTGCTGAGCATAAAAGAGGCTATCCCTACATCCAAGTTCATGCTCTGACTTTAAGAGACAGTTCATCGCTTCGCATGCCACCTTATAAAGCACGAATCAGGTATCCATGTATACTGCCAGTAGGCCTTGCTGCGCGAGGCCTTTCCATCCACTACACAGTCTGGGATAATCCTCGAAACTGCTGAGGCAGCGGAAGTCGACCGACACCTACGCATCAAGTTGCACCAAACTTCACCCAGGCGTCCACCATGCATCCATCCTGCACTATACCACGCCATGAATACATAAACCTCACTCTCAAACATCAACACATCCCGATTCTTTCCAGCCTTAGCCCACCTCCGCCTTGAGCCTCATCTCAGGCAAACCTTGTCTTGCCGGGATGTCCTCACTTTATGTCTACATGAAAATGGGGCGCCCTTCTGTTCACGCCCGTTTCACCAGCCTCATTTGCACTTCCTCTTGCATCTCACTGCATAGATACGAGACTTGTTGGACCCACGACCCTGTACCGGGACTCTGGCTGAGACCAAGACATGCATGTTCATGTGTAACCAAAGAGCCAAGACATGATAATCACTGCCAAGAATACCTAGGACACGTCAAAAGGGGATAGACTCAATGAGACAGATAGCTGAGATAGTATCCATGTTTATGCACACCAATATCCCTGATATGAATGTAGAGTAGAGTAAGGAAAACGCCGATGCTATGTCGCGGCCCATGGCCAACAAGTTCAAGGTCAAGAAGTGAGGCCGTGACCAAAAGGTAAACTAAGGTAGTAAGTAGTAATGTAGTGTAGTGTAATAGTAGTCAACAATGACCACCAGAAAGTAGCTTCGACAAGTACCGACCCAATAGATCAAAGTCCATAACCGTTGCTAGAGACTTAAAAAAGTCCCTTTGAATGAATGCCCTTTTGTCTTGCGTGTTGAAACCCGGCCCTGAAAAGGCCCACGATCACCGCCCAGCCCATAAACAAACCAATGCAGACCTAACCCATGCCTCCCAGTAATGTCCAATCCAATCAAACTCATCCAAATTCCTCCTCTTGCTTGCGTATCCATCATGACTTTGCGTGGTATCCCATAAGAATCCCCAACTCCATCAAAGATGAGCACTTACCCACCCACTTCATTCTCCCTCAACACGATTGATGAGCATGCATACAAAAGGAACTCGCTGCCTCCCATCTTGCCCGGTCTGCTGACCAATGCAGAAAGAAAAACAAGATTTTCGATAAGCATCGCTAGCCTGCCCAACCGTCCCGCGAATGATCCATTTCTCCCAACCTCTCCAAACTCCTGGGGTTATAACGAAACTTCCTCCCCGTCCTCGTCTGCTTTCCCAGTACCTGTAGCTCTGGCTCAAAGGCCTCTCGGTTGTGGCCCAGCCATTTGTTCTCATAAGCACATCGTCATAAGTCGTCTTCATGCGTAGCGTCGAGTTTTGTGAATTGGCGCGTCTGGCGCTCCCATGCTTAGTGGTCTTGTGCTTCATCCCTTTCTCCCCTCATGCTAGGCAGAGTCCTTCTTCTTGCGTTTTCCTCCAACTCTGCCGTCAGTGTGTTCATCATCAGGACTCCATTCTTCTGGGTGAAAATCTGGATTCCCGTAGTGCGCTCGATTCCATACACTATTTTTGAAGGTGTTTGTTGTCACCTGGAATGTCGGTTCGGGGAAGTTGTTCTTGCTCTCCTCATACTCAAGTTGAACCGGACTGAATCGTATGTGGTAACCAGAACTCGGCGGCGGCATCAGGGAGGTCTGTGGGCCTAGTCCTGATGTTGCGACCATGGGGGGACTGGGACCCATCGCTGAACTACCAGACAAGGAGGCGGGAGGCGTCGGAGGTTGAGGAGATGCCATGATGGTAGGAGGGGGTGGCGGCGCGGCTTGCGGCGTGGAGACTGGCAGTGTTTCAGGGAACGACGGCATCCACTGGCTCTGCTGCATCGGTGAGAAAGGCTCGGCTACCGTACTGGCTGGGGGAGGCGGCGCCAAAGATCCAAGTCCTCCAAATGCAGGGCCTGAGTTGAGACCCGGTATCATAGCGAGTGAGTCAAAGTTGACCGTAGCAAATTGACCGAGATCTGTTTGAGTCGCCGCGATGTCGGTGTTGTGCGTGAAACCACTCACGCGGTTGACTTGCATCGTGATAGGCGCAACAGGGACTGGCGGAGATCGGTACAGAATGTCATAGTGATTGGGTCTGAAGAGCAGGTAAATGATGGGGCCCAGGTTGGCGATATCCTGGCCGTTGGCCTCGTCGGGGAAACGGTATCGATTGACATGGGTGCCAGGGCTGCGATCGAGGTACGCTATCTCAAGGACTTGGCCGGCGGGCTTGAGGAGGGTGTGGACGAGGGCAATGATGCCAAGATGCTCGATCTCGCGATCCGGAATTTCGACGAACTGAGCGCAATAGGCTGGAATACCGATGCCATCATTTACAAAGGCCTCGTATGCTTCGGCATTGCCCTTGAGGTGGGTAGCGGCGAGTAGCCGAAGGTAGTAGATCATGCCATTGGCGGAGTTGGGGTCGTTCCACTTCTCTTGCACCAACATGTGTGCCATCGTGGGGTCGTTGACAATCTGAGCGACTTGGCGCAGTAGTCCAATCAACTCATCGGCCCAGTCCTCATAGTAGGAGTAACCCCCAACAGTCGACAACATATGACCCATACTCAAAAGTCGGGCGGCCTCGCCCTCGATCTTGGCCTGATCGCCTGAGTCGACTAGCTTCTCAAAGTAGCTGAATCCAAGTGCTGAAGGCAAGATGAGACGGTTAGCCGAAATCCGACAAGTCACTTGGTGGTGAGACACAAACAGCGGCAGGCAAAGCAAGGGGTGGCCGCTGAAGAAGCAGAAGTGACGCGAGGAATGCGCTCGTGCCAGACATGTTTGGGCCAGATCTGAGCCGCGGGACGGGAAACGGGAGCGATTTTGACTTACCTCGCCAGCCACAGTTACCGTCTCCTTGGATAGGTCGAAAGTGGGAGTATGTCTGGGGAAGTGTCTGCAGAATCATTTGAGGTCAGTTTCGAGGGCGAGCAACATAGTTTCGTGGAACACACAATTGTCTTGTCGACATAGACCGGATCGGCTTTGGCGTATTCGTGGGTAATGATGTCGCTCGAGATTTTGTTGCCAACCTTGAGCCCCTGCGAAACCGGAGGTTAGCAATAATGACGCGACGGAGCTGCGATGGAGCTCCATCGAATGCGACTCGCCTCAAGAATAGGCTGGTAATCCTTCGCAGCAGCCTGCTGAGCAACCATGTCGTGCTGGCCTTGGTCCTCCATCTTGGGAACGATGATTGTTTGCGGGGCAGAGTATTGTTGTTGCGGCGGATGCGGCGGCTGTTGGTGCTGCTGATGACGGTGTTGAAGCCGGCGCTGCTGGTGCTGATAGTGTCGTAGCGAACGACTGTCTCGGGTCGCGGGGTTCGGTGGGGGAGAGGGGTTCGAGGTAGAAGCTTGCGAGGAAAAGGGCGAGGATGCTGGGGGAGATGTCGAGGACGAGAGCTGCTGTCGGGGGATCTGGTGAATCAGATGCGACTGAGGCTGTGGCTGCTGCTGCTGCTGCTGCTGCTGCTGCACCGGCGGTGGTGAAGCGTAGAGAAGTCCAGGACCTCCGCCTCCGGCTGACACGGGAAAGGCGAAGTCCAGTTCGGGAGCTAGGCCATAGGACGCGAAGCAGGAGGAGGCGAAGGGTGTGGGTTGAGGCTGGAACATGCCTCGTGAAGGGGGAGGAGGAGGAGGAGAGGAAAGAGGGTAAGTGGAGGGAGATCCAAGACTCCAGGGGAGGAGCAACCAAAAGAAAGGCTGGACTGGACGGGATGGAGGAAGATTCGCGGAAAGTGCGCAAGGCGCTGGAAACCTCAATGGAAAGCGGGCGTTGGGGAAGGAGGAATAGGCGTGGTTTTAGGTGCTGAGCGTCACAGAAGACGGCGGACGGGCCACCTGTCGAGCGCTGGCAATGCCCTGTCCAAAGGCCCTGGCCTGGTGCTCTGGTGCCCTGTCACGCCCTGTCACGACCTGTGGATCAGTGGACGGACAACGACGTCCTCGGGTGCTGGCCGGGCTCAGATGCTCCCCTCGATGGGGCGCCGGGGGTCACTGCAGGGATTGAGGCAGGGATGAGCACAGGGGCTAGGGATTTTAGGACAGAGGATGGAGGAGGCGGACAGCGGGTGCGATGGTCTAGCGGGTGGTCCTAGTGAGATGGAGGCGTGGGAGCTCCTGGGAGCGTGGGAGCTAGCGGGAGAGCACCCCAGCAAGTCTCCAGTCCAGCAGCAACCAGTAGATAAAGCCCTCGGCCCTTGCGGCGATGGTCCCGCGTCTTGATTGCGGTGCGGGCAAAGAGGCGCGCGGCGGGGATTGCGGCAAAAGATTGGAAAAGCACACCCGGGACGGACGTGAAGCTGTGGAGATTGATGAGGGAGAGAGACAGAAGTGCTCGGACGTTTGACCTGAAGGGAAAAAGAAGCAAAAGGCCAGGCGCTAGGAGAAAATCCCCGGGAGTTTATGTCAATGCGACGCAAGTTGGGACTTGTCAACAAGCTCCGGGAGCTTCAGGCAAGCTCTTGGATGGGCCGGCTGCAATGGGTGAAGAAAGAGGCGGCGGCTAGCACGGCCGAACGAGATGGTTAATGGCGGGAATGAGAGACAGAAGATGGTGGGTAGCACAAGAAAGAAGCTAAGAGGGAAGAGGCTTAGGCTTAGGCTTGGAGGGGGAAGCAGGAGGTTTGAAGGCGACCGATCAAAGCGACCGACTCTTGGTGGTACAAGAAGGGGAGCCCTCTTTTTTTTTTCTTTTCCTTTCAACAACGCAACAACTGGGCACAGGATGCACGCCCCAATGTACAAAGCAGGGCCTGTGACTGGACGATGAGATTCACCTCGGACAGACACAAGCTGGGCACGCACAACAGCAGCAGCAAGAGCAAGGCCAAGGGTGAGAGGCACAGTTTAGCCAAGGGTTGCGTCGGGGATCCACTCGAGATGAGCACCCGGGAGCCAAGAGCACGAGGTCCAGTCAAAAGTGCCGTCGGCAACGGGGATTGGTGGAGGATTGCAGGCCTTGGGGACCATGAAGGGGGGGACCGAGGGTGAGCGATGACGATCTCCCGCTGACGATGGGATGGCCCTGCCGCTGCGACACGATTTTCGATTCGATCGACGAGGATCCAACAGGGCGCGAGGCACGGCACGCACAGGTTTGAGGGTGATGGATGGATGGATGGGTGAAGGAGATGCGTCGCATGCGCATGTGCGAGTGATTTGCTCCTAGGTTTGACTGACTTGACAGCTGTAGCGCTGGTTCCGCTTCGCGCCAGCGACAAGAGGGGGAATCAATTCGCAGGACAGCCAAGAAGTGGATTGTGCAAGGTGCAGTTGCAGGTGTAGGTGCAGACAGGACAGGGCAGGGCAAGGCAGTGCGTGAGAACCAAAAGATGACGATGATCTTGCCGTGATCTGTTCTGGTAGTCGAGTCGACAGATGGTGCAACAAGGATGAAGAGAAGAAGAGAGTAAAAAGAAGGAGGAGGTGCAAACTATAAGACACAACAGATATAGATAGGGGGACGGCACTTGGCAGAGCGTCAAACAAACCCGAGATAGAATTCTGTATGTATCCGTCTCCAGGAAATAAACAGGCAGGCCTTTTTTCTCCTCTTCCCGTCCGTTTGTCGGGTGTGACAAATGCCCGTCGAGAGCTCGACAAGTCGGCGTGTGGGGAAAAGAGATAAAGTACCGGCTAACCTCCTCCACCGCGTTACATACATGCCATACCACGGGTACCTTTTACCTGCCCTTACTAGACGCAGAAGGCAAGCCAAGGCCAAATTAATTAAAATGCGTCTGCCCCCATGGGATCATGCGTAGGCAGTTTGGAGGGGGATGATACGAGACGACGGGATGTTGGTGACGTGAAATGGGATGGCTCGAGCTCTGGTCTCCAACTGTCAAACAGAAAAGATAAAACGGCGGCGGCGGAGCAAAAAGATTTCGGGTACTGTGTATCCGTCCAATCGAGATGAAACAGAAGGCCCAAAAAATGCGGAAGACGGCCCGTCAAACGGGACTCTCCCTAAAAGCTTCCCCGTGTTGTCCGTCAGACGGGATTGCCTGCCCGGTCTCGTCTTGACAGCAGACAAGTTTCAAAGTTTGTTGCAGATGTACATACATACATACAAACATATCAAAAATGAGGCGTCTTTGACTTTTTACTTGCTTCTACTCTAGCGTATCTTTAACGGACAATGTCGCCCGAGTAATGCATTTTGCGGTGACCATGGACCTTTTTTTTGTTGAATCTGCTTGACAGCAAATGGATACACCCCTGTTCATTGAAGGTATCATGAGTGGACAAATCACGGGACAGTTGAGGGGCATCAATCCCGTATCAAAAAAGTTTGTATGATGATTGCTCTGTCCAAGGTCCAGGTGCCGTCGAGATGCATCCGTCAAGCGGTGATGGTGGTGAGCACGTCCCCTCTCTCTCTCATCATCATCAACCTCCGCTGCAGCTTTTCCAACGGACCTTGTCTTTTCTCTCCAGGGGCACTCCCAGTCCGGTTTCTGCAACCCCAGGACGGTTGGGTATTGGTCGGGCTTGGTCCCAACTGATTGGCAAAAAAAAGAGGGCATGGGTGCCTTTGCAGCAGTAAAAGCGCTGTGACACCACACACACCCCCAACCCAGGCGCTCGGTTATTGGAGGGCTCACGATCCGATGCGTGGGCAGCGGGCAAATCCATGTGATTTCTCAAAATGTGACTCTACCTAAGCAAAGAGAGAGAAAGAAAGAGAAGCGCTTGGCCCTGGGTTAGGGTCCATCGAGTGATCAAGTGTGGGCGGATCTTGAGGGGCACGCACGCACACGCAGGGTGTCTAGTGTCGATGGGCCTTTGACAACTCTACGACGGATCATGATGGAACCAGTTGTCAAACGACGCCGAGCCGCGGCAGTGGGAAATAATAAACAACAAACACTGAAAGTCTCCGCAAGAGAAAGAGTTTTTGAGGAGAAAACACGGCAGCAGCCGTATTCGTACCCTTCTTTTTTTTTTTCTGACGGGAAAGATCCGAGCCTGTATCCGTATTGTGCGCTTTATGTGTCAAGGGACGCCATACAAACTCATTCTCATTCTCATTTTTCTCTCATTCTTACGCAAAATACAGTAGACACAAGAAATGACCCCCATCTTGATCAAAAAAGGGGGAAGAGGCAGAAGAAGCATCAAAGAGCTCACTCCACTTGATCCCCATCTGATCACACTCACTCTCATCCTCAGCTCACTTTATCCCAAAGTTTTTTTTAAACACCATCTTGTATCCGTACCTAGTCTGATCCGCTCCCCGACCGACCCCCCATGGCCCTCCCACCTCGTGGCACACGTCGATCCCCCAAGCTAGTGAATAAAATTTCCCGTCCCCATCTTGAAAATCATTTTTTCTTTTCTTTTTGCGTTCAATCCTTGACGTGGGATAAAGCTCAGCCTCTTTTTTCTTAACGGGCGTCGATAATGCAAAGAGTCCCAGAACTTGGTGACGACTCCACCACCTCTCCACTGTCCATGGGGGTGTCGTGAATATTTGGGGGAGACAAGAGACAAAAAAGGAGAGAAAAAGAAAGTTTAGAACCCTTCCCGCATGTCCCTCCAGTTTGTTTGAAGCCTTTTGAAGAGGATATCCCGGCTATTCACAAAAAATGAGTCTCCAGTCTCAACAAGACCACGATGGCAGTCCAACGCACTAAAACAAAGGTGCATTAGAAATGGCATGTCAAGACGTCTTGCTTGATCAATGCGCACCGTGAACAAACTGCACCAGATACAAACTCTCCTTGATTGGTTCTTTCTCTCTTGCAACGACACGCGCTGCTGAGACATGGGTTTGTCCCCCGTCTGCAGGTGAGCTCACACACCACACACACCCCTCCTTGATCTTCACCACCGCGTGCCTTTTGTCTCACCCTTCTCAAGCAGCATCTCTGGTTCGTCCAGGGGTGAAAAAGATACCCTCTGCATGAAAGCTACTGCCGTATCAAAAGGCAAACATATTCAACTACATACACAATCTATCTTGCCTCTTTTTCTTTTCTCATCTCTCGCCCGCCTTGCCTATATCCTGCATGAAGGCTGACGGGGAAGAGAGAGATTCCTGCAACCTTTGCTGCAGATACAAACCACACATGACAGCCTGCTTTACATCAACCCTCCTTGCATCCCATCAAGAGACCAGTATCGTGCATCATCAATCATCCATCTCTCACACACAAATCGTGACAAGGACGAAAAGTGGAGTTGAACAACGGTCCGACGCAGCATGGTCAGTTAATATCTGACGCATGAGACAAATGCCCATCCAGACGGGTCTGGGTCTCAAGGAGGCCTACCTGTTTCCCCTCATACCGAGGCATCTTTCTCCTTCTTCCCCTCTCTCCCCGCAGGATCTCTTCTCACGAATCCTTTCAGTGGGACCCTAGCAAGGCGCTGCTGCTGTATGCTGTCAAGCAACACCATCATTGCAGATACACTATCAAACAACATTATGCTTCCTGCGCAAAAGAAAAATGACATGTCAACTTTTTCTCTCTCTCCCCGTCTGATGTTGCACAAAGACTGGCGCCTCTTCACCTTTTTCTCGGTGTACCTTTTGTTAGAACCCCGCCGCATCTGTGCTCCCCCAGAAGGACTTCGGCGTTTCCCTCCTGTGCGAGTTGAGTTCTGACGTCTCTCCATCTTTTGACGTGGTATTCTATTACTAGGCTTGATTAACTCTCGTATCTTGAACGTGTTCCCGTGTTGTGCTGTCATTCATCTAGATGTGTTGGCTAGACAGAGATGCGTTGGTTGGACTTGTAAGCCGCCAGCTTTTTTGACTAACGCAACTCCAACGCATCTCGCTACATGTCTTCACCTCGAGGTACATGGACAAACAAACTTTCCATCCAGGCACAGCCGTCTTTGGCCTCATCTTAAGCCGCTCCCGACGGGTACCTATCCGCGACGCATCATATCCGGGTACGCGCCCTAGATCCCCTCAACTTGCTCCTCCTCTGTGATGGATGCTGCATCACCGCTCAGCCGTCCCTGTCAAAGCGCAATCATGGACAAACCACTGGATCCAAAAACTCAAACATGCTCCATGAGTTCATGTTTGTTGCACCTCTAGCTCCGTCTCTGTCCCGTGTCTCGTTGGTCTCGATCTATCTACAGCAAGCCTCAGGCTGCACGAGATGTCTTCAACCACGTCCCGATTCGTCACCGGAAGCAAACAAATCTTGATCCCGCCGCCCTTGCTGACGATCAAAAGAGCCCAAGCCGGGGGCCCGCAAACCCGAAATCTCTCTTGTGTGTGTGATCCCTCGCAGCCCCAAGTCCCGTCTTGTGTAACCTGATGATGCCGCGGGGGCTTGGCATCTTTCAGCCGGTAGTTACCACTCAGAGTGGGTTGGATGAGGTGGTGCAAACGCCGCAGCCAGGCTCGCGAGGAGCAGGGGTAGACAAGGCAGCGTAGTATTCAACATCTCCAACAGTTCAAGTGGCGAGTTGTCATCGCAGTGACCAAGCATGGACCCCAGCATGTTCAAGTCTATGTCTCTTTGGAATCCTAGATACGTTACTCTAGACTCGTCTCGCTACACTACACACGACATGGGATCAAGTCCGAATACGGCGTCACTTCGGCCCTGGTCCTTTCTGCACACAAGCCCAGCTTCGTCTTTTGCTACCGTCATGTTGCTCGCTAACCACTGGCTGCCCAACCATGCTGATACCCGGTGGCCGCCACGAATAAGCACATAGCACCGTTGCCAGTGCCTCGTACCATGCGAGATGCCGTCGACGCATCCCCAACACGGATGCACCCGCAGGATACAACCCACGATCCTGCTTCTCGATCCAGTCAAGCCGGGCCAGAACGGGTATTCTGCAAACAGACACGAAATAGGTGGATCAAACGTTTCCTCGCTGTCGCAGGTACTGGTGCTGCCGGGGTCACGTCGACGGTGACGCAGTAGATCTGTTGTTTGTCTGTCCCTGTGCTCCCCTCAGGCCCATGCCGGGACTGGCCCCTTACCCTTCTTCCGGTGTTGGCCACCACCTCTGCCTGCCCCCTTTCCTATCTGGATACCTGAGATATCCACCCCCTGATCGTCGCCTGCCGATTGCTCAATGTTACGGAACCCATCGCCGTCCCGGAAGATGGCCCCAAAGAGGTCACCAATCGACGATGTGAGCCCTTGCAGAGCATAGATGCGCTCCGAGTCGGCATCAGAGGTGATTTCGAGGAGCCCCTTTTCCTGGTTTACCCTTCCATTGATCTTGCCATCAATGATGAGGAATCCCAGAATGTCCTGAACCTCGGGCTCCGAGATCTTGAGCTGCTTCGCGATCCATGCAAGCTTCATACGTGTGTAGGGGGCAATCAGCTTGACCACACCCTTTGTCCGCATGTTGCGTGTGACCTCGTCAATGTTCTCAGCGATGAACGAGTCGTCCAGGATGTCTTGGTTACGTTGCAAGACCTTTTCGTATGTGTGAACGTCGTCCCGTTGGTAAGCGTCAACCAGCTCCGTCATGGCCGAGATTCGAGGGTCCGTCTTGTAGGGCTTGGTCTCTTGAGAGTCGAACGGATTGATGTTGGACTTCATAAGCATGGTTGTCAAGAGCAAGTACTTGAGAACCTGGATTCTCTGGAGCGAGCCCGCCTCGTCGTAGTTTCGGAACGATTCGAAAAAGTCGCTCTGAGCTTCCTTCCAGTTCTCCTCGCTCATGTGCATCTTTCCACCGCACTCTCGAATGATGCCCATGATTCGAGGATGGGGAACGGCCGACTTGACCTTGAGGGCACGTTGATACAGTGCCTTGAGCTGCTTGTTGTTCTTGGTCTCGGCAAACATCTGAATCTCCAGGGCGTAAATCTCGAGCGAGTATGTGCCTTTGCTGGGATCATCGGTTCCATCTTCTCGTTGACAGGTCTTGTGGAGCTCTCGGAGTTTCTTAGCCACGGCGGGGTATTCCTTTCGGTCGAGAAGTAACTTGGCTAGTTTGATGTTGGTCTTGAGCCATAGCCGCTCATTGTTGGTGCTCTGGAAGCTCTGAAGGGTGAGCGAGTAGAATTGCTCCATACTTCTGACAGCCTCGGGGCCGTCGGAGCCCTTTTCGATGTAGTCGAGCATGTTGTTGATGGACTTTTCCGAGTAGTTTCGGGTGACGGCTGACTTGACGTATGTGAGGAGCTCTGCATAGTGCTCAGCGGCCTGTGACGGTCAGCATGCGCCCTGGTCTGAGATGGCGGAGTAGCGCACCTTGTCGTATTGCCCTAGCTTAAACTCCAACTTTATGGCCTGCTTCAAACCTTTGAAGCCCCATTCTCCCTTTTCCTCTTCTAATGGCGGGATGCCTAGGAACTCGGCGACGGCGTCCTCAGGGTCTGACAGCTTGAGCTGCTTGGCGTTGTAGTACTTGTTCTCGATATCGACATTGCCGGAATCCTCGTCGTCGTCTTCCTCGTACTCAAAGTCGTACCTGGATGCGGTCAGTCAAGCACCAGGCTTGCGCGGCTGGGTAAACGTGCTGCTCCTCGTCCGACTCTTGCATAAAATCCTCGTCGTCGGACATGATGGCGGTGGTTTGAGTAGTTGAGGTCGATTCGGAAGGTATTGGGATTAATAAGACAGGGAAATGGGTCGGTAAGCAGGCTGTTTGCGCTGATGCGGCGCAGAGGAGATTGGTTTATCGAGGTTGAATGATGAATGTTGGTTGTCTGGAGCTGAGATGGAGCAGGCAGCCGCGGGGTGGATGTGGAGGCTTATCGATAAGGCGCTAACGTGCGCCATGACCAACACCATGAAGATGGATCTTGAACCTTAGATTGAACGCTATAAAATATTTAATTAAGTACTTATATCCCGTCTTTTCGTATATCCAATCTCTCTTTGTGTATTACCAAGCTCCCCATGTTCAAACATTTAGACTCAGTCACTGTGGGCTTGAGCCACGCCATGAGGCACTCTCACTGTAAACATCATCACACACACTGCAACCGACAGCCCTGTTATGGCCAGGAACGGCAGCCCCATCCAAGCGCCACCCAGGTCCATGCCACGGCTAAACAGCCAACTCGTAGCCGGAGCAGCCACAAGTCCCATGATCATCTCAATGAGAGTAATGGTGGTGTTGAGCGTCGCGATCGTGTGCGGTTCCACCACGGCGTTGAGAACGGCCCTGCAGAGAGCGTTGAAACCATGGCCAAAGCTTGTAATGACGAGGGATATGATGAAGAGCCATGGACCTCCTGCAAAGGCCATGAGCAGCCCTCCGAAAGACACGAATATCAGTGATATGCGCGCCAGAATGAGATCTCTGTTCACAGGACGTGATCTGAAGCGAGAGGTCCCATTGAGCAACTTTGATGCGATGGGGAGAACGACAAGCAGGCATATCACAGTCGAGAGGACGCCCACTGTGGAGATATAAGTAGCCTAGATAACGGTGAGCATTGAGCATAGGATCTGACTTGATGGAACACTCACTGTAGACCACTCCCAGTTGAAGCGCTTGGTCATGTACTGTAGCAAGATGCCGTTATACGCAACCCTGATCGGCAGATAAGTTGCGACTGTGAGTATAAGCATTATAACGGTCTTGGACGCAAAGATGAATCTCCGCACGTGCTGCATGTCATTCTTGACCGTAAACCAGGCTTGCTTCAAGACGCTGTGTTTGCTCAAAGAGACCCCATGTCCGTGTTCCTCAGGCTCAGCATCATCCTCGTGTCCAAGACCATGTCGTCGACGATTATCAGCCTTTTGTCGGAACCGAAGAGTCTCTGGGATGAGCAGGACCGACATGGTGCCTACAATGAGAAAGCCAAGGCCTATCCACATGGACAACCATGGGTCATAATTGAGCAGCCAAGCCGAGACGGGGTTGACCATGACGTTGAAGAGCAAGCTGGCGGCGAAGAGGCGAAAGAAGACGCCAGTTCGTTCAGCGGTGGGCACGACGTCGGCTACAATGGTCCAGACCATGGCGCCAGACATTGGGCCTCCACCTCCAATGAGGAAGAAGAGACTTCCGGGGATAATAGCCCAGATGGAAAAGACATCTGGGAAATACACTAGAAAGTGTGAGTGGCGTTTGGCAACTTGTGGATGACCATGCACTCACAAACCATCATGACCCATGCTGTCTGAAGCAAGTCGCCCAAGAGTGACAAGAACAAGACAGGCCGTCGTCCATATTTATCAGCTATAATTCCGAATGGAAACTGCGGCAAGATGGCTATTTCTTGTCAGTATTGTCCAGCAAGTGTGGTGTTTTCACTCACGAACTGCCATCCCAAAGGCCAGATGCCACCCCCGAACCATCGCCAACGTCTTTTGAACATGATTATCCTTGCAACGTTGATCCTTTATCTGTAAAACATGGTCCGGATAGTACCCCCGACATATAATATCCTCTATAATCTTTTGCTGCGGTGGATCCGTGATGAACTCGCTCACTTCGACAATAAACAGCGAGACAAGACACATCAACAAGACGCGTCGCTGAAACCCTTTGGAGGGAACAAGGTCGCGGGGCAAGTCGTTGGAGAGGAGCGGTGATCCTTCTGACGGAGCTACGTCATTGTCATATCCGCTGTTGCTCTCGACATCAGCGTCAGCCGAGAGGTCGTCGTCCCTTGATTGCTCAGCTCGTAAAGACATGGCTGAGGGTGAGCTGTGGAGGTTGAGAGTTGTGAGAAGTGGATATCAAAGCATCAGATGTCGGTTTCAGCCTTCGTATTAAATCATGACGATACGAGAAGCGCAGGATGAGCGCGTCGTCGACGTTATCGAGGAACTTTTGCTAGGCCTCATTGGTTGGTGGAAACCGACTGGGGTGTGGCTGGCATTGTCTCAAAAGAGAATAAACGCGCAATCAGGACGACGCATTCCATCACGACAAGCTGACGATTACTCCATGCAAGTTACCTTGCTTTGATAGAGTCACAGCGTCGGCCTGCGTTGATTGGAAAGATCCTTTGTTTTACGGCCCAAGATGGTTGAGATGTTGTCGCGAATTGCTGACCGCATCGAGGATGACGACGCGATTACTGCCTGGATTGATTGACTCTTAGACCGGATTCATCATCAACCAACTCACAACAGGAAAGTCTTTGAAGCTTGCCGGAATGAAGCCATCTCCACTCGGCCCGATCCCGGGACTTGGCCTCGTCGGCGTCCTTCGGCCGATTCCACCGGGCATCCGGTGCTTACAATTCACCATGCTCGACACCCACGCTGCATCCCGCAGCTAGAGGCTGACAATCTGGAAAGCGATTGGACTTGGTATGAAATGCACATTAGGTTACGCCAATAGCAGGATGCTTCACTGCAATTTTAACACACGCCGAGAACCTCGATGCCTTGGCAAACAGCCGCTCCTGGGCCACGTCCGGATCATATGCACCTGCTTCACTGCATTTTTAACCCACGCGCAGAACTTACTCGAATATCCATGTCTGTGAGGCATGGACGCCAAGAATTAAAACACCAGTCCTGGGCACAACTGTAAGGCATTTTTACGCTGCCGCATGGGTATCACGATCCTTTAGCCGCACGACAGTGTTACTTCTCGATCAAAGTAGAATGCCGTCTCACATGCGACGAGCAATCCGTTCATCTCCCGGTACCCAAGTTGATGAAGATGGGCATTTCGTGGTCCGCGATTCTTGAAAGAGTCTACGAACTGAACCTTTAAATGTTGGATGAGCTGGCCTTTGACCATGCTGGCACCCAGGTCAAGGAACAAATGAGACACCAGTACAAGTATGTTAGCTTATTACCCTCTAAAGATGATCAATGGAGTATACTAAGAATAGACAAAAGCACTCAAAAATACTCCTATTATTTTATTAGTTCTATCATATTTTATCTGAATACATTTATAATAGTTGGGAGGACTTAGGCGATCCTTTGAGGAGCTCTGGTGTCTCATTTGTTTGTTAACCGGCGTGGCCAGCCACCATCACCAGGCATTCATGTGCTTGCAATTCACCATGCTCAACACTGTAGTTAAATCCCGCAGCTGGAGGCTGGCAGTCTGCAAAAGGATTAAATTTGGCATGGATTGTGGCCTTCCCAAATTAGCGAATGAAAAGTCGCAAGTTGGTGCCATCTTTTGTCGATGAAACACGTCCCTTCACTGCATTTTTAACCCACGTCAGGAACATAAGTCTGGAGCACCTGGACAAACAATCCCCTTTATAGAATTCCCTACATCGGTAGTCATTGTCGAACATATTTGTTCCAGAGAGACCGCTGACTGGACCTTCACTTACATGTTTTATTAGCTGGCACTTGATTTTGTCGGTGTCCTGAAGCCATCCTCAGGATCTATGAGGCGATCATGGTATCGCCCTCCAAGGCTATCCAACTGGCCATAAATCTCCCAGAGATGAGTTAGAAATAAGACATCCGTAACGTAACCTATAAATAAACATTAAACACATACTTCAATCACACAATAGCAAGCAAAATGCCAGCAGCCGCCACAATACAGTATGGTAGCCTTATGGTCGAGAGCACCAATGGCGCGTGCTTCACTGCAATTTTAACCCTCATCCATAACGTGAATAGGTTGTCCTCCCGCCGAGCCACGTCGCTTTTTCACTGCATTTTTAACCCACGCCGAGAACCTACAGAATGTGACTGACGTTAGGGCGCGCTGAGAATTAAAAGACGAGTCAATGTTTGCTGCAATTGCAATTACAAGCAACCCCAAGAATTCTACTACCTATTCTTTCGGAATGGCATATCAATGCACGTCTATATGGCGAGCAATCCGTTGATGCCTTGGGCCACCTAATGAAGACAGGTGAAAATCTCTTAACCCAAGCGATGGAGATGAAACCTCATAATTGATCTAAATCTAGAAACTTACATGAGTTTGGTTGGCGCTTCTAGGTTGCTCTCCGATACCAAGCAAAAAATTGGCCGAAATGTATCGCCAAGAGTCGACTTGGCACTGGGGCCTCGAGGGTAGGGAGATGTACGCTTTGAGTTGTAACTCGACATCGCTTTCTCGATGAGCACTGCTCCTGTTAGACCGATTCTCCCTTGTTCATGCGGTCTTGGCCAATCGGCCTGATCACTGGTCGAGATTAACTCGTAACGCCCACATCATCAGTGCCATCAGCTGAAGCTCTCCTCCACAGCGACAACTAGAGCCAGGCCCTCCAGAATCTGACCAGGATGGTCTTTTATAACTTGTTAGTTTTTTGAAACGCCATGGCGCTATTATTTTTGACCACCTCGTCACGTTGTTGGCTGCTCGAACTTGAGCCTTGCACTAACCTCACGTTGATAGCTTCTTTCGACCCTCGAGTCCGTATCATGGCACTGGGCGTTGGATTTCCGGTAGCCTTTATATACAAACAGATAGAAAGTCCATCTAATTCATTTCTTTGCACTGGTACTCTCAGAACCTTTGTTTGTCTGTTGATAAATGAAGGTGGTGTCGCCTTCGCTGCCTTGGCCTGATATGAAGCCGGCCGCTTTTATGTAGAAGTCCGAAAGAACTTCTGGTACTCAAGCAACCACGAGTGGCATGGGTACTTCTATACCGATTTGGTCTACCCTCAGCCCGCCATCATCAACACTGGGCGAGATATGCAAGACCTTTACCGACTAAACGGCCACGGCCAAGGCCAAGCCAAACAGAGGGTCATCCGCAACTCTAACCGCCTCGATCACTACCATCAAGAGCTCTTTTGAAAGCCCGGGGCTTATCAATACCCTGTATAGTGCCATTTAGCTGGGGGTTCTGTCTCGTTGCGGATTAATAATGCCAACTCTCTCTCTTCCCTCAGCACCAGCTCGATCGGCCTTCGCACTACGTAGGAGTCCAACCTACGGAACGTCCGGCGATATCTCATCCTCAAGGCCAAGTCATAAGGCCATGATAAGTCCCGAAATACTACCATATGGTCCTAGATAACGTCTTGGCATTGAACAATACGAAGCAAGCGCCTTACAAGGCTGACCGATGATTCGCGACAGCGATGGAAGGATTCATTCCGTCTTAAGTTGAGCAAGTCAAAGCCTCTGTCTCAATCCTGCACATTTAGGCGAATCAATAGCCCGAGCTCAGCCTTAAATCAGCCCTTTATTTGGAACCTCATTCGTCTCGTGTCAGCAAGCGTCGATCCCACCTGACGGCGAATACCACCTTCTATAAGTATCCGACGGAGTTCAACACAAATCTTCCAATCATACCCTTGACCTGGGGGAAGAAACTAATACCTCACCACGGACTCTCCTGTTGATGTGGGACTGCTTATGGCACGACTCTTTTGAGAAGTAATGCCACCTTCTAGTTTCTCACGAATCCTTCCAAACAGGCAGAAACATGAACCAATCCTAGTCTAGCTCCAGCCAGCGTTTCGAAAGGTAATGGGCCCTCCCGCTCAACCCTGCCCATCTCATGATCCGATCCCCGAACACAGACGTTTATGTGTCCGAGCCGTCCTATCACAGGACTTTCTGAGCTCCCCGTGTGCCCCTTTGCCATCTCTAGTGCTGGTCCGTGGGCGGCAGTCTTGCATGATGCACTACGTATCTTGACCGTTTTGTCGATCATGACTGACAACCCTTGTCCTTGTTTCTAATTGAGGGTAGACATGAAGGATTGAGGCTAATTAGAAAGGACGACGAGGTATGCTCTATAAGCCTCCATGATGGTATATAAGACCGGCAGTCCGGCCATGATGCCCTTACTCTAGCCATAGACCCAGGCAAATCATTCATCATGTCTTCTCCCAAGTCCCTCCTCCTCACAGCCCTCCCCATCGCCCTCGCAAGCTGCAACGGCGCCCGGGCAGCCACAATCGACGACTCCCAATGCGACTGCTACGTAGCCGACAACAAATACTATGCCGGTCACATGTTCTGGGACTTTCGCTCTCTGTCCCAGTATGCCAAGGTCCCAGCTCTCATCCAGACCCAGCAGGGAAACGCCGACGCAGACTTTTCTACTCCCTTCTTTAACTGGGAGTCTGAATTTGGTCAGACTTGGGGTCTGCAGAATTGGGATAATGGAAACTCGGAGTTTCCGATGCAGAATTCTTACAACAATATTTACATTGAGAAGAATACCGACAGCTCGCCTGCTAGTGATACCTTCATGACGATGCGAACTGCTCGTCATAAGGGATTCCAGTCCGCAGCAGAGTTTGAGTCCATCAACAAGTATCACTACGCTTCTATGCGCATGTACGCTCGTACCAAGGGTTCTCCTGGTGCCTGTACAGCCATGTTTACCTACCTCGGCGGTGAAAAGCTAGCCGACGTGCAAGAAGCCGACATTGAAGTCCTGACTTCAGATCCCAAGGGTCTCATTCACTACACGAACCAACCTTCCTACACGGAAGAAGGTGAGGAAGTCGTGGGAGCCAGCAAGGCCGTCACGATGCCCGACGGCGTCAAGTGGACAGACTGGGTCGCGCACCGAATGGACTGGACGCCCAAGGAGACGGTCTGGAAGGTTAATGGCAAGCAGACTTGGGTGAACTCTTTCCAGGTGCCACGCGATCCGGCGCAGTTCAGCTTTAATGCTTGGAGCGATGGTGGTGATTGGACTGGTACCATGGCCGAGGGCGGCGTGGCTTATCAGCAGATTCAGTGGATTGAGATTCTTCACGGGGAGGCTGATAAGGCTACTTGCAAGAGGGTTTGCAGTGTTGATTCAGGCAGCGAAGTTGGAAAGCCTGTACGTGTTTAGGGGATATCAGATAAGATGGATAGTTGTGTATGTCGCCGAGTTGTCTCTTGTCTCAGCACCTCAATTGCCACGTACCACAACCTCATTGAGTGCCTCATTTACACCGCCAGTTGTTCAACCCTCAACCAAGTCCAATCAATCATCCAAACCAATGCGTACTCGTTCTTGATCTTCACCGTCATGTCCAATCATCTTTCACGCGGTAGACAAACTGACCGAGACATGGGGCCAAGTGCGAGTTTCAGGGTAGCCTTGTGTGACGGGACCCGCTCACCGAAGTTCGGCGGGGCCAGTTTTTTAAGGTGTGTTTATCATGACGGGTTCTCGCACTCAAAGAGACAAACGCAAACAAAACAATGTCTGTTTCTGATTCTAAAGTTGTCTCAACAGGGCCTCTGGTAAGGTCATACCCTCTTTGACTTCTGTCTCAGTATACTAACTCAGCTTAGCCAGAGGAAGAGGCCCGATGGATCAAGCTCTCCAAGTACGTACTCATCTCAAACATCTCCGAACTCGCTGACCTCTTAAGAATCACATACACAGATCCAAAGAACGTCACCAGAACATGGGAATCAGCTGAGCGCCGCACTCGTCCCAAGGACGCAGACATTGACGGTGTCGGCATCGTCGCCATCCTCGACAAGCCTACCGGCCAGGAAATTATCCTCCAGAAGCAGTACCGTCCTCCTATTGACACGGTCGCAATCGAGGTTCCCGCAGGCCTCATCGACGAAGGCGAGACGGTTGAGCAATGCGCTGTGCGTGAGCTTAGAGAAGAGACTGGCTACGTTGGAGAGGTTACGGAGACGTCGCCTATGATGTTCAATGATCCTGGCTTTTGCAACACCAACCTTCGCATGGTTCACGTGAGCATCGACATGTCGCTTCCTGAGAATCAGAATCTCAAGCCCGAGCTTGAAGAGAACGAGTTTATCGAAGTGTTTACCGTCAAGTTGGCCGATCTATGGGACGAGTGCAAGAAGCTCGAGGCAGAGGGTTACGCCATCGACGCCCGCGTGGGAACTCTGGCCGAGGGGGTCCTCCTAGCTCAACGATTCAAGCTATAAATCAGAAAATGTCATGACACTAGAAAATAAAAAGGATAGACAAAATGTTACACCTTCTTCTCCTGACGAAGTCCCTGCCAGAGAGCAAGCGCCGCCAAACACTTTGCATCACGAGCACCCTCCCTCCAAGCATCCTTCATAGGAACAACCTTGAGCGTAATCTTTTCACCATGAGACCTCAACCCTGTAAGACGTCCACTCCATTCCTTCAGCTGCTCACGGGGAATCCTGCGCTCGTGGCTGAAAATGGTAATGTGCTCGTCGCAACCTCCCGCGCTGGGAAACATGGCATTCGCGAGGCCTTCGGTGTTGTCGCCGTTGGGAATTGCGAGGTCGCTTAGGGATGTTAGTTCATCCTCGTGAATGGTTACGCCGAGCTCTTCTTGTATCTCTTGCGCAGCGGCACCCTTGAAACTCCCCATGTCATCCACCATTCCCGCGGGTAACTCTACAAACCCGAGACTCCCAGCCGGAACACGAGGTTGCACCGTAAGAACAACGTACCGCTCATCCGACTCTGGCGGTACATCATCTGGGACGAGCATGAAGAGCATGGCGACGCTGGGACCGCGGAGAAGCGCAGCGGCTGGTAATGTCTCGCCGGCGCCGTTGGAGACTGTGGCTGTGAGCTTGATGAAGCCTACTCTTGGGCCGAAGAGGTCGTAGGATTGGATGGTGATGGAGCGCAGGGCGTAGGGATCTTTGTGGAAGGGATGAGACGCGTCGGATTGGAGACGCAGTGAGTTTGTCAGGGTGTCGATCCAGTTCTAGACACATTAGTGACGGTATTTGAAGAGTGAAATTGGGGTTATTCACGTTAAAGGGCCTGAATGAATTCAGCTGCTCCTGCGAAAGCCCCTCAGGCAACGTGAGCGGAATGTTGTGAGACCTGACCGTAGTCGACATTGTGTGCAGAAAGAATGAAAACAGCGAAAAGATCGCTCGATTGCGACCGACGAGGCGAGACGGTAAAGATGTAGGTCTCGAGTTTCTGAATGTGCCTGCGATTAATCTCATTTCCCGATATCTCTCCTCCGACAAGAGTCTTTTATAAGGGCAGTGAATAAAGTTGAGGCCGACAGAATGTTGTGGAGAGAGGGTTTTGGAGTTCATGACGTAAGGAGAGACATGCATATTTACAAGCCACTTAAACAACACCCAGCATGTTTGACCAGAACTTGAGTGAATGTCTAGGTGAATCGATAGACGTTAATCATAATTCAGAGCAGTGCTAATCCTTCAAAACCTCAAGCTAAACCGCCCAGTAAACATCAATCCGGACTCTCTCAACATGATTCGCCCATCCCCCAAACCTTGCCTTTGCCCAGACGGTTATGACATCTCCCAGCTTCAGATCCCTGACAAACCACCCATCGCCCGTCTCCTTGCCTCTGCCCTCGTCGCGGGCGAGATTCTCGGCTGCCTCTGTGTCGGGTTGGATGTCGTCCGTCCATGACCAAGTCACTACGTGGTCTTGCCATTGCCGATGCGCTGTCAGGTTGCCCTTGATGGTCCATTTATCCTGACGGAAGAGAGGATGCGAGTACTTGAATTTGCTCTCGTCGTTTTCTTCCTCGGGTACGATGGAGGGATAGAGAGGGCGTAGTCCGCAGACTGGAAGTGGTGATTCCTTGGAGGATGGTGACTTGAACCGGACATCGTAGGTACACGATGGATCGCCTAGACCTGTTAGTAAAGATCATCCACATGCTTATCACAACTTACAAGTCTGCTCCGCGTCAAATTTCTCCAGTCCAGCCTCAAACCAAGTCCAAGACCCATGGTATGTGTGGTGATCCTCTCTGTCGCCACCCCACCCTTGATCTTTACTGCGTATCGAAAAGACCACCCTGCGCACGGGATGCAGTAGCTTCGGGGTGGGATAATCGGCGAGCTTGGCAAAGTACGAAGGGTCGTGCTCTTTTCCTAGAGGCCTTGGTTTGGCCTCATTTGTATCGTACGCCAACACCTCTGCGAGATCCTTCTTGCCCTCGATTCCTGTGAGACCAACCGGGAACGAGCGAAGCTATCCATGGTCAGCGTAAGCCCTGGTATGTCCCCATATACTCACCAAAAACCTGTTTTCACTGGCACTTCCACCATTCACTCGCAAAGGAGACTGCTGCTCAGCTAAGTAATCGATCTCATTGCTCGAATGCGCCCAGTACTCTGCAAAGTCAAAGATGACATCGACGACACTGGGCGGCAACTTCTTGCCCTTTGTGAGCATGATACGAGTGACGATCACGTCGATGGGACTGAGATCAAAGGGCACATCGCCGCGTGTCCCTTCCGAATCGTCATTGCCGCCAAGGAACAAGTTGTTCACGGCGCCGGTTACGCTCTGGATGGCATCTTGGGAGGTGATGTGAGCCATGATGAAGTAGGTGATGATAAAGAGCCCGATGTAGAGAAGCATGTATATTTGGAGAGTTTTGCGCTTGCGCAGGAGAAGGGAGTGCTAATGTTGAAGAGGTAGAGTATGAATTCAGGAAAATGCTACTTTACCCACGTTGAATCAAGGTGACGCGTTGCATTTTCAGTGATTGCATGCATGTGCATCGAGGCAACAGCTTTCATTTCATTCAAGGTGAGGGAGCCTGTGACGGAGGAGGGGCTGACGTCACGTCAGACTGGACTCTATCTTATCGATAATCGTCTCTTATCAATGACTGATCACGTGAAATCGCGCCATCCACGCCGTCGTGTAAGTCATCCCTGTCCCCCGCGCATCGGAGCGGAAACGGCTCCATCAACCAAAAGCGTCCGTCTCAATTGCATTACAAACCCACATTGCCTCGATGGAGCTCTCTCAGACTTTAATTCTTCTCCTCTACACAGATTACAACCCGCCATGAGGTCTTGCAGGTCCCTCGCGGCGTCGAGCCGCCAGCTCAGGACCGCACTGGCTGCCCCTGCAGGCTCTTTACGACCAGTTCTCGTTCAAGGCCACCGAGGTTTTGCGCATTTCGGATCTCGCCAACTTCACTGCTCGACTGTCCGGAAGTCGGGGGTTGCTTCTAACCCTGCCATGTCGTTTCCCTGCCTCGACGCTTTGGAAACTCGATCTGCCAAGCTTAGCAACGACGACTCTAGCGATACCGAACCCTCGTACACGTCCGGAGCCACACTCAACTACCTCTGCAAAGAGCCCCTCCTTCTCGACTGGGGTGGTATCCTTCCCGAGTTCAACATTGCCTACGAGACCTGGGGCGAGCTCAACGCCGACAAATCGAATGTCATCCTCCTACACACTGGCCTGTCAGCCTCTTCCCATGCTCACTCAACAGAGGCAAACCCGAAGCCTGGCTGGTGGGAAAAGTTTATTGGGCCTGGTGGTCCTCTCGACACGAACAAGTACCATGTCATTTGCACAAACGTCATTGGCGGCTGCAATGGCTCAACAGGACCAAGCAGTATAGACCCAGGCAATGGCGAACGATATGCGACTCGATTCCCTATTCTTACCATGGGCGATATGGTCCGCGCTCAGTTCCGTCTTCTGGATTACCTTGGCGTCGATAAGCTGTATGCCTCAGTAGGCTCGTCTATGGGTGGCATGCAATCTCTCGCTGCGGGTGTCCTCTTCCCCTCGCGAGTTGGTCGCATTGTGTCTATCAGTGGGTGCGCTCGGTCTCATCCTTATAGTATCGCTATGCGACACACTCAGCGACAGGTACTCATGATGGACCCCAACTGGAACCGAGGCTTCTACTATGGCAAGGTGCCTCCTCACGCTGGTATGAAGCTTGCCCGTGAGATTGCCACTGTCACATACCGATCCGGCCCTGAGTGGGAAATGCGCTTCGGCCGTCGTCGCGCCGACTCGAGCAAACCACCGGCTCTGTGCCCGGACTTCCTCATCGAGACGTACCTAGATCACGCCGGTGAGAAGTGGTGTCTAAACTATGACCCCAACAGTCTGCTATACGTCAGCAAGGCCATGGATCTATTCGACCTCGGCATCGAGAACCAGGTAGCCACGCGCGACCGTCGTGCCGAACGTGAGAAGCAGGTTGCCTCTGGCGAAGCATCAACCCTCTCGTCAGACGCCTGCAGTCTTACCCTTCCCGCACAGCCATACGAGGAACAGCCCAACTCACACCCCGACCCATCAGACGAAACTGCCGTTCCCGGCTCCCGACCTCCAGAGGATTTGATCCACGGCCTAGCGCCCCTACGTGATATCCCAACACTGGTCATGGGAGTCGCGAGCGATATCCTTTTCCCAGCCTGGCAGCAGCGTGAGGTGGCAGAGGCGGTTCGACTGGCGGGTAACAGAAACGTCACACATATGGAGTTGAGCGAGGAGATGAGCATGTTTGGGCATGATACATTCTTGCTTGATTTGAAGCATATTGGCGGCAACTTGCGCATGTTTTTGGATTAAGTAGAGACAGACGGTTAGCATCTGGCGAAGTGCTGGACGCCATGAACAAGTCATGTTGATGAAGTAAAATGTATAAAGAAGCGATGATGGTTACGGCTTGTGTATACTACAATAAAAGTTTGACGACAGGATCATTGCTGTGTCCATGATGGTGAGATAATTGTTGTCTCACTCTCGTAAAAGCTCAAAGCACCTATGAGTTGATACATCGGGCTGTGGACCGAGGGCTTCCCTAAACCCTAGCCCGACGTCGATGCGTCTTTGTCGTCTACTACTTCAAGGTCAAAGCATCAAGACCAAACAAATAATCCGCAAACGGGCATGCCGAAGATACATACAAGCTCAGCCTCAGTCCACCGTAAGATTGATACAATAAATACGGATGTCGGTCCAGGGACCCTGTGATCCCCACAAGGACTACCCTGCATCAAGCAGGAGCGTAGATCACGGCGCCTCCCGCATCATATGCCCGACATTTAAACAGATGTATGTATACTACGTAGCAGCTGAGCTGAGAGCATCTGCATCAATCGTATCGCGCACTAAGGGTCCTCATAGGGCAATGCATCTAAAAATAAACTGCGCCTCAAAGGGCTTCTAGACCTCTTGTCGATCCGGGGCAGAAGAAGGATCCACATGCAGGTGTGTCGACCCATCCAATGACTGTAAGCGCAGGCCTCGTGTAGAACATCTTTCGTCAGGTTGTTTTGAGACATTGTGAGTAAAGTATGCAACGTTGTTTGAGGTCGTTGGTGATCATGGGGAGCCTTTGATGACTTTATGGATCTGGGGGATACGAGATGGGAAGAGTAGATATCCTTGACATGACTGGAATCTGTCTATAAAGGACATGGCATGGCCGCTATTGTTCCATCTCATCATCAGCATCACTCAACATTACAACAACACAGCTCACAAAGACCACCTCACTCACAACCTCAAAAGTCAACACTTGACAACTACACCAACAATCAACATGAAGTTCACCACCATCCTCGCCGCCGCCGCCCTCACCCTCACCGTCTCAGCCAAGTCTCCCCTCCCACCACCCCGTCCCCTCCTCGAAGGAACCGTAAACTCGGACCGCGACTGCAAAAAGTCCATCACAAAGTGGACGATCGACGAGAACGCCCACGACCGCTGCGTCGTCTTTGATGAGGAGCTCGAGGGTGTCGAGGACTATGCTGTCAAGTCTCTCCGGGTTGATGCTCTCAACAATGACAAGTGTGGACGTAAGAAAACCCTTTCCTCTGAGGTTCAAACAGGTTGCTGATTTTTGTGATAGTCTGGGTTTACAGTGATCATGGTTGCCATATGGCTGCTCGCAGGGTTGAGCCCAAGACTTGTGTGGTTGCCGACCGTTGGGGATGGCGATCTTACGCCATCTTCTGTCTCTAGAGGGTAGTAGACACTGGGAAGGGGGTTCGTTTTCTTATGGACGGCTCGGAATGACACTGTTAGACATCATGTTTTATGCGGGATACACGACTTAGATTAGATTTGCTTTTAGTACTTGGACACTCCTTTCGTATTATATACACTCATCTTGTACATACTCCAAGAGTTTCATCACTATTCCAACTACCCATCTTCTTTGTTTGACAACGGCACATACAATAGGCTTCGCTGGTGACACCCTGCAGCAGGCAGCAAGCACCCCCTACAACTAAAATACTTATCCAGGATGGAGCTCACTCTACGCCAATAATCTCCAATGAGACAGTACAACATCGAATGACAATATCACGGTTGGCTCAGCAGCTAACAATGGTCAACAAACTTTAGCTGCCAAGTATGGACAGGTCTTGCATAAAGTCATATGTATAATCCAGCCCGGCAAATATGATCCAAAGCTCCGGATATCCAACCCTTAAACATTATCCACTAGTCATGTCCCAAGCGATTGGCCAGGATATATACAAGAAATATAATAGAGTAAAAAAAGAAAGGCTCAGACAGAGGGGGACGGGGGTATGTTGATGGTAAAATCTATAAACGAACGACACGCCATATCCACAAAGGGAAAGATTTTTGGTGATAAATCATGTACGAAAAAGAAGAGACGGACAATATGTATATGCAAATGTGTCATGAGGGCGTGGCAAGCTAGATGAAGCCCGGGTTGAACTCGTCCACGACAGGATTGGGCGTCCGCACTCTGCCTGACTCTGGTCCGACACCTAGTGTCGTCGTAGGGACCTTGATGGGAGCCGGTCTTGGAGGCGCCCGCTTGGCCTCGACGCGTGTAGCGCTTTGGTCTCGGGGTGGTACAAAGTCAGCCATGACGGGCGAGATGAGTGGCCTAGTGAGATTCGGCTCGGGTGCGTTGTGGTAGTTGCCGTCAGCAGCCATGTCGAAACTGCGGGCAAGATTCTCGCTCGAGTTGGAGATGGACTTTTGCAGCGATGGGAAAGACGGCGAGGGCAGACTCGGGGGTGTAGGCGAGATGGGAGAGGACGTATACTGCCCTCCAAAGCGAGGACTCAACGACTCATCCGTCGCCTGCGCAGGAGACTGAAGAGGAAAGTCGGTATGGAAGGGCGAGAGAGGAAGAGGCATGGCCGAGCGGTGAGGGTTGGCTCCGCTAAAGTCGTCCCAGCTAGGGAGAGCATAGCCATGGCCCTCGGCTGAATCCTTATGCTGCGACTCGGGTGTAGGAGAAGCTTCAGCCCGAGGAGGAGGATACATGGGACGTTGGCGGCGCTGCTTCCTTGGGCCGAGACCAAAGGTGCTTTCAGGACTGGTAGGCTCCATGCCAGGTGGCTTGCGGCCACGGGGAAGACCCTTTGACATGGGAAAGTCACCCTCGATGGGACCTCGCGTGGAGAAGGGGCTTGCAGTTCGTGGTGGTTCCGGGGCCGCACGGGGTGAACTCTCAGAGCGTAAGTAGTTGCCTTCATCAGGGGGTGGGCCATAAGGACTTCGAGGGCCTCCTCCAAGGACAGGAACTGTAGCAGAGCGGTCGACGAGCGGGGGAGGAACGCGGAGAGGTCGGCGAGCTTGAGGGTCTGAGTCAACTCGAGGTCGGAAGCCGCGCGGTGGAGGATCGAGAGGGCGAGACATATAGCCTGGCTGTGTGGCCGAGGTGCCAGTCGAGGTGCCAGTCGAGACGCCAGCTGGACTCGGAGGCGTGTTTGGTTGGATGTTCATCTGAGGTGGCGCAGGAAGAGGAGCGGTAGGAGATCGATATGGTGATGGGAGTGGTCGCGTCGGGGGAGAAGTGTTTGGAGGTTGATACGGCATATACTGCCTAGGAGGTAGCTGAGCAGAGTGAGGAGGCTGCAGAGTCGCGGATGGATCAGGGAACTTGAACGAGGACTGGTCAAACGCTTTGCGAGATTGATCCGAGAGTTGTCGATAGTGCATAGAGTCCGGTGGAAGTTTGGGAGACGGTTGAGGAGACTGATGCTGAAGTTGAGGAGGTTGCGAAAGAGGTGAAGGTTGAGGAGATCGCGAAGGTGAAAGGGGCCGAGAGACCTGAAGTGACTGAGGAATCTGACCAGGTTGAAGAGCCTTTGAAGGTTGAAGCTGCTGAGATGGCTTGTGCTGAGGGGGTTGAGGAGTCTGAATGCGTGGTGTATCCTCAGCAGTCGACACAGTTGAAAGAGGAGAAGTCGCATCGCTCGTGTTGCGCGCCCTGGTCGACCCAGTATCACTCAAACTCAGGCTCGGGCTCGACTGCATCGTTCTCAGAGGGCTCGCGGTCCTCGTCGTACCAAACGCCCTCGGCTTGACGGTCGTGTCGGTCGGGCTCACTGAGGTCTCACTCGTAGGCGTCTCCAAGCTCCTATTTCCAACACTCCCCCTCCTGACAGTCTCTCCAAAGTCGAAGCCCGAAAAGTTACCCGTCAATCCCTCCACCATGGGCTTAACCGCCTCACGAGCCCTAAGCTCATCAACTTCCATGGAAAAACTCTGTCGGCGAGGTGTGTGAAATGTCAAGGTGTCGCGCTTAGCCTGAACATTGCGAATCACGGGCGCCTCCCAAATATCCTCACTGGAGCGTGCAACCGAGGCAGCAGGGCTAGGAAGAGCCATGGGACCGGCTACATCGACGTTGCGAAGTCCACTAGGGGCGGGCACGTTCCGGCGACTGCTCGAAGGTCGGTTGGTTTCTTGACTGGCGGGTGAAAATGGTCGCTCAGCGTTGACGATTGACGGCGGCGGAGAGGGATACCCGTTGGTGGCCTGCTCCTTGCTGTGGTCCTTTGATGCATCTCCTAGACCAAACTCGAACTGCTCAAAGGTGCTCTTGCTGTCGTCCATAGGCGTCCCAGGTATACTGCTAACCGAATCCTTTCCAAAGTGTACATTGAAAGGGTTATCCGATACGTCCCTCCTCGAAGTCGCGGTACCTGGTCGTGTAGGCGTGCCAGGCCTATTCGCCGTAGGACCACCACCCCCTATGGGACCTGGCGCAACAAGACTTGTAGAACTTCCGTTTGCGAAGCGCGTGTTGAGATTAACGTCGGATGAGTGGAATCGAGGATTTCCCATGGCGGGAGCTCGAGGAGCGCCGAGGTCGACCATGGAGGAAGCACCTCCAGCGGCCGCTGGGGCATTCATGTAGGGGGCACGATGCCATTGTAAATCGCGGTTGGAAGAGGATGTGTCGGGACGGGCGCCGGGGGTGCTTGGGAGCGGCAAGTTGCTGGCTGTGAGTAGATGAACATCTTTTGATGTGAGGTCTGATTGATTGTTTCGATGCAGGTGTTGAATCTGTTTTGTGGTGGCCTTGGTCTTGTCCCTGTCCAAGTGTTAGAGTGGAAGGAAGGTGCGACGAGTGATGGTGCTTACTGTGACTTTTTCCTATCGCCTCCAAGCTTGAGGCCAAAAAAGGACACCATCTCGAATGGACGGGAAAGAATCTATGTCGTTCATGAGCCTCAGATTCGATGAACATTCCCCAGAGAAATCATGCTTGTTCAAGGTTGTCTCCTTGTCCTGCAAGTTCTCTTTCTAGAAGGCCGTTGCCCAGAGACTTACCGTTAAGGGTCCGGCTCAACGGGGGGTGGGAGGGCCCACGAGGCGTAAGATGGGTAAACCAAGTGGGCTAATTTAAATGGTATAATTTTAGAATGGGAACCCGTCAGGTACGGCGTCGAGCCGTCAAAAAAGATGAAGAGGATATCCAAATGGATAAAGTCTTGTCTCTTTAACTTGATTCTCTTGTAGAGATCATTGCTCGTTCAGTTGAGTTTCAAAAAGGAGTGTGTGGTTGTTGAAAAGACTCAAATGACGGGAGAGCAAGGTCGAGTTGGCGATGGATGGAGCTGAGGCTGAACTAGACCAGGTTCACAATTCAGGGGCTCGAAATGGCGCCGTCGCGGGGTCGTAAAAGAGGCCAAAGCAGAGGAATTTGCAAAAAAGAAGCAAAGAGAGAGCCCAAGCTTGTTCAAGTAGAGACAGACAAATGGATAGAGACAGGTAGTTTCCCAAGAAGGAGAAAAAAGACACTGCCACAGACAGTCCAACAAAGCCCGCTCTTCTATCTTGGGAATTTCGTGCGTGAGACTGAAAGGAGTGAGATGGGTGCACTGCGCCTCGAAAAAAGTTGAAAGAAGACCACACGAAGGATGACGATGCATGAGAGGGAAAAGAAGAGACGGAGGTCCCCATTCTAAGGTCCATTCTATGGAGTGAGGTCCCATTCTTTTCCCCTTCCCGCCCGAAAAGGCCAAGACATCAAGTGACGATCTTGGGGGTTAGATTGGATGAGAGAAATTGAACCGGCGGCGTCCACGTTATACCCTTGTCGCTACGCCAATGCAAATGCCTTGACTCTGCATGGTGGATTATCATGGGATGGGAATTCTGTGGGTTAAAGAAATACCGTCTTGCAGGTCGGCTTTTTACGTGAAGCCATTCAACTCACACAACACTGCACAACAATATAACTCTCACAGATCAATCATTGCAAACTCATCTCAAAGGCTCAAGACATTGAAAGACAAAAGACAATGCCTGAGACGTCAGATGCCCCCCCCCCCCCCCCCCCCCCTCTAGACCCATCCAAAACGGGAAGCTGTCCTCAGGGGTCCAGCGCCCAACGCGGCCGACAGGGGCCCAAACATGCATCTCTCTCCTCTGCTTTTTCCCTTTCTTCTGCTCCCGTTCCCAAGGGGCTATAACGATCGTCACCCCCGAGCTGAAACTCTTTCCCCTCGTAGGCGACCCTGAAACACGGCATGGGGACCCTTTTTCTGCCGATGAGAGTAAAAAAAGAGAAAACTTGCAGAGTTAGAGACAGATCAGCATGTCGGTTAGTTTTTGTCAGTAGTCTTCCCTCTAAGGAGTTCATGAAACGAAACATAAACGGTCTCTAATACCTAGTTAATTAATTTACTCCGTACCCATCATCAATTCGATCTATGACCCCTGCCGGACTTGTCCGTTCATGCAATTGACAGCCCGGGGAACGCGGGCGTCGTCCTGGCCTATACTCACCGTACTATGCCCAGGGTCGTTAGCCTTGCGAGGAGCGAATATTTGGTGGCCATAATTAGTATCGTCAAGTTTGTCGACATCTCGGATATCTTCTTTACGAACCCCCCTTAACTACGTAATGTAACCTCCACCATTGTTTTTTGAACTACCAGTCCGATCCCGTGAAACCGTTACGCCTTGAATACATACAGTAGTAGTGTTACCGTCCGAAACGCCAAATCGTGACTATAAACTTCCCCGTCAAACATCCACCATAGATAGAATAGGCCAGTTGAAGGCCGTTCAACCAAAACCCCAACAGTCAACTCTTTGTCTTCAGAGTTGCCCACCCAGCTTCACACTCACAGCTGATCAAGCAACTTCCTTCTCCTCCGATCAATCAACTCCTCCTGTACTTCCTCCAACGTCGGCAACTCCCACGTCACCCCATCCCCTCCGTCACCCGGCAGAGGCTCCCACCCATCAGGCACGTCTCGGCTCCCCGTCTCGAGCATGTGCTCCACAGCCTGCCTCTCCTTCTCAGCCTCGTACGCCAACATCTCATCGTCCTCCTCATCAGGTGCGTATCCGTAGTAGGCCGCGTCCACGTTGCGTCGCAGCTCGCTCCTCTCCTCTAGAGGCTTCTCGTCTTGTCCTTTAGTACGTGCTGCTTCGAATAGTTCCTTGACGCCTGGGAGTTCTCTTGCGCGGCCAAAGTACTTGTATCCCTTGCCACCACCAGGTATCTCCCTACCCTGCTCGTCGTATATCTTTCCTCCACCGCGCATGTAATTCGGCCCTCCTAAATTGCGTATCTGCACCTCCCACATGTGCTTCTCGCGCATGAGCTTGTTGATCTCGTCGTTGAGGTCGCGGATCTGGTAGTCGCTGAGGATGGGGTCCTGGATGCGCGACATCTTACGCGAGATCTCCTTAAGGACCTGGCCGCGCCACTTCTCGCATGCTGGGATGGCCTCGACTTCGGTGATGAGCTTGGGACGGCGGGTGCGGCCGGCGTCGATGATGCCTAGGTCTGCTGCTTGGGCTTCGCGGAAGCGAAACAGCATCGACTGCGCTTTTTCCGAGTTTCGAGCCTGGAAGAGTTAGTCAGATACATACACCTCGAATTTCAGTAGAACCTACCATATTGACGGTTACGCTGGGCGAGTAATAGAGATTGACAGAGTACGGCTTCAAGTGACAGCAAGCCAGATGTTGTCGCGCCCAAGTTTTCCCAGCCTCGTTGGACTGAAGAGGGTCCAGGTCTCAGAAGCTCAGCAAAAAGTGGCGCTCAGCCACAATTGAGCAGCCACAGCTTGGCACCGTCAGCCTTATCCCAAACCTACGCGACCAAACGCGACTTTTGACTGTGATTCACTGACCTTCAACCTCACTTTTTTTTTCTGCCTCTTTTGGACCATGAATCACAGTCGTTTGCAGTCAACAATAGAACCTGTTTTTATTCACCCGAAATTTACTGATTGCGTGCACGTTCTTTTCGCCTACAAAAGCCAGCTTCTCCGATCGAATTCTCGCCTTCTTTTCTTCTCTTCACGACCAGCAAAGGCGACGACTTCCGACAACCACTTCACTCCCTCCTCTCCTGACTTCATCCGCCCGCTCGCGCACACTCACTCGGGCATCACACAGTCGAATCCCCAATTGTCAGCACTCTCGATGCCTACAGGCATTGCAACGCCCACCCCTCCACGCATCACCTCCCCTTCCCTTCGCTGCACTCTTCCTCCGGGCATGGCCACCAACCATCGACCCGAGCTGACTCTATCGCTTTGCGATACCGCCAGCGGCTGCAGTGATGAAAACGTTCACAAGAGCTTGGTATATCTTTCGCTTGGTCGGATCTTCTCAAAGAACCACTCGCGAAATGATACATGACCCAAATTCAAGAACAGAGATCTGAGCAAGCCTTCCTCCAACTTTCTCCCCCCTTCTTCTCCTTTCACACCTCTTCACTCACCCAAACAGGACTTTTCCATAGCCGCAATGACCGACATTCTTCACCAAGAAGCTGTTCTCACACGCGATACCCGTTCTGGGCTTGCGGAGACGCACATGATTTGTACCATAGTTTTCAATCGGAGCAGGCTTGTCCTGCTTTTGCGGTAGGGAAGAGGTGCGAGAGTGGGAAGACAGGATGGTGAAAGTCGAGATACAAACTATTTTGCCCGGTGATGATTGAACGACCAAAAAGCCAAATTTGCAGGCAGCAGCGGCGTACATGTTTTTACATGTCGAGGGTCATTCACTGTCCACAGCCGCGCGTTGTCAGTGAGAACCCAAGAGAGCTAATCTGAGGGCATCATGGTTGTATCTCGACATTTCATAGTGTGCATGTCTTTGATAGCTGAAACTTCTTGTGCGCATCTTGGCCTGTGAACACTCGTTGACACATTGGTAGCTGTTTGATAAATACGATAAAGTCCGTAGTCGACAAATGCATTCTATATTCATCCCATTTTTGTTCCTACTCTACACACGCAACTAACCCACGACTCCTGATCATGGTGTTGCTATAATAAGAAAAACATTGTACATTGCATTCCCTTCTCCTATTCACTGCTCCATCTATTGCGTCTTCTTGCCCTTTTCCAAAGTGGCCACGGGCTGGCTGTACACCCAGATGATGCTGAACGCCAGGAAGCCAGTGACGGTGGCTCCAATACCCGTCAACCAGGGCCAGGCGCCCGAGATGACGTAGCTGCGTGGCCACTCGTCGTGGGCCATGTGTCGCACGCTGACTGTGTTCTTCTCCTCGACGTTGGTCAGGAAGGGTCGCTTGTAGTTGACCTTGAAGTTGAAGATGCCGTGCTGGTCGGGCAGAGTAAAGTTGGTGCTGAAGACGGTGGCGTGGTCATCGACATGCGTAGCCTTAAGGTCCAGGCGGTGGAAGGGAGACAGCATGGAGAACTCGAGCTGGAGAGAGTCGCCAGGGGGAAGCTCGAAGGGCATCCAGCTGCGCCAAGCATACTCGGAGATGGAGATACTGTAGGTCTGTTGAACGTTAGCCATGAGTTCAGATATCAGTCAATTCCATTCAACATACCACATCGTTCTTGATTCGGTAGATTTCAGGGTTGGTCTCGTTGTCGCCCACGAGGTGGTGCTCAATCTTGTTGACTCGCAACACACCAAGCTCCTTGAAGGTCCAACCCGCCAAGCTGGTGATGAACTCGCGGTTGCTGGGGTACAGAGCCTTGCCGCCCTTTCGGGAGACCTTGGTGTCAAAGGTCTTGTCCTGGAGCATCTCGGCGGAACCAATGATGGTGAAGCGCGCCGAGTTGCGAGCCTGCATGGTCGAGACCAGCGCAAGCTGCTTGCCAGCAGCGAACAGCTCATCAGGGTCAACAGTCTCGGCTTGCTCCTTGGGGTTGTAGCTGTACGCGGTGGGAGGGGCGCGGAGGATGGGTGTAAGGAGAGGTCCAGAACCCAGAGTGTGGCCAACAGCGTTGGAAACAGCAAGCAGGGCGCCGGGAATCTCAAAGTAGTCCTTCAGACCAGGTCGGACATTTCGGGGAGCGTCCAGGACGAGGACATCGTGAGACTCGGCAGCCGAGATGGTGTCAAAGTTGAAGTGGTCGACAATCTTGCCGGTGCGCTCAACAGGCAGCGCAATGTCGAGCTCGGCGAGGACGGAGACGAGAGATGTAGGGACGGCATGGGTCGAGGACATGGTCAGGAGGATGTTTCCACCAGCGTTGATAAAGTCGAGGATGATATTGGGGGTCAAGTTGGGGCCGAGACCTGCGCCCAAGTCAGCATATTCATTTCATCAGCAACCAAGATATCATCACGAACCCTTGACCTTGGTGGGGAGGAAGACGAGGTGATCATAGTTCCTCTCGCCGAGACGGAACAAGCTCAGAGCGCTGTTCTTGGGAGACTCGTATGTAATCTGATATCCTCGCTCTGCGCCAGTCAGCAAAAGACATGAGAGGTGATCGAATGGGACGGTGTACCATTGAGGTCGGCAAAAAAGGTGGAATACGCCTCCTTCTCCTCGACGGCGTCCAACACGACCAGCAGTCGATTACCAGCCGTGCCCGCGGCCGAAACCAGGGCCGCGAACAAAAGGAGCACGAGGCTCAAAAGCGACCGCATCTTGATGAAGAGTTGTCTTGATTAATTTTTCGTCCTCGTCTCTCTCTTGGTGCAAAAGACGCGACAAGGTTGAGAGCGGACGTGGACAGCTTGCGCTTTCGGGGGAGCTTCCAATGCAAGTGAGCTTGCGTTTAGGGATACGTAGCCTTGGTGAGCTCTAACAGTGGGGGGTGACGCGGCGCTAGTCTTATTGGGGTAGTTCTTTTGAAGTTGAAATGTTGATTGTCGGTGATTTTGAGGCATTGAAGAGTTTAAACACTCCAAAACGCCGTGTACTTGCAATAATATGTCATATATATACTCTGGATGTATTTTTGATATCATTTTGCAACAGGATTGCCCGTAGAGAGCCATTTCACGAGCGCATGCACCTACACTCGAGCCGTTTTATATCCTCATCAGGCTTAGCCCTCCACTTCTTGGCATCTCTCCCCAGCTCCAAAATAATCCGACACCCGCGGCTTGGTTTTTCCGCTCCTGCGATTGGACCGAGCCCAATCGAGCGACCCTCCTCCATGATCCTCATCACCAGTCGGTAGCAATAACCTCACGTCAATTGAGTACGAACGGCCCCTCTCTGTCACCTCCAACGTCGCTGACCCTTGACCGTCTAGTCGCCCATCATGTCTGCCGCTCCCCTCTTCTGGTCGACCCCCCTCAAGTACTGCCGCTGGGCAGCCCGCGAGCGTCCCGCCCTCTTCTGGTCCGTCATTATCGGCGCCGCCGGTCCCATCTCCATGCCCATCGTGCCTCCGATCCGATACTACTTTGGCGACATTGATGTGCCTCCGGTTCCCGTCACCTACCCCAGTGCGTTGGCCCTCTCTCTTAACGGTACCATGGACTCTACTAACCGAGGCCAAACAGTTCCCTCTGGTCCTCGGAAACAGCTTACCGGCTACGACGACGAGTAATCCTACCGAATCGACGAAAGAGAAGGAGGAAACATGACGCTCGAAGGGAGGAGAGAGACACAACATTGTACAAACTACGGCGTTTGAGACAGCGCGGAGGAACCATAGAGGATATGGAGAGGACCAACCCTAGGTCCCATCCAACAATTGACGCTCCAATTCGATTTTCACCACGTTTGCTACAAAGTTTTTTTTTTTCTTTCGTGCCCAGGGAATTTCGCTATTCATATGCGCCCACTTGCGCGAGGTTTCCATGTCTAACATGCTGGGAGGGGGTTGCAAGAAACCGGGGGAAACGCCGCCGGCAATGTGAAAAAGGAAGAACAAGACAAAGATATCCATCAGTCGTGTTTGCTACAATGAGCTTTTGCGGCGATTGATCCGCACTGATGTTCGACTAGGGAGGGCCAGACTCTATCTATCCCGACTCATAAAGTTCCACTCATACTAGGAGTTATTAGTCTTTGAGACGCGCAGGGGAGAGGGTATACTTACAACTCGGCCATCATCATCACCTGTGTATACACACGTCGGCATGGGAGTAATACACGTCACGCCCGCCTCCGTGTTTGCTCCCTTGTCGTTCTTATAGTCCACATGATCAAGCTTTCTCAGAAGCTCCAGCGTCCATCGACTACCGACAATGCTGCGGCGCCACACATTGACACGGCCTCGCTTGTGTCCTGTGAAGACGAGGTAGTTGTCGAGCCACTCATTCCCAGCGCCTTCGTAGAAAGCACATGAGTGAATGTAGTCGTCTTGATCGAAGCAAACGTTTTGCTCTAGAAGGAGTGTACCGTTGAGGGTGTACAGGAGCACGTTCGGTCCAGAGCAGAGAAGAATCTCGCCAGAGATGTCGTTGATGCGGGCACACTCGACAGGACGCACCAACGGCAGTTTTCGAATAAACGAGAGACGGTTGAGATCCCACAGGAATGCTTGCCCATCCGCAGAGACCGTCAGGAAGGTACTGAACGCCTTGCTTACCGCAATCGTAGTGACGGGCGACTTGTGTCCAAAGAGACTCGATCTTGGCAGCAGCTCCACTGGTTTACCCGGCGCCGTCTGAAGCGCATAGACAGAAACGACGCAATCCTCACCAGCGGTGATGAGGGTCTTGGAGTCGGCAAAGCAGGCGCACGAGATCTGCCCAATGTGGAGGTTCTCAAACAGGCCAGCCGGCTTTCGTGCGTTAGCGGGGCGGCCATAGTCAGGGATGTAGTGGCGAGTTACCTTTCGGTTGTCGCTGAAGTAGAAGCGAATGCTGTTGTCGGCGTATCCCCATTCCAGGAACTTGTCATAGGGTGGAAAGTTGAGGCGGAAAGGAGAAGCGCAGAGTAGGCGGTCCAGCTTCGGGGCGTAGATTAGAGAGGCTACGCGTTCATGGCTTTCTGTTGGGAGTCAGCTATGTCTTGAAAGGTAGGGAACAAGATACATACCAAGGAGTGGGTTGGAGAGGCATCCAAGAGAAAATACACCAGTGTCCAGTCGTCGAATAGGACATCGTACATGCTCCCGGGCGGGATGAGGCCTTATAAACACTTGATGCGGTGTCTGTCCAAAGTTGTGAATCACACCAGCAAGGATAGCCCTCTCCTTTGCGTCCGTGATACTGTCCAGGTCTGTAGCTCCACGATACGACAGATGATGGAAGACGTTGAGGTTCTCCACGGCAGCTTCTCCTCGTTGCTTGTACCCAAAAACGAGATCGATCCACTTGTGCAAATTCTCGCTAACATATGGGCTCTCCAATGCCTCTCGATGCTTGGCGATGAAGATTCCTGGGTCACCCTTGGCCCAGGGAGGAAGTTCGACATGGTCAACCTTGGCGCCATTGCTCTCTCGGTTGCCAAAGTTATATCCATTGATGTTGGTCAGGAACTCGGGCAGACAAAAGAACTCGGGAATGAGCTCTCTCACGTCAGCCTTGTTCCTGCAGGATGCCGATTTCCATGCCTCAGGGATTGACTGGAAGAGCCGATCAGCGTGATCGAAGCTGCCTCCCTGGAGGAGGATGTAGGACTGGACGAAAGGCGGCAATCGAATCAGGTACGATGAGACGATCATGGCTGAAGAGTAGTGGGTGCCGTAATGGAAAGGGATCTCTCCAATCTCGGCCAGGGCATTGTAGCTTTCAACGAAGCCACCCACTCGCTGCGGTGTCTGAGCGCCCATCGGCTTGGACAGATCACGGAACGTGTTGGGGTCCTCCAGATCAAGGTCCTCACTAGTATAGTCTGCCAAGATCCACGGGAAGACTGGGTACTGGGTGAGATCGTTGAAAGTCCTGCCAGCCATGGTGTTGACCATCATGAGGTAGTGAAAGTTGGAGATCTCGCCTCTCTGCCATCTCTTCAGGATTGGGTTCCACGGCGTCGAGTTGAAGAATGTGCCAAACTTGGACCCGAAGCCTTGAGGAGACTCGTCGACCACCTTGAGAGACTCCAGCCGCCAAGCATCCTCAGGATTCGGCAGTGTGTTGGCACCGCTCGTATGGGGGGCTTTGTTGAGCATCTTGACGAATAGGTCATCTCGAACAACCGGGTTGATGGTGGTCAACAGATAACTGCGGCCATCCGTGAAAAACACCTCGATCGCAACATCTCGGAACAGGAAGCGTCGTTTTGAGATACTGATCACGTCGTGCCAGCGCCAGTGTCTCGACTCTTGCTCCTTGTTGCCAGCATTCTGCCGCTTCTCTGACGTCTTTGAGTCCGTCACGATCTGAGAGAACGGGTCACGCTCTTCAGGAGGAGCTTGCCAGACGTTGACAATGTCGCCGTTGGCACACTGAAACACGTTGTCCATCATGTAGAGGGCGTCCTTTCCTATGATCAGGATACCTTCGCATGCATCAAGACCAATGATGCGAGAAATGTTGTACGCCGATTGAACCTGGTCACCGTGTTCCAGCCGCCTCATGACCTTGCGGTTCTTGTCTTCGAAGCCTTCATCTCCCTCGTTGGGATCGTTGGGGTCATCGACAAGCTCAAAGTCGTCTTCAGGAGCAACGCCAGAGTTGGGCTGCTCCGTTTGATCGGCCGTAGACTCAGGTTCGTCTGTGAATTGGGGAGGTTCGTTGTTGCCTTCCAGAGCACTTGATGGGGCGGAACGTGTGGGTGTGACAGCAGATGCCGAGATGGAGGGCACCGGACTTGCTGACGTGTTAAGTCGCAGTGTCTGCACGACTTCGCTTGTCTTTCTCTTGGGCTGGTATTCATCCGACTTGATCGCAAAGTCCGGAAGAACCCTGAGTCGCATCCGGTTTCGCCCTTCAGTTCGATCGAGCTTCCACTTGGGCGGTGTTGCTTCGCTGAAGACAGCACCAGGTCGCCTCAGATCTCGTTCCATCTTCTTGTATGCTGCACTCAAAAACACCAAGTCGTCTTGCTGATCCTGCATGATTCGGTGGTACTTGAAATACTCGGAATTATAGATGCTCTTCATCCAGGCGCTGTTGCCAATGTCGTGGCTGAGCAAGACCTTGTCTCTGGTGATGCCCTCAACGTGCCACAACCTAAGCTTCTCCTTACGTTTTGTGATGCGGCTTTTGGCCGTCTCAGCTGTGCGGGCGTTCTCGGCACTAACAAAGTCTTCCCAAGTTTTAGACATTCCGCCAAAGAAGAGGACATCCAGGGACGGTCGATGTTTATCAACCCACTCAACAAAAGATTCATCATCCACTCCAGTGAGTTTCTGAAAGTCCTTGGAGAGTTGTTTCTGGTCCGGTGACATGCACGAGCGGATCAAGGCTGCAGACTCTTCTGGCTTCTGAACCAAGATGATGCGAAGAAAGTTGGCTGCCGCAATGCGGAGGGGCATCTTGTCCCCAATAAGCTTTGTGTAAAGCTGGTACCAGAAAAGCTTGAGAAAGTCATCCTCTGAGGAGAAGCACCCAAGAATTGACATTTGCCAGTACGCCATCTTGTCCATGAACTGCTTGGCCTCAACCACAGTGGTATCTGGGCTGTCAAGGTCCGATAGCCTGAGAAGGATAATCCTGAGCAGACAGCTCCTGACGGTAGTAACGGCCTGGCTGCAAAGGCGAACACTTTTGAGAGTAGCAATGTCAGGGCGCTGTAGGAATTCCAGCAGCATGCCGATAAAGTCAATCATGGTCTCGGCCCCATTCATGAACCAGCCCTCAAAGATGGCTTCCGACATGTGGAGGCAAAATCTCGACAGATTGGTCAAAATCCTTGGTTCGCAGATGGCTTTCTGGTTCAGTTGGACATTGTTCGTCAGCTGGGTGATCACATTCCTCAGAATATATGATTCAAAGTATGCTTGGTGCTCACGGAAACCCGGAGGCACTTTGGTGAACAGACCAAAGCCCGGGAAGTCTTTGCGCGAGAGGAGTTGATCCATAAAAACGTTGACGACCAGATCAATGATTCCATCCAAGATATCGCTGCTCGGCTTCTTCTTGGGCGTCGATCTCGTTGGCGGCACTGCTGGGTTCAAGCGAGCTGGACTGGGCCCAACGGGCGATTTGTGTGCTGTAAGAAGGATGAAGGACGACGCTCTCCTGAGAGGTGTGCCTTTAGGGGGTGTGGACTGAGGCGAAGGAATGGGGTCAACGCTCGTTGTTCGTACAATGGGCGTGGCATGCGAACCACTACCGCCAATAGGCCGAATAATGACGTCGGTTCCTTCAAAAGTGAGGGCAGCATCTCCCGAGTTCAACTCAGTCTCTGGTGTCACTCCATCGGCGCTGACAACAACGGGATAGAGTGCGGCTAGCAGCAGTCTCACCCATTCCGAGGTCAGAGCAAAGTCTCTAAACTCGGTTGAGCGCTCATGAAGATCCAATAGGAAGCGAATGACTGTATGAAGAACCCCGGCGTAGCTCGCCACTCGTTCGCTATCTTTCGAGAAGTTTACTAGAACCATGTCAGTCGGGCTCAGTCCAGGTCAGAACTGCACATACATCGAGTCTCAAGGGCTGTAGCAAGATCCATAGAGTCCGCTCGTGGTCGCAACTCCTTAGCAGAGGCAAACTTCTTGAGTGTATGGGCTGGGGCGGTATGCGTCGCTGGAGAGTCGGGATCGTCTTGGTATCTCGTAACATCCTTCAATCCATGCTGCAGCATTGCTGTGATGACAGACAGAGACTCTGGGTAAACAATCTTGCGCTTGCCAAATGTTTCCAGGAGGTTGAAAAAGTCAAAGTTCTTGTCAAAGTCGATCTCGGCAACGTCGTAGCCAAATAGAATGCAGAAGCAGATGGGCCAGATGGTCGGCAGGTCCCAGAACCGCTTCAGTCGATTTGACATGATGGTAAACCCTCCAGACTTGCCGGCAAACTTCGACGTGTAGTTTGTTCCATGGGTCACGAGCAGTCGTGCCAGAATCTTGCAGCCATGAACCACAACTTCCGGGTCATCCTCTGCCAGCAGATACAATAGCCACTACCAACGTTAGAAGAGCCACGCATCAGAGGACATGACATCTCACCTTGTTCGTAACTGTGCGGGCAAATTTCTTGATGTGAGACGTGTTCGCCTTGTCGCACAGTATGCGTGAGTACATGCTCAAGACCTTGACACCCAGCTGCTTCTTAGTCAGGAACTTGAGGCCAGGCGAAGCCCCAGACAGGCTGGCATCCGTTGGTGTCCGAGTTCGCCGAGGAGCCGGAGTGCTTGACCTGGAGATTGACGAAAGGGGCCGCGGGCTTCGTAGCAGCGATGAAGCTGGTGAATGAAAGGCGTATGTGATGAAGAGCGACAAAGATCTCATGACTTCCTGGCTAAAGTTTGACGTGACAAGAACCTCGAAGGCGCCCATGAAATGGGAAATGGTATCATCCGACACTACCTCACCCTTCATCGCATCAAGCAATCTCTTGACAATTCCTAGAATCTGTTAGACCTGGTACATCCACTTCCGCATTGCAACTTACTCATCCTAATCAACCTCCGACTATTGAACTCATGGTATTTGCTCTTGACAGCGAACGTAACGAATTGTTTGTAGTAAAGCTCTTGAATGCGCGGCGCTGACTTGCGCCAGATGTCAAGGTCGATAAGGAGGATGCGGTAAGCCAGCGGGTTGATGATGAATGACTCCATGGGCTCTGCGTGGTTGTATCCGACGAAATCAAGAATAAGGCTCAGAAGCTGGAATGCCAATCGGTCGCGGTCTTCACTAGAGACTTGGAGTCGAGTAACGGCAGAATCACCAATGCTACCACCATGTCCCAGTTTCACACGGATGAGCATGGCCAAGATGCCATACCCGTTATCCTTTTCGATAGCTTCACTGTTCCTCCAATTCTGGCGAATGCAGAAGAAAAGCATCTCAGCAGCCCGAACTGTCTCCTCAATGGTAGTGGCCCTCTCAAAGAGTTTGAGAGCCAGTGGTGTGAACCCAGCCAGGCGCCACAAGTTCTCGTCAAGGTATGAAGGGACGGCGACGATGGGGTTGCCTCGGAAAGATAGAAGTCCCTGAACTCTGAACAGTGAGTCTGGGAGACTTGGGACCGCGCAGTTGATAGCCAGAGGCGCGCCCTCTTGGTTCGATGCTCGGAATAGGTTGCGGGAGCAGTTCCTTGGCAACGATCGCAAGAGTCCAGTGTCATAAAACTGCACGTTTTCTGGGAATGTGGCTGAGGGCAGGATACTCAGCAGAATCTTGGACTCTGGGAGTAGCGAACCAGCTTTATCGCGCACAGCTCTGATGATGTCCGAGTGCTCGCCCTTTCCTGGATGCGCGATCTCATTGCGCAGGCCTAGAGTGGCCGATGCCTCGTAGGTTTGAAAGCCTCCCAGGCTATCCTGAAAGTTGCCCTGGTACCGTGGCCCAAGGCCATAATGAACCGCTAGGAAATCGTCGCTCAAGACGTCCTCAAACAGATGCGCCGAGGCAAGTGACCAGCGTGAGAAGACAAGTCCAGGCCCTACTTGGTTCGAAAGATCCTTAGGTGTGCCAAGAAAGGCCTGTACTGGGTTTGTTTTGTTCTGGGACGAGTTGAAGGAAGCAAAGCTCTCATTCGTGCCGTTGGACAGGGGTGGCATGTGAGGGTAGTTGCAACGAATCTGTTCTGAAAACTCGCCATTGACGTAAAGAGATGCTTTGCTAGCAGTCATGGTCTTTGGTCGACGATGAACAATGGCGATATGGTACCATCGCTTCTCCTTGAACGAAACGGTCTTGAAGCGCACGCTAGGCTTATTGGAAGTGACGGAAGTTTGAAGGATAAAGTTGTGGGTATCTCTCTCAAGGTACATGAGCAAGAAGCATGCTTGTGTTGAGTCGAAGACGCCAAAGATGGTTGTATGTGCAGTAGGATCAAAGCTGTCTACCCGAATCCAGGCTGTAAAAGTGTATCCTGCACTTGACTGGGGCGGAAACGAGCGGCCGAGACTAGATAACTCGAGGGATGAATGACCATGTAAAGAAAGATCAAACTGGAAGAAAGGAGGGCCTGAGTGCTTGGATGTCATCTGCAAGCAGAACTCGGATGCCTCAGAACCAGGTGTCGAGAGTAAGAATTGGGTGTCAGCAGGTTCGTTGACGCCTAGGAACATGAGCATCTTGCAAATGGCCAGAACCTTTTCCCGTTCAGGGGGACTCAGTGCCGAATCAGGATTGAAGGCAACTCGGAGAAACTGAGAGAGGGCGCCAGTCGAATGCACTGCAGCCCGGTTATATATGGAGACGGAGATGATGCAGTGAATCGTCTCCAAGACAAGCAGAGAGGCAGGATTCGCAAGGCCATCCTTCATCCGCGGAATGGCTGTCCAGAAGCTGACGACTGCTCTAAGAATCTCAGGGTGCTGTATTATTGTCTTGGCATTCACAACCTCACGCACTCCAGGTGCGATATTCTCGACAGACTTGGTCAAGACCAGATCCCACTGCTCTTCCACGCTATCGTCGTCGTTTGGGAGTGTGTTATCGCCATCGGGCCGAAGTGATTTGGCGATAGTCTGGCAAAGGAGATCAAGAGCGTCGTCGTCGAGGGAGAAGGATAAGAGCTTGCCAAATACATGGCAACTTATCCACGCATCGGGTTCTGCTCCACCGAGGCCTATGCTGGCGATGACCTGCTCCAGTGCTTCCCAACCGCCTCCCTCAACTCTGTATCGGAAAAATCGTCGGTTGCCTGCATGCCCACGCAGGGTCGCCGAGAGAACATTCAAGGAGTCTCCCAGCAGCTTAAACAGAGCAAGCATATCCGCATCGCTTCGTTTATCGGGGTTGTAGTAGCCTGAAAAGGCACGGAGTAGGTTGAGGATGTGCTGGTAGCCGTCGGCATGGCGGAAATCGTTCTGGTGCACCGATGAGGCCGTCGCGGTGATGTGCTGGCTGATGTGTCGTAGTTTCTTTAATAGGGGCGGAATCTCCGGGAATCCGTTATCTTGGTGGAGGGTCGTGTCGAGGGTGAGCGCGTCGAGCAGGCCCTTCAATATCTCAAAGGACTTGGTGTTGGGTGGGTTCGAGACCGAGGTCGAAGACCGGTATCTTCTCGGTATGGAGGCCATTTTAACGGTCGCAATGCAATCACGGGTTCATTCCAGAAACCGCCCTCCCCCGAGCCCTTCAAGGGTCCAGGCTGTTATCATCCGCTGTCGGCATCGAAAGGTGAGATTTGGGGGCCTGTAGGGGCGGCCGCGGGGTGCATGAAGCTGTGAATGGGAGATCGCCGCACGCCACAGCCACGAGTTGACGAGTAGAAATTTCGTAGATACGGAGGATAGGAGGCACTGGGCGTCGAAGAACAGGCACAGAGACTGGCAATGAGCGAGCGTGTCTCGAAACAACTGGTACAACTGGAGCCTGCACTACCTGTGCTCGATAACTCGTTACGGAGGTCAGCCTTGGAGGTGTGGCTTGTGTTGTGGCGAAGCGAGCCCCTCCTGAGGCTTGGCTGCCTGGCATCCATTTGGGAGGGATCGTCCGAGCTGCGTCAGCTCGACTCAAGGAGCTTGGGTGACATGCACACCTGACTGAAGCTTCCGTCCCTCCGTCAGAGGACGACAAAGACGGAGGGAATGTAGAGAAAGTTATTGCTAGGAGAGTTTAGGGGTCGCGATTCTATTTCAACTGCAATGCAATGTGAATTTTATCAAGTTGATCTGTCTGGAGTTGTCGTGGTTCAATGACGTCGTTGTGAAGCGATGTTCTTTAGGGTAGGTTACAGCTAAGAATGAAGCGGACGAAGGATTCCAGGAGGCCGGGTCATTCGGTGTAATTCCGAGTAGATACAGAGTCATGTTTATTGCGAGCGATGATGGTAAGACAATTATGTGGTTTCCTCTTGATAAATCTTCATGGACATCAGTGAGTTCCTCTGAGTATCCAAGGCATTCAAGTTGTTGAGGTGCTGCCTCGGATCAAAATCGGGGTCGACAAGCTATGGTGGAGCTCAACACGGGATTGCTCTTCCATCAACAGCTACGCGATCCGAGATCTCCCATTGACACTGCCTAGTGGACAATGCCTATCCTGATAAACCAGGTCGTATCAACCAAGAGTGGTTGAGTGCAGCCTCGCGCTTGGTCCGATGCCTGGAATGACCTACAAGCGCCGGTTGATGGCGTTATCTGACGAGATAACCATGGTTACTGAGTTGCTTCAAAGTGGAGAGCTAAGGGAGCTATCGCCGAGACCAGCCTCAGCTGCCAGGCACAGCACAAGCACAGCATGACCCTGCACCTGTCCACCGGGTCCGGAGGCTTTGATGCGGAAAAACAAAGACAATTTTGACCTGCTGAATCATGACGTCTTTTCTGCCTCGGATTGTCTTTCCAAGGAATCGTATCTTCGAGGCAAAAACGCCCTTAACCCCGGGAACGGACTGGGATGGACGAGACCGGCCGGGGTCTGAGGCGCTGCTTGGCTTGGGATGGCGGCGCTTGAGACACAGGCTTGCAACATGAGGCACGTGCCAGGGACGTCGTCTGACTCGATGGATCAGGCGGATTAGGCCAGTGGGGGCCAATCGGAGCCAGGGCGCTCCCCGCATTCTGCTTGGAGGAACACTTGGTTCTGGCATCGCAGTGCGCAAACTGGAAGGTACCTTACCTTGTTGAAGCTTGCCTTTCCGGGGTGGGGCGCGAGCAGGATACCTTGGGGGTGCAGGCCACAGCACAGTGAATGCGGCGACTCGTAGCCATGATGCACTGTATCGGCCGTGCTGTCTCGGCTCTGTTAGCTCGGTCCCCTTGTGCCGAAGACGAATACAGTACCCTTGGATCCATGGATGGCTTGATTCCAAGGCTGACAAACACGGACTGGATGTCAGTGGAGATGAGACATCAGCCTCGCAAGCGGAAGTGACTCTTTGACCGAGAGTTGAGCTGATGTTTGCTGCTGTCCTGCATCTTCCTTTCACTGCAACAGATAGCATCTCGCGTTGCATGCGCAACTCTCCAAAGTGCCTGAGTCGCGACTCGGCTCAGCCATCTTACGCTCCGTGCAAGCTTCAACTTCTGCACGGACTGTCATGGGAGCTCACAAGTACCTTGGCTCCAGCAGGTGCCGTTATCGCATTGCCCCAGCGACGACTGAGCAACCGCATTGGCCGGCAGAACTGAAGCTAAACCACATTAGGCGCTCAGCCACCGCTGATATCAACCACCCTAGCGACTGATGCGTCACACCCTCCTCGGCCGCCCCAGGCCCGCTGAGGCAACACTGGAGATGTCGCACGCTGGTGGTGCTTATCTACCCCAGGTGCTGCTCGCCATCGCTTCTTCTTCCTTCATCATCCTCACCCGTATTCCGTCTCCTTCCCAACCTTTGCTGCGCCGGTTCTACCTGATCCATCACCACAGAGGGACAGGACATCGGCTCGTTTTTTTTCTCTCCCTTTCTTGTCTCGTCCTTGCGTCGCGCGCATACCAACTTCAGCTTTCGCCGCTCGTCTCGTGCGGTTTCGTCATCATGAGAACCGCCCTCACTCTCTCCCTGGCGGCTGTCGCCAACGCTGCCTCTTTCAGCGTCGGCACCATCCATGACAGGTCCGCTCCTATCCTCAGCTCCATCGAGGCCGAGACCATTCCGGACTCGTACATCATCAAGTTCAAGGACCACGTTGATGAGACTGCTGCGTCTGATCATCACACCTGGATCCAGAACATCCACAGCCATGGCGAGCAGGAGCGCCTGGAGCTGCGAAAGCGCTCCACTCCCTTCACAGACAAGACCTTTGCTGGTCTGAAGCACACCTTCAACATTGGCAAGGGCTTCAAGGGCTACGCCGGCCACTTTGACGAGTCCGTCATTGAGCAGGTCCGGAATCACCCCGACGTAAGTTGATGGCCCACTATATCCCTCAGCAGACATCAAGCTAACAGCCCACTCAGATCGAGTTCATCGAGCGAGACACCCTCGTCCACACCATGATCCCCGTCCAGAACCAGGACGCCGTTTCTGAGTACAAGTGCGACGACGGCAAGACTGAGACCTCGGCTCCTTGGGGCCTTGCCCGTATCTCTCACCGTGATACTCTCAACTTTGGTACCTTCAACAAGTACCTTTACTCCGCCGATGGTGGTGAGGGTGTTGATGCCTACATCGTCGACACTGGCACCAACATCGACCACGTCGACTTTGAGGGTCGCGCTCATTGGGGCAAGACTGTCCCTGCCGGCGATGCTGATGAGGATGGCAACGGTCACGGCACTCACTGCTCTGGTACCGTCGCCGGTAAGAGGTACGGTGTTGCCAAGAAGGCCAATGTCTACGCCGTCAAGGTCCTCCGATCCAACGGCTCTGGTTCCATGTCCGACGTCGTCAAGGGTGTCGAGTTCGCTGCCACCAGCCATCTCGAGCAGGCCCAGAAGGCCAAGGACGGTAAGCGCAAGGGCTTCAAGGGCTCCGTCGCCAACATGTCTCTTGGTGGTGGCAAGACCCAGGCTCTCGATGCCGCTGTCAATGCCGCTGTCCGCACTGGTGTTCACTTCGCCGTCGCTGCTGGTAACGACAACGCTGATGCTTGCAACTACTCCCCCGCCGCCGCCGCCGAGCCCGTCACTGTCGGTGCCTCTGCTCTCGATGACAGCCGTGCTTACTTCTCCAACTACGGCAAGTGCACTGACATCTTCGCCCCCGGCCTGAACATTCAGTCCACCTGGATTGGCTCCAAGTACGCCATCAACACCATCTCTGGTACCTCCATGGCCTCTCCTCACATTGCTGGTCTCCTCGCCTACTACCTGTCTCTCCAGCCCGCTGAGGACTCTGAGTACGCCATGGCCTCCATCACCCCCAAGAAGCTCAAGGAGAACCTCATCTCCATTGCCACCGAGAACGCTCTGTCCGACATTCCCTCTGACACCCCCAACCTGCTTGCCTGGAACGGCGGTGGCTGCAGCGACTACAAGAAGATCGTCGAGGCTGGTAGCTACCAGGTCAACAAGGCTTCTCCTTCTTCTCCCGCCAAGCAAATCAAGGATGCCGTCGAGCAGGAGATTGGTGTCGTCTCTGGCAAGGTCAAGGAGTTCGGCTCCAAGGCTGAGAAGTTCTCCAAGAAGATCCATAACCTCGTTGATGAGGAGCTTGAGCAGTTCCTCAAGGAAATCAACATGTAAGAACTTAACATCATGAGGACTTTATCATGATTTAGAGCTTTGGTTACGCGTTTTTGTTGGGAATACGGATGGGCATTCGGTCGCTGGGTTTTGTTTTGCGTCTCGGTCTTCGTGTGGCTGCATGATCGATGGGGCTGTCTCATTGAAGAGGCCGTGTATCAATTCTGGCTCGCCGGCCAGTGGATGTGAGCGGCCTGGGTTCATTGTTTGGTCTCGTGCATATGATAAGAATACACTTTGTTTGCAATTTTGTTGAACTGTGAAAATTTGTCTCCCATACGTGCGTGTTGTTTTGTTCCGCTGTCTCCGGATTTGTTGATTTGAAGAAGCTTTTATGGCGAGCAACACTCATTGGCTCACTTGCTCACGCGGCTCTTTTGACTTCAATATGACTAAGGTGTTGAACGTTCTTATCAACTCCATGTCCTGCAACTTAGAACTTTGAATATCAAGGTTGCTCATCCCGAGTCACAGGTGTGCAGCCATGATGTCCTTGAAAAGCAAAACGGAGAATCATCATGTGTACCTGCATCCATGTGAGCTTCTTGCAAACCTTGATGGTTTAACTTTCTAGCAACATGATATCAAACCTCGGTATAAAGCTAAAGCTTGCTCAATCCAAATATAAAACGAGTCGCACTGCCCTTACCCCGGTTGCTGATGCTTCCCTCCTCAGCAATTGTTGACAATATCGAACAAACCATGACGAGCACCGGACAATCGTTTCTGTCGTGGCATCGGCTTCCACGGGAAATACAGCTGGATATCCTGTCCCTTGTGGCCCGTGTCGACCAGCTTTCCAAATGCGCCGCCGTCTGTCGAGATTGGCAAGAATATTTCGAAAACATTCTCTTTCGAAAGGTCACCGTTCACCAGGGAGATCTTGCCCGACTTGGCGAGATTAGCCCCTGTCGCACGGAGCGGATCCGACATCTCTGGTTACGTATCGAACTTCTCCCCTACGACTGTCTAAGGTGTCATAATTTTGGTCGCCAAGATCATACAAGGAACGGAACCATCTTCCAAGAAGCCCTCCGTAAACTGTTTAGAGTCCTCCACAGTTGGAAGGGACGTAACCCATCGCACCCAAATAGCGGGTTGACCTTGGAGCTCAGCGTTCACTCTCCCAGTGATTCACAACACGAGTTCCAGAACTTGTCCTTCGACGATGATGACGACAATGGCAGAGACGCCGATGTCTGCACAATTGACGATCCGAATCACGGCTGGGTCGGCGGACGGCGCTCCCGCCAGCCAACACTATATGATGTGACCGAGGTCTTTGGTGGTGTTGGGAATCTCAACATTATCCCACCGGGGTTTCACTGGCCTGCACCGGCTGTGAAACATCTCCTTGTTCGTCGGCAGACGCGCCGTAGGTTTGGATACTCGACGTTGCGGCATCTCATGAATTGTCTCCCTGGGCTTGAAGCCATTAGCCTGGAATTCTGGCGAACGGATTTTCGATTCCAACAAGATGCTTGGGATCAAGGTATTTAACGCAGCACACACCTACGCACACTGGATAGTACCAATTGCTGACACGAACTTAGATTTCCTTAAGCTTGGGCGGCTCCATCTACCCAAGCACGTCAAACGGCTTGCTTTCTTTGAGGACTTTGATGAGGATATACCCTCTATATTCACTGGACTGGGCTTTATCGATACAGAGATTGTCAGAACTCCTAACCGAGCTCTTGGGGTTAGCCTGGCAGCATTGCAGAACCAGCAGAGCCTATGTGTGTCCTTCATAGTCGACGCGTACGACTTCTTTGAGGCGCTCCGTCGCCGTCGACGTGACGGAGCATGGCGAAACCTCACCCACTTCTCCATGACTTCGATGCTCCTCCAGTCACAGACGCCCGCGTCGAAAGTACAACAGCTTCTAATGATGGCAGCTTTCGCTGCCTGTCGCTTCCCCAGCTTGGAGGTGATGGAGCTGTGGTATGGCAGGCGAGGAGAGGCGTGCCTGCTTCGTTTTAGTAGAAGTCATGACGGCATCTTCAAGATCTTCCGTGCTGGCACATGGGAACTGCCACTGCCTCCTGATGTCATGGAAGCATGGAACAGACTTTCCGAATTGCGTGGAGGGAAAGAACTGATGGCGAGTGATCCCGAGCGAATTGACCGTGAACTCATACGGTCTCACGGCGATGCTATTCACCACTTGGGGCTCGTTTCGGATGTTCTTCATCCTGTATCGTTGCGGCAGATCAGGAGAGAGGCACAATGCTATGGCCCGAGCTGGAGATAATTCATAGATGACTGAAGACATCCAGGGATCATACTTGATACACCAATATCATTAATGCGTCTCACTTGCCTCCTGTCTATAGTGTCATTTCTCGTTCATTGCTTCCAAAATGCCTCGAAATATTGTGACGCAGGAACATGGGAGATTCCCAGAAGTAAAACCCCTTTTCTTTCGGCTGAGTTGCGAGTTAATCCTTTCACCACCATCAACAACAACAGCAGCAGCAGCAGCAGCAGCAGCAGCAACAACAACAACAACAACAACAACAACACCAACACCAACAGCCGCCGCCGCCCCCATGGCCCCCCCCCCTCCCCCCCCCATGACCGCCCCCGTCCCCGGGCTCCCCCACCCGGTCTTCGCGTGGCTGCAGGCCCGGTTGGCCTGGTCCCTCGCCGAGGCCCGGCGCCGCAACTGGCGCTCCATCGTGGCGCTGCACGCGGCCCAGGCCGCCTTCGCCCAGAGCATGGGCACCCGTGCCCAGGTCTCGGCCAGGGAGGCTATCCGGCTGTTGCTGGCCGAGATGGCCCAGCTCCAGGCCTTGGGGTGGCTCTGACTGTAAGTGATTCACTGACTGTTTTGGATGTGCGAAGCTGATTGCTTCAAGTCCCAGTCGAGCCTGAATATACTTATCCTATCGTTATCGCCGCCGTCCCTGGTAAGTTCTTCCCTCTTCTACACATGACCTCATGTTTGGACGTCGTTTGTGCTGACTCTTTGCTTAGCCCCTCTGGAGTGATGACCAGAGGGGGCCTGCCTCCTCGAGTTTTGCTGCTGGTAAGTACCTTCCGTTTGCACTTCTCCCTCTTCCTGCCTACCCATTTAAGCACCTCTCCTCTCGTGAATCACCATCTCCAAACTCTCCATCTCCAAACATCCCGAAATGCTTCGCCGCAATAGCTCTCGAAACAAACACCGTCGCCCCCTGAGTCGCAGCAAGTCGACCAGTTCTGTCGTGCGGAACCCCGTCCATGCCCTCGAATCAATCGATCCTGCTGCTGCCGAGCGAGACGCAGGCATCGCCGCCTTGCTGTCCTATCATCGGGCTCAAGAACGGCCCAGCAGTGAGATGAGAGCGGCCCCTCGGGACCCTGTGAGCTTTTTCCCCGATAGCAGCGATGGTGCTCCAAGTACGGCCAGACAGAGCTTGGAGCGGAGCGGCAGTGTCACCAGCCGGCAGGGCACTGCAACGAGTGTTCAGTTCGCCAGACCGCCTGCAGTTCAGCCGCGAAGAAATCTCCCCCTCAGGGCGAGCGAAGGCCGAGATTCTCCTACGAAAGCGACCTCACGGATCAATGTGTTTGGCAATACAAGCACCAGACCCTCGTTGACCATGTCTTTTCACGCAGACCAGCCAGCCCACTACTCCCTTACACGACGTTATCTCCAGTCTCTGCAGCCACCCGACGCGTGCTACAGCCCCGAAGAAGATGCCGCTTCGATGTCCTTTTCCTTTAGAAGGCTCCGAAAGTCGCGATCGATGCTTACGTCTTCCCGGGCAACAACTGAGAACGCTCCCAGCTGCTCCATGCCTGCAAGGGACCACCTGCCGCCCACTCACTCGCTCTACAAGGCCACAAACAATGAGAACGAACCTCCGAAAACTGCGACACCCGATGCAACGGGACTCAGAACCTCGAGACCAGACAGCCGTGTTGAGAACGATGCTGTCGTGCGACTTGCGAGGGATTTGTATCGCGAGCAGATGAAGGAGCAGGAAAGACTTCAGCCATCCGCTTCGATTCGGTCGAGAAACAAACGCAGCGAAGGATCTACTGGGCTCCGAAAGTCTCTTCGAAATAGCAGCAACAACAGCACCGTACTGTCCTCTGCATTCTCTGCCAACGGCACTTCCGTATCCACGCAATCTGGGCTTCGAAAGGCAGTCCGAAAGGTTTCAAAGAGCTTGAGATCAAAGTTCAAGGGGCTATTCGCCAGAGGAGAGAGTGCTTCTGGATCAGAGAAGGACGAAGGGGGCCAGGGCACTGATGGTAACGATTCGGACGGAGACACCTGCCTTCATGCCAGCAACGATGAAGGAACCGGGGAAGCCTCCTTGTTTCGCATCTCTTCGCATCTCCCTTCGCTGCATGATATGACCTTGAATCAGCAGCTCAGATCCAGAAAAGGGAGTGTTGAGAGCATCGAAAGCGGCGAGCAACATGTTTCCGAAGATAGGTCTCGTGTCACTAGCTGGACAAACTCAGTTACAAGCACGGTCTCCAGCATGGGGATGCTTGGCGAGTGGGAGCGGCAACGCCTATCTGTCATCAAGGAGAATGGTGCACACATCTCTTCTTCCTCTCTGTACTCAACCGGACACAACGGGCATGGGGCCGGAAGTCAAGAAACCTGGTCTGGTCCCGAAATCGACAGCGAACGTGTATACTCGGCCCTCATGAAGAGGCATGGAGGAACCAGCACAGGATCAGATCAGGATACACAGTTGGGTGACGCTGAAAGTGTGTACTCATGTGTGACGGAGGATGCGAGACCAAGCATTACCAGACAAGGAACTTCAGACCCTGTCGGAGGAGCTGCAACACGCATAGTCGGCGGAATTCCCTCTTGCCGTCTGGTCCCACACCAGCGCGATGCATCCACAGCAAGCTCAGTCGAATGGAAGACATGGCTTAGTTCCGACGTCTCGAAGCTTGAAGGTCCCTCGACGCCTACAAAAGCCGACACTTACGGGCAGAACACTGGCATTCTTCCCACGTTGGGTCATGTCAGAGAGGGAGCTGAAGTTGGATCCCCACCTGAGATTCTACTCCCAAAGGACGATGGACTGGCGAACCGAAGCCCTTTGTCATGCATCAAGGGGAATTCTCAGCCTGTTCAGGACAGACGATCCCAATCACGGTCCCCTTGGAAAGACCTCACAGGACACGACGAGAATCGACATCCATCGATTCCGCCTAGAAGCACATTGCGGACGGTACCCTCACTCCCAGTCGTTAGCTCAACGAGCGAAATGAACACGAGCATCTCGAACGAAGTGCACCGGATGTGTTCTCTCAACATTACCGGCCGCCTCAACTCCGCTCCTGAAGAGGCGATAGCGAAGCGTCGCTCTCGGCCTCGTCTCACCGGCTGGCAGGGCTCCCCCACCAAGTCGAGTCCCGGTATTGGCCACGAGACGGCGAACAAGCTGCAGCAAGGAATGGGAAGCAAGATGATGGTGGACATGTTTCTCAGCAACCGACAGAAGGAAGCGAATGGTGGTGATGGTGGACTTGATAGCTCACCAGCTGCATTCTTGTAATATTATGGAGGATTAAGCAGTCGATACTCAGAGGCAAGGCAAGGCAAGGCAGGGATGGCACTGTTTATACATACTTAGGGCACGGAGGATTCGAAGTAATGAGAAACGACTTGATTATGAACTATTCTTGAGGTTTTGGGCATACGTGGACCTCCCAATACTCTGCTAGGCCCTTGGGGAAATTAATCTTTCTCTCGCCACTCACCCACTTGCCATACTCCTCGTGTGTCACGTCTTCTTTCAGAATACCCTTCTTCTCACCTGTTTTTGTATAGTCGAGAAAGTCTACTGTCACCTTGACGTACTCTCCTAGAGCCTTGCGCACATCTGATGTTGCTCCTGTGGCAAAGTTCAGGAGAAGTGGTTGCAGAAGCGGTGCGTCTGTCACACTAGGGTGTGCTGTCCCTATGCTGGTCAAGAACCACGCAGCGCCGACCTTGTCGCGCACGCCACGGACGAGGTCGAGAACAGTATCGAAATGTGGACGGCCGAAGAAGATGCTGTGAGATTTGGACCATGAATTGGAGTGGACGACGAGGAGTGGCACTGGGACTTCGGTGTTGAGCTGGCCGCTGGACTTGCCCGGGTCGAGGGCGATGCCGCCGATGGCTGGATTGGCGACGGTGGTATTTGCCGTTTTGAGGGCTTGAAGGGCGCCTGTTGCGCCGTAAGAATGGCCGTTTATGGTGAGGTGGTGGAAATCGAGGCGTTCTGCCCATGCTGCTAGAGCGTGGCCTTCTTCGCGCGAGTTGGACTTGAAGACTTCCCAGCCGTTGCCGGCGTTGACGAACTGCAGGATGCGAATGGTCTCGAGGATCTCTTGAGTTCGGAATGCGAGCTGCTCATGCTTGAGAATTGTGTCGTTCATGGGAGGATCGGATATGAGATCGCGTTCTCTGTAGAGAATGACCTCTCTTTCCTTCTTGTCCTTGACTTTGACGAGAGACCCAGGACAACTGCCATCGCGATGCTCAAGCGCAGCGACGATGTGGCCACGGCTGGCGAGTTCACCGAGATAGTGGGTGTAATCAGTCCGCGAGCTGACGCTACCGTGGGAGAAGATCATGATGGGAAACTTTTCACCATCTGCGTCGGTGCCTTCAAGGTTGGAGCCGAGGATGGGCACGTCGACCCTCGCGGGGATTTTGATGCCTCCGACGAGCAGCCATAGGGCAAACGTAAAGATGGGTCGCATGATGAAGTTGTCGACGCCCGCGGCTCGGGCATATCCTTGTGCCGTGAGGCTCAGCGGACGAGGGACCCATGGGTGGAGGGACTGCTTGGATCGCGCGCCCTTGACGGCTGGGTAGTACAGGGTGAAGAGGACGCTCTCCAGCTCAAAGGCTGGTTCCCTGGATCCTTTGAGTACGGTCTCTGAGATGCACTTGGGCTTATCAAGCGGTATCTCGAGGTCGATGGCGCCGACGTGATGCGGACCCGAGTATGCCGGGAGAGCCGAAGAGAAGAAGGGCTGCCATGTGACGAAGCAGTACAGCACGTAAACGCCAACGACAGAGAAGAGAACGTAACGCCAGGTGAAACGAGGACGTAGAATGTCCTTGGTCTTCTCCCACAGACGCTGCACAACGGGCGAAGACGTCCAGCGGGACCACCAACGGGACGGCCGGGGGTCGAGCCACCGCGGCTTCGGGGCGGGGGCTGCAGCTGCAGCGGCGTCGTCGGGCATGATCAGCGGAAGGTCCGGATCCGAGAGGTCGTCTTCCTCGTCCTCTGTATCCTCGCCGAGGGGGTTTAGTTCTAGATCTGGCTGACTGTTGGGCTGGGCCATTTTTGCGGGAGAGGGAAGTCGTGGGGTTTTATGAGGTGACGGGAGTGTTTGGATGAGGGAAAGCTGGGGGATTTCCTGATGGAGAATGCCCGTGGTGATGACGCAACGGAGGCTGTGCCAGGGCATGGACGTCGCCACATTCGTGAGCGAGGTTGTAAAATGTCTATTTTGATGGGCTAATGATTTAATGATGCTACATTTGATGGAGTATTTGGTTTTATTGATGTGAATACCTGTTTGTCGCGATTTATTCTGTTTTGTGTTTGAGGCTCGTCTCGTGAGGGAACATGTGACTAGAATCAGTCATTCCATTCACTGCAGCTGCATGATGGAGGAGAACGACCCGGACCTTTCGGACTCACGTAAACTCTGATATGAAGAGAAAGATGGCAAAGAATGAATGAATGAATGAATGAATGAATACAAAGAATGGGGTCGAGCGGCAACCAACGATCGCCAACTGATAAACTCTACCGACGGCTTTACTGGGACGGAAATGTCGGCCACGGCCAACCTTGCCGTTCTTGTCTTTTTGGCGTGGAGAGGTTGATGGCGCTATCGTTTGTGGGTGTAAACATTGAAATGACTCGAATCCTTGAATCGCAAAGTCTAGGGCTTTTTTACTAGGTAGGGAGAGAACAAAAAGCGGAACAGTGGGTTCTTGTACTTTCTCAAATGCATAGAAAAGGACCTGGATCACTTCTCTTCAGTGGCTTTTGGGTTACTGATGGACATGTCTCAACGCCGTCCTACAGAAACAAGAAGACTGACCACTGACATGCTTGACACTCAAATTTAGCAGCTTTTGCCCTCTCATTGTCCTCTTTGTTCATATGAATAAGCTTTCTCCTTGACCTCGTTCGGCGCAGCCTGCAGCCTTGACAAACACGACGCTCCGCGGTACCGGCGCGCGGACTGTCGCTCCCGAGGCTGGAAACGGTGTGCATGAGGTGGCGGCGCCGTGGCTTCGGATTCGAGGCGGAACGGGGAAGCCTGGGGATAAACATTCGATTTGGGATCGAGACTCTTGGTGTTGAAATTGCTCATCTGCGAGAGGTTCAGGTTGTTGAGGCCGGGAGGTACAGTATCCTGATGTTGGGGTGTTGTTGGCCAACGATGTTCGGTGATGTTACAAAAGTGCCTACGTAACTTGGACCTCGAGAGTTTGTTAGATTGCAAGCTAATCGAGCGAGTCAACATGACAGGATGCTGCATGTCCGCTCACCAAGCAGCTGGATCGTGTTCCTGCTTCTACCTAGTGCTGATCCCTCCCGTCTCCCTTGAACCACGACACTTCGCTTCTCACCAAGTCCCGTTTCAGAATAGCCACTGGCTTGAAGCCTCACCAAGGCTCGAACGCGATGGGCGTCGGGCGCCAACATGGGGTTGTCCTCGGCTGGTGTTTCCGGTCGGGTGACGCTAGCGTCCGGGAGGTTCCCTCCCCGGTAGCTCAAGTTAGAAGCGATTGACCATCTCGTGCAGACTTGGGGCTGAACTAGAGGGAGACTAGGAGATGATTTAACGCGGGGGAAGAGACTCGAGGGCGGTGACTAGTGCTGGGAAGAGGTGTGCATGGAGGTCAAGTGGCAATGTTGATAAAGGGAGTTGGTTCCATACTTGAGGGGAAACTGCGTTGTTTTCTATTTGAATTAATGTTTTGTTCTATAATTGCTCTGTGACTGACCTAAGCCGCCATGGCAGTCGATCCTGATGCGACAACGATTACACCAGAGGGACTGGGACTTGTCCTCCTCACAGTTTCTCTGTTCTACACACTTCCTTCTGCAATAGTAGTGATTGCGAGATCCACCATTAGAATAAGGCAGGGTATCTTTGGGATGGACGATGGGCTCATGTTGGTTGGCTGGGTGAGTAGTACTGCATGTGTTCATTCGTTCAAGAGTATGCTGATGCGGATGGTAGATGTTGTTCATGTGCGTTGCGGGTATGGTACCCAGAGGAACGTACGCCGGCATAGGCGCCCTGGATGAGCGACTAAACGACAATATGCAACAAGATGGCCGGATGGTAAGCATTCCAAGCACGGGTAGAGAACTAGCTGACCTTGAGTTGACAGTATATCTGGCTCTTTCAAACTTTCTACTGTAGCTCTTTGATCTTTATCAAAAGCTCTATCTGTCTCACCCTTCTTCGAATCGCCATCGAAAAGACACATCGCATCATCGTCTGGATAACACTCGTGGTCTCTGTCATCTCAACCCTCATTGTCATTATCGGTCTTTTGACCATGTGTCGTCCCATCTCAGCAAACTGGGATAAGAACGCGGGACAATGCTCGCTGCCTATTGCCATTACGAGTTTGAGCTATCTCGTGTCTGCTGCTGCAGTGCTTACTGACTGGGTCTGTGCGATATTGCCTGGATTCATGTTGTACAAGACTCAAATGAAGAGGGCGACCAAGATATCCATCAGCATCATTCTTGGTCTTGGTGTTTTGTAAGAATGATTTTTGTCCGCCGTGTCTGAGTTGCTGATACTGACTCTGACAGGGCGTCTATTGCTACGATAGTACGGTTGCCGTACATTGCCTTTTATGCCCAGCCCAAGAACTATTTATGTATGTACATGTTCATATGGTTTTATTCACGGCTGGATTCATTGAAATGACTGACTTTTTATCAGATAATGTCGGCAACATCGTGCTCTGGTCCGTCTTTGAGTCAGGAACAGGAATCATAGCCGGCTCACTACCCTCACTACGACAACTAGTAAAGAACTGGATCACATTTGATACCACGAATGGAAACTCGCCAGCTCAAGTAACACCATACAGCGACACAAGAAGGGCGTCGATGAGGACCAACACCAGGGCTTTGGCCGGACGCCAGCATATGCACAACAGCGTCGTATCAAGTATAGTTGCGGATCGAGATTGGGAGCAACTGGATGATAATTCATCAAGCCGCAAGATCTTTGTCAAGGTTGATGTTGAGATGAGCTCGTTGGAGAGGCCGGCTACGGCAGCGAGGTCTGATAGATCGTTGGGGGAGCTTCGATTGCCGGCATAGCATAGACAGATTAATTGGTTTTATCAGATTTCACCAGAAACCGTTCCTAGGCCCCGACCTACAGCAGCAGGGTATGATATCGTTATGAGGCCTTGAATCGGTTAAGAAATTGGCGTCATCTTGTTCCGCGTGGTGGACTTTGCTTGCGCAGGGGTAAAAGTGATATCCCGACTCGATGACGACATGGCGTAAGTAACTGAAACCTTTCAAAACTTCACGCATCGAGATCGACCGATGCACTCATTTTCCTTTGATAATGACTGGATAATCAGTGTTATCATCGAATTGATCGCCGTGAGGCTGTTTCGATGATGATGATGCTGACAGATAAGCCTCAAGGAAGACAGCGTATCAGCACCCATGTCGAGGCGGGATATGAGCACAGTCTTCGTCACAATGCTGAGCTAGAACAAGGGAATGCTGCCAAAGGACGTCATCCCGTATTATGGTGAGTATCTGTCGCTTGCATTGGAACTAGTCAGGGCGTCAGAGTCATCGACGTCATCAAATGCACAATAACGTCTTTGCATATGCTTCAATGAGCTCCATATCATATCAGCGAGTATATATATGGCGAGCGATTCAGGCAACTCCTCAAATCAACATCCCACCAACACCTTCAATCGACTGCAACAAGACATTCACATACAAACTATCAACATGACTGAGAACAACAACCCCGGTAACTTTGCCAACCGGTGAGCTCTGCCAATCTTTCCGCTTCTTCCATAGTGTTGCTAACTCACCCAGACCTAAGGAGGAGGTCCAAGAGATTGCGTCCAAGGGCGGCAAGGCCTCGACGGGCGGATTTGCCAGCATGGACCCCGACAAGCTGGTTCGTATACACCAAGACGGTGTGAAGAGTGTTTGCTAACGATATCAGCGCGAGGTTGCTTCTGAGGGCGGAAAAGCTTCATCAGGTTCCTTTGAGTCTGGTAGTGAGAAGGCCAAGGAGGCTGGACGCAAGGGTGGTCTGAAGTCGTCGTAACGTACGAGATTCAAGGGCATACCCGTGCTCTTTGATAACAAGCGAAATTGAATCTAATCCATCTCATACACTGTCATTTGTACCTGTGAAGCTATCTAAACCGAAGTCTGTGCATCGGCAAGTGAATTCACACTCGATCGGCAATAACCCAAGATCCAAGTACTCTAACGATAATATGAATCAACTGAAGCCCAGACGATAAGTGTCCGCAAAGTCCTGGAAAGTGCCGCTTATCGTGATAAAGCTGACTGTCAAAGTTAATCTTTTGAACCCCTCAGCCTCATGCCACGATGGTGCAATATTGGCGTCAGTCTGAACTGGAGCCTTGTCGTGTTCAATCCTTTCCCAGTACGATAATGACCTGTATCTACGTAGATGGCGCTTGTCGGATGAATACCTCCGTCCTGCAAAGGGACCTGAATGTCACCTCGTACGCATTTCGTGGAGGCTGAGCGTTCGGCATATTTTCAATACCGCGTTGTAGCTGAATCACCTTTCTGGAGTGACGAGGAGCCGCTGACGCAGTCAGTTTGGGCTATAATACAACCGACTGCCATCTTTTTCGAGATTTGTTGTGCGGGATACTGGCAGCACTGTCTTGACTGAAACTAGAAATCGAACAAACACCATGTCGTCGTCGTCACGAAAAGTCTGCGTCACAGCTGCTGACGGAAACACGGGTTTCCTAATCGCCGAGTTGATCCTCAAAAACCGAGACTTTTCCCGCAAAGTCTCGGGCGTGGTCGGCCTAGCCCTCGATCCAGACTCGGACCATGCAAAAGAACTGAAAGAGCTGGGAGCCACCATCGTCCGCCATGAACCCGGCCGTCTCCGCGTCATGATCAAAGCTCTCAAGGAAACAGGCTGCGATACTATCTGTCTGGTTCCGCCGGCTCATGAGCACAAGATTGAGATTTGTGAGGAGTTGGCTAGGGCGGCGAAGAAGGCGGATATTCCGAATGTTTGCTTGATTAGTTCGGCAGGATGTGATTATGCGGAGAGGGATAAGCAGCCTCGACTGAGAGAGTTTATCGATTTGGAGAGTTTGGTGTTGGAGGCCAAGGGAGATCCAAGCACGTCGACTGGAACCTCTGCTTGTGTTATCCGGTAAGCTGTATACATGCTTGAGACGGAATGTTTGTTGACGTTTCAGTGCCGGGTTCTATGCTGAGAACTTGCTTCTATACGCCCCGCAGGCTAAGGAGGAGGGCATTCTCCCACTACCCATCGGTGAAAAACACAAGTTTGCTCCTGTAGCACTTGGTGTAAGTTTAAGCCGTTGTCAACTTCAAGCACACACTAATCAATGATCCTTTGCTAGGATGTCGCCCACGTCGCTGCCCATGTGCTTACAGGCAAGGGCAAGCATGGGTTTGATGACAAACACAGAGGGCAGATGATGGTAGTGACTGGTGAGTTATACTCATGGGTTTCTCTTGTTCATGCTCACAGACGACCTATAGGACCGACGCTCTGTGCAGGAAAAGAGCTAGCAGCAGCAGCAAGCAAAGCCCTCGGAAGAGAGTTGCAGTTTGAGCACATCGCCCAGTATGTCTTGAAGTCTATGCAAGACGTCGTCTAACCTCAAGTTACAGAGCGGAAGCAAAAAAGGTTCTCAAGGCACAGTCAGACATTGACCAGTCTGAGCAGCAGTACATCCTCGAGTACTACAGTCTTGTTCGTGAGGGGAAAACCAATTACGTCGCCACAACTGCGTTTCACGATGTGACTGGGGAGCATCCCACAGACGCCGAGAACTTTTTCCAGATGTATCAGTCTGAGATGCGACCGAAGAAAAAGGCTAAGCATGAGCACAAAGGATGAAGGGAGAGGAGGATTGGAGTACAACGCATGGAGGGGAGGTATTTGCTGGAATGGGTGCCAGGGAGGTTAAGGGCCGCTTAAGTCCTCTTTACTGAGAGTTTTGGTGTTGCGACCGCTTGTCTTATCAAAAGTGTCTGATGTGGTATGAAATTCATGAATCATGATCAAATTATGTACAAGTAACGAGTTCTAATTCCCAGCTGAACCCCATCGAGTAGTGACTGTTGTTCCTGTTCAGATTCAAACTGGTCTCTTCGTCATCCGCCTTATGAACCGTAAATCATTTACATGATCAAAATAGGAGTATCAGTGCTGACAATCTCGGTCCATCTCCGAGTGCCCTGCATAGACCAGATAGTCTTGAGTGCTTGCAACGCAACAGGGATACTACCAAAACCTGTGACCTGGTAAAGAGATTTCAACCGTCCAGAGAAGAACTCTCGATGCTCTGGTAGAGTGCTCTCGGCTGCTGCGATGAAATAGGTCCAAACTAGAGCGTGAGCACCCTTAGTGCTACAGTCCAGTCCAAGAACTTTTTGTCGCATCTGCTCTATCAAGTGGATAGACTCGTCCTGACTGAGTGAAGATTCGGCACGCCTTCGGTATATCTTGCAGGCATCGTTGATGGCTGATCTGATGAGCTCCATATTGGTGTAGTGTTCTGAATCTGGGTCTAAATCTGGATATGACATGAAATCGAGATAGTCCTCGGCTGGGCTAGCGAGAATATTGAGTCCTTTTCTCTCGTCTGAGAGGGGAAACCCGAAGAGTTGGAACCTGCTTGATGGTCAGTTTGCTTGGCTTAACTTTGGAAGGGAAAGAAATTACATCTTGATCTGTTGCAGGAAAAACTCCCTGAGGCTCTGTGGCAGTGCGGCAATGGATTCCGGGGACTGAACGAGACAGTTGAGCATCTCCAAAAGATAGGTGTAGTTGTCGGCGCCTGTGATGGTCTCGCCAACGAGAAGGACCAAGATTGTCGCTAGAGTATATGGGTTAAACAGTTGCTCTGGTGTGAGCTTGAAAGAATCTCTGCGGAGCTTTGTGACGATGGCGTGATGGCCTGCTTCCGCTGCGGGCCGAAGCCCTGGGGCTTTCTGTGCTAGATGGAAGGCGGATACAACTGAGACAGCCCGTTCAAGGACTTCGTCTTGGCAGGCGAGAGGGAGGATGATGTCTCGATAGCCGTTGCTGAAGATGTCTAGCACGACCATGGCTGGGGCTACGGCGCTGGCGACTGACAAGGTTAGCCAACGGTCATTCGACAACAATTGGAAACTTACAGTGACTGAAGAGCATCCTCGTGTGGGGACGAGATGATTCATCCGGTGCGGGACGAAGAGGCGTTTGATAGGCATAAGGAACCACGACGGTACATCTTTCAGATGGTGGTGTGTCTGACACTTCGGACACACTATCATCAGTGCTCGAGGACGCCGATTCCGGACTGCTAGTAGAAGACTTCTCAGACTCCTGAGATCTCCTAACGCGTCCCTTCTTGACACGTTGTCCAGCATCAACCCAGCGAAAACTCTTTTCAGGCTGGTTGATAACGATGCTGCTCTGAGATGATGCGCTAGGCCTCGATGCGAGGTTCAGCGTCTGAGTGCCTGGCGTCCTGGGGTTCACGACCATGTGGCTGCTGAAGCGACACCTGAGACCCTGGCCGGAGCAGGAGATGCCCTTTTTCTGGCACTTGAGGCATTCTGGCTCTGTCTTGTCGCACTTGAGGCGCCGCTTGCAGCATTCGTAGCATCCTTTGAGATATGTCAGCATGAGAGGGTTTTATAACGCGTTAGATGGCGGGCTACCATTGTTTCTTTTAGCCAACGACATCTGCAGGGGGTTGTTTAGGAGAGAGCAGAGCCACGTCTCTATCGTGTCCTCAAAGGGGCAGGGTTCAAGCAGGTTCAGACATGGGGTTGGAGACTCGTGTTTCTTGCTTTTGGCGAGGTTGTTGTCGGTTATTGTATTGGCTCATGCCGAGAGCTGAGAGTGGGGATTTTTTTTTTGCCCCCGTGACGACCAACGAATCTTGAGTCTTCATTCGTGGAGTTCATGATTGGTAGGTTGGTTGACATGCCAGGGGACGCTAGAGCCCGATATGGGCATCTCAACCGGGGTCGCCGGCGAGTATCGAGGTTGCTGACGGTACTTTGTAGAGCTTTCGTGTGCAATAACTCGAACAAGTTAATTAATTACTAAAATAAGGGTTTTTAAGTATTGGTGCTGACAGCTTTACTTAACTAGGACAGTGATTCGAAGAGTCATGACCGAAACCAAGACCGAGTTTGTAGGTGGAAATGCATGTGATTGCCAACCAACCACTATCAGTAACGTTGCAGTATTTCAATAGAATCAAGAGCCGAGGATCCATGAAACCGTCTTTCGGGACTAGTATCGTATTATCCAGACACACTTCAGCTTGAGCGTTCGATCTCACATCCATTGCCAAGACTCTTGGTTTAGCCTGCTGGGCCAGCCATTGTCCACACACCTGACCAACGCCATGCACATCCGCTGACAGCTCTAAGCCCGCTGTTATGCTTGGTTGTAGTCTATTTATGAGGGCCTTTTCGCAATTCTAGCAAACATGAAGTTTCGTTAATGTTCCATCTGAGACAGCATCTGAGACATGCGCCCTGGTCTGTAAAGCGGTTGCAGACGCGGGCCCTAGTAGCTGTGCGACCCAGCTTCATCTCCCGCCTTGACGTTTGGGTACACACGGTGGCAACACAAAGCGACTATACCAAGCACGCCAATGTATCGGTTTTTGTCAAGGATGCTATTCGAGGTCTTTCATTATAGCTGATCGTGGGTATTCAAGCCACTCATGCCACTCTGAGTCGAGATACTCCTCGATAAGACCTAATATGTACACTCCAGCATCGCCAACCTGCCACATGCTTCTTCCATAGTGTAACAACAAAGCGTAGTAGCTTAGCAGGATCAGAACCTCGGGTCTCCTCACCGACAACAGGTTCGTGAACTCTGGCGGCGCAAGCATCGTCCACGTGAATATCATCCCAAACCGGTTTGCCCCGTCAGGCAAGGCGTCAAACCCGAGTTGTAGGTAGTTGATTGCTGTTTGACAGGCTTCCCTTTCCTCCTGACTTAGGCCTTCAGCCTTTTCTATGAGCTCCTTGATGTGTTGGCAGTGGTTGCCTCTCGGAGGTTGTGATGTGTTTCCGGAGCTCCACGAAAGGATCGGCTCTAGCTCTGACTCTAACAACAACGGCCATGCAGCGCGAACAATAGTATAGATACTACGGTTCATCTCAATGCACTGCACGTAATGTGTCAAGAAGCCCTCTAAGCCCCCCGGTTCCCGCTTACAAAGCGAGTCGGCCAGAAGATGATGACCAAGAGCCACCGAAAAGAGAAGAATAGCGACGCAGTTGGACCGGTTCACCTCTGGTCTGGTGGTGTTGAAGAGGGATACGGCGCGGGTCTGGAGGGTAACAGCTTGGTGGAGGTAGTGAGGGGCGCGATCTGGATTGAGAAAGGCTAGATGGCGGGCTGAAAAGGCGAGAAGCTGGTAGAGCAGATATGGGGACTCTAGCCCTTTCCTGAGAGCAATGGAAATGGTTGAAAAGGCATCTTGGAGGTCGTCGCCGAGATTAAACATGCCTCTATCGACTGTCAAGTGGATGAGAAGTTCCATATGTTCCAGGTTAATGGCCTCTTCGAAATTTGGGACTGGTAACGTGACTTCGGGTACTGGGGTGATGCCAGATGATGAACTGTGACTATCGACTGGACTTTTTGGCCGATCATCTTGAGATGAGTTTGAAGGGTTCTGGGTTGGTGCTTGGGATGTGAAGCTGCAGCTGCGCCCAGATACAGTACAGAGACGACATGCTGGGCGAGTTTCATCGCACTGATTCGTCGAAAGGATTCCAGTTAGCTATGGAGGGTATAGGTTGCATTTCAAAGAGCAAGTACCTTGACGTGCCGTTGCTTGCTGTTGTTCAACGTTAGTACATGCTCAGGGGTAAAGCCAGGTACATGGATTAAAGCCTCAGCCTTAAACTCACCACTCTGTGCAACCTCTACGGGACTTTTTGTGGCTACGGCGGAGCATCTGGTAGGACAAGAGGTGGAGGGTGGATGGGCGATTAAGATGGGGGAAATGGTACCCTTCTACGCGATGCGTCGATTAGCTAGGCCAAGATCCACAAGACCAGATGTTTATACGAGAGGCAGCAGGAAGAGGGACGCGTGGATAGACTCATTAGGGGTGAAGAAGCTGACTTGCTTGTGGAAAGACGCATCATCACGTCGCAAGGGAACATGGTCGCTAATCTGTAGGAGCCATACCCATGTTCAAGCCACTAGGAGCTAAACCAAACGAGGTTAAAGACAAGGGTGATCCCCTGTAAATCTGATTAGCTAACACGCGTGTTCGTCCTTTTTACCGCCTACCCTAGATGAGGCTTGGATTTCAAGATTGGGTGGCAGGACATTTCAACGAACACGCGTGTCAGCAACCGAGATGGGAGTAAAACCATTGGTTGATCGTATGAGGAGGAGAGGCGTGGGATGAGATCGCGGAGGTTATAAGAGATGCTGCCGTCCTTGTTCACCTTTCTTTGTTCTTCACACCGACAACACGAAATTACACCACGCCCAAGTCAACCCTGTCTGACAATTCGAACCAACACCCATTGGAAGCGGCCAAACATTAAACCGCATCAACAACAACGATAAGTTCTCTTCTGAGCATGCCGACTCTGAACAAGTACAAGGGCCTTGTCTATCTGTGGCAATATGTGCCCAGTCTCCCTGGCTCCATAATATTCACCGTCCTCTTCAGCATTATCACTATGGCACATGGATGGAAAATGTTTAAAACGAGACTATGGTTTTGCATGCCATTCTTTATTGGCGGCATATGTGAGTTTGCGACGGACTGTGGCAATTTGTTAGACTGACATTATGTCTTAGGTGAAGTGCTTGGATACATCTTCCGAGCAGCTGCTTGGAACGCTACGGAATCATTAATCTTCTACATCATGCAGGCTGTCTTCCTGCTTATACCGCCCGTCTTCTTCGCCGCAACGCTGTACATGGTCTACTCTCGTCTCGTCAGGGCCCTCCGAGGGGAAGAATTCTCGCTCATCTCCCCTCGTTGGACGACAATCATATTCGTCGTCGGCGACTTGGCCACTCTTAACGTCCAATCTAGTGGTGCAGGCATGCTAGCCGACGACGACGACAAAAAGGTCGCGCTTGGCAATAGAATCGTCGTTGCTGGGTTGATCCTCCAGGTTCTTCTGTTCATTGGTTTTATGATCTGTTGTCTTGTCTTTCACTTGCGGTACAAGACTCATCTGACTGAGAGTTACACCGTGAGTGATGTTCCATGGAAATCGTGCCTGCACATGCTTTATTGGACGTCGATGATGGTCTTGGTGAGGAACGTCTTTCGGGTGATCGAGTACATCATGGATAAGGAAGGATATCTTCAGCAGTACGAGTGGCCGACGTTTGTGTTTGACTCGGTGTTGATGTTCTTGGTCATGGTTGCTTTTTATATATGGTATCCGAGCAACCTTCACCCCAAGTCGAGGGAGTCTATGGTGGAGCTCATGTCGAACGAGGGTGGTAATTCTCCCGAGCACTAAGACATGATTGGGCTGGTCTGATTCGTTTCCTGAATTGAACAAAATCTAGATTTTGCGGGCACTTGCTGGCGGGGTTATAATATGGTGGCATAGGGAAGTTCAAGGCTAGTTTGGTGAGCCTGGTGACTGAGGTGGGCTCGTATCTTCATTCGTTTTTTTTCTAGCTCTTCTTACGTCTTCCTTTATTTGTTTGCATTTATACATCTTATCTTAAATAGAGAAAATACCCGGAATTTACGGTAGCGACATATACAAATTTGGCTGCAGTCTTGATGAAAGGGATAATTCTCTCTTTTTTGTCATACGGAGATTTGAGCAGCTAAATACCCCCTGAGACGGTTAACCTTTCATGATATGGCTAGGTATAAGCCTTCTACTACAGGCAGCAGAAGACTAAGAAAAGGCCACTATGTTAGGATTGGGATATGATGTTATGATGTTCATAATGTATTTATTGTAGCTGAAGCCTGGCTCGTGATGGGTAATCGGAGCTAGAAGATCGAGCGATTTCCGGGCTTCAAATTAAATGTTGAACAATTTGGGGTATATTGTGTTTTGCGTTATAGCTGAAGCCCGACTCTTGATGAGAAAACTGAGCCAGAAGACAGAATTCTGGTGGCAGCTCTTACGAACTCCCCGAATCTCCCAACTGGGCTATCTCAAGGTGTCCTCCCCAGCTTCATTGCTATCCCTCGAGTAGACTCCAGATGCGCGATGGGATATTTAAGGCCTCCTTGCTACCTATCCGGACTTTTTCGGTTGCCTGTTTGGCTGGTAGTTAATCTACAAACAGTATCCTATGGTTGCTGCTGTCCCGCAAGGCGAGCCGGTACGCCTTGAAGTGTGATGTGGCATGCAATCTGACCATGTTCAGCTCAACGCCTCAGGTCAGGTTTGCCAAGACTTTCCCCCAAGTATAATGTAGCCTCCCTAACAACTCTGGTGACTATTTGGAATCGAAAAAGCCCGTCAGCGTCGGAATACTGAGAAGGGCCACTTGGCAGAGTAGTTGAGCACTTGTGGCTTAACCTCTCCGCGGAGCTGAAAAGCTGGGTGTAGACCGATCCTGTATTTATTGCATTTCCCTGCAACCAACCGTCAAAGAGAAGTATTATTGGCGGCTTCCGAGTGCCCAAAATGCAAGCAGGATCACTCGGTAAAAGATGATTAACACACCTGTCACTTGGCGCCAAGGGGTGGCTGCGTTATACATGGCAACATTGATTAAGGCCTGGCATTTATTCCCTCATGCCAATCCTTAAATAGCAAATAAGATGAGCATGGCAGAGCCGCCCCTTCTAATGCCGAAACTGGGCACAATTAAAGTGCACTTTAGACCCTCCCCGTTTCTCGGGACTGCCATTCGAGGCGGAGATGGGTTTGGAAATTCGCGAGCCGACCCAATAGGCACCAGAAAGATCCTTGCAACACCCGTAAGCGAGCTCGTACAGACAAGGTCTCGCAGCTGGTATGTGCCGGCTACCCAGCTGTCTTCGGAGCCTGATATCCGCCTCCCCGGTTGCTTCTTCCTCTGGTGAGATCAATTTGAGACAGAAATCAGGCCGTGAAATCGGTACCATGCCAATACACTGACGACTCATTAATTATGCTGTCATGGTCTCTTACTTCTCAAACCTCGTTATGGATAGGCATTGCTAGGCTATCGTGGAAGGCTTCTGGAAGGTGGTCGATATGCCTCACATGCGAGATAAAAAACTACCTCTATAACAATTTGGATCACGTTCCTTTCTTCTCGCTTCAACATCAACATTATGGAATCGTCACATTGCCTACTGGTGTCAGAGGAGGTCTGGTGGCATCCGACTGGTTCTGACTGATAATTCCTGCAGCCACATTCCAGGTGTGACTCCTCTACTACCCGCCCCCTTACCCGGTCGTACTCTTGTTGGCTACCACACCCTCACTGATTTCTTCCAGCCTCTTCTCCTCAGCCTGTCATCATGGTCAAACTCTTTATGTTCTTTTGTTTTCCTCAATCTTGAACTTACAGCGGTCAGTTTGCGAAGTATAGTCACCATATATAGACCGCGTTTTTCCTGCAGTGTCTAAAGTCAGGTCATTGTTGGACGGAACTGTGCCTAGGCTAAACGCACAGTGACTGGAAGCTTCCTCAGCTTGAAGATTCTTTTTAATTCCTGTAATGTTTCCTCGACATGTTCATTTTCGCTGTCCAGGGCGATGATCGGCATTGTGAAGTGACAAAGGCTTGGTGTCGTCTCGTTGGGCTTTTGTACCGTCGTTTGTGGTTAGCGTAACTGCAGTCTTAGTTGTTAGCCTTGTGATTAAGTCGGAGTCGAGAAGCCCGTCGCACCCTGACGGGTTTAGATTGTGGCGAGCTGAATCCCAAGGCACCAAGGCAGTATTTTCCATCGGATTACCCTTTTGGGCGTAATTGCTGGGCATGCATATTATTGGCACAAGTTGCGTAAACCGTAGCTAATAGATGCTTACCAGGAGTTACACGACTTCAGTCAGCTGCGCCACTTAATGTAACAGCAATTTGCACTTGGAATTGGACACTGTAATTCAGATAATTACCTCTTATTAGCAGCCTGGAATTCCTCCTCCGCATATTTGCATCGACTCCTCACTTATGCGGCTGTCCGTCGACTCACCAAGCAACATGGACTGGCGCATTCAAGCCTATAAACACTTACACATTGAGGAAAGGTCCAAGCCAAAAAACGCACCCGAGCCAGATTTGTCGAGATGTAGGGTGCTATCTCGTTTTGGGAATATGATTGTTCCCCCGAACCAGGACGCTCCGAAAATGGATGATCAGGATCTGGGAGAGTGGCTCAAAGGTCCCAAGGTACGCAGGTCGAGCATGTCGACCTCTCCGATTCTAACATGAAGCACAGCAGAAGACAGAACCCGAGTCACGCAAAAGCGGGTTCAGCATCTTGTAAGTTTATTTACATGGGAAAGCATTTTGAATTATTGAAAATATAGCTGATATGTAATCGATCAATAGGTTGTGCGGTAGACCAGAACGTGTCCACGACGACCTCATCGACGACGCCGAAGACAGCCGCGAAGTCCGCGCGGATTTCTCCAACATCCCATTCAACAAGGTCACCTCGAGGTACGAATCTCCTAAAGAAGCCGCCAAGGCCGCCCTCAAGCATTTCCAGGCACATACGCACATGGGCCAGGTACTAAAGCGGCGTACCCCTTACTTTTCAGTGGCGGACGTGGTCGAACCGGAAAAAGGCAAGATACCCTTCCTGATTCGTTCATACACAGGCCTAATGACTGAACCATTCCCTGCAGGTACAGAAAAGACCGTTTACACAGCCATTTTCGACACTGGCATGGAGGATTTCAAGGAAAACCTTGCATTCACCTCAACGTACTTCCACTCCAACGATACTTCATTCGGCATCATCCTCGGCTGTACCCAAAAAGACGTCGAAAAAGCCACCACCTTGCTCAGAGAGTGTGGGAGCTCACGGAACCATCAGCTACTGCTACCCGCTGTCTTCCTTGAGCTACAGCGAGAGCGCTTGGCGAACATTCGCAAGGAGCACGCGACAAAAGCACTTCAACTACAGGACAACTTTGAAGATGTTAGGTATTATAAGAATGGCCGGAAAGCATTCAAATTTGGCTATCAGCCATGGAGTATCGCAGAATGCACCAAAGGTCTATCCGAGCTTTCCACCGACAGCATTGTCATAGCAGAGGATATAAAAATTGCATTGCGTCAGTTAAGCAAACTAAAGCGCCACGCCAAGGAGCTCGCAGAAAGAGAAGAGAAACTCAAGGAAATCCCCGATGCGAAAAAAAAGAAACTAACTTGGGATAATACTCACTGCTTTATTGATCTATTCGATGACATCGGTGATGATCTTGAGCTTGTTTCTGGGGTTATCGCGGTAAACGCCAAGGCTGCTACCACGACGGCTGAGGAGGTGATGTCTAACCCCCCCGTCCGGAAGAATAGAGATTGATGCATGCTGTTGTAAAGCTGATGATAGACTGACTCTCGAATGTCTTTTCTTGTAGATGATCAAAAACTCCGCACGAAAAGACGCACGATGGAGCATGGGGCTCGGGTTTGTTGCAACGGCGTACCTACCTATCACAGCGTTGGCAGTAGGTAGTTCCGAGATATTAAAGCCTCACCCCCCCAAGCTGACGCAAACCGTGTGTAGACAATCTTTGCTATGCCTATATTCGACTTCAAGGCCCACTGGAGGGACATGGATAACCAGCCCGCAAACTGGAGCGAATCCTCCGACAGCCCCGCCTCCGCCAGTCCCTCGTCGTCACAGCCTATCATGTCAATATATTTCACCTACTGGATCAGCACGTCTATTGTACTGACGTGGTTGACTATTGAGGTTTGGTGGTTCATGTGCTCTGAGATTGAACATTGGAGGTGGGACCGACACTTGTCGCTGCGCCTACTCGCGCAGGCTGCTGAACAGCTCAACGAAATTCGCTTGTGGGCTGGCGAATCATGGATACAGGTTGTTACTTGGGTCGTCAAATCCCGCAGCCCATTGGAATATTTCCGAGAGAAACGCAGGAAATCGCAAAGCCGAAAAGGGGTTAATGGCGGATCTGGTGGCGGCGTGCAGTCTAGGCAAACCAGTCAGGTCTAGTGATGTGTTAATCGGTGGATTGATGTAACCAAGTTCGATTGATAGCAGAGGTAGCTAAGTGTCTATCCAAGGTATAACGAGAGTTTATATATACAGTAGGGATTTAGTTGGAACGCAGTAGCCTCCGACCATGTACGAAACGAGGTATGCTTTAAGCTTTGGAACATATACAGCAGTTCTATAGATTCTCTTTGTGTACAACAAAGAGACATCAACTGGTTACTTCAAACCAAGAAAAGAAATGACAGTATTACGCCAACTTGGGCTTCGCCGGTGACTCGACCAGATCCCTTCGAACCGACATTGCCGCGCGAGTTCCTTCCTCGATCGCACCGTCGATGAAGCTTCGCCAGCCGAGTGCCCAATCTGAGCTTGCAAAGTAGATGTTGCCTTGTTGGGCTCGCATGTCTATCAGATGGCTGGAAAGAAGGCCGGGGGCGGAAAAGAACCTGGGAAGTGTTAGTCAAGGCCAATGTTCAACGACAAGGTTTCTTACCAGGCGCCCTTTGCAAATTCGTCTCTGGACCAGTTGTGGAACACCTGAAGATATTAGTTGAGCTTTTATATCTGTTGCAATTGACTTACTATGCGCTGGATGTCCATGGGAACCAATCCTTGAAGAGCCTTCTTGGTTTCGTCGATGTTATCTTCAGGGTGAAAGTGCTGATGCGTTCCACCAAAAGCAACGATATGTGTGTTACCGGCTGGAGTAGTTCCATCGCCAAGAGCGTAGTAGAGATTGTTGTGAGGGTAGCTGATACCAGTGTAGGAACGTAAATCTTTCTCGCGAATCTCGGCGTGAACCTTGATACACTGGTTGACATGTCCAATGTCTGCAGCCGTCTTCTTTCCCCTGAGCAGAGGAGGATCAAATGTGACGGCGTTCAAGACGTTGAGGGGCATGGCGCTGATCAACTTCTTGGCTCGGTAGGATTGGCCTCCCCTGGTGGTCACTGTCACGCCATCCTTTGTGCTCTTGACGCTGGCAATGGGAGAGTTGAAGGAGTAGGTCAAGTTACCACTGGCCAGTGCTTCACGGAAGAAGCGGATAGCAAAGCTTGATTGACCACCACGGAACTTGTACTTTACCAGATACCGAATGCAGCCGTCGTACGAGTACTCGCAGAGAGCCCACCAGTGCAGAAACTCGAACAGACTGGTTGTCTCGAGGGTACCACCGCTGCATAGCAGAACAAAGGCTTCAACACCGATGCGCTCGTTGGGTGTTAGGGAGTCTTTGATCTCGTTGATGCGGTCTGCGACGGAGATTTTGTCGTATTGGAGGGTTTCGGGTGTGAAGGCGGCAGAGTGGGGGTAGGGGATGACTTTTCTGCCTAGGTCGCCGTCGACGTTGACGAGCTTGCGGAGGCCAGAGTCCATGATGGCGTCCTGTGATGGTGAGTTATTGATAATAAGATAGGGCGGAACTACTGACCTCTTCTTCGTGACTAAACTGCTGGGTGCCATCAGGACCAGCCAGGAAGTATTGGTTGACGCCTCTTGTAAAGTCGTACGAGATTTCAAGCTCATCCTGCATCTGGTATCTGAGGATCTCTCTCCAGACGTTGGGTTGGCCCCAGTAGACCCAGGTGCCACCCATCTCGAATGGGTATCCGCCCATGTTGGATGACCATGAGCGGCCGCCGATGCGATCGCGTCCTTCGAGGAGGAGGACCTTGAGGCCTGTAGAAGATTGTGTTAGCGGGAAGCCATGACAATGAGAGAAAGGGGGACTTGCCAGATATAGAGGTGTCTCGAGAGGCTGTGAGTCCACAGTATCCTGCACCAACAACAATTACATCAAAGACGTCTGGTGATGCATTGTTGAGATTGGTCGGAGGTTGAATGGCACCAATGCAGGGAACGCCAGGCTTGAGCCCCTGCTCCTGGGTCCAAGAAAAACCATCTCTGGAAGACATGATGAAAGAGTGCACAAGCCTAATTTGCGAGTGATTGGAATCCTGAAGAGCGGAAAGCCATCACGGGGAAAGGGAGCCATTATGTACCTTTTGCAACCACCACGGACCGTGTAGAAAAACTAATTAAAATGTCACAGTCAACGCCCTGCTGATACCAGATTTCCCTTCAAGGAAATTCTTCGAGTGCCTGTATCTCGGGAGTTGATATCATCAAGATCACGATCCCTGCCTTCCATGCGGACCTCTCGCAAAATTACCCCTTTGGGGTCGTCGTCTATCCATCAAAAGGACGCTACTGCACCCCGCGTTTTGACACCGTCAACCGGGAATGCGGAGATTCTCGCAAAATTACCAGAAGCAGTAAAACATCCCTCGTTATCAGAGCGCCACCTTGTAAACTAGACGTTGTGGCGATGCCGATATCTTTGATAGAGGAAACTACTTTCAACCTCCTCATCTTGTTTCTTGGGAGACCTGATTGTGTGCCGTTGGCCGAGACGGTCCGAACTGTCCGAGGATTAACGAGGGGTTTGTCTTGGACACACGTTGCTTTGTGTGACGGCTGGAGAAAGATAAATGGACGGCTTGTTCCCGTGCCAAAAAGGCCTTTGACACATCTGACAACTTGCATCAAAAATGTCTGAATCGACTCTATCGAACCCCCATGAGGGCCACTTACAGCCTCGACTGTCGAGGTTGACCATGGTGGCCATGGCCTTTGCCATCCTCAAGTAAGTAGTCCTCCTCAGATGGATACTCGATGACTGACAGATGTGTAGTACTTGGATTGCCCTCGCTGGATCCATCGGTCTCGTTCTCCCCTCGGGCGGTGCTGTATCCCTCGTCTACGGCTTCATCTTTTGCGTCATCTGCAACTTTGCCCTCACCGCGAGCCTTGGAGAAATGGCAGCCATCTGGCCAACGGCCGGTGGACAATATCACTTTGTGTTTGCCTTGTGCACTGAGAGATGGAAGCGGGTCATGGTATGGACATATACGTCCCTGCTTGGGCATATTGCTGACATGTTGTAGAGCTTCTGGGTCGGCTGGATCAACATTGGCGGCTGGCTTGTCGTTGTCACCGTCCAGGGCTTCTTTGCTGGTACGTGGACTTTATCCTAGTGTCGTGTATATGCTAACTTGGAATAGCCCAGTTCATCTGTGCTGCTGCTGTCGTGGCCTCCAACGACAAGTTTGTCGTGACACAGTGGAGCACCTACCTGATCTTCCTAGCCATCCTCACCTTTGCAACCATCGCCAACATCTTTGGCAACAGAATCCTCGGCCGATGGAATGACGCAGCACGTAAGTTTCCCATTAAATTTTAACAGTTCCCATCTAACTTGAGTAGTCTTCTGGTCTGTGTTGGGCGTCATCATCATCGGCATCGTCCTGCTCGCCATGTCCAAGAAGAGCGATGCATCCTTTGTGTTTACAAATTTTGACAACCAGACTGGCTGGTCTGATGGAATGGCATGGATCCTTGGCCTTCTTCAGTCGGCACTGTCGCTTATTGGCTTTGATGTGGTGCTGCACATGGCTGAGGAGATGCCAAACCCTGCCAGAGATGCACCTCGAGCGATGGTATACGCCATTGCAGTTGGTGGAGTTACGTGAGTTTTTCAACCCATTATTCGCTATGAATACTTGCTAAGTAGTGTAACAGTGGCGGCGCCTTTATCCTCATCATGCTCTTCTGTCTCCCTGACATTGCCGCGATCTCCGCATCAGCCACTGGCATGCCCATCGTCGAGATGATCCTCTTGGCAACAAAGAACCGAGCAGCAACGACCATCTTGACCCTCATGCTAGCAGTTTGCTTCATCAACGGTACAAATGCAAGCACCACGAGCGCAAGCCGACTCCTTTTTGCCATGGCTCGTGACAAGGGCATCATCTTTCCCGATTACTTTGCTCACATTCAGCCTGGTCTGAATGTTCCGATTCGAGCAATCATGCTGTGCTACCTTTTTAACGTTGCGTTTGGTCTTTTGTACCTTGGTCCTAGTGTGGCCTTTGGAGCTTACATCTCCTCGTGCACGATCTTGCTCAACGTTTCTTATGCATTCCCTGTCATTACTCTGCTGATCCGGGGTCGGGGAATTTTAAACGCGCATCAGAATGCAGACACACCTTTCAAGCTAGGAAGATGGGGACATGCGGTTAATTGGCTTGCTTGCATTTTCGTCGTCGTCACCTCCGTTGTAAGTCCTCCTCGGCTTTGTTCTAGTATTTGTCTGACATGTCTCAGTTCTTTTGCTTTCCGACAGCAATTCCGGTTTCGGGAAACACAATGAGTAAGTGTTGCCAATGGAGTGCTCGTGTATGTTGTGCTAACACACCTTAGACTACGTGTGTGTCGTTATTGGCATCTTGGTGGTACTCATCGCGCTCTACTGGCTGTTCTACGGACATCGCTTCGAAGGACCAGTAAGTACATCATGCTCATGCAAATTCAGTATTGCAATTCTGACTCTGTGATAGAAATTCGACGTGATTCTGGGGGAACAGGCAGAGAGCATCATAACCAACTCTCGCCGACCGACGAATGACAAGGAGAAGGGCGTTATCGACCAGAGTGGCTAGGAAAAGGAAGCGAACGGGTGAAATTGACCTAGGCATAACTGAAATTGATCTTTAATTTCGTGATTTTATTGTGTCCTTTGCACCAAATTGCAACTCTCGCTCAACCTGCTCTGCTTGTTACCTGAACCACGGTGAATCACTGGCTTTGTGATCCGGCCAACTTGGCATGAGGCTACAGAGATTAGATTAGCCTGAAAGCCTTTATTTATCTCGGCAGACTCAAGGAGCTCTCGGGTCTTCCATAGTTCAACATACTGGAATAAACAAGCGCTGATGTTGGCCGATTGCCTTGTTCTGATCTTCCGTGGCGGGTACAAGTGCGTGTGAATCTAGTCCATTGTGCAGCTGGGCGCCACGCGCTAACCATAAAGAGCGGCTTGTGGATATAGACACTGCCCAAGTTGGTGTAGCGGAAACATCCTGATTGACGCGCAGTTTAAAAAACATAACACTGTGCCCTGAATGTGGGGGGCAGGGAGCTAGGTTCGACTCCTAGACTTGGGAAATCCTTTTTTGCAATCTTTACTTTTAATCAATAATTATTCGTCTGCTATTGTTGTGCAAGCCTGCTTCTTTCACTTGTGATTGAGGCGTGAGACGGGCTAACCGTATTCAGTATTTCATGGGTCCCCGGACAGTCTGCCTGAGAGGTGTTGTCGTATTCTTGTTCGAATCCCATTCTCGGCATTTTTGCTTACTTTTTCTCCCTTTCGTTTCGGCATATAAGAATTTTCAGTCGTATGATCCATCAAGTTATCCCCATATGCCTAAATGACCTGGGGCAATGAGAACAGTGACTGGCGGGATGAGAAGCCCCATGAGAGATGGAAACATTGGATCGCAGCTTCCTTCGCACTTAGATGTGAACCCCAGTCCCTCACCGCCCTGGTTCGCTAGGTAGCTTACTCATCCAGCGATAACGATGCAAAATGAATCAAACGAATGATGCTGACAGTCTGACCACTTGTAAAAATTGTTCTTGGTGTGCTCTCTCTCTCAAAAGGGCAAAAAGCTGCGACGCACACTCCAATGGAGTCTCTATACGGGAGCTTTCGAGCTCTGCCGCTCTCCATTTCGATCCCTTTTACCGTCGGCCTCGTCGTTGTCATCGCCATTGCGCGCAATGTGATTGGGCAGCTGTATTTCCCCGACCGGAACCGACCGCCTGTCGTCTTTCACGTATTTCCATTCATTGGCAGCTCTGTTCAGTATGGTATCGATCCGTACAAGTTCTTTTTCGATTGCAAGGCCAAATATGGGGATTGCTTTACCTTCATTCTGCTTGGGAAGCCGACTACCGTCTTTCTCGGCCAGAAAGGGAATGAGTTTATCCTCAATGGCAAGCATGCAGATTTGAACGCCGAGGAGGTGTATGGAAAGCTCACGACGCCTGTTTTTGGAAAGGAAGTGGTATATGATTGTTCCAATGCGAGATTCATGGATCAAAAAAGAGTATGTTCACCCAACTCATTTCTTGTCCGCGTCTGACCACCTCAGCTTCTGAAACTTGGCTTGACCACGGAAGCGTTACGTGCTTATATCCCCAAGTTCGTCAAGGAAGTTGAAGACTATGTCAACACCTCGCCCTACTTCAAAGGAGAAACTGGACAAGTCAACATCACCGAGGTCATGGCTGAAATCACCATCTACACCGCTTCCGGCTCGCTGCTAGGAAACGAGGTCCGCTCCATGTTTGACAGCACATTTGCTCTTCTCTACCGCCACCTTGACGATGGATTCCAGCCCATCAATTTCGTCATGCCATGGCTTCCTCTGCCGCAAAACCGACGTCGCGACCACGCCCGCAACGTTATGGAGGGATTGTTTGCCAACATTATTCGACAGCGTCGCGAACAAGGAAACCAGGGTGATGAGACCGACATGATCTGGACTCTTATGGATGCGCAGTATAAGGATGGCACGGTTCTCCCCGACATACATGTTGCGCGACTGTTGATCGCCATTCTCATGGGTGGTCAGCACAACACAGCAGCAAGCGGCGCATGGCTCTTCCTCAACCTCGCCCATAAGCCGCATCTGGTCGAGGAAATGTACCAGGAACAGCTCGAAGTTCTTGGCTCGCCACCAGCTCCGCTGACTTGGGAAAATGTGCAGAAGCTAACGCTCAACGGCCAAGTCATCAAGGAGACTCTACGTCTACACAGCCCCATCCACTCAATCATGCGCGAAGTCAAATCCCCCATGCCTGTACCGGGTACTGAGTGGGTTGTTCCTCCATCCCATACCTTGCTCGCATCTCCCGGCACCCTGGCACGATCTGAAGACTTCTTCCCTCGACCCCTGGAGTGGGATCCGCATCGTTGGGACAAGGCCGACCCCGTCGAGGGGCCGGTGGATGATTCGCAAAAGGTTGATTATGGATTTGGCATGATGAGCAAGGCAGTGAGCAGCCCGTATCTACCTTTTGGTGCTGGAAGACATCGATGCGTTGGCGAGCACTATGCGTATGCGCAACTTGGTGCCATCGTGGCCACCTTTGTGAGGTTGTGCCACATGGAGCAAGTTGATCCGAAGGCGCCGATTCCGGCAACAGATTATTCGGTAAGTTCTGATGTATCCTCTCATGTACTCTGTGGGTTAATAGTAGTCTACAGTCAATGTTCTCCCGACCGATGAACCCAGCAGTTATTAAATGGCGTCGTCGCAAGCCCGAGTAGAGAGCCTATGGGATGGCATCCGGTTAGAATGAGCCGGGCATGCTGAGGACACAGTGGTCCACGTGTTGGATGGGCTGTGAGGGGACCACGTTGAGGGATTGTGGTGATCTGTCTAATCGGAATTGAACCTCTCGCCGGTGACTTAGATAGACTAAATGTAAAAGAAGAAAACGTCTAATCAGACCCTAAATCCTTTAATTGGCAAACGGGGCTCACCTTCGAGGTTCAACAGTTGTGAACGTAACTATCTATGGCTCAACTAGCTTCAACTATAGCAAAGAACACAAGATCAAAACCTCATTGCACCATATCCCAATTTCTATAGACGTAACTATAAAGTGATTTTATTATATATATGCTCTCTTCGAAGTCACGTCTCCAGATCCACTATTGTTATGACAAGAAGCCATAGCCACACAGTAAATGACACAGTTATCAATTCTCCGAATCGATGCCTGTCGCAGTAACTATATCCTGACTACCTAGGCTGGTCAGGTGGTATTCCTTCATTGTTCTTATTCATGGTGACGATGCCCTAGTGTTCGGCGCTCCGTCAACCTCATGCGCCTGCGGCTGCGCATCAACCTCATACGGCAATGGATGTGCGTCCGACCTAGCCCAGCCCTGAGACTCGATCCCAGTTGGGAGTTCCACCCTGTGACTCTCGGCCGCAGTTGTAGAGTAGGGCTGGGGGCTGATGGGTGGTGGAATGCTTTGCACTTGGCTGACCGGACTCTGTGCTGGACTCGGCAGCTTGGATGCCCTCTTCGCAGTTGCGTCATCTGAGAAATTCACCTGAAGGACGGAAACGTCGTTCTGCAGGTCCCTTTCCGGGGTTCCATTGTCATTGGGGCGACTCCGTGCGATGGCTGGTCGTGGAAAGGAACTGATGGTGTTCCTGAAGCTCTTCTTCGACCCCGACTCTTGGTTGTCCAGCTGGGGATGCCGTCTTCCCATGCGGAAACCGATTATCAGGGCACAGGCAATCAGAGCGATGCCAGCGAGGGCTCCGACCACCGCGCCTGCAATAACACCTGGGCTAGGCCCACCCCTTTCTATTCCGCTTGACCTCGTGTCATCGCTATCATCTGTTGAGGTTGCAGAAGGAACCGACCCTGCAAGGAGATCAGCTCAAAGATCCAAAGCTAGAGAAAGCCACGCCCTTGACGCGGTGCACCTACAGTCCGTTGGTTTCTCTATAAAATATCTAGACATGGGCTCTCTGGTGTTGCAGTAGACATGATATGCGTGCGACGATATATACCCCGGCCTGTAGAAGCTGTAGATGGTCGCCGTGACACAAGATCCAGTGGGACTGGAAGTGCTGTCAGACATAGAGTTCTAGCCGGCTAGGGGAAGAGATTCAAGACGGTACCAAGTATAAGATCCAGATGGGTCAGAACCACCTGCTGACCACCCGGTGTAGTAAATGGTGCTTCCACGGCATGATGTGTGAACTTGGTGATATCCTTCTCTGTCGGTGTAGCAGAACCCAAACGTTTTCTCATCATCGCTGTACGTAGTAGATGAGATATAGCTCTCAGAGGTATGGCAACTCAGTGTGCGATCTAACATGCTTGTGTTAATGAGGTTCGAATGTTCCAAGGAGGAGGTGTGTCGTACAGGTGGAGCCGTCTTTGGCATAACCAATCACTTCACCATCACTCGCCGGTGCTGCTGTCGGTGGTATCGGATTCTGTGCTGTCGTCGTTGCTATCAAGGACTGGAAGGCCAGAACCATGAAGGGAACAATCCTACACCAGCGATCCATGGTGGCGAGGATCTGAGAATTGTTGTTTCCAGGAGAAGCTCGCGCGGACCCCGGCAAAGCTGGGTTTTTAGAGCTTCCCTCTTCTCCCTGCCAAGCACGTTTATGCCTGACAGCAACGCCATGGCGTTGACATGGCGTGCTGAGGATGGCAGGTTTATTTCAGCTGAGTCTTTCGGCTGCAAGGGCTGGTAAAGTTGATTGGCGAGGCGGCCTTGGCATGGACAATTTTGCATTCGCAACGCAGCCTGATTTTACTCGAGGGCCGCGTGGACCAATAGCAGCAGCCAGTTCGAGAACCAAGCTCTCGAATATGGCTGTCGGTTAAGTAATTACTTCTGCTTTCAGCGGTGAGCAGACAACCCGGCCCCGTTTTAGACCAAGCCGGACGTTCGGGGTATGCTTTTTAGCCTGGGCAACTTTACTTTATTCAGACGACAGATGTCACTCATTATCATGTGAGACTGATTTATAAAGAAGAGGTAGACGAGGCTCTCTGCCTTAACTCAGTTATAATTACTACTCAGTGAGACACCGTTACTCTAGTACAGAGTTTCACGAATGAAACGGAATGAGACCCTTGAGATACTCCCGTAACCCGGGATCACACGCGTACACATATGTCCCCCGGATACCACGCGTCATGAGCACGGCATAGATCTGCGTGATGAACCGCAACAGGTCGTCGTCCGAGTATTTCTTGCCGAGGGCCGGGTTATTCTCCTTGCCCTTCTTGTCAAAGTACGAGTCGCGATCGATGAACAGACGTCGCCGAGCGGGGTCGAACCGCAGGTCCAAGCCTATAATGACTCCGACGTAGTTTAGATCATAGCCTTGCACCGTGTGGATGGATCCTACTTCCTCAAGAGCGTTGCGGGACGAGATCCAGTCGGTGGGTGTACCGTTCCAGCGGAGCTGCGTATCGCCGATCGCAATGTCAAAGGCCGTCCTGTCCTTCTTTGTCCTCCACTCCCACGCGAAGCCTGCGACCATGCGTGAAAGACCAACCTCTGCATCGCGTTGGAAGATTTCATCTCGCATGCGCGCGACGCAGTCAAAGGTGCGGAAGTCATAGTCCCCAAAGTCACGTCGCATCCGTGGGAGTTCGAGAGGATGAGGGTCGAGAATCCAGCGGACGTACGACACAAAGTCGGATCCTGCCCTCACGCGCATCTGAGTCCGGAGTTGAAAGTGCCGCCTTGACGCGCGAGCGTCTGCTACGAGGTCTGACAGCAACTCGGACGGTAGGTCGGCGGGGCGGACACTCTGCGCTGCGTCTAGAAGGAAGATCTGATGCTGGCTCTTGGCCCTTATCCAGTCCAGTTGGGTCTTGCTGAAGTCTTCGCCGCCGAAAAGCTCTCTCGTGATGGTTGTAAATTTGGCATTGAGCACTCCTGAAGGTTGGTTGGCACGTTGATTAAGCCGATGAGTCTCGTCGACGAGCAGTAGGCTAAAGGTTCCATCTGCCTGTCCCACGTCAAAGGGTGACATTACCATAGAGGGATGAAGTCCGGGTGTTTTCTTGAAGACAGCTTTGATGGAAGATCGTAGTGACTGTTGTGGTACGACCAAGCCAACACGGAGGTCCTGGAGCAACCCCTTGTTGGTGTCAGTGAAGAAAGTGGCGAACCGCGCATCGCTGTCCAAATCTTCGAGTGTGGTAAAAGTCTGAATGTCGACGAGTAGCTTGATCAAATATATGGCCGCCACCGTCTTGCCGGTGCCCGGATCACCCTGGATCACGATCATGCTGTCGGTACCGTTTTCGAGATCAGCGAGGAGCCCCTTGACAATCTCCTCCACCGAAGCTGCTTGATCGTCTGTCAATGCCTTGAACGGTGATAACTTGAACAGGTCGCTATTTTCAATCTCATCAAGGCCCCGGGTAAAGACACCATCGGCTCGAAGTCTTTCAAAGATGTTGCGGAAACCCTCACGATACAACTCGCGTTGGAAGTATCTAGAGTCGGTGATGCCGTTGTTTCGGTTGAGCACCCGATTGGCACCGTCACCGGCCAGCATTTTGATAAGGTAGGATTCTAAATCAAGGCAGACCGACTTGTTGAATCTCTCATCGAAGATGACGTGGATATTCTTGAGATGTTGTTTTGCGGGTGTTTCGAGGTGCTGCCGCAGTCGACCAGCTGCATTGAGCGACTCTCCGACGTAAATATCCCTCAGCTGACTCGAACCCGCTCGCGTGGTGTTACGGCCATCGTCCAGCACGTAAACAACAGGCCAGTTGCTATGACTCTCGTCATGGGCCTTCCACGCCGTGACGGCATCCTTGGAGAAGTCAAGCTTGGCTATCCTCAAGTTGGTCATACTTCTTGCTGCTGCCTTTGGCCTTGTCGACAGGGTACTTCTTCTTCGTCACCTCAAGCTTCTCCAACACGATCTGCGCCGGGTCAACTCCGATGCGGTCGGCGAGAAGCAGACAGTAGGTCAAGACGTCAGCGAGCTCTTCGCGGACGCGCTTGGGGTCGGCTTCGGCGTTCCACTGGTAACACTCGAGGAGTTCTGCGGCTTCGATTGAGACGCTCTTGGCGAGGTTCTCGGGCGTGTGGAACTGCGCCCAGTCTCGCTCGGCGACAAATGCCGCAAGAGCGTCGTGGACTTCCTTGTTAACCATGAGGTCGTGGTAGAAACCAATTCCTAGCCTGTGTTGACGAAAGCGTCGTCTTCGTTGGCCACAGCTTAATAAGAGAACTTAGGTATCCTTGGTCGAGTTTGGGATCGGTGTGACAAGGTGGTTGGGGGTGGGTTATGAAGCAGTTATGTAGTTGCATTTCGAATTGCGAGAATATTCTGTGGGCCGTGTGATGATAAGCGCCGTGGCGTTCAGTGATTCGTAGCCTGCATGAGTCCTAGGATATTCGTGGGCCCTGACTGGTAGGGGAATGGTCTGAATAGCAAATGGAGTACTGATTCGTTGCCATGAGGTTGCTCACATGAGCTTCTGGAGCACCCCTGTCCATTAAAGCGCGCTACTCATGTTCAACCTCATTCACGCAGCAGTTCAGTCCACCTAAGGCCTCCAGGCTCTTAGGATATAGGGAGGTAGTGCATGCCATGAGTTAGTTGGGCATGTGGAAGCGCCGAACAAGTGGGGGCTGCAAGAGGAGACGCTCTATCGCCACCTTATCATATCACAGAGCTCTCCCCACAATGGGAATCGATCTCTAGCTTTGACAAGGCAACTCGAAGCAATTCGTTCTGGTTGGAGAGATCCAAAAAGTGCAAATTCTAACCGCTCCCACCTGAGCCTTTGACTCCTCACAACAACCTTGACTGTCTCGCCAATGCCTGGCAAAGCCGAGACCCATGGGTCATCAGAGGTAGCCTCTAGAGGGCGAAAGAGAAGAAAACATTGCCGTTGCCGGGCAGGCTGGTGGGTCCAATTGCTGAGCTCAGGTCTGGATGATGGATAGCTAACTTTCAACACAAGTCTTCCTTGTCGTAGACGGAGACGCAAATGTGAGTAATAGCTGCACTACTACTGTTCGTTTACGAGCTCTGATAACTTGCCACACAGGTGATGGAAGCCGTCCCAATTATCGGGAATGCCATATAAGACGTGACAGATGCTTTTGGGGCCTCAAGGTCTCTTTTCATCCGTCAAGATCACTCCAGCTCTCATCGGAACATGTAGCTGCCCTGGGGGCTGTCGATAGGCAGAGACAAGAAGCTCAAGTCAGTGCGGCCAAAGCTGCGGAACCTTCCTCCCCAACGCTCATTGTGAGTCTAGCTCCATTATCCAGGCACTAATTATTGACATACTTTTCTTGCCAAGATTATAGATGACACGGGTGACATTGTTCAGTCTTATACAAGAGATGATGCTCAGTCACCCGAGAATGGTTCTGACTGCCAGGTCGAACAAGATACTGGCTCCGAACACATCCGAGGCGCCTCAGATCTCACACCCAGAGCCTCACAGCCTTATCTAGGCTATTTTAACAATGGAAGAGGTGGAATTTACGTTGAGGAATCAGGGCATAATGGCTTAAACGATGACAATGCTGCCCCCGGCGAGCCTATACACCCTTTCGACGTCACACAGCCTCTAGAGCTTCCCCCATCAGATGTTTTCAGACCGCCACTCATCTCTGATTCTTCATTCCCTGGCTCATCCATCTCTCCCTTCTCCCTCGGACAAGCTTTCTCCCGCCGTGCTCCCCCCGAGCCTGAACCTCGGTTCCCCGTCTCGCAGCAGATCAAGGCTGACCTCATCTCCAACTACATAAGGGAGACCGCCACGTGGTGTGAGACGACGGACTCTGACATGCACTTTTCTGCGCGAAGCGTTCATCGCATGATGGAGTCTACTCCCTTTGTCGCTGCTGCCATGTCTCTGGCTTCCCGTCAGCTTGACAGCTTGAGGGGACGTCCTAGACAGACCACGCTCGAGTTGTATCAGTATACCGTCCGTCTTCTGCTCAGCCATGACCATGCTGTTGATGGGTCATTCATCTTGGCAACTTGCACCTTGCTTTGTGTCTACGAGATGATGGCGTCAACTGTGGCCGAGTGGCGGCGTCACCTTCAGGTGAGTGGCTATACATTGGCTTGGCGTTCTATTTATCGTGGAATGGCTGACATGACGATGTACTTGAAGGGATGTGCTGGCTTATTACGGATGCGAAAGTGGAACGGTAATAGTGCAGGCATAGTCAAGACATGTTTCTGGGCATTTGCAAGGATAGGTCTGCCGTCCCATGGACTCACGATACGGATCTAGGAAATAACTGCTAACGATTGACTGAGCAGATGTGTGGGCCGCATTCATCTTGAACCAAACAACACTCATCCCCACTGACTCGTGGGTTGAGGCGGACTCGCTTGCAGAAGTTGCTGCTAGAGGCAACACGGACGACTACTGTAACTTTTCTATCCTCGTATTTGCAAGAATCATCAACCTCCTCAACGCAGGCGGTGACTCCTCGTCAGCTGAGTGGAGGGACAAGGCACAGGCGTCGTGGGAAGAGCTTCAACAGTGGAGGCGCTGGCATCAACAGAGTGCTAAGCCGCTGATGAGAGTGGATGCTGGAAACAAGAATCCTTTTCCGACCATTGTCTTTGCATTATCTGCATCTAGTAAGTCATTGAGCGTGTGAGCTGCAAGGCTGATTGGGGATAGTATGTGGGAATACCTTCTACCATACTGGCTCAATCCTTCTACTGCAAAGCGGATTGGTCCCGGCCACTTCTTCAGTCGATGAAAAACGGGCGGTAAGCTACGAATTAGATCCAGTTGAATGGGAATGGAGAGTTGGAGGGTTAACCATCTCTAGCGCGATCCTGTATGGCATGCCCGTGAACTTGGAGGCATCTCTATCAGCAATCCATCACAGTACGTCACAGCCCATAGTTTATTCCCAGTCACTAACCTGGACCTCGAAACTAAGTGCCAACTGGGTGAACCACCTCCAACCATTGTATATTGCTGGGAGAGTTTTCGGCCCTAGCAGCAAAACCCCTTATCCTGACCACCATCAGGGTGGCCATGTGCACCCTGCCACCCCCTCGTCTGTGGGTGAATCAACAGACGAGGGTGATGGAATGTCAGAGACTGGTGATTTTCCCGCAGAAAAGATGGCGCTTTTGAAGCATCTCGCCAAGATTGAAAGGGAGACGGGATGGAAGACGTCGGATCGGGCAAGAGAGTTGAGGATCCTCTGGGCTTTGGAGAATTAAAATGGGCTATAGACGTCCAGTGTCGATTTATCTCCATAGAACACTTCGCCTCCCAGCCTCAATCCCACCTTCTACATTCTTCCAGCCAGCCTACAGTTTGTAGACAAGTTTGTAGTTCGAGATGATACCGCGACGATACTCCTCAAATCCCTCAGACACCCCATCCAAACCCTTTTCACAAATCTTGGGTGTGTTGGGCTTGATCTCGCCAGTTAACAAGAGATCTGGTAACTTCTTAAACCACTCAGAAGCCAACCTGTGGTCTGCCTCGTTGGGCTATCAAAGTTATTAGTCTTTCAAGTTCTGCAAGCTTGGCACAAGACGACTCACTGGCCAATAAAAAGTTCCGTAACGGTGCTCCTTTAGGAAAGCTGTCCAGACGAGAACGTCTGTCACTTTGATGTCCTTAGACACATCTTCTGTGTTTGCTTTGCCAGGGCGGACTGTGCACAGGACGCCATTAGGGTGACTGATGGCTCGAGAAGCCGTTCCGGAAGAAGTCTCATTCCCAATGGTATCAAACACGTAGCGGAGCTGAGGTGCTGCACCTCGGATCATGTCGACTACTTGCGGATCCCGGTAGTCAAAGACGTGTTTCGCTCCATAAGACTTGACGAGGTCGTGATGTTTCGGGCTGCAAGTCGTGATGACTTGTAACCCATGCAGCCTCGCGATTTGGATGGCGTAGAGGCCGACGCTTGCTAAAGGTGGTATTAGCGGCTGGCGGAAGCGTCAAGCACCATCTAGATGCTAGCTAGGAGAATGAGCACAAAGGGGGACTCACAACTACCACCCCAAACGAGAACCGCGGTGGTTTCGGCAGCACTAGCGTCGATGGCCGGGCAGTCCTTGGAGAACAAACTGAGCAAGGCAGTGGTCGATGCGAGAGGCAGTGTCGCAGCCTCTGCCGAGGCCAGACCAGGAGGAACCGGGAAGCAAATCCGCGAATCTGCAAGAGTATACTCGCTATAACCCCCAAGTCCCTTGGTTTCGCCTAACTCGAGTCAGTCTTGACCCACGGGGGAATGCAAAAGACATACCTCCCCAGATCAGGCCAGCGACGATAGTCTCTTTAGTGATTCCGGTGACGTTGGGGCCTGTTTCTTCAACCACGCCAACAAAATCGCATCCGAGAACAGCACCGTCGCCGAAAGCATTGCCGTCAAAGGACTGGACTGCGCGAGACTAAGTCAACTGACCACGGGGGCATATTGGAAGGGCACGCTATACCATCGGTCGGGTTTTGAGCTACATGAGATACCTTGACAAGAAGCTGGTGGTCTCCAGACTTTGGCGTCGGAAGTGACTCTTTGACGAGTTTCGGAGTGTCGTTGGAGGCTTTGACAACCAACGCGTCCATTCGTGCAGGGGGAGACATTGCGTAGGTAGAATGTAAAGGATTTTGATGACTTAGCTTGAGAAGACAAACGGTGATAAAAATGAATGCGATGCTTGCTGAGGGTATCCTGTTCTTGCATGACAGTTGAAGGATTAAATACCGGCGTTTGCTTATAAAGCTGGTTATCGAAGTACGTTTAAGGGAACATGTAAACACTCTGTTTGGGCAACTCGAAACGCCTGGGGTTGAAAGTGGATTGGCTTACCTATTTTTAGTGATTCTCTATAGGGTAGTTGAGTAGGTAATCGATTATTTACCCCAATGTCTGAGAACCTCCAAATTATGTGGTACAATGTAGTCAAGTATTGTTTGCATCTCCTAGGGTAAGCAATGTAATCATAAGGCCTTAATAGTTTTACGCTTGACATCCCCTACAACAGGCGCTAACTGTTAGTGCGATAACACTGCGCCAATCCTTGGAAGGAATTTGGGTTACTTTGGGCGACTATCACATTGTCTTTGAGATTTGTTACTAAAATCTATTTAACGAAAAAACTATTGAGACCAGTAGAAACTCTATCCTGTACGTTATTTTATCAATGACAATCTCACTCGCATCTGCGGTTAGTCAAAGAGAGGATCAATCGGCCGATTTGTTAAAATGCCCGATGTCAGACGCGTCGCAAGGGCGCGACTGACTAGTCCGACATCCGCGACGTCCGCGATGGAGTTTTTGGTGTCTGAATTTTTTTTAAACTAAGCTCCGGCTTTCGGAACTCGGATCTGACACCAAAAAAAGTTTCCCTCCTTCAAAGCCGAAGCCATAACGATGCGCTCCAGTCTATCATGCGATCATTGCCGGTGAGTCCCGCGCGACATGGGTCTGAATATGAGAGCTGACTGGAATGCGGCGTGAAGAAAGGCCAAGATCAAGTGTGTCAATGAGGGGACTGCGCCTTGTCAGAAGTGTCTGAAGCTGGGGAACTCGGGATGCGAGCTTTCCAGGCCTCAGGCTAGATCGGCAAAGAAGATTGCTGCGAGGGCTCAGAGGGCGACACCGGAGCTTACTCCGAGGGCGGATCATGTTTCCACGGTTGCGAGTACTCCGGATGTTACGCGTCAGGATCCTATCAGACCGCCTAGACCGAGTCCTTCCTTGTCGAGGAGGACGCTCTCCAGCTGGGGACAGGAACCTGTTGATGAGCATCTCGCGAGGCTACCAATAGGTGTTGTCCTCAAGGCTCTGAACATTTTCACGGCCAAGTTCCCTGAGCTGAGGATACTGCAACCCTCGGCGTTTGTCAAAGAGTATCAGGCTGGTCGGTCAAGAGAAAGCAAGGTGCTATTGGCGACCATCCTTGCCATAACGAGGAAGCAATCATCGATATGCAGCGGAGAATGGCTTCACCGGTTACGTAGTAGCGACTGCTACGCGTCATACGCCTGGAGTGTCCTCTCGAATCTCATTCTCCTACCGCCGAATGTTCAGGTCGTTCAGGCGCTTCTCATCTTGACGCTCTACGAGTGGGGTGTACGAGAGTTTCATAAAGCATGGATGCACTGTGGTAGGTATTCCGAAGCTCTTCTATGATGATGGTACTGACATCATACAGGCATGGCTATCCGCATCATGCAGTCTCTTCACAGCTCGCGCATCTCTCCACACGCTCTCGACATCTCACAGAACAATGACTTGGACGAACTCGCAGTAGTAGTAGAGACTCGGACGTACTGGGCCTGCTTCATCATGGACTGCACCATCAACTCTGGGACCTACAACCCGCGCATGCTCCCCATGCCCGAGATGCAGGAGCTCAAGGTCCCTCGACCACCAAACTTTTTCGACTTTGCTTTTGGATCTGATGGGGCGTCGCTGAGTCAAAACTTCACGGCTAATCATTCTGATCCGTCTGGTAACCTTGATCTTGCGCAAAGCTTTGAGACGATTGTTCTTGGTTTTGACATTTACGCTCAAGCAATGGCGTTTGTCTTTAATAATGGTCGATGCGCGCCTGGAATGTGCGCACCGGAGAATTGTCCCTGGGTGCCAGGCTCGCTCTGGTCAAACTGCAGAAACCGACTTGAGGAGTGGAGGAGGAGCCAGCACCACAGGTTGCATTACCCGAGACACAGCGTCGCCGTTCACATGACTCTGGGGCATGGGGAGTCTTTCATATACCTGAATATGCTTTACTATCTAAGGTGAGTATTAAGCTGTGGCTTGATGCTGCCTTAACTGACAACATAATAGCACCATCATGCTTCACCGCGAGTACTTCCCCTTCCTACCAACTGCCGAATCAACACCCCAAGGCCCCATACATCCTCCACTCCTCGAGGCAGAAGCCCCGCCAGGATGGTGGGAGGACAGCGCCAAAGAATTGTATGGAGCAGCTGAACAGATTACCTGTCTGCTGCAAGAGGCGTCTGAATGCGGCATACCTCTGATGACGCCCTTTTCTGGCTTCTGCGCCTTTACTGCGTGCTTTCTCAACCTGTACATCTTTAGGTTTCCAAAGATGAATCTCGGTAGAAGCCCGAGAGCTGAGGAGTTGATGAATTGGGGGTTGGAATATTTGGAGGAGTTTCAGAATGCTTGGGAGTTGGCCGGTGGCTGGGTATGTGCACTTTGATTCTCGAGCTCGCGACTCTGAGCTAATAGTTTGCAGATTAAAACGATTCAAAACTCGTCGCTGTTGTACAAGAGCGCTACCGAGGATAGTAGACGGTTTCAGGGAAGATCAAGAGCCGACTTTGAGACTCTACACCAATCCATCCACGAGTACCGCATCGTCGATCGATCTGAACTACATCTACAGCAGATTCGTCGCGCGGATAGAAACTCTTCAAGAGACAATGAAAATGACGAGAGATTGGGGAGAGAACAAGCTCAAGTCCCCATGGGAATGAATCCAGCGGGCAACCCGGCTTTTCTGGACCCTTTTCCGAACTGGTGGTCAATGTTGCAGGAAGTGGAATTCGCCGAGATTAGCAGCATGATGAATTGAAATGAATGCATTATTCTGGCTAATTATGACAATCTAAGTTTTTTCTCTAACCTTTACAAATGATTTCTTTCCGCTTCTAGCACCGCCTCCTTCAACACTCTACAAATGTGTTTGATCTGTGCCTCTGAAACTGTGAAAGGGGGCGCAATCAGGACGTGGTCTCCCCTGACACCATCAACAGTACCAGCACCAGGGTACAGTGCAACACCCTTTTCGAAAGCTAGTTGCTGCACAAGAGGGCCGAACTTGATATCCGGGCGAAATGACTCCTTAGTTGATCGATCTTTGACAAACTCGACTCCCCAGAAGAGACCTCGTCCTCGAATGTCACCCACTGATCTGCACTTGCTGAGTTCAGTACGTAGAGCTCTTTCGAGAACAGCTCCCATCTTGGCGCATCGAGGCACTAAGTCTTCTCTTTTGACAATCTTCTGCACCGCCAATGCAGCAGCACATGAAATTGGGTGTGCTTGGTATGTATGGCCGTGATTGAAAGCAGCCGAGCCCCGTCTCAGGACATCGACGACCTTCTTGTGAATCAAAACACCAGCGATGGTGGCATAACCACCTCCGAGGCCTTTGGCGATTGTCATGATATCTGGCACAATACCTTCTTGCTCAAAAGCAAAGAAAGTTCCAGTGCGTCCAACTCCGCACATGACTTCGTCGAGAATTAGGATGATACCGTATTTGTCGCAGAGAGCCCTGACGCCCTTGAGGTAGCCCGAAGGAGCTGTAACGCAACCTGCTGTCGCGCCAACCATGGTCTCTGCAATAAATGCAGCGACGTTCTCAGGGCCAACTCGCAGAAACTCTTCTTCGAGCTCTGTAAGTAGCCTTGCTGTAAAGTCTGCTTCGCTCTCGCTCTCGTGCTTGTATTGATACGCATACGCTGGAGAGACGTGCGAAACGTTGGGGTACATGAACCCTTGGTAGGGAGTCTTGCGAGCCAAGACAGTCGAAACTGACATGGTGGCCATTGTGTTTCCATGATAACACTGACGTCTTGAGATGATGTGAACTCTCTTTGACTCGCCATTCTCAAAGTGGTACTGTCGAGCAAGCTTCAGGGCTGACTCCACAGCTTCACTTCCACTGCCAACAAAGAAAGCCTTCTCAAGACCATGAGGGTTACCCTCAAGGATGAGATTGGCAAGTTCCTCAGCAGGTGCAGTTGTATAAGCCTGCGTATGGACGTAGCTGACTTTTCGGGCTTGGTTGGTAATGGCCTGGATGACTTCCTCGTTGCCGTGGCCGATAAGGGCGACTGCCGCACCTCCACAGGCGTCGATGACTGTCTGTCCGCTGGCAAGTTTGAGTTCAATGCCAGAGGCTGATTCGACCATGTAGGGATGTTGAATGAGTGAACGATGCATCAAGCATCCTTCTTTGCTCATTGGTTTGGTGGGGTTTTGGTGTAAAGGGATCTCTGAGACGAGATCATCGTTTCTTGAAGGGGCCATGATGGATGAACTTGACAAGAAGAAATGCAACTTGCAACAAAGATGAAAGGCAATGCTTGACTTTTCTTGATCAAAACAGCAAGATTTCATCCTGTTAAACTGGTATCTTTATAAGTCTTCAAAGCCGAAACCCGATGGCCCGTCGGGAATGGTTCTCCCGACGACCCGGTTGATCTCGAAATGGAGCTGTCAGACGATGAACTAGTTATCAAATTCTTCCATTTTCTCCACTGATATCGCCGAAATCATGATCTAGAAGCATCGGATTACATGTCATTGTCAAAGCCGAGGCCGACGGCCCGAGATAAGGAGGATTTGATGGAAGAGTCTGACTGAATTGCTATTTGTACCGTCATCTTTCTCTTGTCTCTTCATGTTTCAACTTCAGCCAGTATTCAAGACTCTTTCTTATCTTCGCAATTTACTTCTTATCCTTCCTGGTGTCTTGTTATCCCCCAAGGTTATCTTAGAATGATTGTTCGGACAGAACCTCCAGTCGCAGACTGGCCCGGCTCGTCAGCCTCCTCAGACACCGAAAAAGGCAACGAAACCGACCGTTCACAGACCGACTCTTCATCCCCTCCTACACCAAAAACCATAGAAATCGAGTTTGATAACCCAAGAGGATGGATCCCCGTGGCAGCAGCAGCTTGCTCGCTGTTCGTCTACCTCGGTGTGATATACTCTTGGGGTATCATGCAAGTGAGACTCGTCGAGACAACATCGTCAAGTCTAACCACTTTGACGTTTGTTGGATCTTTGGGTACATCTTTCATGATATCTCTTAGTGTCTTGTCGGGTATAGCAGTTCGCAAGCTAGGATACCAAAAGACGGCACTATCAGGGGCACTTTTGATGGGCCTTGGAGAGTTTCTGGCAAGTTGGACTACGAAACATGTCGGAGCTCTGTTTGTATTCCATGGAGTTATTTTTGGCATCGGAGGAGGACTGTGCATCTTTGTGAGTCTACCCGATACCTGTTTGATACACTACCTAACACTTGTTTAGTCGTGTTCTACTGCGCCTCTCCGCTGGTTCAAAAAGTACCGAGGCTTGGCTATGGGTATTGTTTTCGGCGGAGGAAGTCTCGGAGCTGCCGTAATGAGCATTGCAACAAATCTCCTCGTTAGAAACCTCGACGTCGCGTGGACGTTTCGCATCTTGGGCTTCATGCTATGGGGAGTCTGCATCCCTGCATCCTACTTTATCCAACAACCCAAGGGTTCAGCGAGCGCCAACTTGAAACTTCAATGGTAAGTAAACGAGTCTTGGAAATAGTATATTCTTCTAATCTTTGTCTCAGGTATCGCTTCAAGGAGCCGAGGTTTCTGCTCATCGTGGTGGGGACGGCCATCTCGTGCTTCCCGCTGTTTATTCCGCCGTACTTTATTCCCATCTTTTCCAGATCTATGGGGTACTCTAACCAGATAGCCATCGTCATCTTAGCGGCCTGGAATCTCGCTTCCACGGTGGGCCGTGTCCTGGGCGGATACACTGCCGATGTGCTGCTCGGGCCTCTCAATAGCTTGGTGCTCTGCCTCCTGTTCATTGGCCTGAGCTCCCTCGTTGTCTGGCCATTGGCCTCCACAGTAGGCATCTTCTCCGTGTTTTTGATCTTCAACGGTATCGGATGCGGCGCCTTCTTTAGCCTGGTCCCTCCCATGGTCGGGGCCACGATGGGAGCCGAGAACACCCTGGGCATCCTCCCCATCCTGTGGACGACTTGGTTCTGTGGCTTCTTCTTTGTAAGTTGGCCGATGCTTTCGTGAAACAAGCACTAAACGGTTCTATAGGGTACGCCTATCGCATCTGGAATCTACTCACTTGCCGGAGACAGCCGTGACCAAGGGGTTGAGGAGTTTCGTCCTGCCGCGTACTACGCTGGAGCCATGTCCCTTGTCGGGTTATGTTTTATCCTGTACATTCGCTTCACTCAGACGAAGAGTCTCCTAGTCCGTATTTAGAAGGTTTCATCTGTTTGTGGCGATAATATTACATTATTGGTATCCTTGCGCTGCGTGAGCATTCCGTCCACAACCCGAGTCACCGACCCGTGGTCTCTGCGCTACATGTCTATATACGTTATTTTATACTTTTTTACCCGCTTCATAATGGATGCATTGATCTCCTCCGTTATCGATACACTGAGTATGGGGTTCCCGGGTTTAATACTGCTGGGGCGTTCTAGCCGAGGCTTTGAAACCCCAGTCGTTCGCCGGGCCCCTCGGACCATCCCTTGCCTCCACTGCGGACGCGGCCTCCGACTGGATGCTGATCTCTTGCGCAATAATGATACCACCGTTTCCATCCTTGTTGGTAGACCTGCCATCGCTATCTTCGGGCAAGATGTGCTCGTCGCTGCCCCAAGCCGTAGGTTGAGGAACAGATAGTGGATGTGTTCGGTTTTGCGTCTTTCGGGTACCGAATCGACTTCCGCCCATCTCGCTGCTTCGGAGTTGGTGGCTCTCGCCGTTGGACTTTGTCTGTCGACTGAAAAGAACGCTCAGACCAATCATGCTGGCGCCCTTTCGGATCAGGGGTTGGATGATCGGCAAGTTCGTTACGATGATGGCGACAAAGGTTTCTCGACATGCCCAAGCGCTGCCCGACACAGCTCCTTCAGGACCCGACTACACGGAACGGGTGGTAAGCTGACATGCATTGACACATGGAATGGTGGGTTGGGCTTACTGAGAGAATGGTCACTGCTCGGATTGTGCCAGCCATCATGATGAATAGAGCACCGCTGAATAAAAGCATAAGAGTGAGTCTGCGTCGCAAGCTGATATTCACACCCCAGAGAAGCTAGTCGAGTCAGCATAAGGAACAGGGTTTGGATGGGAAAAACTGACAGGTAATGGGATCGAGAGCAGATAGACGTCAGTCAAGATGTTGGGGATAACCACAACCAAAACGTAAGCGGGCGAGTTTGTCGGTCTGCATAGAGTCCCCGGGTCTGGAGTGACCTGCCAGAAGTGGTGGAATGGTTGACATGAGAGGAGGATCGTGAGAGCGACGGCGGCGTAGGTGACTGCGAGTATAACGTATGCGAGCTTCACACGGGTCTTGAGGTGAGCGAGACCAGATCTACCCAAGTTAATCATTGTCCATTGGGTTTTTCAATTTGTAGAGCATACGTGAGTCGGCCGTAAAAGGCAGTGACGCAGAATTTGAGGCACCAGAGGATGCAGGCGTAAAACGACCAGCCGATAACCTGGATCTTGGAGCCCCAGACGCGATTGTAGTGTTCCTTGGAGTCTACATCGATGCTGGCTCTCTCGCCGTCCGTCATGTAGCTATTGGTGAGGCCTTGAAATTTGGCGCCGACAAGATAGGCCGCTACCGTCTCTGCCGTGAAGACGAGCTATACAACAAAGAATGAAGATCGTCAGTGTCTGCTGCATTCCTTCTGTTGGTTCACGAACCAACAGGTGGGTTTCACTTGGCACTACTCACCCCAGTAAAGGGCATCAGGTAATCATCGAGCTGCCATGCGGCCGGTCCAACTTGGCGCCATCGCACACCGACTCGGACGCCGATGGTGATTAGGCCGATGGAGAGGAGGACGAACTGCTCTTCGATGCCCATGACGACATGCTATTTTGCTCTGAAGGATTTAAAGAAGGGGACCCGAGGGATTGGGACCAAGAGGGGGAGAAAAAGAAAATAAGGAGGGACTGAACTGGAGAAGAAAGATGTGTGGATTGTCTGGAATAAATCGTAAGCATATCTTCAAAGTGCATGCGGCCCTCAGATTTTAGTTTTATGGGAACATTCCAACGCAATCGTTTCAACACACGTCTCTTTTCGCCTCTCTAACAAAAAACCAAGCAAACCCCTGCCTCAACCGTCAATGTTCCATCCGTCCTTTTGTCGACTCTTCCCTGTACGGTGATAACACGGACACGCTGGGTGGTGGCGGCTGCGGCTCCGCTGCTGATTTTCTTCAGCACACGGACACTGGCAACATACGCTAGGGGAGAACAAAGAGAAGAAGCTAGACAAGGCCCCTGCAGATCATGACCCCGTTTCCCCCTCATGGTGCAAGCCATCTAGATAAGGAGAAGATCATCGCGTTATGAAATTCCGGCAGATGCGGCATAAAGGGGCAATCCCCCCCTCCCCCCTAACCCCCCTACGGCCCGCGGGATCTGCGGAGTCGTCCGAGGGGTAAACCGCATTCGGAACAGGTGGGGAATTAAGTCACAGATCATTAAGAGAAAGCCATGGTGCTGCCAAGGTCTTGTTTGGACTGCGCTTGGGGCTTCAGCTGGGGTTTAAGCCAGGGCTCCAGTTGACGGCGAGTAATGAAAAGGTGTGACGGCGACTGGACAAGCTACGACGACCGGATCCAGCCAGAGAAGCCAAGAAGGTCAGCTCCTCAGTGGGGAACAGGTGTGTTGGAGAGGGATTAACCCTGTAGACGTCTCGGAAGCCTACCGGGGTTGCATCAGTTCCCACGTGTGGAGAGTGTTCATGTTGGTTCTGCCTTTGCCTCCTTCGCTGTGCAATGCTATGCTTCTGTTATTGACACCGAGCACGTTTTGTACGCGATTCAGGTTACATAGTTCATGGAAGAAAAAAGCCCCTTCCGAGGTTGCATTACACGCCAATGACGAGTACAGCCCGGGCTAAGTAAGACCGAAGGGCGAGAGAGGAAAGTCTTATCACGGCCTTCTTAATTCTCCCCTCCCCCTCTTCCAATGCGATCTGCACGGTGACTGTTGGGAATCATTACTTTTTCTTCTTTAATACCCTGGATCCTAGCCGACGTTGCCGTTACACACCAATTCTTTTGCACTGACTCGTCCTCCTTTTTGTTTGATCAGAAAAGGACAAGCACAATGGCGTCGTCAACTTATGATTTTATCATCGTCGGAGGTATGTCATAATCCGCATCCCGCCCAAGTGCATGACTCGCACCTCGCCTCTCCACCCTTGTCTCTTAGGAAAGACCCATTAACGCGTTGCGTCTCCGCGCGCACAGGTGGCCCTGCCGGAAGCGCCGTCGCCGCCGGCCTTGCCCGTTCCGCCAAGAAGCCCAGCGTCCTCCTCCTCGAGGCCGGAGGTTCCAACGAGGACCGCAACCTGAGGGTCGACGGCCAGCGGTGGATCACGTTTATGAACCAGGAGCTCAACTATGGTTACAAGACGGCGCCTCAGGAGCACTGTGATAACCGTGAGCTGGATTACTCGCGGGGTAAGGGTCTAGGCGGTTCTAGCGCCATCAACTTTGGCGTCTACACGGTCGGTGCCCGTGATGACTATGAGGAGTGGGCGCGTATCGTCGGTGACGACGCGTACCGTTGGGATAAGATCCAGCCTCGCTTCAAGGCACTCGAGACGTTCCACGGTGACCTCCCTGCTGGTATCGACTCCAAGTATGCCGCTCCCAAGGCCGAAGACCACGGCAGCTCTGGTAAGCTGCACGTTGGCTACGCCAGCGAGTGGGAGAAGGATCTCCCTCCTGTCCTGGATCTCTTTGAGAAGGCTGGTTTCCCTCTCAACCCCGACCACAACTCGGGCAACCCTCTTGGCATGTCGGTCTTGATCAACTCTAGCAACAAGGGACTCAGGTCAACATCCAATGACTTGTTGACTCCCGTGCCGGAGAATCTGACGATTGTCACGTCGTCTCCTGTTCAAAAGGTTATCCTTGAGGGTACCAAGGCTGTTGGTGTTGAGGCTAACGGCAAGCAATGTGAGTTTTGTTCTATCAATCTCAGGGGATACCCTCTACCTCGAAGCCATCAAGATGGTGAATCACTGATTTCTCATACATGTACTGACACTGTCTAGACTTTGCCTCAAAGGAGGTCATCCTCTCCGCCGGCTCCCTAGACACCCCCAAGATCCTTATGCACTCTGGCATCGGCCCCAAGGACCAGCTAGAAAAGTTCAACCTCCCCGTCGTCAAGGATGTGCCACGCATCGGCCAGGGTCTGCGAGACCATATGTTCTGCCCCCTCGTCTACACCCGCAAGGAGGGCGACACAGACCGCGCACCCTTTTACGGAGACGAAAAGATCATGGAGGAGGCCCTCGAGCAGTGGAAGCGCGATGGTACTGGTCCTTGGACAAAGTTTGCCTGCGAGGTCGGCATTGGCTGGTTCAAGCTCGACAAGCTGGTGCAGTCTGAAGAGTTCAAGGCTTTGTCTCCTGAGGAGCAAAGTTTCCTGAACAAGGAGACGGTGCCACACTACGAGATCTTGACGCACTTTCCCATCCACTGGTTCATCCCCAACTTTCCCAAGTCGGCCCTCAACTACTCTTGTATCCTCGTCTTTTACTACAACGCTCAGAGCCGTGGAGAGGTTACGCTGCAGTCGGCCGACCCTAACGTGCCTCTAAAGTTCGACCCCAAGTTCCTCTCCACGCCGTTTGATCGTCGTGCAGCTATCGAGGCTCTTCGCGATGCTTTCCGCCTTGCCAAGTCGGACGGATACGCCAAGGATAACGTGGAGACGCTTGCAGGTCCCAAGGGTGATTCTGACGAGGACCTTCTTGCTCACTGGCGACAGACCATCTCTTCGAGCTGGCACATGACCGGAACCACAAAGATGGGCAAGCCTGACGATGCGGAGGCAGTTGTTGATAAAGACTTTAAGCTTATCGGCTTTCAGAACTTGCGGATTGCGGATATGGGTGTCGTCCCCATCATCGCCAGCTGCCATATTCAGGCGGTCGCCTATGTTACTGGTGTTACTTGCGCTGAAAAGTTGATTGCCGAGTATGATCTCGCGTAATGCAGGGTAACGGGCATGAAAAGCAAACAATATGATAACCTTCTATGATGAAGGACCAATAGTTAACTCCAACGAACTACTCGTTATATCGAGAGTACATCAATACAAATATGTAAAAGTAACAGTCAGTTTTCTCCAGCCTTGTCCATATATGTCTTTACAAACAAGGGACGACACTCTACCTCTCCCAAGTAGACAAGGTCACCTGGGTCTCCTGACGCGAGAAGCACTCTCCTCTCGTCCGGGTCCATTTCTTCCCAGTACTCGCTGTCGAAACACCTGGGCTCGATCTCGTATCCCGAATAATCCCCCAACTCATGATCGTCCCAGTGAAAGTCGTTTGCAGAAAACGAGATTCTTTCGATTGGCTCACAATGATGATACCATACTTGGATGAAATTCATACCCCCATCAAAAGCGTCCGGGTCTTCGTAGTCAAAGAGGTTAATCTCCACCTCAATATGCAACTCGCCCCAATTGTCCAATAACCTCTGTAGAGGTTCCGTCCATGCTCTCGAATACATGGACCACTCGCCTTCCCAAAGCACAAACTTGACAGTCCGTACAGCAGGGAGGTGTTGCCTCATCCAGAGCAGTTCATGCACCACTCTTGTCGGAAAATCTCCTCCTGCTTCAACATCTATCCAAAAGTCGCCGTCGTTTTTTCTTATCCCGTTTCTGTCAAGTGTGTTATCGGGATAGCGAGCTTCTTTCGTCTGCACCATCTCGACAATGATTTTGTCTGTATGCATCTTCATCCTGCGTGTGGTCTTGTTTATGTGCTGCGCAAAAGTTCTGTTGCTGATGACGTATTCGCTGGGTTCTTGAAACGGGATAACTATGGCGTGGTTTTTATAGAGACGATTTTGTAGTTCTTCGGTTATCATCCAGTGAACGTAGAGTAAAGGGCATGTCTCTGGCGTGTATGCTGTCTTGGCAGTGTATAGGTTGCTAAATTCAACAGGTTCTAGAACGAGGTCGTAGATCATTTCCCTGATTTCTCGGGAGAGACGAAAGAAGCTTGGAAGTCGAGTCATCATGACTGAGCCGAGCGATGGCAATCGTTCGTCTCTCGAATATTGACACCCCGGAATCATAAATAGAGACTGAGAAGTATGAATGTAGTCAGCGGAAGAAATGGCGAGATTTGAAACCAAGGTTAATTTATGCCCCAGCTGTCACATCGAGATGAAACACATCAAAGCGGTGGCTGCCTAAAAACGGAGTCGCCAACAGCTGATGCCAAGAAGGCACAGCACCTCCAAGCGAAGTGAACAATCTCACGGTCCTCAACCAATATTCAAAGACAACAAGAGCCAACAATCACGATAGGAAAATTTCGAGAGCCATGCCATCTTTGTGCCTAATCTTGCGCGAAATCCTCGTACAGCCAGGGGTCGTCCAACAGATCTTTTGCAGTGCTCCTCGCTTCAGGGGACCATGTCAACATCCTCTTTACAAAATGTATGAACCTTGTCTTTTCTTCACCACTCATGCAAGTGATGGATTTTTCCAAGGTAAAATTAGAAGGAATCCTGCTGGGGTCTTTGAGGTCTCCTAAAATACACATCAGCGACGCCGTTTCTCAGGACCAGTCTACGAACCGTTGCTCTTGTAGAACATGGAAGTTCTTTGACCCTTGGGCAGAAGATCTTTTGGCGGAGGTCCTATGAGTGCTGTTATTTGGCCCAAGTGAGTCTGGTCGTCGTATTCGTCGGGTTCATCAGCAGTCGCAGGGTTGAAAAGTGCCTTGGCTTGGAGCAAGTCCCACAACTATGATAGTAATTTAATGGCTTGTTTCTGATTGCAGAAGAGAATGAAACTTACCATCACCCCGAGACTCCATATATCTGCCGAGTACGTGTACCCAGCGTTGAGGATAACCTCTGGGGCCCGATATATCTCCCCTTGGATGGCACCCGTGTGGACCTGTCCTGGTGTTGTTCTAGCGGAGAGACCAAAGTCGACGATTTGGATGATACCCGTCGGTTTGGCAAGTGGCCCGTAGTTATTTCGGGAAAGGTAAATAGTGCGTCCATCAAGGTGCTTCTGTGGTAGTGGGTTGTCAAATTCATCCTTGGCATCTCGATCAAAGATGGTCGGGTCTTCGATTTTTACCATAATATTGTCGGGCTTAAGGTCTAGTCTCATCGTTAGCATGTGGTTTAGTAGCATTATAAAGGAGAAATACCTGTATGAATTACATGACATTCTGTGTGGAGGTAATCAAGAGCATGCAAGATCATTTGCACCAAGATCTTGAGGATATCCGGGGGAATGACATTGTCGATATATCTTCTGCGATAGAGCCATAGAGGCTCACGCAGAGCGTCGAAGACCAGACACACGTGGTTTTCTGATGTGCCATTTAATGAGAACGAGTTGGGAAGCTTCCTAACAAAATGCCAGCCTTTGTGCTTAGGATTCACGCGAGAAATGTGGTTCATGATGTCAACCTCGTTTTCAGGTGGAACTCGTCGCGAAACATGGCTGCTTGAATTAACCTTGACAGCGACGTACTTGTCTTTTGACCACCGCCAACTACCGAGGTTTAGAATGTGTTATGCTGGGCGGTTGATGGGGACTAACCGGTTAAGGTCTCGAGCAAGCCATACAGTGGAATTGGCGCCGTAACCCAATTTTGTTGCAATTTGGTATCTGTTGTTTAGAACCTGGCCTAGGTGGACAGGGTAGAAACGATCAGCGTCGTAGTTCGGCGTCTTCTCTTCCTCGATGGGTATGGTAGGATCAAGTCGAGGTGCAAGGACGGACGATTTGGGCCATGGCTGCCGGTATAAAGTTGTGAAAGACCGGACTTTCATAGTTTTGCACATGGCTGGGCATGGTTGATTGCTCAAGGCGGTGGCTGGGACAGTTCGAGTCAAAATGAAGCGTGAGGGGTTCACGTGATCATCTGCACGTGATCTCAGACAGCCCTTGGCAATCCTGCATCACAATGTAGGTACATGAAAAGAAGGAAAGCGTTTCAATTTTTTTTTCAATTTTTTTTTCAATAGTCAAGTCCATTCCTGAAACTACCATGTTAATGCACGCTGTTATTGTTGCTGGAAATGGTAACAACGGCACGACTGCCTCAATCGATCGCAAATTCAGCCATGGTGGTTAAAAGCATAGCTACTAACAAACGGCTGAATCCAAGCCTAAGCTGCCTGACATAGGCTAACATGATAATATATAGTACATGCCTACTTTGCCATCGTATTCACCGACTTTGCGTCCTAATCCTAGTTCGTTTCTCTCCATGGATTCAAGCCTGTTTTGACATCTGGGTAGTTCGGAGCTCATTTACCTGACCAACCACCTTAAACTGGTTCTGCTAACCTTGAAAAGTCTGCGATTTTCTTTTTCTTAATAAACGGTTATAAGTAGAGGGACTACCTAAGAAATGAAGAAAGAAATTACTCGCAAATGCATGCGGGGCTGTGTAGTCGAAGCGATAAGCTGTAGAGAAAGATGACTCCAGGACAATTCCAAACTGAAACCATTAGTTTCGCGTCACCGGACATAGCTGAAACAGAATCAAGTTATTAGACAAGATATTGCGTGTCTCGTATCTGAATGACGTTGTATCAAGGGTTTAAAATGAGGTTGCGATAAATATAACAACAACGGGAGGCTCAGCCACACTGGCAAATTGCAGGGACGCACCTCGCTAAGCCAGACTTCTAAAAATGGGTATAGATCTCACCAACTTGTCTTATTGATCTACGGACAGTTGAGGCATGGTGATAACATGTCGACATTCACCTGCCATATGAGGCAATTTGGGTGATTGCCAATTCGCTGTCATTGGAGGATCGGAATGACGAACATTCTTGTAATCTTAAACGCGTTTGCGTCTCCGAATAACAGAGCCCCTCCATGATCGAGAATAGTGATAGATTTATCGTTAAAAGACCAGTTTTCCCGGAAATAACTCGCTTGTTTCTGACAATCATACGAGAAAACCTACTGATATCGTCCTACAATGTCTCACAACGAAATGTACACCATCCCAAGAATCCCTCTTGTTGTCGTTTTTGAATCACTGACAGTTATAAAGCAACGTCGACGTCTTGGTCATCGGAGCCGGACCAACTGGTCTCGGTGCTGCCAAGCGCCTCCAGCATCTGGTATTTAAACCTGTGTTAGACACAAAACCCTCGAGTTGCCAGCTAACATTTGTTCATAGAACAGTGCATCTTGGCTTATCGTTGACTCCAACGAAACCCCTGGTGGTCTCGCCTCTACGGATACCACTCCTGAAGGCTTTGTGAGTATTCTTGATACCTCCGAGACATTTTGAAGCTCACATGTGCAGTTGTTTGATGTTGGCGGACACGTCATCTTCTCTCACTACAAGTACTTTGACGACTGTCTCAACGAGGCCCTGCCAAACTCTGATGACTGGTACGAGCACCAACGCATCTCGTATGTCCGCTACCAGGGCCTCTGGGTCCCATATCCCTTCCAGAACAACATTGCGGTGCTTCCCAAGGAAGAACAGGCCAGGTGCCTTGGTAGTCTGATCGATGCTGCTCTTGAAGCCCGTGGGAGAGCTCCGTCTGATAAGCCGCGCAACTTTGATGAGTGGAACATCAGAAACGTTGGAGAGCGCTTGAACGAGATCTTTATGCGTCCTTACAACTTTAAAGTCTGGGCTATCCCTACGACCGAGGTATGCTCCATTGCCAAAGGCCATGTTTTCCAGAGTGCTGACTTGTTTTGCCTTGCTAGATGAACGCTACATGGGTTGGAGAGAGAGTTGCTGCTCCCAACCTCAAGCTGCTCACTACCAACGCCATTCTCGGCAAAGTAGCTGGCGGCTGGGGTCCCAATGCGACTTTTCGATTCCCTGCCAAGGGAGGCACTGGCGGTATCTGGACTGCCGTCGCCGACACCCTCGACAAGGAAAACACCCGATTCGGTGATCACGGTGCGGTGGCCAAGGTAGATGCTGACTCGAAGACGGCCTACCTTAAAGACGGTATGTTTTGTTCATAACCCAGAAATTCTCGCTGATAACCTTTGTCTAGGAACCATTGTGAAGTATGCGGCTCTCATCTCCACCATGGCCATTGATCACCTGGCCGAGACAATGGGCGATGAGAAACTTCAGCAACTGGCTAAGCCGCTTTATTACTCTTCTACCAATGTCATTGGAATTGGTATTCGTGGCCAGCGCCCCGAACGTATCGGCGATAAATGCTGGGTATGTCCTCCCTTCCCTTCACTTTTTATCTTCCCTGGTTCTGTTAAACCGCAAATGAGTTAACGCATTGCAGTTGTACTTCCCTGAAGATAACTGCCCTTTCTACCGAGCCACCATCTTTTCCAACTACTCCCCGTTCAACCAGCCCAGTGAAGAAGTCCAACTTCCCACCAAGCAGCTGGCGAATGGAGAAGTGCCCGCCTCATCTGAGCCTACGTCTGGCCCCTACTGGTCCATCATGCTTGAGGTCTCCGAGTCCTCACACAAGCCTGTCAACCAGGAGACTCTGCTCGAGGAAACCATCAAGGGTCTCATCAACACAGACCTTCTGAAGCCTGAGGACGAAATTGTGAGCACTTACGTCCGACGCTTCGATCATGGATATCCTACCCCCACTCTCGAGCGGGATGGTGCATTGGCAGAGGTTCAGCCTTATCTCTACGGCAAGAACATTCTCTCTCGTGGTCGTTTTGGGGCTTGGAAGTATGAAGTTGGAAACCAAGACCACAGGTAAGTTGACCTGTTTCAAAACTCTCTAACAAGCGGATTCTAACACTGTCTGTTCTAGCTTCATGCAAGGAGTCGAGAGCGTCGATCACGTTCTTTCTGGCAGTGTGGAGCTTACAATGTCATACCCGGACTTTGTCAACACTCGTGCCAACACCGAGCGTCGCCTTGCCGGACTGCAGGGAATTCAGATCTAGGTTTCGAACAACTGTGAAGAGTTGTGAGGGGACGACAGGACACCAAAACGATGGACTTTTCTTCTTAACCTTGCCGCCAGCCTGGCTTAGGGATTCTTTTCTGCTTCCGCTTCTACCGTATATTATTGGACGTTCTTTGAGTATCGACACATGGATGATACAATCAGTCGAGCTTTTGAAAACATTTATTCTCTTCATTTTCTTGCTTGGTAGCGTCCAAGCCTTACCTTAGTTGTGTTGACCTCATCGATGCCGAGATGGCTTCCACCTTGCATAGCCTAGTTCTGGCAGCTAAAAACCATTCTGAATATTTCTACACGATACGGAGTCTATCCCACGTGCTAGCTAGGACCTGCGCATGGTACTCCCCCATACACTTTCAACCTTGAACATCACACCTCGCGCCAAGCTCATCTCCCCACTCTTCGAGTAACTTCAGATAAGCGGTAGGCTTGCTTGGGTCTTTTCTCAAGTGAATATGGCTGAGGACAAATAAGCAGGGAATTAGGTGGTCCGATAACGGTGAGAGAAGCGTCGTCTTTCAAGTTTCTTTCATGTGCTTGATGAGACTCACAACATGTATCCTTGTGCCTTTTGCCAATCTCGGTCTGGACTTGTTACCTTTCCCACCGCGGCAGGCCAGACAAGAGTCTCGCATGGAGCTTCTGAAAGAAAAAAAGTCCTGGAGTGTACATCGGCTGAGCCGACCGATCTTCTAGAGGCCTCATCCCGACCATGATCCTAGGAGTGGTGCTCAGAGATCGCCAAGCTACACGATAATGGTGAGACTGTCCCACATATGATAACGATACTACGGGAAGTATCGCTTATACGGTGGGACTTGAGCATGGCTATCTCTACTGCGTTGCATTTCCCCATGTTGTGACGTAGCCGCCAAGGCCTGACAGCTTACAAGATAGGACAGCTAAAGACTAGTGACCTGACAAGAGTGAATCCTACTGTCACCTACCGAAAAAGGCATATGGAAGCCCATGTGCGACTGGTGATTTCAAAAGTTCCCGAAGAGCGACGAGCGGGGAACCCTGCCACAACTTTGTAGAGATACGGCGTGTCAAGCCGACGTGAATCTACGGACGTCGCTCCCGACAAAAACACGGTTTACGGTGCCGATATAGAGAAATATCACGGTATCACGCTTGAGTAGGCTTTGATATAAGTTAAAGCTAGTCCCGGGGGTGATGGTTGAAGCTAAATACCCCCATCATCACCTTTATCAGATAAAACCTAAATCTTTCTTATCCTCGCCTGAGGTTGATTACACCAAAATGTCTCTGGCGGCTCTAGCAGGCAATGCCGCAAGCTCGTGGGCATCACTGGGGATAGCTCTGACCAGCGACTCGCTCAACATGTCCATGGCCGACCACGTCATCCGTGTCCAAGCCGATCTTGGCGAGCTGGGAGAATTCTACAATATTGATATTGCCCCTCGACGATACGAAGCTTTAGAAAACTATCACGAAAATGAGCTAGAGCTTCTCACCGAGATCGACTTTGATGGGCTTGACCAGGAGGGCAAGGTGGACTACATCATGCTCCAGACCTTTCACACAAGGCAACTCAACAACTTGGATCTTGAAAAGGCTTCGCAAGAAAAGTTTTATCCTCTTTTGCCTTTTGCAGATGATCTTATCGGACTTCTCGAGGCCCGTCAAGATGTTGAGCCGATGAAAGCGAAGGAAACTGCAAAGACCATCAACGACATTACAAAGTCCATCTCAGAGGTCCAGACAAAGGTTGAGGGTGGCAAATTCAATGTTACAGAGACTACTGGTTATCTTGCTTCAAAGGCCATCCAAGGCCTTCTTGAGCATTTTGCAGAATGGTTTACCTTTTACTCGACTTATGATCCCCTGTTCGACTTTTGGGTCACGACGCCATGGCAAACTGCAAACTCCACGCTGGGTGCATACCTAACCGTTGTGGAGACAAAGTTGGCCGGAATGAATAAAGAAGATGGAAAAGATGCCATCATCGGAGAACCCATCGGTCGCAAGGGCTTGGAAGTCGAGCTCGAAGCTGAAATGATTCCATACACTCCCGAGCAGCTCATCGAGATTGGCAACCAGGAGTTTGAGTGGTGTGAGAAGGAGATGATCAAGCAGTCCGAGGCAATGGGATACGGAAAGGACTGGAAGAAAGCTCTCGACCATGTCAAGAACGACTACATGGACCCTGGCAAGCAGACCGAGCTGGTGGGCGAGCTGGTTGTTGAGGGAAGCCTCTTTGTCACTGAGCGCGACCTTGTCACTGTTCCTCCGCTGGCCAACTCAACCTGGCGCATGTCCATGATCGAAGCTGAACGTCAGAAGGTGTCTCCCTTCTTCTTGGGCGGACCAACCATCCAAGTGTCGTACCCGGTCGTGTCGATGGAACACGACCTGAAGCTCATGGTGATGAGGGGCAACAACAAGCACTTTGCCCGTGCCACGGCGTTTCACGAGATGTTCCCAGGGCATCGTTTACAGCTGTACATGGCGGATAGATACAACTCTCACAGGCGATACATTTTTGACACGCCCTTCTTTGTTGAGGGCTGGGCTCTGTACTGGGAGATGCTCTTCTACGCCAGGGACGATTTTCACCATTCGCCAGAGGGTAGAATTGGAGCTCTTTGGTGGCGAATGCACCGCTGCCTGCGCATCATCTTTTCTCTCAAGTTCCACCTCGGAGAGATGACGGCGCAGGAAGCAGTGGACCTCTTGGTTGATAGGATCGCCCATGAGAGGAGCAACGCCGAAGGTGAGGTGAGACGGTCGGTCGAGGGAAGCTACTCGCCGCTCTACCAGGCTGGGTACATGCTGGGCGCTCTCCAGCTGTGGAAGCTGAGGGAGATGGTGGTGGACACGAAGGAGATCTCGGAGAAGGAGTATCACGACGCAATCTTGAAGACGGGGATGCTACCTATCGAGATGGTCAAGGCCTTGATCACTGGCGATGAACTGTCACGGGACTTCAAGACAGAGTGGAAGTTCTATGACTTTGATTGAGAAGATATTCAAAACTGTTACTAGGAGATTCGCTCTAAGGAAAATGTGAAAAGAAAGAAGCCCCCTCTAAGAAGCCCATGTAGCCAAACTAGTGCAATTGGTGATCCACGCCGCTCATCCCTCAGCCCCATCCTCGATCGGGTTGACCGTAATTGGCTGAGGCCTGCATCTTTCTCACTGGGCACGCAATTCAGTACAGCTCCCACGATCTGCGTCTTAAGGAATTTCACTGACAGTCTTTGACTGCGGACTGCTTCTGAAACCTCCAGTAGTATGGAAAAGTCTCTTTCAAAGCCTCAAGTGAAAGAAACCCGAACGCGACAACAAAGATGGTGACATTCTAGTGCGGATTCTGCCTGCCACACTTGACCATCGCCTTTCAACAAGCATGGTGATGGAGACTGACGGGTGAGGACTGTTTGCACGGCCAAGCACCGCTGCCATTGATAAAACAGGGTTAGAAGCAATCGGACCAGGGCTGAGTTCCTAAAATATCCAGAATCATTAGGTGTGGTGTGTAGGCATTAAAGGAGCTTTGTCCGATGAATCGCTGTGGTGGCTGAGTGATGCACGACCAAGGGAGGAACAAAGAAACCTGAGATGGCCGTCAAAAACTTAAATATTCCAACTCCCCCTTCCATCTGTCACTTGAGAAATCATTATTAACTTTCTAGAACCTGAAACCGACGAGCTTCTAAGACTTACGAACTATGCTCAAGATTAAACGAGATACCCCCCTTTTGCCTGAATGTCAGGGAGACGACGCGGGAGCCAGGACTCAGCGAGACAGAGACTCTGACACAAAACCCTCCACAACCAAGAAACCACTCTTCTGGTGGAACCCCCGGAACCCCCTAACAGGCCCTGGTGAATCCACCGTGGTCACCGTGTCCTGGCTATGGCATGAGTTCCACTTCAATCTAACCGGTGCAAAGTACAACTTGAAGAAATATTTGGAGCACATGAACAACATCAGAACGGCCACATCCTTCACCTGCGCATCATTAGACGAGCTCCAAGTCTCTAATGCGACTCGGATCTTCCCACGGCGTCAAGAGCCAGTATTCAGTGTTCCCTCTTCGACATTCACCCAAGGCGTCGATATCGACCAAGAAAAAAGGAGCATGAAGGATTATGAAGACAGAGCTCTCTCCAACCTTCACCAGATGGACGAGATTCTTGATTTAATTGAGATGGTTCCTGAGCCCGATGAGCCCCTCGTACCGATAGATATGACCATATGGTATGTTGGGGCGTTTTGTTTATCGGCCGATCTGGCTAACTCGTTGCTAGGACAGTCGTGTTTTTATATTTTGCGGCGACAATCCCTTTCCAGCCTCTGGCCCGCTTCTCATTGTTCACCGCTTGCATCTTTTCCCTTCACGTCCTGGAACGCCCTCTTTCAAAGTGGTTTAAAAGGTATAACCTCGCCTGTGTTCATCAGCAGGTGCGGGATCTCCTGCGGGCTCTGGAGGATGAGAGAATCAGCGACAAGAACATGAACGATCCCGACTCGTGGCACATGTGGGCTCGCTTGTGGATGTTTGTCAAGTTTGACCGATTCCGTTAGTCGGGCTATGATGCTATGACGTGTTGACCATGTGTTTGATATAATTGAAGCCCGGCCCTTGACGGTTGACTCAGCCAGAAGATCGTCAAGTCTGACATCTGAAGAACGGGTTGTCCTTCCTTGGCTTTTTAGTTGTTCGTGCCTGAATGAATTGACCTCTTTATATTCGCTTATGAAATTGACTTGTGACCAAGACGTGTGCATTAAGCCAAGACTACTCTATGATGACTAGCATTGAACCAATCTCCCAGAATGCCGGTCCGACTTCATCTCCCTGAGTTAAGCCTCGCCTTGCAGGTTCAGCACTGTAAAATTGTTGGATGTACCTCTTTGCTTCCCTGACAGCCCTTGATGACCTGCAATTACTCGTCGCAGGACTTGAAGGTGAGTAAGGAAAGACTTGTATAAAACCGCTCTATGAAACCTGCTTAAAGAGAGACATGTTCTAGGAGATCCCATTCCAAGAGGCCAGCTCTAGGAAACCCAGGCGTTGCCAATGCCACCCCGGTGCGGCCTTGCCAGTACAGCGACACAACCCTCCTCCAAGATTCCAACCTTGGCGCTCATCCTCAATCCTCTTGGCAATCCATGGGATCCCCATTTCCGTTGGGAGTGCTTGAAGGCATCGTAGCCTCCGTGCACTCTCTCAGGCCGGCCTGCCGTCTGATGTCCTCCCGCAACTTCTCGAAATCTTGGTAGGCCTCACTCAAACTTGCCAGACTGTCCAAAGCAAACTTCTCAGAATACTCTTCGTTCTTGAGCTGGGAAATATCAATGCCAAGGCTCTTGAGTACCTCAGCTCCATTGCCATCTTCTAGCCAAGAACAAGGAGCCTCCAAAGTCTGATGACTAAAGAGGACACCAAGTCCAAACTGGGCCATACGCAACGTCTTCTGGAAATCCTTCATGGCGCCATCGACTATAAGAAAAAGAAGAAAAGGAGTCAGCATACTTGGGGTATTCATAACGATGGGGAAGGAGGCATACAACTCTCGACATCGCTCTCGTTTCTGTGGCATTTCAATAACCGTGGAATACCAACTACCCCAACGGCCAATGCACTCAAAAAGGAGGCTGTGACCATGGAAACAGGACAAGAAGCTTGCAACTGGGACATAGAGAAGACGGCGGCGAGAGCAGTAGATCTGAGGCCCGCTATCAAGCTATGGGAATTCTTGACTCGGGTCTTGTTGGCCTCCTGGAGATGTCGGACAACTAGCTGGGATGACTTCTGGTATTCTGAAAAGTGCAAAATCGCCTCTCGAATCAAGACAAGGCTGGTGTAGAGGGTATGGTCGCTGACATCTGGGTTGGTCGATCGTTAGCTGTGACCTGGAGCACTGCGGGGTCAAGGTGAGTTTACCCTCCTGACGATTCAAACCGTCGACGCAAATCTGGATCTTCTTCGAAATTAGATGGACCGCGGTGAGTGAGGTCAAAGACTTGTTCCAAGCCTCTACAACATGCTTTGGCAACGGAACTTCCTGGTCTCCCTAGGAGCAAAGCGTTAGAACAGCCATGTATTATGGTCAACTCGAGATCTTGCCTGCAAAAGGGACAATATGCTCAAGCTTTTCTCCTTGAGGGCATTGAAATCACCGGTTGTCAAGACACCGTTGAGTTCAAGGGTCCTAGCGGAGATATCGGCCGCGATGATGGCTCTGAAGGCGTCTTAGCTGCCGATCGAAGAGAAAGGGAAAGGGGCTTGTATCTCACCCTTCTTCCAGCATACTGCGGTTCAAGAGACGATGGCTCTCGGCGTAGATGCCACTTTGGATATTCAAAGGCTGCAGAAACTTGACGCGCAGAAACATGCGCTTCAACGTCTCTGTAACATCATCGCCGACCGGATACATGTGGACTAGGACGGCCGTGGTATTTGCTCGCTTGAAGAGTTCGCCCACGCGTGCTTCGACGACATCTCTGAAAAAACGATGTAGCTCCGTGGAGGCTTCGGTGAGGTGGTAACGTGAGGTCGGTCGGTACTTTATATCAACCTAGACGATGTCAGACCATGAGAGAGTAGCTGGATAGGAAGGAAGCCGGCAAGACGAATATGGGCGTATGTGTACGGTCCCAGATGTCCACTACCCACCTCAACTGGCACAAAGCCGCCATCGCGGCAAGGCTCAGTCATCACCTCAGCGGGATGAACGTGCCAGGATCCGGTATCAAATGATCCCAGGAACCTGGAGAGGTGGAGGCTGTCGTCAGGAACAGGCGCAAAGTCGCTTACGTGCCACACCCGAAGACGTATGGTGGGTAAAGGGGGCATCCTTCTGATGTTCATGTGGGCCATGACAAATAGTTGACCGAACGAAGTGGTTAACGGTGAGATTTCCAGACCATGGAGCAACAAGAGTTAGGCAACGTCGGGATTGCGAGAGGTTTAATAGCAATGAGCTCAGCCGCCCATGGAGTTGGTCAGACTAGGAGCCGGACATGTCTTCCCTGAATTCGCATCATGAACTGCCGCTTGATGAAACTAGCCAAAATATGACAACCGTAGGGCTTTATTCTCTAGCCCTGAATATGACAGCCACAACTGGGCATGTTTATTTTGAGTCCATGGTGATAGAGGTGTCGTTGTCGAAACGCCAGGTAGCCCATGTTTCTACTCAAACTAACAGACCAGAGCTGTACAGTTGACACCAGTCCAAATCATTGGCCGAGACTTCTGATCAGAAAAAGGGCCCGTGCTCATTATCCAATAATTGCTGTGGTGGCTGAGCGCGCCCGGCCGCCCGTTTGTCGGATGGAGGAACAAAGAAAAGGCAGAGGTCTCGCATTCAGGGTCTTTGGGCTCCCCCTCCTCAACTCTCTCATCCGACACCCACCTTCGTCTCTCCTGGCCAAAATCGTTTGCATGTCAGACAGAAGCACCATGGAACAGCATCTCCCCCTCCAGCCCGACCAAGACCTTGTAGTCGCCGAGGAGGTAGACCGACAAGTCGACGTTCTCGGGAGTGTCGCCCCCGGACACAGCGAAGAAGCCATCTTCATCGACCGCCGCGATCTGTGGAGCAGCTTCTTTGGCTATTCACTTTCGATACGGAGACGCCTGGCGAGACATCTAGCCCTCTTGCAAGCAATCCGGGAAGCCTCGCCCTCCGGCTACGCAATCACCGACGCATCCCAGGACAAGAACCCTGTTCGATTCCTCAGCTGGCTCAGGTGTTTTCGAGACAAGCCCACACCCAGAGACCCCAGTGTCAAGCCAGACAGGATGATGCTCAAGATAAACAAAGATATGGCCCTCAGCGATCTTAACCACATGCTTGACATTCTAGATATTGCCAAGATGCTCCCCAAACCCTCAAGGCCGCCATTCTCGCCCCGTTGGGCACTATGGTAAGTCTGCACCCACTATCAAGAGACAGCTGGGCTCCACTCACGCTAGGTAGGACAGTCGGATGCTCTACCTTATCGGCTGTGGCATCTCTGGAGTCTCTGGAGGTTGTTGCCGGCCTCTTGAGGGCATGGGCGCTTGTGGGCGTCACGCACCTCCTGGCGCCCATAATTTGGGATGTCATTTCTGACTACTTTCTTGACTACAACTTGGACTGCCTCGAAAAACAGTTGCAGGGTCTGAAGAGAGGATTTGAGAATGGGACAATCACAGAGAGGAACCGCAAGGCAATGGACTCCTGGCATATGGAGATTCGCTCGGGTGTTCGCTAATGTATCTTGCCTGCAGAAGCTATGCAGTCTCTGAATATTTCTTGTGCAGTCTTTCTTTACTTTTTGGGCATGTCGGCCAGACCGAGGTCTATTTTGGGGGTTTAGTTTGATTCATGAACATTGGCAAGGCATTCACTCGTTACCGTTTCGACTCAGCCAACTAGCAAGGCTTAGTGGGCGTGTTACCCCCTGCAAGTTCCTAATTTCACTTTAATGATATTTCGTCCCGCAGAAGAGGCTCTCGCTGATGGCATTGCGTTTGATCGGAGATCCAGAGACCAATGACGGAGTCTGAACCAGGGTCTTTGGCAAGTTTGCTAAGTCGATACGGTAGTGACAGTCTGCGCCCCACTCACTCTCCGGTTTCAAATGGATACGGCAGAAGCAAACATTCTAGGACTCTCTGGCGACTCATGCCAGGCGCAGGACGGGACAGGTAGTGCTTGGATCGCGGCGTCCTGTCAGTTTTGCTCCCTGGCTTTTGAGCGGTCTTGTCAGCTTGAACGGCCCCGGCACAATTTTAGACGCCACTTGACAGACCTTGTTATGAGATTGTTGAGAAACCTGGGATCGTCTTGGCCTTCCGAATAATCACGGAACTGGGAGAGTGGCAAGTGCATCAACCACCTATTCCGTTTCGCGATTTGATGGCCTTCATACCTAAATTGTTAGTCGGGCTCTGGTAAAATCCGCTCGGGCATCATCGGCAGAGAAGTGGGGCCGGCCGGACATTAGAAACACCCGAGACAACCATTTCCCCAGCAAAGCTCAGCTTCGCCAAGACATAAACATGTCTTGGGTGGGACATGTAACTGTCGCTTTCTAAAGACGTGGACAAACTCCCTAACTACGATACTCTACGCCCAGGAGTAACAGCCGTACCAATGTCAACGACGGCGCCCGTGCCGGAGCAGAGCCACCCGCGGCCAAAATCTCAGCGCATCCTCGCCTGCGTCCTCTGCCAGCAACGCAAGGTCAAGTGTGACCGCCGGTTCCCCTGTGCAAACTGCGCTAGGCACCATGTCCAGTGCGTGCCGGCGACGCAGACCCGCCCCCGGAGGAGAAGGTTTCCCGAACGGGAGCTGCTGGACAGGCTCCGGAAGTATGAGGACCTTCTCCGCCAGAACAAGGTCAAGTTCGAACCGCTTCACAAGGATCCAGGTTCTGGAGAGCAGGCGTCCCCTGAAGGTAGCTACGTTTCGGATCATGAGCAGCCAGAAGCCGCAGGAGTGGATACGCCGTCTCCTTCGACCAGCAAGTCTGAGAGTACATTCGAAGCCAAGTATGTCTGTTCACTTGTCCTGACTGCCCTGGTTTGTTTTGGTTGCTAATTACATGTAGAAACATATGGCACGCCATGACCCAAGGAGTAGGTTTGTTCCAACACCCGAGGCTCGACTAATGCTGATAACATAGTCCCGAGACCCAACCCACGATGTACGAGAGGTCATCTTCCGAAACGCCTGGGATCAAACATTTAGCAACGATGACAACATTCTATTTGGCTCACGCCAATCATCTGTTGATCTTTCCACTCTTCACCCAGAACCTGTTCACATCTTCAGACTGTGGCAGGCTTACCTCAACAACGTCAATCCACTGCTCAAAGTTACACATACCCCAAGTCTGCAGGGCCGCATCATCGAAGCTGCCAGTAACCTGAAAGACGTCAACCCAAATATGGAAGCACTCATGTTTGGCATATACTGCATGGCAACCCTGAGTCTCGCTCCGGAAGACTGCCAAGCTCACTTCCAGCTCTCAAAGCCGGACATGTTGACCAAGTTCCAGTTTGGCTGCCAGCAGGCTCTTCTGAACAGCGCCTTTTTGAGAACTGAAGATCGAGATTGCTTGACAGCTTTGTTTCTATATCTGGTCCGGTTACCGAATACCCTTGCTGTCTTCCACTGACGAGGTGTAGCATTCGAGTCGCTCCGGCGCCCATCCTCGATCCGTCTCCACCATATTGGCGGTCGCCATACGCATCGCAGAGCGAATGGGTATCCAGACCGAAGCCATCAATGCAAGATACACAGTCCTCGAGGCTGAAATGCGCAGGAGGCTCTGGTGGTCGCTCATGCTTCTCGACGCCCGCATGAGCGGCTTGAGTGATCACAAGCCCATGATCCTAGCACCGACATGGGACTGCGCCATTCCCCTCAACGTCAGCGACTCCGATTTACGAGAAGAGACCAAGGAACCACCTCCGGCCCGGATAGGAGTTAGCGAGGCATTCTTTGCCGTGGTTCGGAGTGAGCTCGGCGACTTCATCCGCCATACTCGTTTTCACCTCGAGTTTACAAACCCAGCTCTCAAGCCCATCGCCAAGGAGCTACCGGGTGATGGGGACTTGGACGCCCTGGAGAGGATGGTTGAGGAGAAGTATCTCAAGTTTTGTGACCCGGAGAATGCGCTTCAATACATGACGATGTGGACTACAAGAGCGCAGCTGTCTAACTGCCGCCTACTGGAGAATTACTCCAGACATCTCGACCCGGCCGATCACGAAGATGGAAGAACAGGCCCTCCCGCCATTTCCTACGCCTTGCGGTGGCTTGAGTGTGATACAAAGCTCGCAACCTCACCCCTCACAAAGGGATACATCTGGTTCATCCAGCTATACTTTCCATTCCCTGCCTACATCCGCATCGCCCAAGACTTGAAAGCTCATCCCCTCGGGGGTGAAGCCGAGCGTGCATGGGAGGTCATGAGCGACAACTACGATGCTCGCTTTGGTATTGAAGTTGGAGTGTACAACCCCGTTTTTATCCCTTTTAGCAACTTTATCCTCCATGCATGGGGTATGTCTGAGGAAGCTTCCAAGAAATCGGGGCAGCCGATGAATCTTCCCAGGATTATCACTCGCATCAGGCAGACCTTGGCTGCGATTAACCAAAGTGCCAACAGCGAGCCAGACACGGCGAGCATGGAAGATGAGGGCCTGTCAATGCAAACACCAGCGGGATTTGGTGACCCCAGTATGCTGTTTGGTATGGGACCGGGTGGCTATGCAGCAGCCAACATGGGCGTGTACAATAATATGCGTGGGCAGCCTCCGTTTGCTATTGATGCGCATCATTTTGACTGGACTTCGATGGACTGGAGTCTTGGGGGACGGCGAGGTTGGTAAATCGGCCGAAGGGTTTTAATGTGGGGCGTGGAATGGAAGAGTCTTGGGAGCAGAGCACTTGAGATGTGTGAGGTAGAGACAGAGAGTTGGCTCCGGGAAAAAGAATGTGGATTGCAACACGATATTGGAAGGGAATTTATTAGCATAGAACAGAAAACTCCGGAACGGTCAAGATGCTCATTTTTGGTCGTTACCTAGATCGAGGTCGTCTCTAGGTTAGCTCACGGAGCGTTTGCTCAGCGATGAAGAATGATGCGCCCAACACTCGATGGCGGCTCTCAACTTTGTGTGTGTTCATCATACCCTACATAATGCGCGCTCTTGTATCAGCCATCAACGCCTATTTACAATTCTTTCTTTTATCCCATGTAGCATCCCATTGTCAGTACCTTACTCCCAAGCCACGTTTCTGCCCGTTTCTTCTTCAAGCCGTCATGGAAGAAACGGATGAGGTTAAACTCTATTACGCTTTAGGACTAGCATCTCCTCGATCGCCGGCACTTGATTTGCTTGAATCCCATTTGCCACCCGGATCTCCTGCTTCTGCCAAACTCCGCTTTCTCACCAACCTCTCAGAGCACGTTTTTCAAGACAGTTATACCTATTCTGTACTTAGTCGTCATGGGGCGGCCCGTCAGCTTTGCTGACAATTCCGCCTTGGCGTCGTCAACGAAGTCTATGATGGCGCAAGGGGCATAAAACCCACCTAGCCGCCCGGTGGAATAAAAATCCCGCATCACTTGCATCCTTTACCTGTGATTCAATATGGGAAGCATTCAACAGGAGAAAGGTATATTTTGTCAATGTTTGAACAGAGTTGCAGCTGATCATTGCTAGTTTGGGCCACCCTGGTCACAAACCTGGATTATCTCCCTGGTGTTTTGACACTGGAGTATTGTCTGCGGCGTGTTGGGACAGAGTATCCTTTCGTCGTCCTTTACACAGAGGCCTTTCCTGATGCTGGTCGAGAGGCGCTTAAGAGCAGGGGCATTGCCATGGCAAAGGTCCCTGAACTCGCCCCCTCAAATCCCCAAGATTATGGCAACGATGCTCGCTTCAAGGATACCTGGACAAAACTGGCCGTCTTTTCTCTGACGGATTTCGAGCGCATTGTCCTCCTTGACTCGGATATGCTGGTGCTCCGGAATATGGACGAATTGATGAGCCTTCACCTCGATCACCCGTCGGTCAGCGCGGATCCGAACGCCAGCAAACGAGTCTTTGCATCTAGTCACGCCTGCGTCTGCAACCCTCTCAAGAGGTCGCATTATCCTGCCGACTGGGTCCCTGAGAACTGCGCTTTTAGCTCTCAGCATCACGATGTGGAAACGGCCCAACACAGTGGAGCTAGTTCTTCTTCTGGCTTGGGCAAGCTCAACAGTGGCCTCTTGGTTGTCAACCCCTCTGAAACTCTATACAACGACATTGTTTCGCGCATCGATTCTCACGGCACGGAATACCAATTCCCTGACCAAGATCTTCTGGCAGACCTATACCGTGAGCGCTGGGTGCCTCTGCCGTATGTGTACAATGCGCTCAAGACGATGCGTGAAAGCCACGTGCACGGCGAGATTTGGCGGGATGATAAAGTCAAGAACGTACACTATATCCTCAGCCCAAAGCCCTGGAATGAACTCGACCATAATGGAGATTGGCGTGGCGAGAAAGAGATTCACAAGTGGTGGGTTGATGCGAACAACGAAAGACTTGCAGCGGAAAGAAAAGTTGGTATTGCATAAGACAGAGATTGACAATAGAAGTACAGGAGTCTATCCACAATGGCACAGCATGGCCCAAATAGCCTGTTGGTTTGATATGTGATGCTTAGTGACCTCAATCCTAGATAAATGCTATTACAAGCTAATATTCTATGTAGCCTAAGAGTCGAGGTGATTGGGAGGTTTTCGAGTTGACCAGATTGTGCAGCCACACGACATGTCATCTTTGGCCTACCCAACCAATAAATGGAAATCCAAAGACCAATCGGGAGATAATGTCTGTCGCTTGCTCGCACGACATATCATATATCATCAAATGCCAATAGCTCGTCCCACTGCCAAGTCCCATCCGCTGGAACATCAAACATGTCAGCCTCAATCCCTTCTAAGGAAAGATCCAAAAATGAACTCCCAGGCTCCATCCCAAACATGTTCTGCAAATCTTCTGCCTGGAGCATTGAGTCAATGGGTGGTGGCACAGCATTGAGGGCATGCCCCGTGCCTTGCGGATCTATCTTCTGCATCTCTCGGACGTAGCGAGCCTTGGCCATGAGCCTGTTGATAGGTCTCCACAGGTTACCCTTCTTGCTGCGCTCTTTCATGTTCCACCAATCGTGAACGAGGTTGACCAGTTCCCAGGCCCGGTCACACTCTGGAGATGGCGGGCGGGAGCAGATCTCTGAGAGGACAAGTGCCACCGCCTGCCACTGGATGTGTGTTTTGGAGTGCCACGTCCAATGGGCAATTGATTTAGTCGTGAGAACTTTGACAGACATCTCGAGGACTTCGACAGCGGTTGAGAAGAGCTTATTACGAAGAGCCGGGTCGGAATTTCTCTTGTCTCGCGCAGGGTAGTGAACGACGAGCCACCACCTTGCCAGAATGAGCCGCGTGACTATTGAGACGAGGAACAAGAACGGAACTGAAGTATCGCAGTATCGTAAATAACCCTCTTCTAGCCGCTTTGTAAGAAGAGATGGCTCCGCCTCACGGTCCGCAGCTGACATGGTATCCTCCGAGGATCCTGTGGTTCGCATGCTCGGAGGCGCGTAGGCTACCTTCCACCCAGATCTAATGGCTTCGCATCGGACTAGGCAGAAAGTCATTTCTGTAGCACCTTCATGTTCGGGTGGGGGATCTTTCATCTGAGCATTGATGTCGCAGTCGTTGATGTTGAGCGGAGGCTTTGTGTCGAAAGAAGACTCCCGAGCAACAGGCTCGTAGCCGTGGAATTCGGATGATCGTATGTCTATGAGGCAGATGTGCCACCATAGACGTCGTCGAAGCTCAACTTCGAGTGGCTTGAGTCCGAAGACTGCACCGTCTCTGTGGAGCCCCATGGCTTGAGCGATGTGGAAGGCGAGAGACGTGAGAGACCAAGTTGTACGTGACTCATCTTCGTTGCGCAGCGCAGATAGGAATAGCACCACTGCCTGCAAGAGGGTCATGCTCTGCGTGCAGAGAAAGTTTGCTCGAGCCATAGCCTGTTCAAACGCAAAGCGGTACTTGTCCAGTGCGCTTGTTCGTGTGAGACCGGTGACACTCATGCATTGGTCTTCGTCCATGCTGATGACAGCTGAATAGTAAATGGCGAACAACAAAGCTTCTGTGTTTCTATCAAGAGAGTCCGACACGACAGCATCCCAGTACATGCGCCTGGTGGTCGGCATATGGAACAAGTGCACCAGAGGAACCACGTTTTCGCTAAACAGCCTGAAGAGGGTGACTGACTGTGGGAGCGGAGGGTGAAACGACTTGAGGGAGTGAGAAAGGGATCGGAACCCGAGGAGAGCGCCACTGGTTCCTGGAGATGGGCCTGTTGTAGACTCGGCAACTTCTGTGGGAGGGTAGTCTTCGTCTTCAGACACAGATTCGTGGAGCATGTCGCGCAGTTCTTCAATCTGAGGCGTCATGTAAGTAGCCGAGACTAGAAGGATAATAAGATTCGTTACCTCATTTCCTAGGTTTGTCCAGAGGATATTGCTAACATAGTAGCTCCTGGTGTCGTCAATCATCAGACGACCAAGTTGGTTCTCGATCGGAGTATCAACGCCCGCATCGCTTGAGCTGGGGTCTTTGACTTGATCCAACGAGGGTGACGGAGTAGAATTCGTAGCATCGCCGGCTTCTTTGAGGCTATGCAGGTCTCGTCCCTTTTTAAGGCTGGTTATAGTCGCTTCCAATCTGTGTAAACGATCCAAAAGGGGGCCATCCAAATGGGTACGAGGCTTCTTGACGGCTCTACCTCGACCGGTCGGGAAGACGCATTCCAGCTTAGATCGGACGCATTGACAACAAGGGTGTTGGCGATCACATTTGATCTTTCGTTGGCGACAGTGGATACAGCTTCGGGGACGTGCTGAAGATACTGGGGTGTGGCTATCGGCTGGGGTTGGGGGGTCGGGATTTGAGTCCGGCGTGGCCTCGAAAGAGGCCGCTGTTGTTGACGATGAAGCCATCGAAGCGTTGTTTATACTGAGTCTGGAGTAAGAGTTGTGACTTGGGGAGAAACGAGAGCTTCATTTGAGACCCTGGCGATGAAAAGACATCCGCTCTTGTTGTTGGCTCGGTCGCATAAGCTTATGCGAAGCCGAGGCCGAAAAGGGGATGACGTCATCACGGCTCAATCATCATGGCTCCTCTGCTGTGCGAAGACTGCAGCTGGGTCACCCGCAGGGACCTAGCCTAGTTGAAGCCAGTGTATTCTCCGTGACTTCATGAAGCATTTACCTTAGGAGGAGTGGCGAGTATCAGGAAGTTAACGCTCGATTGTGATATCAAGTGAATGCGAGAGATACGTGCAGCGCCGGCGGCGCGAGTAAGAATTAACTTAGATTACCGAAGCTCTCAACCCAGAGGAACATAGCCAATTAAAAGTTAGCTTGCAACCCAGCCACACTCACCTAACCATCTTCAAGCCATTGTTGCAGGCTGTTGCAAGCTGCTGTTGCAGGCGGGGCCGTTACAAGCTACCTAGGTATTGAAGCCGCTGTTAACTGCCTTCTTCCGCGCAATGAAGGCCTTCAATCTAGCGCGCTCAGGGCCTTCAGCACAACAGGTTGTGAGCTTAGGCAATCTGATTCTTATTTGCGCTGCTGGCGGTGCATTTGTCATGTGATCTTAGTCACCGGCGGTGCACGTATGACTTGCCTCAATCATTCTATCTGCTACTTAACTCTCAGCTCAGCTCAACCCCGTCACCCTGCCCTAAGAATCATCCCAACTCCAAGCGTGAGGAAGCCTTGGGCGTTTGCGACCGGTCTGATATGTGGCCAGGTGTGTTCTTTATTATGCTTGGAGCCCTGCCCTCGATGAGTTAACTGAGCCAAAAGATCGATAAGAGGCCGGAGGGCATCCCGTATGGGGCTTACATCGGGTAGTCTTTTCGCTTGAAAATTGGTCCAGCCAACCTCGTCGAAGGGTGACATGACAGCGTACAGACAAAGAGTCCGTATCATCGTCGCTCATATTTCTAGGGCTACGAATCAAGTCCTGCTGCGGATGGCCTCAAGCCTCATTTTTCTTCGCCCACAGAACGAGGGACCCTATGATCAAAACGGACTTTGGAATTTCTTGGAGGTATTGTCATTCATTCGCAATGTCAGCATTGGGCAACGAGGCGACAACGCAGTTCTCCTACAGCTGATTTAGCTGCGATATCCTGAAAGTGCAATACAGAGGAAGCCAAGCCAATAGAGAAGACTTGCTGCCCAACGAGTTATGCACACTCTCTGCCATGCAACCCTTTCACAGAGATGCATCACGAGTACCAGAAACGGTTTTCCCCGACAGAAAATAGCCAAAGACAGGTGACAGTAACAGCCGACTTGACAGTTGCCACGTTGTCGTGAAGCCCCATCTCCGTCGAATAGGGCGAGGAATGCTCACTCTAGGTGGTAGCACAACATTGAGAGAAATGGAATACACTTATTGGTTTAGTAGCACACCGGTTTAATAGCACACCGGTTCAATACCCCATTTACAGGATGATAAGGCCACCTGGGTATGTGACACACCCAGCCCTCTTGTCTTCAAACTAACCTTTGTTGTCTGTACTGCTAACACTGAGTGGAGATATCCCAACCTTGATTCGGTTCTTCTTTTTTCTTCTTTTTTCTTTACTTAACCAAGCGTTTGTCGACACCGGAAAATGTGGTTCGTATATCTTGATTGACCCGCCAGATATGATGATGCCAGAGCCTAATGTCCGAAGTCGAAGCCGAAAGAGCAAAAAAAAGAAGAATAAAAAGCGAAGCAATCCCCAAAAAGACAGGCACCAAACGCGCAATTTAGCCATGGGCTCCGAGAGTAACAGGACGATCTGGGATGCAGAATTTGATCCTCATCAGACTGTGGGCTGGAAGTACGAGAACAAGCCTTTCCTGCAAGTGTGGAAAGAAAACGGATCAGAGCTTAGCTTAGTTCGCTTCTTCATGACTGAGTCTGGGGCTGCAAACCGGCTCATGCCTGAGGTAGAACTAGTTGCGGGCTTTTGCCCCGACGAGACACTGAGTGAACTTGAGCGTGGCCGCTCATCCCTCCCCCAGGCAAATGTTGCTCTTCTCGATGACGGAACGAACGACGGAACGAACTCGATTTCTCGGGGCTATCTTGGCCCTCTCACAGCGCGAAAACTATACCTAGAGCTGAAAAAAGATGTAAAGCTACCTTGTCGAGGTTACGCCCTGTGGTGCGGTTACTAACATCACCCAGCGATTCCATTTCGAAAAAGACAAATCAGCAAGGCGACTACCAGCACACCAGTTGAATGCTGATCGCCGCTTACTGTGAGTTCAACTCGTCATTTTTTATTTTGAATTTGTCTCGCTAACCTTCCAAGGTTCATCACGGACCTAGATCGCTGGTCGATGATGGCTCTTGTTTCAACCCTCTCAATCCACCAGGCAAGGGCCTTGAGGGACAGCCTTTATCGATATATGGCGTTTAGAGGGTTTCTTGGGTCTGCATACTCGGTGAGAGCCTCAATTCTGCTTTGTCTTTCATTGGATGAGCCTGACACACTCAGATCAGCGGCCCGTCGACTTTTCAACTAGCCTTTGATCTTCCCTACTACGCCTTCAGAGTTGCACCCTGCCACAGTCCACCTCACGATCCCCGGAGGAGAAAGTCGTCAGCTAGTGATGCTCTTAGAAACATCACAGATTTGTCATTTCTTGTGAGGAAGCCAAAGAGCCTCGTGCCTCCCACCACGAAAGCATATCTGTGTGAGGCCCAAACAACCGTTCTCATCAGCGGGTCAGACCCCTGGAGGTGGGTGGCGTACTGCTTTGTCGATACCTACTTTGAAAGTGAAGACAAGAGGGAAAGTGTCGACGCTTATGATGAGGAGGTGGAAGTTGATGACGAGTCACACGTGCTCTTTCGACCCGATCCTTTCACCACCGCGGAATCGGACGCAAATCTCCCTGTCTTGAATCCTCGGGAGTACTTTCTAATTGTGCTAGAGTCGCGGCTACGACAGGTGAGAGACGAGTGGCACATCCTCGCAACAAACATGGGAGACAGTATCAATGAATACGTGAGTCATTTGTCTCCATGCAGAGATGCATCCGTTTCATCCCAAACACAGCATTAATCAATGGTATTAGGTCAACACCTGCCCCATCACAATGACGGATGCTCTCTCCCCCCCTCCTGATAACCCCCTTGCCGTGAGACAATCCCGCGGTTGGGCAGTCCGTACTAAAAAGCTTCTGCGACCCCTGATCCAGAAGCTGGCAGCCACCATCAACCAATTAGATTCCTTGAAGTCAGACGAAACTTTTGCAACGCTTGCTGGACGCGGACGTCGATTCATTTCAGAAATCGGAAATCACACCAAACGACTACGGGGATCATTGGAAGATCTCGAGAATCTCTACAAAGCTTGTAACGATTACAATGATGATGTAAGATGAAACTCTCACTACTAGGTACCCCGGCAAACTGACAGATCGCCACGCAGTTGTCATTCTACCTCAACCATGAAGGGACTCGTGATGCCAAGACCCAAGCCCAAATGGCTAGTTTTGCCCAAAACATGAGTTTTCTTATTGTGGGTGTAAGTTTAAGAGAATCTTCATTGGATAGCGACACATTCTCGCTGTTTTTCATCGTCTGATTCGCCATTTATAGCTTCTGTCGCCCATTGCAGTGGCAGCTGGAGTACTGTCAATGCACCAACAGGCCATTCCTGCGCCCCTTGCCCCAAATGTCAAGTCATTCTTTGGCCTGATCATCATTCTCATGATTGCAGTGTGGTCAACTATTGGTATTATGGTTCATTGGAAGCGAATTTCGCAGTGTATAACCGAGTTCTTCAAAGGTCTCTTGACTGATGATATGGACTTGGAAAGACAGCAAGAATGAAAATACAGTAGGCTGGGTCGAGATAATGAGAAAAATCACGATAACGCCAACAGTCCCCCCAAAACAAGAGTTTTCCCGTTTTTGGTTGCCATCTTTCCACGGATGAGACAAAAAGTGCAAAGCCTATTAGGTCTCTGGTAGTTTTGGGTTCGAGGGGTCTGGATGCTAAGGGGAGGGGGCTCGGATGGAGGGTGATGGTAGGCTCTGAAACGTCGTTTAGGAGTGGTTGCGGATTTTTGTGAAAGTGAAAGAAGGAGTAACGAGGATCCCTGGTGAGTTGAGTGTAGGAGTAGATAAAGTATCCGAGGAACGGTAGCTCATGGCGTCGTACGGAGTACTTGAGCTCTTTGGATGCCCCCAGGCTCTCTGATGCTGCAGGAAACGCGTCGTCACCCAGGATGGCCAAATCGATGTTGTAGACTGCCTCGAGCAGGGCCAGCTGCGTTGTTGTCGTGTTGAGATGGTAAACAAAGAGTGGTTTTATGTTTCTCCGAACATGATTCTGATGTTTGAAGAGGCCAGGGGCGAGAGGGGGGCAGCTCCTGTAATTCGAGGCGGAAGCTTCGTATGAGTCAGAGGATTCGTTTCTGGAAAACTCTAGATGGGCGTGGCTCAAGTCCTGGAGGATAGGACCAGCAGAGGAAAGAATGGAAACGAGTTCTGGTGTGGAGGATGCATTGGCGGCGGTCGTCTGGGCAAAGGTGCCTACTCTTTGATGACGACCTTTTCAGTTCTGCAGTAGCTGCACCGTTCTAGGCCGCAGCTAGGGCAATTGCTCACTGAGACACGCATACCTCCCGCGAGGCAGGCACAACACGTCCATATAAATACAGTTCGCTTCTTTCTCGCCTACACCAGTGTTAGTTGAGAGGAACAAGTAGCGTTTTCATCGACCATACGCGCTCGGAAAGAGGTATTGCACAAGGCCCAGCGAGCTCCGCCACGATATCAAGCTCTGGGCAAAGCATTGTGGTATCGTCAAGAGAGGCGAAAGAGGAGTGGGACAGAGCGCGATTTGATAGGCCCGTGGGTATCTGAGCGCGGCGGGGCATTATCTCCGTTAAATCCGATTGGCTGGGTTTTAACCGTCACTCGATCTTTGGGCTCAGTTAACCCATCGAGGGCCGGGCTGCAACTATGAAGAACAGCTTTCTGGGTTGATAAAACTGGGATATTATTCGAAGAAGAAGGCGCTTTTAACTTTATTTTTAACGCTTGTTATTTATTGTATTAATGTGCCCTGTTTTACTGCTGGAACAACCTCCGCCACGAGCTTTTCATACCTCGCATCACGTTCCAGCGGTCGTGTTACCATAGAAACTTGTGAAACTAAGACTTTGCAGAGTTCCTAGTTACACCGCTGTAGTCTAGCTACAACGATGAGACCTGCCTGGGCGGTTAACTGCTCCCCCGTCAGGCTTGAACTATGTTTAAGGAAAGATAGCAGCTTGCACTGCGAGCCTTATTTTTCCACTATTAGAATTCTATAACTATAGGAGATTAACTTTATCTTAGGTTTTGAATATCTTATAGTATTAGGTTTTGATATTACTATGTATTATCTCTGTGTTGCGTTTTATTTTATATCTAATTAAGTACGCTAGTAAACAAGCAGAAGCGAGGTGTCTCGGGTACCTGCATTAGTCGATACCTGACAATGTGAGGCAGGAATGCAAAGTTGCCTAGCTAAGTTAGGTATTTCTTCGGTTTACTAATCATGCCGTGCCATGTCTTGAAGAAATTAAGCAGTTTCGTATTAATCCCTCTTGACTCACCTTTCTTAGCTGCTGACTGTGTACTATGATCTTGATTGCTGTGTCTTACGAGAGGCGTTACGTTAGCCAAGCTAAACCACGGGGCTATAGGCCTATTATTAGAGGGCAAAGAAATTCTACATTTGGCCAAGCGAGAAGACAGCTTCAGGACAGCGGATCAGATATTACATAAGAGGTGGTTATTAAAAGATGTCTAAACCCACCGCTACTACTTAATCTTTTAAGTTAATATAGCAATTGTTTAAACATGATACAGGGGAAGTCAAGGGAATGTTGTAGCCTTGTGTTGTGTCATTCTGCTGAAACATTGTGTGATATGTTTTATACATTGTGCAGCCAGGGCATAGAAAAGCGAGATCTGCTTTAACTGGCTCTTCTATTCTTAGTAAATTTAGTATATTTCGACGTTGTAATAGATCCTGAAGCCTAGATAATTTCGTGTAACAATGTTAAAAGGCGGTGTGATATATTTGACACCTCTTGTGGGACATGAAAAAGCGACATCCCATTAGATTCAACTGGTCTGGACCTATCTAAGCGCTGTGGACCAACTCATGAAATCCGATCAGCTACCCAAATCATAAGTCTTTCTTTGTTAATAAATCTGGCGTATCTAGACGTTGTAGAAGAACAAGGCTCTTTCAACCCCTTTTCAACGCTTGCTACTGTGAGAAGCGCCTTTTTTAGTACGTTCGTGTTAATGACCTCCTGGATTATAGAAGATGATCCCGTTCGGGGAGCTAGCAAAGGTCAACAATATGAATGGGAGAAGTATACTTGCATTTACCTGATGCTGTCTCTGAGCTATTCCCCTGTCCACATTCTTGCTCCGTCCTTATCTATCATCTCAGGCCTCAATTGCACGATAAGGCGATGAAGTAATCGCAGTATGTAATGGAGGGTAGTGACAAAATGCAGAGGAAGCTTCTTGTATGAGGACCGGTCTCGCATTCCCCTGGCTGAATCATGAGCTGCTGGGTAACAGCATGACTTTTATGCAAAATCTCATTGGACATTTGGATGGCCGCTCATTCATCTAGTTTCTCAAGAAATTCCCGCTCATTTTCTCCAAAAAAGACATCCCATAACGCCGAAAACTATGATCGTAATCCATCACACTCCTCTTCAGTCCAGATGCGCCCAGTCCGTGTCCACTCAACTGTCTCATTGGTATGTGGCACAGTATGCTTGTAGGTGAGAGTCTTGTAAGGATCTGACAGCAAAGTTAGTTCAACCGTGGTCACTAAAGGTGGGAAGGGGAGACTTGCATAGTCCTGGGGGCAGGTTAAGGCTCTCGTAGAATCGGGGATCGTCCTTGGTCATCCGCTTCTCAAACCAGCCGTGGAATTGCTCGAAGCCCTCCATAGCTAGGGATGATACACGAATGGAGTAGAATCTAAGGAAGAAATTGTTGTATCGCCAAGCTAGTTGAACTACTGGGAGGCGGATAAGTCTTGCGCCTGGGCTGCATGTGTCAGCGACTTCGATGACACCTGGCGAGGTTAGCACTGGGCACTTGAGCGCTATGACTGAACCGATGCAACAAGACTCTTGGCAAAGTTCTTGAGGGAGGGCCTACCATCCAGATCCATTTCTGGTGCTCCGAGGCCAAGCCGTTCTGTTGCCACTCGCATGAAGAGGCCAGTCTTGACGAAGTCCACCTTGTACATGAGTAGCCGTGCCCTAGGTCTCAGTGGTCAGCATGCACATACAATCACTTGCATTGTCTCAACTCACGCTATCATGGTGCCCTGCAACTCCCAGTTGTGTAGAGCCCCATTCTGTCTCAAAAACCTGTAACACTCCAAAGCAGCCTTCCTTGTCGATCTGGAGGCCGCCTTGTTACCCTCGGGGCCAAGTGCCGGGAGGGTCTTTTCCCTGACACCCAGTGACGCAAAGTCCAAAACAGTGTTACCCCCTTCAATGAGGTTCCACGGTACCGGCTTCCCCGGGCAGTTGCGCTGTACGTGGTCTTTGATCATCTGTAGAGCTGTCTTGTTAGACCAATAGGAGGCAACGTGAAGAACAGTGCGTTGTGTTTTGGTGCGTGTAAAGAGGATGTTGTGTTCGGGGTACTTCTGTAGTAGCATCCCTGTGATCTGGTGGCAAGGCAAATCGTACGAGTTTCGCGCTGTGACGTCGTTAGCACATTGTTCCTTGGCTGGCATTGTTGCGAGGTTACTTACAGCCGGAGAATCCTTGGACCGCCAAAGAAAGTAACGTTCCCCCATCAGAGTCACAGACATACTGTGGTGCTGGAGCCAAGTCAAGTAAGTACTGCACATGCTCGATTGGTATGAGACCGTCGGCAGCAGCAGCCGAAATCATGTAACCGACAAAGGTCGTCCACTTGTCCCCATCCTCCCGCATCTTGTAATCGTGTTGGAGGTCATACTTGACACGAAGTGACTCTGCAAGCTGCCTCTCATCATCGTATCCTTCAAGAAGTAGCTGGGCAAAAAGCGTGTGGCCAGAATTGTCCTGACTCTCCAAGATCTCTTTGATGCTTTTGCCTTCCCGTTTCTCAAGTGGCAAATCCTCCACAAGCTTGATCAACTCTGGAAGAACTGCTGGAAAGTAGTGAGCTGCGACTTGAAGGGAATTTCGACCTCATATGTCCTTGGCAAGAAGATTTGCGCCATGTCGTATCAAACACCGCATAGCTTCAACACTTCGTCGTTCGATGGCGATTTGCAAAAACGTTCTTGATAGTCCCTCAAATGGAGTATCAAGCTTTGTATCTGGAAAGACGTTCAAGAGTGCTTCGATAAAGAAACCTCGAGCCTTATGGATCGACATTGCCAAGAAAGTGTCCGCGACTCGTTCATTCTCATCTCATCGTTCATCTACAATGTCGCGCATGTCTTTATCTGCGAGGAGGGAGATTATGGCCTCAAGCTTGCTCATGTAGCCACTACCTGTAGTTGCCATGAAATAGAACCGAGTTCTTGTTGTCAAAGCGGAGAAGGCCTGTGCTTTGGCGTGACTGAGTTGTCGGCGTGCAGAGAGGCCAGCAATGGAGATGAAGGACTCTGCCGCCGATATCATCTCGAGTGTCAAGTCCACGTCGAGCACCTGGGCAGCTTGGGCGATTGGAGTAAAAAATCCAAAGTTCCCATCCCATTCTTCTGCCTGTCTTGTTGGATCTGCGCCATACTCGAGGAGAAGTCTCGCAGCTGCGCCTTCAGAGTAATCCCAGCCAGAGAATGTGGCATGAAGCGGTGTCATTCCGTTCTTCATGGTGCAGTTGATGTCAATATCTGCAGAGAGAGCAATGTCGAGGATCTCTTCACACTCTTTACGATCAGAGAATCTGTGCAAGGAGTGAAGAATAGTTGCTCCGTGGAGTTCTTCTCGAATAGTAGCATCCGCCCCATGCTCGACCAGCCACTTTGCCATTTCGAAGTAGCCACAATGGCATGCGAGCAGCAACGGAGTCCATCTGTAAGTGTTCCCGTGAGCGTTGATAGAGGCTCCAAGCTCGAGGACAAGAATCTTGACCATTTCGAGATCGTCCTTGACAGCAGCAACTCGCAGCAGCGTGAAGCTATAATCGCTGCAGGCTTCAAGACAGCCGAGCCGAGTAACTTCTTCTATAAAGCCCTGCCGCTTTGCAGGATCAAGCTTGTCAGGCCCACCCATTTTGAAAGTCGTCAAACGGTCAAAGTCAAACTCCGGTTGTCCAGTCTTGGGCTCGGCTCTCAAGTACAACGGGTTGTTGTTGGCGGGAAACACGGTGTTGAGGATCCTTCGATCAGTGGTCAACCACTTTTCGTACTCCTCCGGCCATCTCTTGGACCATATTCTTCCGAGAACAACGTTGTGCTCGATGTGCTTTGGGACAGGGTGATCAAAGAGAGTTGCCTGTGCACCGCTAAATGTCATCGTCCCGTAAGTCTTGATGGTTGCCAGCAAGTCGTCTCGGATGTCCTCGGGCAAAGGTGCCTCGCAGGCATCAAAGACGTTTAGAATCAAGGAGACAGCCTCTGGACTCTTCATCACGGCTGAAGTTGCGAGGTACTTGAGACCTTCCTCAATTGACGGATCAACAACCTGGCCGTTTAAATACGCACCAGCCAGATGGAATGGTGCGGCCGGATCCTCAATGTAGTCAGAATCGCATGTTGCCTTGAGATCCTCGATGACTTCCTTTCGAGCCACACGGGGCATCAACGCGGCAGTCAAAGTATGCTCAAACGCAAACTAGAAAGAATCAGCTACAATGTCAACCAAGACACGAATGGTCAGCTCACATCTGGTGTCTTGAGGATAGCTCGATCAAACACCTCATCCATCCGATCAAAAAAGTCTTGACTCTCCTCAAAGTCGTCATCAGTCTTCCAAGCCTTCCTGAACTTTCGGACCTTTGCTGGTTTTAGGCTGTGGTCCTGAAACGCGTTTGCCAAGGTCTCTTCGAACTCGGGGTTGCCGATCTGAATGGAAATGACTTCGTCGCGCATTCTTCGGAGGTCGAGGAGTATTTGTGGCACATTGTGATCTTCCTCGGTCTCCCCCTTGAAGCGCTCGTTAACATGAGAAAAAAGTCGTTTTGATTGGGCTTGCGTACCTGTGCCGGCTTTGAATGCTTCTTTTCAAGCGCTTGCAAAGCATCACTAGGCATGTTAACTCTAGACTTGGGGGAGTAAGATCAGCCACTCACTGATAGCTCTCTCCTGCCTCGCGAAGGTCTGGGAACCACTCCAGTGGAATGGCCGGCTTTCCTTTGCCAAGCTGTTGCATCATACCCAAGAAAAGGTAGCTTTGAATCGCAGACAGTGACACTCGGTCAGCCTGGGAGGGCACACACGTCCCCGAGAGAAAGGCTTGAATGTACTCCTCTTGATACTCATCAAGCGAGGTTTTGCTCCTGATATTCTTCATAACCGTTGAAACAGCCGCATCCGGGTGTTCCTTCAACCTTGGCTTGATGTCAGAGACCTCATCTGGTGTGATTCCCTCAAAGGGCAAGCTGCCGTTCATAAAAATGCTAGCGGCAAGCAATCCAAGGGAGTAAATGTCGGTCTTGTGAAGATTCGTCAACTCGATAGTCTCCTCGGCATCAAGCTCAGGCGCCATCCAAGGGTAGCTACCGATCCTTGCTTGGAACAACTTCTCGGACTTGTAGTCGTCGATGATGACTGCATATCCAAAGTCGCAAAGCTTCGCCCGAACCGATGCTATGCCGAGCTTGCCCGACAGCTCCTGCTGCTCTTGGCTGAAGCCGTTACTGAAGACGAGGACGTTTGTTGGTTTTAGATCGGCGTGGACGATCCCTTGCGAGTGGAGGAATTGAAGACCGCGTCCGATCTCCATGGTTATGGCAAGCTGATTGTTGAAGTCTATATCGACAGTGGACAAATATTCTGCCAGGGTGCCCTCGTCTGCGGCTTCGAGGAGAACTTGAGGCCAGAATCGCCCAAGACTAGGAGACTCACTCCACGAAACAGCCAGCATTGAAACGATAAAAGGGCATTGTCGGATCGTCTCATCAGACAAAATCCGTATCTCATTAATGACAGCGGCGAGTTGTCGAGAATCATCACTCGCAAATCCTTGCGCCGTAACAATCTTCTTGGTAACGTAGCGACGAAACTTGTTCCCCGACTTGGCCTCTTCAAACGACTTTTGCACCTGCTGCGAAGGATTGAGAAAATCTTCCTCGGGGTTCAACTTCATCTCTTCGGAAGAAGCAAAGACTGCAAACGAGGCGCCAGCGCCCGTTGCGAGCGTGTTCATGCTTGCAATGACATTGTTGTTGGCGCTAAGGATGGGCACATCCAAAGCGATGGCGACGGCTAGGAACTCGGCTTGGCCTTTGACGGCGAAAGTCTTGTCTGGACGGTTGACGAGTTCTGTTGCTGAGGGCGCTGCGGTGTAGATGGAGAGGGATTGGAAATCGGCCATGATGGCGACGATGGATACGGAGCCTTGATCGCTGGGTAAATGCCTCAACCTGGGCTTCAAGATAATAAGCATAATGAGAATGCCCGACGACGCAACTGGGCTGAAACCAGGAACATGTCACAAGCTACAGCCACGGCGTTTGCTACTGTGTGCCTAATCACTTTGTGACCCAATCAGATTGAGATGTGAGCGTGTCGCTGTCTCAACACTGCCACACTTGTTTTCAGCTCAACATTGAGGGATATCCGATACGGCATCAATATCCGGGTCTAGACTCGTCAGCCCAAGCTTAGTATTCGTAATCAGGACCTCACTATTTGAGTGCTACATGGTACGCCTAATCTGCATTTTACATCTTGCGTCTGTAAAATCTGCCTTGCAAACATGTCGGGCCTGGAGATCCCCTCCTTCCTCATCGGCCTTGGTGGCCTTGTCGCCGTGTTTGAGAAGGGCTTCGAGGTATGGAGCACTATTCGCGAGGCTCACGGCTTTGGAGGTGATGTCGCCGATTGGATGTGTAAGCTTGAGATGGAATTCTTTCGCTTCCAGACTTGGTGGACGGCTTTGGAGCATCTCGCACTCCGACCGGGTCATCCGCCATCGGTTCGACGAGTGCCCTCTCAAACATCGGCACTCCAAGTCACGCTGGACAAACAATTCGGACAGCCCATCACAGACGCTGCCGTCAACATTCTCAAACTGCTCGAAAAGATTGAGGAGGTCCTTAAGCGAAATGGAATCTTGACCATTTTCCAGGCTCAACCTCCAGAGCCGAGGCAGACGCTTGACCTTTCGGAAGAGGCATCAAAGTCGAGAACGCGACTCAAGAAATTCGCCGACGACCTCTTGAGGCATACACCCTGGATCACGCGAATCAAACACAATGCAAGCACTTGGAAAGACAACGACAAGTCTACCCTTGACAGCTCATTGGAGTCCATGACCTACTGGAACAACGCACTCTACAGCATCCTCCCACAGAATCTCCGAGACAGCATATTAGAGCTAGGTATCGCGGGCTACGCATTGGGTACTTCGGAAAATATTGGAGACATTTCAAGGCTATCAAGTAACCGCAACACCATCCTCAGCGAAAGCGCCAAATTCATCCGGCTTCGTCAACGATTTAAGGATGGGGCAACTACCGATGCAGACCTAGATGCTATCCTCCAGAGGATGGAGCAAAAGATGACTCACTTCGAAGGAATCGACACCATCAAGGTCCTCGGAGGCTGCCAATACTCCATTGCCCACTGTTCCCCCGACGACGGAGGTCAACCTCGTCGAGTCATTATCGAATGGATACCGTTTCCACAAGGCGATTACGACGTCTACAAACTTGCCCGGACGCGCATGTCGCAGATATCCTACTCTTTACAACAGATTAAAGAATTATCTCACATCCAGGTCCTACCATCTCTTGGGTTCGTTGAGTACGGCAGCGCAAAGGTCTTTGGCTTGGTGTCAGCGTTGCCGACAAGTGCCACATCCTCGGCCACCATTGTCACTCTTTACGAGATTCTACCCGGAAGCCAGCGACCAGGCACCAACGAAAGGTCATCTTCCGGCCGGAAAAGCGTGAACTATCCTCTACCAAGTTTGAACCAACGCTTCGAGCTCGCCACTACGTTGGTCATGGGCTTCTACACTTTTCTGCTCACACGGTGGCATCACGAGCGCTTCAGTTCCTTGCACATAGCCTTTCTACTAAACGAGGCAACTGGGATAACAAGTCCGTCTTTAACCGAGATGAGACCTCTGGATCTTGGAGCACCCATAATTGGCGGCTTTGCCATCTCCCGTCCTGATTCTCCAACCGAACTGTCCATATCAGCGCCAGTCGAAGATTTCGAGGCTGTTTACCTACACCCAGATGTGAGGCAGCGTCTCAAGTCTCGACCGAAGGCACCAAACTCAAGCACAGGGCCACCGGCACGCTATCAACGAGTCCACGACATCTACGCTCTAGGGCTGTTACTCGTCGAAATCGGCTTCTGGCGGCCGCTCGCTCGCGTGGCAGAGTCAGGTTCCGGTGGAAAAGTCAAGGCTGGCAACTTGTCAGCAAAGGACTTCAAGGACGCGATAGTCAAGAAATGCAGATCTGATCTGGCTTTCTGGATGGGAGAAACGTATAGGGACGTGACCCTGAGGTGCTTGCTCGCGGGAGAGGAGGGCGGCGTGCAGGCGGCGGATGGGACTGGAGGATTAAACAATTTCTACTGGGATGTTGGGATTAGCTTGATGAACAGTGAGAATTATGTAGGGCAAGTGTAAGTTTGGGAAGGGAGAATTGCCTACCTATACGAGAAGGCATCCCTCTACATGACCCTTGCTCGGCGCCATGTGATGGACATTAATGACAAGGAGGGGCGACAGATGGCAGAACTGCCCTTGGAGGACTTGACAGCCAATTTTTAGGCTACAATATGAATATGTATAAGAAAGAATGGAAGTTACGAGCTGCAGTCAAACACATCCAACCCATAAGCATAAGGATAAGCGAGCTGCTGATGTGCATCCTCGGATCAAAACCGGGGCCGGTCTCGCCGAGTATCCGGATCAACAGTGGAGGGATGGGTCTAGGGCTGAACAAACTCAGCCTCAAGACCTGGATCGTGCACAGAATACGGAGGCTGGCCACCGGTGTTATATGACCGTGTAGACGAGGTGGTTGGAAGGGCAGTGACGGCATCTTGCTGCACGTGGGACGGCCTTACCGGCGTCTCAACGAAGCAAAATGCTCTGACATCATCATCCATATGCTTAAAATAGTGCCAAGAGCCAAGGAATCTGGCCGAGACTATTGAATGCAAGGTCCCCATGTGCCCACTGCCGAGCACGAGATCTCTTGTTTTATCTGATGTCACCGACCGAGGGAACTTTTTACGGCTGTGCCTTGTCAAAACCACCCAATGACATCTGACCCACGCTCCAGAACACAGACGTGAGATGTTACGTTGAATCGCAGCAATCCTTCTCATTTGCTTCAACCAACAGGCAAAAATCCTGACCTGATTTGTGGGGAGGATCTGCAAACCCCTGTCAGAGAAATTCTAGACCTAAACTTCAAGCATCCCTTGGCAGGGGACATTTTTCGTAAAGAAGGCTTATTTCCGCTGGGACCAACACAAAGTGGAACGATCGTGAGGCTATTATTGGCTCCGCCGTGTACGTTACGAGGGATGCGTCTGGGTGGAGAGATGAAAGTGACAGACTGGACCGCTTTGACTTATGAAGAGCTGGTACGGGCTAAATTTAGATCGACAGAAGGTCCCGAGGTTCTGGACGGGTGCTTGACGAGAGCCTCGATTTGAACGAGTAGAAAAGGCGTGACAGCCTCTGGAGATTCAACACTTTTTTTTATCATCATCTCAATCATCTCAAGCAATCTACTAATTAATCTCTATTACATCTACATTCGCTCTACATCATCCACCCACTCTTCCACTCGCTGCCGCCATCAACTGAAGCTCCCATCCACCACATCTTGACCAGCAGCAACAACAAAACAACCACACCCACTATCACAAGAACAACAAAAACAATACCAACACTCTCAAAAAAACCCCATAACAATTACCATGCATTTCACCACACTCATCGCCGCCACCGCTGCCCTCGCCTCCACCGCGACAGCAAGGTTCCTTCCCCCCGACGCCATGGAGATGCTCAAGCGCACAATGGTCCCCAACCATGTCTCCGCCAAGGTCGTCGCCGTCAACGGCTTCGGCAAGGACCAAACCAAGCACACCATTCTCGTCCCCCTCGGCCGTCTCACACACGTCAGCCGGACGCAAATCACCGAGCTCAGAGTCGAGGGTGTCGACCACGTCGCTGAGGCGCCCAAGCCTGCCGAAGACAACATCGTATGTCAACGATATCTCAACCAGTATGCCTCCAAGATTGGTAGCGAGCGGTTTACCAACAAGGCGCCTGCTCATATCTCTACAAATCCTGTCGACTTTGGCTGGATTCTGTGCTATGTCACCAATGAGCAGTGGAACTCGGAGTTATGAGAGGGCTAAATGACTGGTTTTTGGAGTTGGGAATAATTAGACCTACTTTACATGTCTTCGGGATGAGTCTTTTGAGCCTTTTGAGCCTTTTAGAATAGCGATATATGCCTAATGAACACGCAAGTAATTACTTTGAAACGCCTTCTATCATGTCTTCTTGAAATTCTTAAAATGCGCCTGGATTGCAACCTTGCCTCTGCAGAACATGGCAGCACTCGACGCAAATGATGCACCACAAATTATGATCGGTCCATCCCTGTTCCAAGTGTGGCATGGGTAGTCGACCAGGGCTACAGCAGCGGGCAGCGGGCTGGGAAAGGTAGCCGACAGCATCATCACCAACCAAAAGATAACAAGGGCAGAACCAATGTGAATGGTTCCTACTACTGAAATTGCAGCCGGGGCAACGACATAGAAAATAACTCCACCAAAGACACCTTGCATGATAGAGAAGATAGCGAGAACCGCGAACGATCTAGCGGGGAGCCAGATGACCAAACAACCGAGCGCAGCCAGGATTTTGGCGGCAGTAGCAATGTTCAATCGGCCTGTCATATCTAAGGCCCGTCCAAGGAGTGGTCAGCCAAAGGACCTGTCACGCGAGGGTCAACTACAGCGCGGCACCTTGTTGTTGTGGCAGCTCTAGCCCGTCTGTCGCGTACGATGCATTAGAGTAATAAAGCAACCCATCACTAGCTCAACATTTACAAAATCCCCGACGCCATACTCATCGATCTTTTACCGCCGAATGCATCCCATGTCTAGATCCAAAAGAAATTATTACGCCAAAGCCAATGGAGTCGAAGTGGTTCTACCCTGGCCTCCACCATTCTTCCCTTCTCCTTCAGGAACGCAACTGGCGGTACCATTACGACACAAGATATTCAGCATTTGAGAAGAAGCGTATATCTGACTGCAATACTTTCTAGAGCTGCGCGAGTTATGTTGGCAAGGATGAAGCCGCCAAATCCTGAACCGCAGGTTGCCATACCCTAGAGCCGGACGTCAGTTAAGGGGGGTTGCTCGATCAGATCATCCGCTGACTTGGGCCAGACCGAGGCACTTCTCGACCCTAAGCGGCAAATTTTGCTGAGAGGGTACCTGAGTCTTGATGAGTTGCTAGTCAGTATTCGGACTCGTATTCTGCAATGGTCGTTTACCGTATAGGCACCAGACCAAGCCCTAACTCTAAGTTAGCTGATCCGCAACCCAGATATTGGAGGTTTCAACTTACCAACACCAAACAAAAGTTCCAGGGAAAACAGAAATGTTCCAAATGTTCTACTGACTTCAGAGTGACACTGACCAAGACAAACGGCTACGACACCTGCAGCCATGGGCACGGTGATGCCAAACGTTTTGGTAGGATTGTGGGCAAAGGGGCGACGAGCCAAGCAAAGGCGACCGAGGGACCGACAACGAATGCATACCATAGGTATGTGACGCCTTCAGAACAGTCGTATGCGATGAAGGAGGACAACACAATTTAATTCAGGTTTCGCAATAAATCAGCTGAAAGAACTCAGTGAAACTTTGCATTTTGCATGACTTGGGATCACAGAGGTACAGGCTCGCCGGCAAGGCACTCCTCCTCAAACAAGGGCACGGAGATCCCGCTTGCTGTCTTTGTGTTTTGAAGCTGAGAGGAGATTTTACCCAGGATATAAAGAGGCCATATTAAGCATAAATAATGTTTAGAAGTTTAAGCTTCTATCCGAGAGTTTGAACAACACAATGTGCGTCGTGGCTGTTTGGATCGACAGGGGATCCCTCATTGGCACAAGGTGTCAATGTTCCCTAACATAAACTCAAAGCTCTATGCTTCTTTAAAACGCGTTTCAAGGGAAACCATTGAAAGTTCTTACCCTTATCCTGAGTTTTCACAGGATCTTTGTTCAAAATGACGTCAGTGTCACCGTGATTCAATTTTAGGCATCATCAACCTCCCCTGAATCTCACTTTCAGGCCTGTCAGAAGCCAGGCCCAAATTGGCTTAGTTTGGTCAGCAGTCTGCAGACACCCAAATCCCCCGATTCAAGCAAAGCGCGTCAGCAGCCATTTAAAACATGCACCATTCACTTAACCACCATCATCATACTCACTCTTTTCCAGAAAGCGGACGCGTTTACCCAATATTAGCAGTCTTCTCCATGGCTTCATTCCAGACTTTTAGACTTGTGCCGCTGCGCGAAGAGGTACAAACCCTGGCACGGCTCCACCGTCACAGAAACTAACCGTGTCCGTTCAGGTGCTCGGTGAGAAGGATGAGTGGGCAGGTCTAACCGATGCCAAAGAGAGGAGAAAGCGGCAAAACAGGATCAATAAGAGAGCGGCTCGTAAGAATCGACTGAACTTTCCATTCTAAGCCCATGTTGCTGACAGCTTGTGCATCAAGGTCGACGTCAGAGGCTGACCGATGCACGCGAGCACGAGGCTCGTTTTGAACCACCAGCGAACAGTAACACCAGTGTACCTTGTCAATTGGGAGAAGATGCGATCGCAGCTTCATCGGCAACTGGCGTTTACTTTCCTATGACGCCAGACTCTCGTCTTCTTCATGTCATCTCGTTCAACGTCTCCCGTGCCATCCTAACAAACTACTTCATCATTTCCACTATCCCCCTAGAAACCACGAGGTTCTGCTCCATATGCCGGGTTTTCACATTGCCTGCCCCAGAAACAGGCTTCGAAATTACCCTACCAGTGTCCTTAATGCCGACGCTTCTCCAAGAGCAAGTACCGCATCCTGGCTGGGTGGATCTCTTTCCTTCCCCAAAATTGCGGGATAACCTGATCCTTGCACTTCAAGAGTACGATATCGATGAGGATGCTTTCATGTTGGATTTGGTTGGAGAGGCCTTTGAGAGCCTTTGTCTAACTAGTGACGAGGTTGAAGAGCAATCCGCCCTGGTAAACCTGAAGGGCAGCGAGGCTGAAAGTCAACCAGCCCCCGTTGCAACAACAACGGGCGAGGGTGATACTATTACAGCTATAAACTTGGAAAATTCTTGGATCGGAGAGTCGGGTCTAATATCTTGGTCGGATCCTTGGGATACAGCTGGCTGGGAAGTGACCGAGTCGTTTGCCAAGAAATGGGGGTTTCTTCTAATAGGATGCGAAGACGTTGTCAACGCGGCAAACAAGTGGAGAGAGACCAGAGGCGAGAATCCTTTAAGCGTGACGATTTAGCGTGTGATTTGTATAGTAGAACTAGCAATTCTTGATGGCTCCAAATATCCTTTCGACTTAATACTGAGTAATTCGCAACCACTGTCATTTGCTTGCTGGCACTTGCTTTCCACCGGGCTTGTTCTATGGTTACACCATGCCTGAAGGGTGTTAACCGCAAGAGGAAAAAGGAGCTGACATTCATGGGCCACATTCAAGATCACCAGTCCAGCATAAGTCCGCCAAGTCCGACCAGTTTGCCTCATAAAATGGACATATAAAGCGCCATTGAGAACCTTCTGGTGGTATTTCACTTGCTTTCTAACTCAGACTCACGCGATTTCCTGTCACTTGGCCACGAACACAAGCCCATTTTGATCTTCCCTAAGCGCAAGCATGACCTCGACAACTTCTAGATACGCGGCCGCACACCTCAAACCCAACGGCCCTGGCGATGCAAGACCTACCGCCCTTCAAATCGTCAAGGATGAGGAGAGAGAAAAAGGCCTTGCCGATAAGGTGGTTCTTATAACCGGCTGCTCATCCGGGCTCGGCATCGAAACGGCAAGGGCTATGAAGGCCACAGGTGCAACCATCTTCGTCACAGCACGGAATCTAGAAAAGGCGAAAACCGCACTTGGGGACGTTCTGGATCATACTCAAGTTCATCTTCTTAAGCTTGATCTGGAGTCTTTCGACAGTGTCCGAGCCTGCGTCGCCGAAGTCAAGACCAAGACCAACAAGCTCAACATTTTGATCGAAAACGCTGGGATTCGTCACGTTCCCGAGGGAAGAACCAAAGATGGTTTCGAACTCCATTGGGGCACCAATCATCTCTCGCACTTTCTCCTGTTTGAGCTTTTGAGACCTATGCTCTTGGAATCATCAACACCCGATTTCCAGTCTCGCGTTGTCGTTGTATCATCGACTGCGCACAGAAATGCACCCATGGATTTCAGCGATCTCAACTGGGAGAAGCGGAAATACGAGCCTTTTGTGGCATACGGACAGAGCAAGCTGGCCAACGTCTACACCGCCAGCGAGATCGATCGACGCTATGGGGCACAGGGCCTACACGCTTGGAGTGTGCACCCTGGAGGTATCAGGACAGGATTACAGAAGCCCAACTTGCATGACGCTCTGATCTTCTTGAAGTCTGGGGTCATGACTACACTCAGGTCCATGATGAGCCCAGAGCAGGGTGCGTCCACGTCGGTCTGGGCGGCTGTCAGCCGAGAGCTTGAAGGTCGTGGGGGAAAGTACTTGGAACGGAACAGGATCAGCGAACCCAGGAAGGGTGAGAGCCTGATTGAGGCTGGTTATGCTGAGTGGGCGTATGATGAGGAGAAGGCAAAGAAGTTGTACGACATTTCTCTGGCGGCGGTGCAATAGATGGGACCTTGGACGAGTGTTTTCGTTATGTGAGTTTTCTTTGGGTACGAATGTTAGTTTCCAAAGTCTTTTCAGCAGTTAGACGTGCTTAGAGAGTGAAGTGTCAGTTCGTCTGTATATTAGCCAAAGCATGCTGTCAGTTGCCGAGCCTAATGATACTATCCACAGTGCTTATAGCCGCAGTCAATCCGATCAGAGGGGAAAATGACAGGCTAAATTCATACAATTGGCCAATATCTACAGTGGTATATCGCAAGTATAGTTTCTTGATGCGAGAGCACGTCTTCCTTCTACGAGAAGCTATCCTCAGCAACTATTGCCATAAATTCCGTGATGAAAACCTTGCCAAACCTCGAAGCACAAGAACTATCTTATAGAGTAACAGTGACAAAGAAACAAACCAGACATCATGTCACTCCTGCCTCCATGGAGCATTGGCAAAAAGGATATCATCCAAGACGTGAGGCTTATAGGGAGTAGAGATCACAACTTCGTGACTGTTGAGAACCTTGATGAACTCATTCTCTGGGCCACTTCGGCTAGCAGGAACGATGTTGATGGCTTTCTTTTCCAGGTCACGTACCGCTGGCTTTTGAAGCAAAGTAGGCCTGACCAAGACAGCTACTTTCTAACGAGTACCAACTTAGAGAGCGCAGCCTTCGGCTTTGCGTTTCTTCTTATTACTTTTTATCATTATCTATTATGAAGACAAGAGGTCATCAGTCAGAGTAGCAAAAGACGCAGTTGTCAACACATCAATACAGTAGCAAGCCAAGAACCTCTTTGTCCTACATTCTCCCAATCTCATCTGCTTCCAACCCAGATTCCAACATTTGCCCACAAACACCCATGGCTAGGTCTCTGGCGGTAATATTGGGCTAATTTGCGTACCTATCCTTTCACCTGCCTCAACAGCCTTAAACCGCACCTATAAGACGGTTCCAACATCCTACCGTATCACGCCCACTCAGAACTATAATTATGCATAAATCGTAAAGCAACCTTGATAGACTAGAGATTATCATGCATCAGACTAAGTCTACCTTCCAGATTGAATCTCGCGTAGAACCAGTTTAGAACATTCGTCCGTAAACTTAGCCGCCGAGCTATAAACTCCGCGTTGCCGAATGGAACTAGAGCATTCACCGCATGGTTCGAGAATATCGTGTTCGGCCATCGCGTAAAAAGATAACACGGCGCTGGCTGCTATCTTTGGAAGGTAGATGTCCTGAATAGTCTGCATCTTGAGCGATTTAAGGATCTCACAGGGTCAAAGAAGGTCTGTCCTATGCGGCCTCGTGCGTTCGTTATCTCCGGGTTGGTATTGCGTGGTGCAAGTTACAAAAGATCCCGTCTAGCTGCCAGTTTCAGAATATTGGGCCAAGGCGCATGACCGGATTAAAGTAATGCACCCCGCCTAGAGTAGCAGTGCAGAAGTGCCTTGACTCTTGGCGATAGGCCGTCCGGGTGCATTTTATTCCCGAGATTCCCTGCAAAGACTTGTTGGATACGGTGTCAGAGACAGCGGAATGACGGGAGAGAAATACGCCCAGAAGTGATATTTTCCTCCTCTTTCTGCAATTTTCTTATCAATTTCTTGTTCCTCATCATTGCCGGATCCCTCGATCCTTCGCACATCTCCACATTCTTAATGGTCGACCAAGTTATCGACTTGCCTCATCGGGATATTGACCCTTGCTGCCAAGCGCCATCTATGTCGATCACTTGCGCGGGAGGATTACAAGGTTTAAATGCTTTTTTCCAACTGCCGAACTAGACGACGGAACACGGAGTTGACTACCAGAAAGGCAGGTACACCCATTCGCATACTTTCGAGATATCACCAAGCAAGCTTATCGCGGAATCACAACCAGAGAGGCAGGTATGGAACCGAACATAGTTGAGACGAACCATAAAGTCATTCAGCTTCACATATATAAGGATCAAGAATCACCGTTCTAACCGTCTCTCAACTCCAACAACAACCTCTCTTCACTCTTCAACTCTCTACTCTTGGAATCCCCCGCCTGTTCTTCACCATGGTCAAGTTTGCTGCCATCCTCGCACTTGTTGCGCCTCTTGTCGCCGCTCGTCCTCAGGACCGACCCATGATCGTCGGCGGAACTGCTGCCAGCGCTGGTGACTTCCCCTTCATCGTCAGCATCTCCTACAATGGCGGCCCCTGGTGCGGAGGTACCCTCCTCAACGCCAACACCGTCATGACTGCTGCCCACTGCACTTCTGGTCGCGCTGCCAGCGCCTTCCAGGTCCGCGCTGGAAGTCTGGTAAGTTTTGCAAACTTGAAAGATCCAACGCATGTGCTTACTATTGACAGAACCGCAACTCGGGTGGTGTTACCTCTGCCGTTTCTTCCATCAGGATCCATCCTAGCTTTAGTGGCTCGACCCTGAACAACGATGTTTCCATCCTGAAGCTGTCCACTCCCATCTCGACTAGCTCCACCATCTCTTATGGTCGCCTGGCTGCGTCGGGCTCCGACCCTGCTGCCGGCTCTGATGCCACAGTTGCAGGCTGGTGAGTAGACCTAAACATGTCCTCAGTTCAAGACTGACTCGGAATACAGGGGTGCCACTTCTGAGGGCTCTTCCAGCTCCCCTGTCGCTTTGAGGAAGGTTACCATTCCCATTGTCTCTCGCACCACTTGCCGATCCCAGTATGGCACCTCTGCCATTACCACCAACATGTTCTGCGCTGGCCTTGCTGAGGGTGGAAAGGACTCATGCCAGGGCGACAGCGGCGGTCCCATCGTCGACACCTCCAACACTGTCATTGGTATTGTTTCTTGGGGTGAGGGTTGTGCTCAGCCCAACTTCTCTGGTGTCTATGCCCGCGTTGGCAGCCTCCGCTCTTACATTGACGGCCAGCTGTAAATTGCTCGGTTGAGTGGTTTACATTTCTGGTCTAGGCATTTTGCTTGTCAGAGATCTTTGTTGAGATGGGGACGGAAGATGGAGTAGGAATGCTGAGAGTGTTTGAGAGTTTAGTTGATAGTCAAGATCCAAGTCCCGGTTGGCCATGAACTGGCAACTCGAGCGACTAGATTCTCAATAAAATTGTTTGTGGAAGATCTCTTCTCACGTACCATGATTATCGGTGCCGTGAGAGACGTCATGACATCTGAGAAATGGTGAGGCAAGCTTTTTGCCAAATCTTACACTCACCAACGATATAAGTGAGACCATTCTCCAGTGCGCTTCCATAAAAGTAACCCCATATATACACAAAAAAAATAAAAATAAAATAAAAAAACCACCAGAAATTATAATCAATTGAGCATCTTCAGGTCAATCTTATCTACTATCCTTTCAATCTCGGGACGGTCTTTTGGCTCAGTTCTCCTATCGGGGGCCGGGCTTCATCTATAGCAAAGAAAACACTATCAACACATCAACACATCATAGTATCATATCTCAATTGACATTATAGAATCTCGGGACATTAAATGATATAAGGACCACGAAAAATATCAAGGAAGTCTGTTTACGAAACGAGCGATGCCTCCAACAATGTCGCAACTACTACTACAGTCTTATATACCGAAGCAATATCCGATACCCACACACCAGGTTGTCTCATTGTATCCTTTCACAATTCCTCTGCCTCTGGCAGATCTTCGACAACCACGCCTTTGATTTCCTTCAACTTATCGATGGCCTGTAGGGTCATGGGTCTAAAACCAGACCGTGTCAGCACTGGCTCTTGGTACTAAAAATTTTTAGCACCTACGGAGGATAATATGTAGGGATCATGGTGCGAGTGGCCTTCCAATGCTCTGCACCCGTGTCGTCCTTGACGATGCTAGATTGAGATTAGCCTGACTATCAGACGTCACAAATATCGAATATCATACTCGGTCGCCGTCTGATTAGAGTATTTGTAATTCTCCATCAGCTCAAATGTATAAGTGATTGACTTGAACCTTTTGTCAGCAAACCCTCAATCGGATTTGTGCTTGTGTAGAATCCGTTTACCTTTCGGTCAGCCATCATGGATAAAGCCGCTGGGACTAGAAGAAGGGAGGCACAAGCCGCGATAGTGACAGGCACTATGTAATAGATGGAGAAAAGATGCATTTGTGGTTACTAGCCTCGACTTGAAACTTTCAAAAGTGGGAGTGATATGATGTCTATTTAAGTAGCATTTAAGCCTTTGACTATCTTCGGGACGTCATCGAATGTGGAAGGTGATGATGTGCTTATGACAGGGGTAAGACGTCGGAACAAAAGATCCCTGCCTCGACTCCTCAGCTGTTGTCTGTGTGGGGAAAGCTTATCGGCGATCAATCGGATCAGATCAGGATTTCTCACCGTCACCTGAGTCTAGGGTGAGCACCACCTGAGCCTTGCCTGAGGGGACTGGGTTGCCATCCACAAAGCGGCAATGTTTCGTTGTCAATATTTCCCTTCCAAAACACCGTAACCTAGATATTTTGACTCGTTATGGCGATAGCCCTAGTCTTCATGCCCTTAGACAAACATTTCTTGGCTGGATGCAGTTGTAGAGATCGTCAACAATGACAGAGCCAGTTTGGCGAATTGCAACAGGTGGTGATTTTGGTGAGGCCACTGGCTCATGGGCTCTCTGGAGTCTTCATCGATAATATCAACAACAATGGCATCTTTCGGAGACGTCTAATGAATGGCCGGACTGCATATAATGTATTTACCGTCGTTACATCGACACACAATTGCCATTTGTCAGCTAACGTTATGAAGGCTTGCGGAGGGCAACCTCAAACTCCGCAGCATGAAGCTAATAGGGAAACCTTGATACTTTAAAAAGCGGGTCACTTCATCAGGCTCGGGTCCTTGAAAGACCCCGACAGCAAGGGGAGCTGGTTTGGGGCGTTTTCCCTACAGGGTACGGCCTGGCTAGTCGGCCCAGCTTCAGGATTCAGTTGTTGAAAAGTAGATTTGTATTCAGACCTCTTGTAGTTACTCACGGTGGCCCAAATTGTCCAGGAGTTCTAGCAAGTCAACTTAATGTCCTGTCAAGCCTACCGGAACAGGGGAGATCCGATCTTCTGGCTCAGTTCCCATCAAGGGTCGGGCTGCAACTATGATAAAGAATAGGGGAGACAGGTATTTTGGCCTCTCCATACGATGGGTATATCCAACTTTGCCGTAGTTCAGGAAAGATCCAGGCTCGGTAGCCTGAGCACTAGGGCTTGGGAGGAAGTGATTTCTAAGGTCAACAACAGTTTCTTGCATGATCTGCGTACATGCCCGTTTACTCCACATATGTTACGGAGAATTCGATGTCCTCAAGTATTTCTCCGAAGGAGGTTACCCGAAATAACAAAGAACAGAATTTCCCACCTGAAAATAGTAAAACCTGACGTCATTTTTACATTGGCTAGGAAAGCGAGACCGAGACCGACGGTGTAGAAAGCCGGTATCTCCGCAACGTGCCATATCATACCAGCGCTCTTCTCAACCACTGCAGTGGTTGACGTTAGGAGTTTTGTTCACCACTTTCCCATCCTATGAACAGACGCCAGTGACACAGAGAGGTTGCAAGAAGCGGACTTGGACCCCTGAGTTTATAGAAAAGTCCGCCGATGACAAATTCGAGCGTCTAGAGAGGTGAACAATGAGATCTGAGGATGCATCGCGTGATACCAACCCTACCAGAACAGTACGAGGCTGCGCGAGCATATCAAGACTATGGCAGAGACATTGGGAATTATAAATGAAGGGTACCCATGTGATACATCAACATCAACAGACATTTCTTCCAAGAGTATTTTACCTTTGCCTCACTTATTCATCACACGTACGAGATATCAAAATGGTCTTCACTGGTCTTGCCAAATACCACAAGGAGCCCTACCCGGAAATCTCTCCCAAACTCCCAGAAGTGAGCCAGGAAGGGAGAACCATCCTTATCACGGGAGGGAGTGACGGAATTGGACTCGCCACCGCCAAAGCATTCGTTGCCGCCTCGGCCAAGAGAATCATCATTCTAGGCCGACGCGCCGAGAAACTTGATGTTGCAGTTGTTGAGCTTGTGAAGGAAGCGGCCTCGACTGGGTCACCCACGGTTACCGAAGGGCGCGTTTGTGACGTCTCCGACTTGGAGTCGACCGCATCGCTTTGGAGCAGCCTTCGAGATGACGGTATTGTCGTCGACGTGCTGGTCTTGAACGCTGCCGCTGTCGGCGCTATCAAACCTCTTACTGAGATTGGCAGAGATAACATCCTGAAGGACTTTGACTTGAACTTTCGCACCAACTTGGATTTCACGGAACGTCTCTATAAGCAGGAAGGAAAGGGAGCAGGCGGACGAAAGGTATGACTTGCTACCAACTGAGAGACATGGAATGGCTAACATGATGCTTGATTCCCCACAGGTCGTAGTCGGGGTTTCGACTCTCGCGATTTACCTATGGAATCTGGTAAATGACCGTCCGTCATACGGACCCTCCAAAAGCGCAGGCACCCTCATTCTCCAACAATTTGCCCGAGCTTTCAAACCAGAGGAGCTCCAAGTTTCCGTTGTTCACCCTGGCGCCGTCTGGACAGAGGGAATGAAGGAAGCCGGTGGCACCGAGGGGATGTATAAATTTGATGATGGTGAGTCTCGACATCAGAGTACCATCGACTTTTGCATGCTGACGTCTCACTAGTTAACCTCCCTGCACACTTTATAGTCTGGTCTGCCAGCCCACAGGCAGAGTTCTTGCACGGTCGGCTTATCTGGGCCAATTGGGATATAAACGAACTCAAGGGGGAGGCCTTCAGGAAGCAGCTGGATGAGAACCCCAACTTGTTGACGGTTGGGGTTGAGGGATTATCGGAGAGCAAGAACCTGCCTACCGTTTAAGCTTTCTAGACAATTATCCACGGCGAGCTTTTAGAGGGTTTATAAGCCAACACGTGAAACCTTGAATACCTAATTTTCAACTGCTATGTGGCTGTCAATATGAGCAACCTTTTCTAAACACGGGGCTAGCTGAGATCCGGGTTGTCTTGAAAGTGTAGGATGGTGGAGGTTGGCACCGGGGCGAAATGTCCCTTACCGACATGTATCGTTTGTTTCCCTTCTCCTCGTCGGATCGGCCTGCCTAGTTACGACGCTGGGAATATGTATGTTTAGAGATATGATTAGCTTAGGTTCGTAGCTCTATTGAAGAGGAATTGGATGATTTATATATTCATCGATATCTCAATTACTTATAATTTATAGAAGCTGTTAAGGTCGAATAATTCCACCATCGCAATCGCTGAATTAAGACGATCGTCTGACTCAGTTCCCATCTAGGGCTGGGCTGCAAGGTGAATTAAGACATATATGGCTGTGGTGTCACGCGAGACACAGCTTGAGAAGATATTTGAATATTACGCACGATATTACGTATGCAGCCAGCCCTTGAGAAGCGCCGAGTGGGCCTTGGGATTCAAGATACGTCAGCATCAACGGACTGGGCAATTTTCCCTTCCTCCATCGTTTCTACACCGACGTTGATCGATACATTCCCTGTTAGTCCACAGCTGCGGTCGACGTGCGGACTTTACGGGTGGAGCTAAGATGCGGACATCTGCGCCTTGACGTGGAGACAATAACGTTATCCATTGTGGTATCTGCAAGTACCCTGCCAAGCACCATTCAATGTCAGCCCAAGGCTCAAATCTCCGCGGAGTATATAATAGCACCACACACATCTTTCCTCCTAGGCCATTTTGATACCAGCCACACAACCTTTCCAATCCCTTCAGTCTCACACGCAACATTTCTCACCACACAATATGCTTGTTCTCATCGCCGGTATCACAGGTAGCCTTGGACAGCGGCTGGCTTCGAATGCCATCTCACGAGGTTTATCTGTTCGAGGACTTGGTCGAGATGCTTCAAAACTTGAGCCGAGTTTATCCAAGAATCTTGAGTCGTTTGTCACCAGCACCAGCTGCTACGACCAAGCTGCACTTGATCAAGCCGTCCAGGGGGTCGACGGAATCATTTGCTGCTACGCGCCCAACCCAGTTCTTAACATGGACGGCGCCCTGTTGCTTCTTCGCGCTGCTGAAAAGGCTGGAGTAAAGGTTTTTGTCGCCCCGTCGTGGAACAACGACTGGAGCAAGCTCAAGTTTGGAGATTTTACGCACTACGACACACACATCGCCTTTGAGCAGCACGCTGCCGTGACGAGCTCCATCCGCCCCGTCTACTTTTTCACGGGGATGTTTTCTGATCTTCTCCTCACCAATTACGGCCCTGGGTCATTCACCCTGGATGATCAGGGCAAGGCAACGCTTGAATACTGGGCCGATGGGAACACTCGCAAGTCATCGTGGTCATCCCAAGATGATGTCGCCGCCTGGACAATCGAGATTTTCCTCAACGGAGAGGGCGTCCAAGAGGGAAAGGGCGGATTCTTTCGGTTTCGCTCTGGAGAGGTTAGCATGGAAGAGCTTGCGGATGTATACAGCCGCATCTCTGGCCGCGAAATCGAGCTCAAGCGCGTGGGAAGCTTGGAGGATCTTGAGAGGGACTTGGCTCGTCTTCGTCTCGAACATGGGAGAGCCAAACACTGGGAATATTCGAAGCAAGTTGTGGCGCTTCTTGATCTCAAGGGAAGCTGGAAACTTGATGCGGATGAACTGACCGTTTTGGATCATGTCAAGAAGCCAAGGACCTTGGAGGAATGTTTGAAGGAGCATCTGAAGTTGGCATAACTGCATTTCTTCTCCAAGGTTATTGATGGAGGGCTTTTGGAAAAGCCACTCAAAATAGAGAATCTGAAGTTTATTTGATATAGTGTTTTGTTTATATGCCTACTACGCCTGTATTGTCTCATACCTGCAGAATTGCAAGCACCATGGACCCCTGTTAGTCTTCTGACTCGTTATCCCATCAAGAGCCGGGCTTCAACTATAACAAAGAACACATGACCAGGGACCCATGTTGAACTCTGACGTGTAAATCCGTCTAGTTGTATCAGACTCGGACTTAAGCTCATACCTGGAGTGGAAAGTTGTGCAACCCGAGACCCCGAGCTTCTACCCAACTAGGCACCCTCCACCGATGAACTCTTGGCCTAGATGGCCCTAGTGTGTTTGGAAAAGAAACTCAATTTGACTTTCTTTGCAGTCATGGATTTAAAGCTCTTAAGTCCATCATTCATGCAATAAGGGAGTTCGATTGGGCAATGTCACCATCGAAGCAGACAGCCACCAACATATATATAATCAATCCCTTTCCAGTCCATGATGAAGCTTTATTAGACTCAATACCATACTTTCAGGATATTCGAAATGGTCAAAGAGCTCCCTTTCGCTGATATCAAAGTCCCCATTCCCGGGTTTGGTGCCATGGGCATCAACTTCGGCTTGGGCAACAATCTCACGTTTGATGAGGCTGAGCCGGTGCTTCTCCAAGCTGTTGAACTGGGATGCACCTTTTGGGATACCGCCGTGAGTATGATGAAATGCAGCGTGACCGCCACTCTGACTCGTGAATAGGTGGTATACCAGGCTGGTATCAATGAGAAGCTCCTGGGTGATTTCATCAGGAAGCACAACGTTCGAGACAAGATCTTCAGTATGTGTTATCTTTTTGAAACAAAAAGGCAGAGCTAGCCATAGCGAATAGTTGCTTCCAAGTGTGGCGTGGACATCTTTGGTGATGGAAGTATCACGAACAAGGCCACCCACATCAAGGAGTACATCGAGGGCACTATTGAGAGGCTCGGATTTACTCCAGACCTCTACTACCTACACCGAATTGATCCTAGTAAGGAAGATTTCTACTGAAAGAGAGCCATCAAGATTATTAACGGATCCAGATACTCCATTGGAGGAATCAATCCCCGCCCTTGATGAGATTCTCAGAGCTGGTAAGACCAAGTATATAGGCTTATCCGAGTGCTCCGCGGCGACCCTTCGCAAGGCCAATTCGAGTATGTATGCAGAATCAAGGACTAGCCCCGTCTGACCGTCCGACTAGTTGCCAAGATCGATGCCATCCAGGCAGAATATTCTGCATTCGAGACTGTCCACGAAACCAATGGGCTTATTGATACGGCCAAGGAGTTGGGGGTTGCTTTTGTAGCCTATGGTCCATTGGGCCATGGCTGGCTCGCAGATGACTTTCCATACAACACTCCAGATGACTTTGCGCCAGATGACTATCGACGAACTTGCAAGTCCCCCTATTGGGCGTGTCGAATCACACTAACAAGCCTCCACAGTTCCCAAGTTTCAAGGTGACAACTTTTACAAGAATAAAGCCATCGTCGATGAAATTAAGAAACTGGCCTCTTGAAAGAGCGCCACGGTGACTCAAATCGCGCTTGCTTGGGTTGCCATGCAAGGTATGATTGCGATTCCGGGCACGACGAAGCCGAAGCGGATGGAAGAGAATTTCGTCTCGAGAGACATTGAGTTTACTGATGAAGAGTTGAAGGAGATAAGGCGGATTGTTGACACGATTAAGCCGCATGGAAATAGACGCAGTGAGTGGGATGAAGCTACTATTGGACATTAGAAGAGGAGCCGGCCGTGGGGCTGTACACTGAGGCAATTGGGTCATATGTGCTGCTTCATAATGGTATTAGACCAGATATCGCAGAACACTATTACCTGATGAGAAAGATGATGACTTTGTCTTGCTGATACCCAGTGGGTATACATTGAGTGGATAAACGTGACGCAGCAAGTCAAGCCGCGAGAATTTCTAGCAGCGGAGCCACGAGGCCATCCATGGGGAGAATAATAGCTTATCATGAAGAACTGAATTGTTATGGAAGGTCTAAAGCTTATGGTCATGGGTATTTATCGTACAAGTATACGTAGAATTAAATACCTATATATAGTAAGGTTTTTCTTTTTATACCTGCTTTGAAAGAAAATAATAAAACTTTGCTGTTGAGCCAGCATGTGAATAAGTACTGTATTAACCTAGGTACCGCAGGCACTGTGAGAGAGCCGCATCACAGGCATGCCGCGGCCCCTCCACCGATCGCGTCGCGGCTTCTGACGGATTGAGGGTCCTTCCCCACAGAGCAAAGAGAGTCTTGAAACAAAAGTAATTGAGCCTATCATCGTTCAAAAAGGGATTAAAGACGAGTCATGGTGGACTGTTTCATTAAACAAATACGAATATACGAGCACAAAGGTGCTGGTACCTTGTGGGTGAGCTGTGCCACCAACAGGTGTTTGTGAAGGATGAAGAGAATGCGCAGATCATTCTTTACCTGGTCGAATTGTGGTTAGAAAAAAAGAGTCTTTGATGTGAAATAATGTAGGTATATTGCGGCTGCAGCAATTCCCCAGCTTTGTAACTGTCAAACAAGAAAGATGGCTGCAAACACCAGAACCATCAAAATCTTGGCTTCATCCCCCCTACAGCCACTTCTCCGGCCCGTTTCACCAGCCTCAAACCGTCAGAGCGCACCACTCCTTTATAATCCTACACGCTACACGAGCAACCAACGTGCATATTTTCTGACGGGTAAGCAGCAATTTTTAGTTCCATGTCGCCATGAACGCAGAGTTGCGTCATCTGAGTCATCAAACAGCTCGCTATACGAGGGAGCGAAAGAGAATCGAGGACAGCTGGAACGACGGCAAGTGAATCAATCGGAAAGTGGAAAACTCGACCGAAACGAGACGCGACGACATGAAACAAGACTCAAAAGATTGTGTCATTTGACGTGTTGAGGGGCTTCTTATCAAGGGTCCCGGGTCGTGATGTGGGTGGTAGATCCCGGATCCCGGGGCTTGCGTAATGTAATACGAAAGGAGGGACACGGACCCCAAATTTTGGATGAGAGGATTTTACTAAAAACAACAAGAGGAATGATTTTCTTTGTTTCTTCATCTTTTGTCAAAAATTCTGGAAAAATGAGCGTCGTCGTGAATTGCGGCTGTTGAGTTGCAGACATTGACTCAGAACGTCGTTCATTTTTATCCGAGCACTGCCATCTTTTACGCATTCCCTTTGAAACATTTCTTTTAAGCCTCGCCAAGACCTTGGCGCCATATTTGGATCGCCTCTAGGCGCACGAGCGACTTGGTCTATAATGGTACCTCCGACGACGACGACAGCGACGCATTCTCAATCATAACGCATTCATTCTTTCCGATATTATTTTCACTTTTTTTTTTATCATGTTTCTACCACTCGAAGAAAGCAAGAGCGCCGCATGGGCTAACGTCCTGGCTTCTCGACGACTCCTCGTCAAAATAACCGTCATCCTCATCGCCACGATTTTCGCTCTATCACTCTGGATATTCTCCTCAGATCTGTCATATACATACCAAAGAATAACAGCGCCAAAATTCAAGCCCGAATCTTCCAGCTCCAGCAATGTATCAACAAGTACCTACACCTACGACGCAGAGACGCCACAGTTCACCGGCCCAACATCCCAGGTCGCCGACTTTTGGGGTCGACTAGCAAACGAGCTTTACAAGGCTCAGCCTAAGGGCGATGAGATCGTCTCACCAAGGCCCCTTGATCCGGAACAATTCAGTCCTTACGGCTCCAAGGCTCAAATCGACGTTGATGTCCTCGAACTACCCACAGAACAGTTCGAGTCATTAAAGCAAACTCACCACGATTACGTTCAGAGTCTTCGATATCTCGCCCCCGATTTGCCGTTTGTCCGCGATACCCGTGGCGTGGTGATCACCGCAAGTGGCGCCAATTTTGGTATCGCAGCCACGGCTGTGCTTATGCTGCGCCATGTTGGCTCCAAGCTCCCTGTACAGCTATTTCTGGACTCAGCCAGCGAGTACGAGCGTAAGCTGTGCAACACTTCACTCGCCTCGTTGGACGTACAATGCCTCAACATGGACGACTTCTTGCACGTGCCAAAGTCTGCCAATTACAGCACGCCGCATTTCGAAAAGTTCGAGTTCAAAGCCTTTGCCCTCATCTTCTCCAGCTTCCAAAACATCCTCTTCCTAGACTCGGACGCTTTTCCCATTCGAAAACCCGATTATCTCTTCGACGTGGAACCTTACAAGAGCCATGGTCTGGTAACATGGCCCGACTTTTGGCTACCTACGATATCTCCTCTCTTTTATGAGATTGCAGAGGCACAGATGCCCAACAGGACCATCAAGTCACGAGCTTCCGAGTCTGGAATTATGCTGTACGATAAGGCGCGACATGCCGATAGCCTCTTGCTAGCAGCCTACTACAACTTCTACGGAAAGTACTACTATCAGCTTCACTCACAAGGCGCCTGGGGATCGGGCGACAAGGAGACGTTCACTCAGGGTGCCGTGGTACTTGGGAATCCTTTCTGGCAGGTCAAGCAAAACGCCGTCATGCTCACCCCAGGAGAAATCCATTATGGAAGCGGGATATGGCAGGCTGATCCCGAGATCGACTGGAAGAGCAACCAGAAGAAACCCACAAAACGGGAAATACCCATCACAACAACCATGTTCGCCCACCTAAACAGAGTCAAGTTTGACACGAGAAGACTCAACAGCTTACTGGACGAGATAACATCCGAAACAAAAGAGGGAGAGAAGGAAGAGTGGTCGAGAATATGGGGCCCAGACTACAATTCGGTAGTGAAAAAGGCGGGCTATGACCTAGAAAAGGTCATTTGGGAGGAGGCTATCAAGGCCACTTGTGAGCACTCTTTATTGGATGAGTGTGAGAGGATTCGGAACTATTACGATACGGTGTTTGGGCAAGAGGCCTGATTTGAACCTGGAAATACCCATGGCTATATGAAAGCCAACAATGTTATTACTATGTTACATGTATTATATCCAATGTCAACGAAAACATTTATGACAGTCCTGCTAGCCTCAAGAAGGCAGGGTTCTTGAGAACCCTCATGCCGCCCTTCAGTGTCGTGATATCACTCCCTCCCTCGTCCAACTGCTTATCCCACCTCCCCATCGCCATTTCAACCAGGAACTTTCCAAGAGGCTCAGTAGGAGCGTCAAGCGATGGAAACGCCATTCTGACAGGAGGACCTAGAACAGCTCTGGCACTATTATGGAAGAAGCCCTGATCAGGGACGTATGGCTTGATAGCGGCATGGTCTCTTTCACTGACGACTCCGGGTCCAACCGCCTCTGTTATGAGACGGGGGTATGTGTTGCGCATCTCTGAGAGGAGGAGCTCTGTCTCTCCTTTGACACGGGCGTACCGGTTCGTGAACATCCCAGGGTTCTGTGTTGAGCTCTGTCCAGAGACAAAGATGAAGCGGAAAGGTTCGTCGTTGGGAGCAAGGCCGGCGAAGGCTTGGGCGCCAGCCAGAGGGTAGTCTTTCGTGATCTTGATGTATTCACTGTAAAATCGTTAGTGAGCGTGCTCCAGGACCACCACAGAGAGGACTTACTCCTTGGAGACCTTGGTTTGGCTAACTCCAAGAGCCCACACCGCGCCATTAGCACCTTGCAATTGACTCAACACATTGCGCCCGTAGTGTAAGAAGTCGGTATGAATGATGACATTGACTCTCGGGTCGTTTGCATTATCAGCCATAACTACTGGCCGTCGGCTGAGGATTGAGATCTTGGTGATGTCCTTCATTTTGAGCATGGCGTCGAGCACACCAGACCCGATGAGGCCGGTGGCTCCAGTGAGAATGAGATGCATGGTGGATGGATGAGGAGAAGAGGCGACAGATGCATTGAAGGTGATTGAAACTGGCAGAGAAATTCTATTTATATTTCCCAATGGTCAAAAGATCACAATTCGTCTACATATGCTGTACTCTGCCATTATCGTCCCCTTCAACCCGTGCCGTGTGTCCAAGTCAGCAGTTTTTGCCTGTTTAGGACATGGCGCGTCAGCACACCCAGAGTCAGGGCTACGATGGTGTTAGTGGGCTTCGCCCAACGGGTTCAGAGACATGGACAAGTCGATGCATTCGAATTCTTCGACTGGATTCCACACGTGGCCTGCTATCTGCCGTCGTCTCGGGCTCCCCGAACAACCGCTCCCACTGTCACTTGCCGAATCGAGGTTGTGGAGTTGGAATCAAATGTTAAGCACTACTAGAGGGAAGCTTAAAGCTTGCAGACTTTGGTCATCAAAAAGAATTTATCCCAGCCAGACGTCTAGGGAAATGTCTCTCCCAAATCCAACACATCAATCAACCTTCTTCAACGGCTTCTCGGGCTCCTCATTCGGCTTCTCAACCCGATGGCTCACCACTCCGACAAATCTCAACATGTCAATTGACGGGCTGTATCAATTAGCAATGTTCACGGTGAATTAGTCCACCATTTACTCACTTGTCAAACTTGGACGCCCAACGATCAAAGGCTAGCAGCGAAAGCGTTGTGCCCATGTAGATGCCGATGCCATGAGGATAAGTTCCTTCATAGATCCCCATGAGAATACCGCCAATCAAACCGAGCGAGTATCCTTGCCCATAGGTATTAATACCGGCGAATTTGCTTGACCATATAATGATGAATCGCACCCAGACGAAGCTGGCAAGCATCTTGACGCTTGCCCGATGCCACTCGGTCGATCCCAGGTACAAAGCCAGACCTGAAGCAAGCACACGCATAAATGCCATGGCTTGAAACGACGCACGGCTCAACTCAAGAGTCAATTTGGGTATGAACCGCATCCTCTCGGTCATGACGAGACTTGTAATAGTCTGTACGACACAGAGGAAGAGGTCAATGTTGTTTGCTTTCGGATCGTGGCCGAGATGCCATGACTTGACGTGGAAGAGGACGACTTCGATGACCGAGACGACGGAGTGGACAATGAGGAGGGAACGGTGGTAGTGATGTGCCTTTGCGTAGCCTTTGGACTTCATCATGCGTAGCATGTGAGGCATGAAGTAGGCAAAGATGCAAAAGGTGTAGATGTGATTGATAGGTAATTCATTATACTTGTTGAAAAGAGGCCACTGAGTGCCATTGGATGTGATATTTGTGCTGTCCATTGTCTGAAAGTTGAAGCAACTTGATCCTAAGTTGATCGCCAAGTCTTGGACTCTCTAGCCTTTTTGTACTTGATCAACATCTCGCAAAAAGGGATGCAAGCCGCGCTTCTATTTCCATCCAACTGATTTACATCTGTCAGCTTACACAGTTCGCCTGTGATTGGTGGTGACAGCGTATGGTAGCTTACCACCACGCGTTTGAGATCCCAGCAACAGCGCCAAGTATAACTTAATTGGGCAATTCGCATCAACTCCTCAAGTCGGGTGCGTATTCGATACCGTGCCGTTCACCCGAGTATCGGTTGAAACCTCTCCACGTCGACATCTTCTCGGTATTTTGGATAATTATGTCCTTTTTGAGCAAGTGAATCGTTCCCGCGAAGCCGATGAGCCGAAGTGGTCTGATCAAAGTTTCCAACGACAAGCATAGCACTGGCATGATGGGGGGAGAGTCCTGTCGCAGTGAAAACGGCGCCAAGCTAGAGGTACGTGATTGAGTGGACACTGTCTCAAACATTTGGCGCTATGATCCGTGAACCGTTCGTCTGATGTCCCCCCTGCCGGGTTCGTTGTGTTCCTCGCAACAGCTTACCCATTCTTGGTTTGGTCTGTTGAGCCTCTTGTCAGATGGGCAATGCTACACCACCACGAATCCAGATAGAATGAAATCTCGGAGAGGGGGCAATGCGGTGGGGAGATGATTTTTCGCAGTGTCAGATACTCAATTGCCTGATTGCATCTGAGGAGTCCGATGAGTGATGAGGTTGAGGTGGTGGCGTGGGTGGTGAAGGCCAACACGACTTCGTGACTGAGCTGACAGCACAGCCATACAACCTCCACTTTAGCTCTTATTATCTTATACCATGAGCTAAACCTTAGTGACATTAATATTTCTAACTGACTCAGTAAGTCTTGATATCCTTTAAACTTTGGAACCTGAGATCACCTGCAGTGGGCAGTGCATTGTTAGTCGACTTGGGGCCTACTATGTATTTTCTTCGCTCATCGTTTCTGACATGTAAAATGGCTCGTATGTAACGGATAGTCTTGGTGGCGACCTCGCTCTTAACATAAAAACGCGGGATTTGCATTGTGGTATCAGGGCTCGATCTGAGAATTTGGGTCTCACGAAGATTTTGTGATACATTTGCCAGCTATCCGATCCCCTCCCCTTGATATAGGAAGCAGTTGGTGCTACAAAGGAGACTCGCTCTTGTTGTCCTTGTTATGATGAACTCACATGACATCCTCCTCTTGGTCGAAAGAGCGGGGATTTGTGTGCGGGGGCTGGAGGGGAATCTTAGCTCCTGCAAGTCAGACGAGGCATAAACCTCACCGACTCTCCGTATACTGGCTCCTCCATGGAGAGCTATTAGTCTCATAGGCCTTGCCAGTTTTATTCCGCTCTATAGTTTTGTTAACATGGTTGAAGCAGATAGGTCGGCCTTGGCAGACGGCCAAAAACCTGTCCTGTTCTTGTGAGCACCTGTCAATCCATCTAACACCCCGTCCTAACACTTATAGCGATATTGATAACTGTTTATACTCTCGAGGCAAGTTGGTATCTCATACACAATATGCCACTGACCACTAACCACCGTCCATAGATCTTGGGGTACAAGACTTATTACCAGCCCTGATGAACGCCTACTTCGAGAAACATCTCAGCCTACCCAAAGACGAAGCCGCCCGACTCCAAAGAGAGTACTCGCGGCAATACGGCCAAGCACTTCAAGGCCTAGTGCGCCATCACCAGATCGATCCCCTTGACTACAACGCCCAGGTCGACGATGCTCTTCCGTTGGAAGACTTAATCAAGCCAGACCCACGACTACGGCAATTCCTCCAGAGCATCGATACCTCCAAGGTTAAACTGTGGCTTTTGACGAATGCATACGTCAACCATGCCTCGCGAGTTATCAGGTTACTAGGGGTCGATGACCTCTTCGAAGGGCTGACTTATTGTGACTACGGTCAAGTCCCGCTGGTCTGTAAGCCACATGAAGATATGTTTCGAAAGGCCATGAAGGAAGCAGGTGTCTCAGACGTTGGGAATTGTTATTTCATCGGTAAGTATGTCATGCAAAATGAGAAAGCACCGCTGACCGGGTTGCCAGATGACTCGTATAGCAACTGTTCCGGGGCGCGAAAGGCTGGCTGGACAGCCCTTCAGTATTTGGAAAAAGGCTTGCCAGAGCCTTCTGAGCCTGCTGGACACTATTGTATCCGAAACTTGGAAGAATTACAAGATGCGCTGCCACAGTTCTTCAAGACACTTAACTAGAACAGCTCAATGATAGTAATAGAGCATATTAACATTGGCCACGTAAAGGAAAAAGAATGAATCAGACCACAGTTGGATATGTTAGCAGAGAAGAATATTTCATTAGCAGAAATAAAAGTCTTATTGTGTTCAACTACCCCCTGATAAGTCCCCATTACTTACAAACACAACCAAAACCGCCGCATAACTAAACGTAATTATTCACATTAGACTTGATCCTCAAACCATTCAGTCACGGGGCTCGTGTACTCACGCTGCACTGCCTGCAAATATCTCGGCTCGTTTTGCATTTGTCATTAATCCCACGCTCATGGCAAACATGACCGTGAAGGAGCCTATCATGCCCAATACCGCTGGTCGGGAGCTCACGAAAGATAGGCTGGTGATTGGCCCTACTAATAGGATGATCGCGGCGATGATGTTGACAACAGTGACAGCTGTTGTGACTGATCGCTCGTTTGCTCGGCTGATACGGCTAACCCCATCCCTTGATGTCTCTTCCTAATGACGAGGAACATGAAGATGAGCCCAGAATCCCAGATCAATGCCAATATCATGATTTACTCACCTTGCCGGGCCAGCGGGCTCGGAGTGCCTTTGATAACGGGTCGGTTTCCACAGCTGCCTTAAGGGATACGAGATCCTCCTCAGCATCTAGATAGTTTTTCGCCAATCCATTCACCATGGGCCTTCGTTTTTGACCATCTGACTCCAGTGGACCTCCCCAAAGCTCGTTCTGGGCCACTCTGATAACCCTTTCGTCGGGCAAATGAAGTCGGGTGATTCTGGACTCAAGGTCCAATGCCTCATCTATCTAAGGTGAGCAGGGTATCAACCATCGGCTTGGGGCTGACTTGCGATATTCCTTGATCTTTTCTCCGAGCTAGCTGACAAGCCCCATCATCTCTGTGGCTTCTGTCTTTCCTTGTTTGGCTTCTTTGATCATCACTTCCCACGTCTCTGCAACTTCCTCCAAGTCTATGTCGCGGCAACACGCAATCTTTTTGTCCCATTTCCTCAGTTGATCCTCTATTGCTAATAGCTCGCACTGCAAGTAGAGCAGATTCCGGGCGCTTATCCTGCCGAACTTGCGGAAAATCAGGAGGTCCTGATCTCGGTCCGAGGCCATCAGCGATACCACGGCCGCGAAGCCCAAGGGCGTCGGCTCAATGTTTCTGCTTGCACTCATCTCTATATCGTCGGTTGCGGGCATCGCTGTGCACTTAGGCCGGCGTAATGCTAAACTGTTGGCCTACTGCAACACTTAGAAACACAGGCCATTGTAATATAGAGACTTTCAATCAGATAGTCCACCCAGACCAAGACTTCCACGACAAATATGATTGCCGGCACTAATGGAAGGCCAAGGCGACGTGTCAACATTGTCACCTAATCAGGGCTGAACTCGAAACAAGGCAACGGCTGCCTTGCTCCGCCCCTTTCTGCGCCTCCATGCAAAGTGACTGGTGTGTTGCATCGCTTGTGCTATGTGACGCCTCGTGGCGCTCGAGTTACCCAATACCAATCAGACCTTCCGAGCTGAGAAAAGCCTGATAGGGACTACTTCTAGGGACACTATAAGAAGGCTGTGGCATAAGTACTTCGCAACTCGTCGACAGGGGTCTGCCCCCGCGAGGCTTCACACAGCCCAAAAGATAAAGATGCCTCGCCTCAGTGATTGATGTTGATGAAGCTCAAATGTGGAGTCTCGAGGCAACAAGCAATTCAAAACAAGAACGAGGCGAACCACGGAAGAGCCTCTGCCAATGCCCGCCAGATTTGCGAACCAGTCAAACCAGGCCGACAGCTCCCAAAGCTCCAGGCCAAATTTTTCCCCTGCACACTTCTCTCCTCTTTTAAAACCGTTCCCGCACAAAAGCAAAACCTCGAGCAAGTGTCCCACAGGAAAAACCACACCGCGAGGTAGGGCTCATGCCTCAGCATGGCCAATATAACCGATAAATGGGTAGATTATCTGAGGAATCGCAATCACCAACACCGTGAGACTACGCAAGACTCCGAGGGTGTGTCTAATACGTAAGTGTTGGTCCCTGTCGCTTGGTTGGCTGCTGACATATGGTTTGATGCAGGTCAGGAGAAAAGACGACGACCGACACCATAGCCCCATCTCGAAGGCGCCAGCCACGACAGGTCTATAAAGGCCCCAGTGACTACGTAGTGGAGGGTCTGGTGGGCGAACACCAAGTGAATAGACTTGTTGACACTGGTGCCGAACGCAACTTCGTTTCGGCGCAATTTGTCCAAAAGGCCGGTCTCACACCATATGAAACAGACACAAAAACAGTCCAACTAGCTGGCGGAAGGAAAACAGAATCAACAGGCTCAGTGTAAGTTCCATTCTCCTTCGCAGGCGAGCCCAAGCAACACATCCTGGATTGTTGGATTATCCCGAAATGCACGAGTGACCTTATCTTATCGAACGGCTTTCTACAAGTTACGCAAACTCTTACCAAGTTCAAGAATCGAATTAGAAAGCTGGCACGGTCTCTTTTCGGGTCACACCTTCGGATGAGCCTCCTTGGCGATGAAAGACAGCGCCTCTGGGGCTCAATGGATAGCATATATACGCACGCCCTTCTTGACACCGGGTGCGATCTCGATTTAGTAGGGGCCGCCTGGGCAAGGGCGAACAACTTCAAGATTGATCAAGGCCCTGAACATCGATTGCCCCTCGAATTGGGGGATGGAACACGGATCTCCACTACTGGCATCGTCCGCGATGTGACGTGGACCTTTGGAGACTCAAGGGAGAAAGTCTGCTCTGACTTTTATGTTCTTGATGCTCTGTCGGCGGACGTAGTGTTCGGGGGCGATTTCATCATGGAGCGAGACGTTTTCTCCGAGTTCAGTCACTTCATGATTCATCTCGACTATGAGGCCAGAGCGCCAGAGCGCCAGAGCTTGGGATAGTCAGGTTACTGAGCGACTTCAGTCCAGCACTTGCCAGGCTTGAAGAAGAGGCCATCAAAGACCGTAAGCTGATTATTCAACTGACTTGTCACGTACACGGCGTTAACCACTAGTTAACATTTTATCGATAGTGAGCTCTGACAACGCTCGCCAAGCAGAGCGAGTCCTACGCGGCCGCATCAGGGACGCGATTAACGAGCTTCCGGCGGCGAAGCAGAGTGAGGCTTGGGAGGCCGAATTCCAACGACGGCTAATTTGGCTGCGTTATTATGGCAGACATGAACTCGAGTAGGAGTCGGAGGATACCGCTTCTGGCAAGGTGGATGTGACGCAAGGATCTTGCCAGAATGCAACTAATCCGAAGAGACGTTGGTGGAGGAGATTTCTTTCTTACGTTAGCGAGTAAGGGTCATGGGGTTTAAAGGAGTTTCATTGGGATGGTTAGTATTGATATTGTAGTAGTCCTTTTTTAAGAATTTGTTATCAGTTATCTCCCACTTCGGCGAAGTGAGTCAATTCCCACTCCACTCTTGTCTATCACCACAAGTCACCTCGGCGTCTTGAGCCCCCCTGCACGGTCTAACCACAAGGAGCCAACTCCATGGGATGCAAAAACCTCGCGGTCCCAAAGTGCGACGCGTTTGCTGAAGAAGCGACATGTGAAATCAAGATGGTTACGTCTCGGGTGATGTTTCGTTGAATGTATAGGCCGTCAATTCCTTTTCCGAGGACAAATCGCCGTGTGCAAAGGCCTTGGAGCTCGGCGGTATCGTCTTTTGCAAGGGCCTGGAACTTGTCAACAAATATTATCCACAATCGCGGAATTAGACCGCGAAAGATTCGATTGTAAAGCCCAAGATACTCGAGTTCATGGCTGCCAGCTCCTGAGCATCTTGACAATCAAGATGTGCCATTCGGCCGGTTCAATGATACAGTACTCGGTCATCGTAAACTTCCCAATGGCATCTTATCCAGCCATTGCAACCAACACAACGTCAAGTCAATCCGCATCCTGAAATGTCCCAAATCCTGACGAATCAACACTCAAAAGACCCTGGTCGATTCCATTCCCAGCACGTCATATGGATCCTTCACCCAAGACGCCTCGGCTTTTTCGCTTCCCCTTTGCCCCCGCGCTATCTCCGAAAAGAGAAGATAATCACCGTGGACGACTCCATTACAAATCCTTTCTCTCGTTCTTCGACGAAACGCCGAGGACGAGATATATACTTATTGGGGCCGGCCTGGAGCCTGGGAGAGGATATTTTTGATACTCGAGTCAATTCGTTCTGTGGCCAACCTTTTGCGCTATTCTCAGTTCCTTAGATTCAGCCAGCACCAAGATGACCACGCAAGAAAAGCCTGCCCTGCGTGGGCAAGGGGAGTCACCGCAATACGTAGACGAAAAACACCACCATTCAACCGAACCAGAGCAACCCTCCCACACCTTGTTCAGAAATCCGACAAAAGCAGATGATGACCCCAGTGGGCTTGAGAACGGAACACCAGCAGACTTTAGTGAAGAGACCACTGAAGCCGGCGATGGGGACGACTCCGGCCCCGATTGCTCCTCTTTCGAAGTCTCCTGGGATGGCGAAAAGGATCCAATGAACCCAAGGAACATGTCTGTGTTTCACAAGTGGGTTATCGTTACGATTGTGTGCACATCGAGTCTTTGCGTGTAAGTCCTCTGAGACATGGTTACAGACATTGACTAACTTTTGATCAAGGACATGCGCCAGCTCTATTTACACAACGACATACGCCCAGATGAATGCCGAGTTTCACGTTTCCACTATTGTCGCTACACTTGGCCTTTCAACCTTTGTCATGGGCATTGCTCTTGGTCCTCTACTGACAAGTCCTCTGAGCGAGTACTATGGACGACGACCTATTTACCTTGTGTCCTGGGCCATGTTCACCATTTGGACCATCCCGTGCGCTGTCGCACAAAATATCGAGACCATGATAATCGTTCGATTCTTTGGCGGTTTTGCAGGTAGCACGTTTCTGTCTGTTGCAGGAGGAACAGTGGGAGACGTGTTCCTTCGCAGTGAGATTCAGAAGCCCATGAGTCTGGTCTCACTGGCACCTTTCATCGGGCCTGCTATTGGACCTGCCATTGGCGGCTTCATCAACTACAACACAGATTGGAGATGGACTTGGTACGTCATGATCATTTGGGCTGTTGTCCTCATGGTATCTATCATTTTCTTTGCCCCCGAGACATACCATCCTATTCTCCTACGAACCAAGGCACGAAAGTTGAGAAAGGAAACTGGAAACGATGCATACCGTGCACCTATGGAAAACACGACCAAGTCCATCATGACAACGCTCAAGCTCTCCCTCCTACGGCCTTTCCAGCTACTCTTCCTCGAACCCATGTGTCTCTGCCTTGACCTCTACTCTGCCATCTTGCTCGGCATCCTCTACCTATTCTTCGGCGCCTTCCCCTTGGTTTTTCGAACAAATCACGACATGAACCTCTGGCAAGCCGGTCTCACATGGCTGGGCATCATGGTTGGACTTCTCATTGCAGCCGGCAGTACCCCATTCTGGGCGAACATCCGAGCCAAGCTGTTGAAGCAGCATGAGAAGGAGACAGGACAGATTGGAGGTAGTGAGCCTGAGTTTCGACTACCTCCTGCCATCTTGGGTGCTATCCTTATTCCTTGTGGTCTATTTTGGTTCGCCTGGACGACTTATTCTAGCATTCACTGGATTGTGCCCATCATTGGCTCCGCTGTATTTGGTTGCGGGTGAGTTGAGCCCAACCTCCTATCCACCGTCTCGTTGAGAGCTTTCACTAACCTCTGGGTCTACATAGAACATTGCTTGTCTTTACAGGAGTCTTTACTTTTCTTGTAAGTTGATCCCTCCTTTATAAGCTACTCATTCAAAAAGCTTTCAAAACTAACCTTGATATAAAGGTCGACGCCTATCCCAAGTACGCTGCCTCTGCACTTGCTGCCAACAGCTTTGCGCGATGTTCCTTTGCTGGTATGTCTTGAGAACACCACTTTCCCATTATCCAGTCTGCTAACTTCTATCCAGCCGCGTTTCCCCTCTTCGGCATCCAGATGTATGAGAAACTTGGATACCAGTGGGCTTCAAGTTTACTAGCCTTCTTGACGGTTGCAATGGCGCCTTTCCCGTACCTGTTCTTCAAACATGGCAAGGCGCTGCGGGCAAAGAGCAAGTTTGCTGTTGAGACGCTGTGATCTGCACCAACAGTGCAACGAAATGGCATGTAATCGATTGAAGAGATAATCTGGGGATATACATAAAATGCATAAACTGGGCGCCGATGTCTTGATGCAGTGTTTCCAAGATGGCTGGAACTGAATCAAGCATCCGTGGAACATTGAGGCGGTAATGGGTTAGATGGCAGAACAAAAAGTGGTTTTATAGACTAAAATTAGACATTTTGCACTATTTCAACAAGAATTTTGGGATTCATCTAACATCAAAAGCTCGTTGGTGATCCAAGACCTAATTCCCGTTCCCAGTGATGAGGCTGTCAACCTGGGTGTCGCCGTCCGTCCTTATTGCGCCATGATAAACCCGTCCGCTCTACAAGCCCATTGTATCTGGGGGTGCAACTCCAAAAGGCGCAGGAAGCAAGGGACCGAGTCCATGCTGTAAAAGCAAGTCAACGTCGATCGAGTTATCAAGACATCCAGCCCAAAAAGAGTCATAGCCTAGCGGATCAGAAACTTGCGGCATGAAATCGACTGCATGCTGATCTTGAGATTGCGCCCTGTTGTTGGCCACCGCCGGTATTGCTGGCTCGGTTCCCTCGCTTCTGGTGGGGATGGGTACGTTGTCGGTGGGCTGACTTCCTCGGGAATCAACATCGCTGTTCCCAATTCGAGAGGTGACGTTGACTATTGCCCCTCCGGGAACGGCTGAGTCCTGTCCTGTGAGTCTCCTGAAGAGATTGACAAAGAACCTCATGATCCAGAGTCCCACTGGCCATGGCTTTGCTAATTCACTTAATGCAAGGATACACTGCCTTGACTTGTTGCCTGCTAATTGTCTGCGTATTGGGTCCTTTCGGCAGATGACGATTGTGTGAATTGAGAGCGCTCCGAACACGGCGGGAACACTAAACGGTTAGAATAGAATCCAACTTAGGGGAGGGTAGTCTTACAGATGCATTTGCCCATATCGGATGGTACCAGAGGCCAGCATGTCCTCAGCCATGCGAGTGATGGAGTCAGCTGCCATCCGCGCCCGAACGTCTCTCTCAGTCTCTTCTGGCGACAGGTTCTCAATTACTTTGGGGCGAAAGAGAAGGATGTAATAGTTTCTAGGCCGCCGTTAGACGCGACAACTCAAAACCGGTTTGGAGACTTACTGATACGCCATTTGCAGGTTACTAGCCCAGAATGATGCGCCCAAGGACTCATCAGGAGGCATTTCTCGGAGACATTCTGGTAGCTTAGAGTGCCACTGCTCGAGTCTTTCGACGAGATTCTTGGCTTTGTAGCATTCCAATGCTGGACGGCGAGGGCTGAATTCGCCGATGACGATGTCGCCGACTGGTGATATGGTTAGTTATCGAAGATTGAGTTATTATTCTCATACTCACGTATTACTGCCAAGTTACTCATCTCGATGAAATAGGAAATGTGGTGGTCTTTTTGGGAAGGTATAAGCTCCTCATCGTAGCATTCGTCAAAGCGGAGGTCGTCTTCAGTGAGAAGCTCAATATCGCAGTCTTCATCTCTAATACGGCATGGCCGCCCTAGACAAGCCGCGGTGTGTCTATCTCGAGACTGGGAGTGTTAGCTTGCAGTCGTTTGGGAATATTGGCAGCAACGTACGTAGATGGACCACCATATCCGCCTCCAGAGCGATCGCGTCTCTTGACTCAGTTCAGAGCGGGCCATGCTTGAATCAACTCAGTATATGGAGATGAGGCATGGGAGAATCCGACTTACGAACGATGCATGTTGATAGATTGCGCAAAAGTTGTCGCGCAGCCCAACCAATACCACGAATCCTTTTGATCATCTGGTCCATTCCACCAAAACCCCATGAGTGACAGCGCGGAAGCGATATTACTACGATCCGTCTCATGATCAACATCATATAAAGTCTTTGCGCGGAGATAATATGTCTTTCTTGCAGTCGCACGGTCTAAAAATCCCGCATCTTGGATCAGATTGTCGTCGCAGAGGGTGACGGCGATGAGGAAGACGGCCTGAAGCAGGAGAGGAGATGCTTGTCCGAGTTTGTATTGCTCGATAAAGACGCGCCGATTTACGACTGGAAATGCTGGATGCATTATGTTGAAAAATGAAGAAATCAATCGATCAGATATATTTCGCGGCGGCATTATGAGAGCATCCTGTAAGCTGGTGACCTCTACTTGTGGCCTGTTTGGAAGAACTGCACGGTCGGCGATGGAGGCGGGAATAGGGTAGTGCACCTTGACAGGCTCGGCGACTCCACCCCTTGGACTGCATATCATTTCGATGATGTAGGATAAACTGTTGGAGTCACCAAGACAATATGATCGGGCATTTGTTTGGGTTTGGGTTTGCTGAGAGACATTGGGCTGTGGGAAACCGGCGCTGGTGTCTTCATCTTGAGGTTGTGGCGCGTCCTGGCCATTTGGGCTGGAGATGCTGTTTGGCGTGTTGAGAGCAATGTCAGGGGAAGATTGGACCACATCGGTTGACGGCTCTCGGGTTTCTCGGAGCCGACGAGAAACACGACGGTCCTTTGGCTGACCACGACTCTGTCGCGTATATCTGGTCAAGGTATCAGCCTGAGCACGTCGCAGCTATCTAATGACCGGTCTACATACTTGCCGCGTCTCGATTCTATCAGCTCGCAAGTCGTGTTACGGGTCCGGCAATGCCAGCACGGCTGCCCGTCGCCGGCATCGCATTTCACCCGCCGGGCGTGGCAGGCTTTGCAGGCGACGCGGGTCCGGCGAGGAAGCGGACTCGGGTTCTCAGCTGATTCACTCATGACGACTGACGATGGATACGCTTCAAGCAGAGCCGCAAAGGACGATGAGATCTCGTTGATGGTGACGCAAGTCGGCGAGGTTGAACAGCGTGAAGGGTGGAGACGCGCAGCCAAGATGCCTCGGGTTCTTACGGAGTCTGCTTATTCATCGGCTTCTTGGTTTGTCATTTCCCCCTTGTTCAAATTCTCCAATAGTGGGGGGGGGGGGGGGGGGAATTGACTTTGATGATGCGTGCATCCCCCCATCCTTGCCGTTTGTCTTCTTGATCTAAAAGACGCGCTGTTCTACTTAATTGAGTGGATGCCCTTGATTGAATCCCTTGACCGTCAATCCTAGATCTACACAGCATCAGCTACGTAATACTACGTCTGTAGTTCATCTCGGTACCAATTCTCATGTAACACTGCACATCTCCACTTGTCAAATGTCAGACCAAGGGCGCGCGTGGTGGAGTCCGACGTCGGGCGAAAACGACAAGAGGCTGAAGGTTAAAAGCGACGTAAAAAAGATGAAGAGATTTAAAAGAGGAGCGAAAGTTCAATTGAACACGTCTAGGCAATTGACTTCTCCTCAATTAGCATCATGAGTCAAACTTCAGTTGAACTTCAACCCGTTCAGGAGACGGCCCGTGAAGATGGGTACGGCTCTTCCACTTCGCAAGGTGAAGCTCTCACTGGTGGAACCGAGTTCCAGTCACTGCCGCCGGTTGATCGGGGAAAGGAAGCTTGGCTCTTCCTCGCAGCTTCATTCATGGTTGAGGCTTTGACCTGGGGTAGGTTTTACACTCACTATCACCAATTGAAATTTTGTTGACCCTCGTAGGCTTCCCCTTTGCCTTCGGTGTCTTCCAGGACTACTACAGCACCAATGCCCCCTTCAAAGGATCGTCTGCTATCGCTGTCATCGGTACTTGCGCAATGGTAGGCCAATGCCTTTTTAACAAGTATCTCGCAAACTAACATTCCTAGGGAATCATGTATCTTGGCATCCCCTTCGTCATGAGCATCCAGAGACTCTTCCCCCAGTACAGTCGCTGGTCTCCGGTTATCGGCCTCTTCATCATGTGCATCGCCCTGGCCTTGAGTTCCTTCTCCCAGAACACGACACACCTTATCCTCACCCAAGGAGTTTTATACGCCATTGGCGGTTCAATCTCGTACTGTCCTTGCATTTTGTACATGGACGAATGGTTCGCCAAACGCAAGGGCTTTGCCTTTGGCGTCATGTGGTCGGGTACTGGACTTGCTGGGTTTGCTCTGCCATTGCTGTTTGAGCATTTCCTGCACAAATATGGCTTCCGTACTACCCTGAGAATTTGGTCGCTGGCTCTATTCATCTTGACGCTGCCGCTTGCATTCTTCATCAAACCTCGTCTTCCCCACTCGGCCACGAAACACATCAACCCTCTCAAGCTAAGCTTTGCACTGAGCCGAAACTTCATGTTCCATCAATTTGCCAACGTCGCTCAGGCACTCGGCTTCTTCCTTCCTGGAATTTACCTCCCCTCCTATGCCAGAGCTACTCTGGATGCCGGCACATTCTCCTCGGCCCTGACCGTGTTGCTCATCAACGTCGCCTCAGTCTTTGGATGTGTCGCCATGGGAGCTCTGACTGATCGTCTGCACGTCACCGATTGCTTCATGATTTCTGCAGCCGGCGCGACGTTGAGCACCTTTTTCCTCTGGGGCTTCTCGACCAACATGCCCGTGCTGTACGTCTACTGCATCATCTACGGCTTCTTCGCAGGCTCCTACACCTCTGCCTGGCCTGGCATCATGCGCATGGTCACCGCCGGGCCTTCAAACGACAGTGGTGACCGTGCTACTAGTGGTAGTTCGTTCGACCCGGCTATGGTCTTGGGTGTGCTCTCTGCTGGTCGTGGTATTGGTAACGTCGCCTCAGGACCGCTGAGTGAAGCCTTGATCAAGGGCATGCCGTGGCAGGGACAAGCTGCTGCTGGATATGGAACGGGATATGGCACGCTGATTGTCTTTACGGGAGCGACAGCATTAGCTGGAGGAGCGACGTTTTTGTTTCGAAGGGTCGGTTGGATGTGAGGGTTTTCATAAGAAACGGCGGTTATGTGATTAAAATGGATAGCCGCGTTGGGGCCCAGAACTGATATAGATGTGATTATAAAAGTTTCTATTGTTTCGCCTTGCTCTTCATTTCAAATTAAGTTGACATAAACTACACTGAGAAGAAGAAACCTATCCCAAAGGCGCGATATTCATCTCCGTCATGTAGTCCTTCAGTTCTTGTAGCCCCGCAACCACGTCCTCCAAAAACCTCCTTTGCAGATCTTCATTGTCCATGTCCGTCTCTCCCAGTCCAAAGTCGCACCCAAGACACTTTCTGATAATCTTTGGGTACGTCAACCCGAGCTGATTGACCAGCTGCCCCGCCAGTTTCTCGGCGATCTTGTAGTCGGACAGCTTTCCAAGGGTTGCTGTCACGGCCTGCTTCAGCTCGTACCACGGCCGTGCGAAACCGATCTCGAGCATCAGGATTCCAAAGTTGAATAGTAGTTCGTTGCGTGCCTCTAAGAAGCGGACTGTGCGGTAGAGCGTGATGCCCTCGCCCGAGGACACAGCTGCCTGAGGAGGCTGGAGGAGGCCTTTCCCCTTCTTATTCTTGAGCCGTGCCATAAAGTATGGCCCTTTGAGCCGAATTGAGGTAGAATTTAATGCGTTAGGGCCGAAGTATCGCACGTTCTGTCCAAGATCACCTGAGACCAGCCAAGGCGTAGAGTAGAACTGCATAATACCCTCTGCTACGTTGCCAGCCAGCTCGACCAGTATTGGCCGAGGCAGGGAACGAAGCACAGGCTCCTCAGAAATCCACATGATGATATCTGAAAGTGCCATCGACCCGCCATATTGTGACGAAAGCGCTGCTGGGACACAGAACCACTCAGCGTGAGGGCCGTTCCACGAACCGAGGAAAGATCTATCGTTGCAGCACGCTACGCTATTGTATGCCGTCTTGCAGACGTCGTCGATAAGTGGCAAGTCGGTTGAGGATGAGGTGCTCAGCTGGGTAGAGTGATCACTGAGATGGAAATCGGACATAGATTGCGCAAGGTTTGGCAGTTGGGGCGTTGATGCGTTATCGAAAGCGACTGCGACACTCTGCTTCTCTTTTCTGAATCGACCTATGAATTTCTGGACTCTTGATTTCTTGCCGGTGGAAACTTCCACCTTGAGTCGATCAGCGCTCGTTTCGAGTACTTGCGTAAGCTGATAAACTCTTGTATCAGCTGCTCGTTGCTCAAGTTCTTCATCGTCTGATTCACAGGCTTGTTGGATCTCGAGATGAAGTGGCCCTTTCGAGGGAGAGGACGAATCGTCATGGGTGACTGCCAGCTCGCAGGTGACATATCGAGAGGATATGGCCTTGGCTTTTCCGTTACTCTTTCCACGATCAGCGTCAATGATCCGCACGTCAAACGAGTGGTACTGATGAGTGCTACAGTTCCATTGCATCTGAAGCGTGGAATATAGGGCCTTGGAGGTGTAGCGGGATCTGTAATATTGTTGCAGCACGTTGAGACTTTTAGCCGGTCTGCGGGTTGCAAATTTTCTTTCACTGTCTCCATCCGAAACTTGTTGCAAGTGTTTGATGATTTGTTCCGTGATCAGACCAAAGTCTCTGTTGAGCTCTCGGAGTTCCGTAATGGCCTCTTCCATTTTGGGCTTGCCCAATGCCAGCCGAAAGCGAGCCTTGACGTGCTTCAGCCATTCTGATGTGCTGATATCCTGATCTAAGATTAGTTCGTTTATCAAGCAGTGTACTGTGATCATGGGACGCACATCCTGCCTCTCGCCAATCTGAGCCCGGAAATCATCAGATTGCGAACATAGCACCTGGAGGCTGTGTTGGATCTGCTCGGCTGTCTGGGCGCAGGATCTGAAAGACTCCCCCAGAGCATCTATCCGATTTCGGTACACTGGCGCCATGGTGAGGTCCCGCCTGGCAGCCGCCGATGCGGGCCGGTTGACGACTTCTAGGACGCTTGCCTGATCCTTCGTGACGGTGTTGAGGAGGTTAATGGCGTTGTTGCGGAAGATGGTGCGTTGCACGCTCAGCTTTGCATCCAGAATGGACACTTCCCGCGGGTATTTCTTAAAGGCAGAGAACACCTCAAAGACTCTACCGGATCGGTCGTAGACCTCGATCGCGATAGGGATGGAGCCAAGAACGGCTCCAACGATCAGCTCGACACCGCTCATCCTGGAGTCTCGCCTTTGACAGAGATACTGATCCGTCGCAATGGTAGAACCTTCGCTTTGCAACAGAGTCCGGATTTCTTGAAAATCAGGCTGAGGCCGAGACTGCTTCCCCTCTTTCAGCTGCTCCTGCAGCCACTTCTCGCCCAATCCGCTTCATGATCTGACCAACAAGGGTTCACCTCACAGATCCCCGCACTCAACAATCCCAAGTGCCCGACGATAGTGCCCCATACCCGGTTCTACGGCCGCCATGTCTTCTTATTGACTCGAATGGGTGATCTCGTTGATCATGTCAACATCCTTCCTCAGTCGGCAGGACATCGAGAGCTGGGTCCCTGACGCTGTGACATCCAAAGGTGGCGTTGGCTTCGTGGCCAAGCTCTCCACGAGCATCAGCAGAGCCATCACCTCCCTCAGGGAGGCCCTCGTCGGGGGGCAGGATGAGGGACGCCGAATATGTCAAAATGAACTTGAGCGTTTTCTCCTGTGGTGCCAGGGTCTGGACGTCGCAGATGGCAGGCTCGATGAGGTCCTGTCGCGCTCAAAGGAACTTCATCGCCAGGTTCTATCGCTTCTTCTCCGTCTCGGGACTTCTATTCTTCAGGCCATGTCTCAAGCTTCAGTTGAGCCGTCTCAGCTCCAGCTTGATGATTGCGACCATCTTAGGGCCTTGCTGGACGTGGCTGAGACTATGCTCAAAGGCTCAGGCTTGGACGAGCACGAGAGGCCCGATACTCCATTAGAGTCTGATGAGTCAAATTACGGGATGGTGGAGAGCATAGAGGAAATCTCTGCCTATGTTGATTGCCTTCTCGATTTGGCCCCCGCTTTGGACAACCCAGTCCTAGATATACAGACGGACGACTCCAATGAGCCTCTTTCTGGTACGAAGGAGTCGTTCACCACCTCCTGTGAAGAGGCTTTGATCTATTGCCGCAAGATCCGAGACCGTTTTGACCCACTCCCTAGATATCTCGTGGAGCGCCTTGCCGAAGCAAACGTTGTCCGGGCAGCCAAGATACGCGAAATGCAACATCAGGTCGTTTCAAAGGAACCCCCAATCAATGACACTGTCACCGAAAGCCTCTTCACTGGAAGACTTCCCCAGATCACGGAAACTACAAAGTCTTCTGTCCCTCCCCCGTCCGTCTTCTCGTCAGCCTTGGTCTCGTCCTCCAAGTGGTCCGCAAGGCCCACCTCTACTTCTGGACGTGTTGAATTGGATGAGTTCGACGACAACGCATCGAAGGCTACGTTTGCTTCTTTCTCCACTGCCGCATCTTCAATTGCAATGGGCCGCCCCCGTATCCCACCTATGCCAGATGTGCAAGGGGGTGGCTTTGACTGCACAGTCTGTCTAGTGCACCTTACCGATGTAACGAGTAGGAAACAGTGGAAGTTCGTTATTGACATTCATATTACCAATTTATATGACCACTAACGGTCGACAGGAGGCATGTGTTCAATGATTTGAACCCATATATGTGCACTATCGAACACTGCCAGATGGGTGGTACACTCTACAAACACAGTAGGACGTGGGCCTTGCATGAGTCAGCCCACGTAACAGCTGCTTTCAGGTCCGTCGAGTGCACTTTCTGCTCTGCAACCTACCAGAGACTCGATGACGCTTATTACAAACATGTGTCTGGTCACCTCCGAGAGGTCTCGTTGTCAGTTCTGCCACAAACGATCGACAATGACGCCGAATCTGGCACAGACGACTCCGAATCTCTTTTACATAGTTATATCAAGAACAGTGAGGACATGTGCCTTGAATCACCTATGTGGAATAGAAAGGCTGACTCCAGCCAGGAAGCGAAGAGCAACTACCTACACCGGCCCAGAAGATTACAGAAGAAGTTTTCGACCCTGGAGAACTCGAGTCTATTCTTGAGAAATCCGGTGCGAGTGATAGAGCAAGCGCTCGAAGAGAGCTGAAGGAAAAGAATTTGGAGGAAGAGGCGCTGAATGAAGGGGAGTTTGATGAACGACCCCTGGAGGAACAACTGCCTGAACCACGCCATCCATCTATCCCTCGTGAAGACGACGAAGAGCGCCTGGATAGAATCATACACGAGCTTCTTGAAACCAATGATCTCGCTCCCAAGACGAAGATCGGCCTTCACCTAACAGAAATCCAATTTCTATGCGCCAAAGCAAAAGAGATTCTCATCGCCCAGCCAACACTCCTGGAACTGGCCGCCCCGCTGACAGTAAGTTCGGACCAGCCTTTTGAAAAGTTTTTGGTTCCCTTCTCCCTCATTTTATTGCCTAGGGTAACAGTATTAGGTCGTTGGCCCTGTTCATGGGCAGTTCGATGACTTACTCAAGGTATTCAAATGCGCTGGACACCCTAAGGCGACAAGTTATCTCTTTTTGGGAAACTACGTCGATTTCGGTAAAAGTTCGCTGGAGAGTATCTGTCTTCTTCTTGCATATAAGATCAAGTTCTCGCGAACATTCTTTTTGCTGAGAGGAAACCATGAGAGTGAGGATGGAAGCCGCAAAAAGCTGGGCTTCTACCAAGAATGCAAAGAGCGTTATAACATACGGCTCTGGAAGCGTTTTGTTGACATTTTCAACTACCTGCCATTGGCGGCGACTGTGAATAGCAAAGTATTTTGCGTTCATGGAGGCCTGGGTCCAAGTTTCACAAGTTTACAGGACATCAAGCAGATTACGCGACCAATCATTGAAAGATATAATGTAAGACATAGCACACTTTTCTTTGAAAGTTCCCCAATATCACTGACTTGACGCGATAGGACAAAGATGAAGAAATTCGACGTGCCCTAGTGGATGGCGATTTCAATAATGATGTCGTAGGATGGAACGACAGGGGCCAGGATGGGATCAAATTCGGGCCGGACCGTGTCTCGAACTTCCTCACGAGAAATAACATGCAGCTCATCGTTAGCGGTCGCAAAGCCCCCAAAGAAGGGTACCAGTTCTGTTGTGAGAATAAGTTCTTGAGGCTCTGGACCGCTCCAAACTGGAATGGTTTAGGCAACGCGGGAGCGATCTGGACGATCCCTGAGAACTTTCAAACCGAAACTCGGGTATGTCTCGCCTACTTTACGATGGACTCGTACAATAATTTGAGACCGAAGCTAATGCAGATAAAATGTAGTTTATAGAGTAACCATTGTAGCATGGAACTATGATATTGATTGTCCTTGCTTAATAGCTTGTAGCTCTTTTCTCTCTTTCACCGCTTCTGTCCTTTATGCAAAAAAACCCCTGGGCAATCTTTATGCCACTCACAGGTATTAGTCCTCTAGTCCAAATTCTAAGATCTTATCATTTATCTCGTCATTATGTCAATCTGATTGTAGGAGAGCAAAGGTCAATTGTCAACCCACTTGTGAGCGATCGAAGAAAATAATCTACTGCACTCATCATGCCATGGGCAGGTCTCCTTTGTAAGGCTCACATATATCCCTTTTCCTTCGAATCATTAACTTGCCTTTGATCGGTGGTGTGGGAAGATGTCCAAGGCTGACAAATCCTGGCCTTTGATGCACCTGCTTCAAGTCGTAATGAACAGCCATGTATGCCAGAAACAACTTTGTCTCAACCGCAGCAAAATATCGACCTGGACAAGCATGTCTGCCAAATCCAAAGGGAAGATAGTCTTCGCTCGGTGAGACCAATAGATGTGCCTCTTTCTTGTCCTCGGCGATCATGCCATTCTCATGTGGACGTGAGAAGCGAAACGCGTCAAAAGTATAAGCATTGGGGTAAATGTCTTCGTCGTGGTGTATTCCCCACGCCGAGACGCTGACTCGAGAACCTTGGGGGAGCTTAAGATTATGCTCATCAAGTGAAACTCCACCTGAGGCCATGACCTGTACTGAAAGAGCCTTAATGGCCGTGTGGAGTCGAAGAGTCTCTTTGACAGCGCTGTCTGCACGGTTGAGGCTGTTGACACTGGCTTGATTGACTTCTCCCGCGAAAGCTTGACGCCCTTCTTCTGCTAGGGCCTCCCAGGTCTGCTCCGGGTCGTCAGTTGCGCAGAGGTTGAAGAGTGCATGTGTCATGGTGAGGGTAGTCGACTCCAGGGCAGCAAACACAGTCGCAAAGGCACGACAGGCGATCCGATCCTCTAGGCCTTCCTCAGGCTCTTTCAGAGTGCGTAATCAACCAACTACTTCCAATCGTTGGACCCGTTGGATCCTCCAACTGTGGGTCCAACTCAACTGAGATCTCGCTCCCCGTGCTTGGCAACCAGCCAATTCAGAGGTCCAGTTGATTGGGTTTGGATCCAACCGGATCCAACTCGTTCCATTCAGTGTGGGGGCCCGGCGCCGTAAATTTGACCCCACCTTCACCTTCCCAGTTTGGCCCGCTGGCCAATGATCGGCCGCTGAGGGGCATCATCCCGAGCCGAACCCGATAAACCTTTTCTCGCCTCTCCCACCCGCGCCAGCTTCGCGCTCTTCTCGCGCCAGCCTGGCGTCTGATTAGAGAGCTCGTCATTCAGCTTCTCTATGTAAGTATCCGAACCTCTCTCGAATGGCCTCTGACTTGCTGTCTATCTCTACAATGTCAGCAGAAACTGAAAGGTCGTTCAGTAGCGCGCGAAAGGCAGTTTCACCTTTACGAACTCGTTTTGATCGACACACTATTGGGATGGCGCAGAGTACGCGGTCATGGAGCAGGGAGGGTATTGTCCTACCCTCGTGGTAGTGATGAGTGGGATCGGCGTTAGGACGTGAAGATCGGAGATATCCGTTGGTCCGAAACAACCAACTGCAATCCAACTGAGAGCAGCCTCGTTCAACTCCAATCCAACTGAAACATACTTGCCCGGATGTCAATCCAACTGCGAGGAGGTACCAGTTGAGTTGAATTGGTTGATTACGCACTCTGGGCTCTTTCTTTCGTAGAGCCTCTTCAATGTGCCAAGTCATGACGTCCTCTCGCGGAAGGCTCTTGGAACCTTGGGCTACGTCATTCCTGACTGCCTCGATTCGCTGCTTCACATATGGCCCCAGAGTCTTGAGTGCTCTACGCATGTAGATGTGGTTGAAGATTGAGGTCAGTCGGGAGATGAAGGGGTGCATAAAGGGAGGGAAGAGGGAGATTGCTATGGCACTAGGCAAGACGCTGCTAGAGAAGTTTGACAGATTATCAACCAACTCCTTGTCGTTGCCTGTGGTTAGAAGTCAGCAAGGTTACCTTTCAGGTGGAAAATGGTCACCCACATAGTGTATTACCCATGACGAGACGAGTAGTAACCCTTGAAATCACCTCTCTCACAAGGAGAAACACCTGGACCTCCCTCCACTCCGTATCTAGTCCGAACGTTTCATCGATCTGAGAGGCCAGTTCTCCCATAATCTGCGGGATCAACTTGGGCAAGTATCTGTTCATCTGAACGCGTAGAACGTCGTAGACGGCAAAATCCTTCCCAACAGACGAGTTGAGAAAGGCATACTTGGCGGCAACGATTTCATGTTGAATGGGGGTCGGACTTAGGATCTTGTCGGGCTGGGAAGTTGCCCATCGGATGAGGTTGCGAGGAATAAGGATCTCGGGTCGACTGAAAGGCAAAGTGATGGCACAAAGGGTTCCGTTCTTGCTGTACTGTGAATTGAGTTAGCGAGAAGTTCTTGCGACCCAATCGGGGTGGGATCACCTTTTGATAACCCCTGTTGATAGCCGGCGGGGTATTAAGGATGCCATTAAGCTGGGAGAAAAGATACGGTGTGAACTTGGACCTGTATGCCCAAGGGACTTGCTTGGGAACCTTGGAGAGGTGGCTAAAGACGGTATGAAGTCGCCAGATGATGACGGCTGCCGCCAAGATCCAGAGTGAGTACATGGCGAGAGGAGAAGCTGCTGTGTTCGTACAAAGGTTTCACTCAACAAAGCTGGCCGAAGCAACACCTTTGTACTCCGCCAACAGGTAAATGATTAGAAATAACCGACATACGACGGATGCATTTCACTGGTCCTCTGCGCATGGTCTCCATTCTCGTTGTTGGTTACACCACTGCCGAGGCAATGATTGGATGTGCCGGCCAAGCTGCCAACTGCTGCCGTCTCTCGTCAAGTGCCATGATTGGACCGTCAAAACATGAGCTGTCAAGTTCTCTCGAGAGGGTGTTCCCGATGGAGTCAAGCCTAGCGCTCGGGAACTGCCGCGGGACGGTCGAGATAGGCTATCTCGTGTTTAAGAGGAGTAATTCGTCCGGTTTGCGCTATTTAACACCCTTTTGGATCATGTCATGGGGACTGTTGGTTGATGCCATCGGAGATGGGTTGCAGGACGGGAAGGTGGTGGCTTGGAATTATTGACGCATGACGGAGCCGACAGGCAGCGGGGAAACTTCCGATGACTAAGAGAGGAAAAGATAAGATAGAGGATATCATGAACTTGCCCTTAGTAAGAGATTGTGCTAGGGAATGTGCTGTTTGCTGTGGCATTTGGTAATGTTTGCGTGTGCAAGAATCAGACAAGTGATGCAGCTAGCTACAGGGTAGTTTGACACAACGGACCAATAGAGCTACGTACGGGGCCCCAGGAAGCAATAAGTTCCCGAAAGCTGGAGTACCAAGGGCTCTCTGATAGCCTCAGCCCAAGCTACACGCCGTCGGTCTAAATCAGTCTAACCAGGCTTCGTTGCTTAGTCCCATACCAGCTTTGAAGGGATATCCACAAGCAAAACACCCGTTAAAATGTGCAAGCATCAAAACGCAATGCCATAAAGAAACATCGGCTAGCTCAACTTGCGGCAGTAGGGATTTAAGGTTAGACATAAAAATGGCCTCAGACATGCCTGAGTTATGTCTTTGAGTATGTGGTATTAGGCTTGTCTTGATTATTTCTATAATAGCGGCCCATGTCCAGCACCACCAAGTTCCAAAACTGTGCAGCAACAGCTGGCATGAGAGAATCACGAAAAGAATACAGGTTACAGGACAGAAGCACCAAGCTTGGCTCCAGGGAACTGAACCTGAATGCCCTCCTCAAAACTCTTTCCACCAACAGTCAGATCCTTGAAAGCCGGGCACGTAAGATCCAGAATAGCTGCTCCGAGAGTATCGGTGACGAGCTTGAGTGGGACCTCGATAATCTTGAAAAGGGTAGAAAGCGAGTTGGGTGCCACAGTCTTGACAATCTCAAAGACGAAGCAGAGCAAGTTGTTGCCTTCGAGCAGCTTAGTCAGGTTCAAGACACCGCCGGTAAGATCACTGAGGTCGACTCCGGCATAGCTGTTGACTTCTCCCATGTTGCCTCCGATACTACGACCTATTAGTACGATATTCATTTCATGGAGTCTTGGATACATACCTAGCAAGCTCGGGGTACTTGGCAGCCAAAGCCAGGACATCGAGGTTAAGATGAACCAGACTGTAGTCAACGGGTCGACGATACCAGTTCTCGGGGATTCTCTCATATCCTCGCTTGTAAGTAAGTTTGTCGCCCTCGCCCTCGATAGCAAAGAAGCTCTTTAGGACCTCCTTGTCTTTAGACAGTTAGCGATGATCCCGTACATGTCGAAACAATGCACCTACTCAGGAAGCCAGAAGGGTTCTCGGAAGAGTGGTTTGCAAACATGCGGCAAGCAAACAGATAACCAGCATTGCGAGCAATCATGCCAGTGAAAGGCCCGTAGTAAAAGTTGGGGTTTGTCGCCACGCTCTCGTGGAAGCGGATGTAAGCACGCTCAGCGAAGACGTCAAAGTTGTAGTCACCCTCTCCGGAGGACATCTCGTAGAAATCCTTGAACTGCTGAAGAACCAGGGTGGAAGCATCTCCGGTGACGTAGAGGTCGGCTCGAGTGTTGGAAGAGTCGCCCTCGATGATGTTGTGTGAGCCGGTGAGACCTCGAGGTGTACCGAGAAGTCCGGCAAGGTTTCCAAGGAGGTTCTGTGCGCCGCTGGCAGTGTCGCCGATGGAGAAGCCTGGGTTGAGCGACAGAGGGTTTCCGACGAACACGGTACCCATCACCGATAAGATGGTCGACAGCTCCAAGCCCATGCCAAAGATCTTGTTGATGGCTCCGGTCACCTCGGTCAGACTGGTGACACCCTTCCGGTTGATGTAGCCATGGTTGGCCAGCGCATTCAGACCAGGGCAAGGGCCTCGCTGGGCGCCCCTGGAATAGTCGGGTGCGATAAACTTGTGGTCGCCGCTGACATCGATAGGCTTCGTCAAGGGATCGAACAGCAACCTCTTCTCGTGCGCCTCGTGGAAAACGCCTTCCACCTTGTCAGAAAGCCTCGAAGACACAATGTCACCAATGGGTCCATTCATGTACGAAGGAAAGCCATTGACACCGACGCCAAGAAATGGCAAAACAGAAAGGAAGGATTGGCACTTCATGATAAAAGTTAAAAAATGAGTGTAGAAAGTGAATATTAAAGAGTGACGTTGGAAGAACGGCAGTTTCACAGCGGCATGCCGACCCTATGAAACAACAGAGGATTAGAAATCGAAACAAGCTTCTTGGTCGATGCTTTTTACCAGGTCACCCTTTCTGACAGGTGCCGTGCCGAGGCTCTGGTCGCCGATATTGAGATCAGCCTTGGGTGCTGGTTCCCTGGTTGCCGGTAATACCGTCTACTCGGAACTACGTAATGATAGCCAGCACATAGAATAATAAGGATACGCACATGGCCCCCTGAGTTGGGCGTCTAGCCATGTAGAATGTAGAATCCTTCCCCTCTCTCGAGGAAAGGATCGTCAGAGCCAAGAATCAAGATCGTCAAAACGCGTCGTACCTAATTGGTTATTATCAATTCATTATTCAGGGTCTCACCCAGTCCGTGCAGAGGAGACTACACTAGGGGGAGGTTCGTTTAGTAGCTTGAAACACTACTTCCGGGGAACCTTAGGAATCCTTGGCTAGTTAGCCCTGTGCAAAAAAAAAATAACGAACGGCTTTCCAGAATCAGCAAGGTTCGCTTGAAATGAGAACTTGCTGGTAAAAATCCACATTCAATGAACCCCTTTAGAGTTTGGACCGTCTCTTTCGCGGCATTGAAGAATAATACTACCGCGGGCTCTTGTGCAAGCCCGTAGAGTCCGAATGAGACCATTACCCACTGATCAGCTTGTGAAAGTTGTGATATGAAAAAGTGTATTTGACGGGAAGGACGGATATCTTTACTTGCCGTACGGGCACTATCAACGGCAGAGACGGGAGGCTGGGGGATGTCATGCTTGAACTCCTCCCGGACAGGGACCGGCCCCTGCATGATGCAGAGGCGAAGCTGCTTTGGATCCGGTGCCGTGGCTGAATGTCATCAAGGTCGATCCCTGCAGCCAACGAGTCACTCTGTCAGATTACCTGTCATAGCCAAGCCTTAAGTTCTGTTTTCTCAATTGAGCGACAGCAATCTATCGGCGAACTGAGTGGACATGTCCCTCTTGAACGGGTCGCCAATCTCCTAGGACAGTAGAAATGCAACTCTGCCTTGTCAATTCCAGTAAGGCTAGGTGGTCTGTTCCCAGAGACCCGGCTGGTTCGTTTCACGATGGGCACCCGCTAGTAGTCGTCAGCCATTCTTCCACGAGTCTAGAAGGCCCGTTTCTATCGCCGCAATTCGCAGAATTCATGCTTTGCCGATACGTAATGGATAAGCGGCCTCACTCCGGGCTCAGCCTATCGCTGATGAAACGGTGGACAGGTTCAGGCACTAGGGATCTTCTCTTGCCCTGGCTCGGTAGATCGAAGCACGCCTTGGCTTGAAATCCTTCGGTAGATGGAGCGGGTCCTCATCAATCAGTCTCAAACAGTTTATTCATATCGTCCCGTCCAGAAGCGACGGAACGATGACCCCCTTCGTCTCTTTTTTTTCCTTCTTGTCTGCAGGTGTTCTTTGTTGAATGACCAGGGAAAGATGAAGTTCTTTGCATTTGCCGCCTTGATCCTGGCTTTATTCCAGGCTGGCGTGTGGGCTGCCACCACCCCAGAAGAGCCTCCCACCTGTGGCGTAAGTGTTTGTCGGTTGTGTTGGTCACCTGTCAGCTAATGCGGTGTAGTTGCTATGCATCCAGCAGGAGACGCTCAAGTCGACATGCGAGTTGACCAACGTCACTTGTATCTGCACCAATGTCGAGTTGAACGAAAAGATTTCTCTATGCGTGCACGCCAACTGCACAGTTAGAGAGTCTCTTTGTACGTTTCTTTACTGATTAAAATTGCGTGCGCTAACAATTCGCAGTGGTACAGAGCTACTCCAAGCACACGTGCAAGGCGCCGTCGAGAGACCGTACAGCTCTAGTATGGATCCTTGGCGTTGTCTTCCTCGTCATCGGCCTCGTCGGATTCGGTCTGAGAGTTATGGCCAGAGTATCAGTTCGAGCCCAGACTTGGGGAGCTGACGACTGGGTGATGCTTCTCGCGGTGGTATGTCGACCCTGACCTCGCTTGGTTCCATGCTGACTCTTTTAGCTCATGATGATACCCCTCAACGCCATATCCATACCTATCTCCAGAGTTGGCCTGGGTAAAGATATTTGGAATGTGCATCCTGACGATATTACCGATTTTCTTTATGTGAGTTTCTTGGTAACCTTTAACGATTTATACATCTAATAAGGAGTGTAGTTCTTCTTTTGGGATGAACTCCTCTACCTTGGAGTTCTCCCCGTGACAAAAATATCGATTTTACTCTTCTACCTCAAAGTCTTTCCCGGCAAAAATATCCGATTAGGCTGTTGGATTCTGATCGGCCTCAATGTCGCCTACTTTATCGCTTTTGAGCTTGTCTCAATCTTCCAATGCACTCCCATCGAAGGTGCCTGGAGGGCCTGGGACAAGGAGTTTCCAGCCAAATGCAACAACATCAACATGCAAGGCTGGATGGCGGCCATTCTCAACATTGTTTTAGATGTTGCTACGCTGTGCTTGCCGCTGTGGGAACTCTATAAGCTTTCCCTCTCCCGGAAGAAGAAGATTCAGATTATGCTCATGTTTAGCGTTGGATTCTTGTATGTTCCAGGTCCATCTATTTTTGGAGACAGTCGCTAATATTTCCAGTGTCACCATCGTCAGTATTGTTCGACTACAGTCACTGGCAAGTTATGCCACAACAAGCAACGTAACACGTGAGTGCTCCCCATCTTCGGGTGCGGCATCAGATAACTGACAGCAACAGAGGACTACGTTGAAATCGGCTACTGGAGCACAATCGAAGTCCCAGTCGGCATCCTCTGCGCATGCATGCCAGCCATCCGCTCCCTGTTCAGTCTCGTCTTCCCCAAAGTCTTTGGCACCACGGCCAGAAGCAAGTCGGAGTATGCCAACATCTCGGAAGGAAAGCAGGCATCGAGTTCGCAGAAGAGCACTTCTAAGGCCTTGTCGCAGGGTCAAGGAGTGAGGGTCTCTAAGAATCCGAATGAGACGTCTGCGATGGAGCTTACCGACATGAGGTTTGACTATCATCATCACCATGGGCGTCACTCGTCCGAGAAGCTGCCAGTGACTCCTCGTGAGCCAGTGTGAAATTCAGGCTACAATTTCTTTACTTTCAGCGTTCGTTACCATAGACTAGATAGAGAGGATCTCCTCACCCTTCCAATACTACCAGTAGCCTGCACTTGACTCCCGGGATCCAACGTAATCTTGCCGTCTGTCACTAATTTCTCGTATTCATCCATTTTGGCACACCGTCAGCAAGGCTTTCAACCCTGTCCCAGCACTTGCTCAAAAGCAGCCAAGATCGTCCGGGGAACATGATGCCCAGCCTTTAGTCCAATCCCCCTGGCTCTTCCCCGCTTGAACTTTACATTCGCCGAAGTTCATGCGTCGCGGAGTGTTTTCTTGTTCAGGCTCGGAGATGTCCAAGTCGAGTATAGTACGGGGCTGTGGAGAGTGAAGCCGTTGCACTACTAGCCTTGCAAGGGTCAGGGATCTCCCTATTTGGGTGACATCTGGACTCCATTCGTCTCTGCCTGGGTTGGGCAAGCTTTGTGCCGACCCTGTTTGCATATCCATTAACCTGCTCATTGAGGTTTCACTTCATTTTGGCTGTCATGAAGATCGACTGCAACACAATTTGAGTCGGGGCTGAGAGTCAAGTCCGCAACCGATAAGGGGAGGTCGGTGAACAGCACATGTGGCTGGCTTGTGGACGAGAGTGTCTCAAGCCCCATTTACACAAACTTTGAAGATAACAGAATGAAACGAGTTTCCTTGAAAGCTTGAACCCGCAAACGGTTACCCACAGGTTATCCAACGGCTTGGCCTGGCCTTGTGACCCAGCCCAGCAGCGTAAGCTATGGCCCACAGACGCTCCGCCTGCAACGCACATCACCCACTTCGACAGCAACCGTCATCAGTACCCAACAGCCCTCAATCTCCCCCCTGGATCCATGCTTGACAACCCAGGGGCTGACAGGAAAAGGAAAATCAAGGCTGCCGTTTCTTCCGTTCTCGGCCGGCAGCTAACCACCACCTTCCGACGAGTCGTACGTGGCTGACGATCAGCTCTACTAATTATTCAAACCCGGATTCGTGAAACATGCCCTGGGAGGTCGGCACTTGAAAGCACTCCCACAAAGTCACCTGCTGTTAGCGTCCTGCGGTGGCTTTGCCTTAAAGACCGCTCTGGAACTAGCGCTGTGCCACCCACTGCCGATATCTTCAAGCTGTTTGCCTGCCTTTTTTACCTTTTTGTTGCTTTCTTGGCTCAAGCTTGGTTTGTTTTAGCTGGCTTGAGGTCATCCTATCCATGTTTTGAGATTTCTTTACCCATCCTACCACTGGTCACTCCTTTCTTTGTACATGAGTTTAAGCTTCCGCGTTGAAAATGCGCTCCTCATTCGTTCTCACACTCGTTTCACTCTTGGCCGACTCGGCCTCATCCATGTCAGCACTTACCATGCTATTGAGGTACAGCGATACTGACTATTACACAGCGCCGTTCCTTGGAAGACATCCTCAAATCAGCCTCGACATGATCCCTTCATCGGAAAGCGTGATACAACCTCTACCGACTATGACTATGTCATCGTCGGCTCCGGCGCAGGAGGAGGTCCTGTAGCCGCCAACCTCGCCATTGCCGGTTACAAAGTCCTCCTAATCGACGCAGGCGGCGACTCTGGCGATGCCTGGGAGGAAAAGATCCCGGCTCTGCACCTCATGTCGACCGAGTTCGAGGACACCAGGTGGAACTACTATGTCAACCACTACCCCGATGCCAAGCAGCAGAAGCGGGATTCCAAGATGACCTACGAAAAGTCGGATGGGAGTCTTTACGTTGGTCTCGATCCTCCTGCTGATGCTAAGGCTCTTGGTGTTTTGTATCCTCGTGCTGGAACGCTGGGTGGATGCTCTCGCCATAATGCTCTTATTTCTATCTATGCTCATGATAGTGACTGGAGTAACATCGCTAGTCTCACTGGCGATGACTCTTGGAACCCGACCAACATGCGATCGTACTTCAAGAAGCTGGAGAAGAACATGTACCTGCCAAGCAGCATCATCGGCCATGGCTTCAAAGGCTGGCTAGGTCTGTCGCTTACATCTCTGTCTCTGGTTGTGGAGGACCAGAAGCTTCTCTCCCTAATCATCGCTGCTGGTTCCGCCATGGGTAAGAGCCTTATTGGCTTTCTGCTCAATACCGTTGCTGGACTTGGTCAGGTCTTGCTTCGAGATATCAACGCTCCCGGTCAGACTAGCAAGACTGGACTCTACCAGGTTCCTTTGTCGATGACTGACTCTGTGCGTGGCGGCCCCAGGGATTTCATCCTCAATACCGCCAATGCTGTCAACTCTGATGGTTCGCGCAAGTACCACCTGGACATCAAGCTCGACACTCTCGTAAGTACCCGCGCTTCGTCAATGTCAACTCTTTTACTAACAAAATCATAGGTCACCAAGATCACCTTCGACAAGACCGGCTCCAAGCCCCGTGCCACCGGTGTCGACTTCTTGGAAGGCTCTAGCCTGTACCGTGCCGACCCTCGCTCCACCTCAGCCAAGTCCAGCGGATCTGGCAGTGTCAAGGCCAAGCGTGAAGTCATTGTCTCCGCTGGCTCTTTCAACACTCCCCAGCTTCTCAAACTTAGCGGTATCGGACCCAAGAAGGAGCTTGACTCTTTCGACATCCCCGTGCTCGTTGATCTTCCTGGTGTCGGAACAAACATGCAGGACCGATACGAAGCTACCGTCATTGGCAAGACCACTAGCGACTTTGTTATCACGTCCAAGTGTACCTTCTTGGAGACCATGCCCGATCCCTGCCTTGAGCAGTACAAGAAAGGTATCGAGCCTATCACCAAGGGTGTCTACGCCACAAACGGTATCGCCATCGCCGTCGTCCTCAAGTCCTCTGTCGCCGAAAAGGAGCCCGATCTGCTCATCTCTGGTGCCCCAGCCAAGTTCAAGGGATACTTCCCTGGCTACGCCTCTGACTCTCTCGCCGATGCTCAGCATTGGGCCTGGATCATCCTCAAGGCTCACAGCCGTAACAACGCCGGCACCGTCACTTTGAAGTCGACTGATCCCAGAGACATGCCCATCATCAACTTCAACTACTACGACACGGGTGTCAACAGCAACGGGGAAGGCGACAAGGATCTTCAGGCTACGTACGAAGGCTTCGAGTTTTCCCGCCGAGCTTTTGACAGTCTTATCCCTCTTGATGGAAGCTTCCCTGAAGTTTGGCCTGGAAACAACGTCACTAGCGAGGCGGATGCCAAGCAGTTCCTCAAGGATGAGGCTTGGGGTCATCATGCTTCTTGCACCTGCCCCATCGGCCCTGATAGTGATCCCATGGCTGTTCTCGACTCCAACTTCAAGGTCCGTGGCGTTGATGGCTTGAGAGTAGTGGATGCTAGTGTCTTTCCTAAGATTCCTGGTTTTTACATCGCTCTGCCTCTGTATGTTGTTGCCGAGAAAGCCAGCGACGTCATTGTCCAGGCAGCCAAGGCCTCTGCTTAAGGCCTGGATATATGCTAGGATTCCTGTAAAGGAGGCAATGTCTGGATGTATTCTTAATTACTTTCTGCCATGCATGTAAAGGTGTGCATTTAGCGAGGATATTTAATTGATACCATCATGTTACTTTTAAAAATCATTCTTCAATCATGTTACTTTCTCATGCAGGCCATTACATGACTCCTCGTTAGACACTCATTCCTTCACTTGTCATCCCGCCGATACATGGTTCCAATCTACCAACTGTCTACCGGATCTGCAATCATTCCTTAATCTCGTTCTTTTGGAACAAACCTACCCCTTTGTTAATTCTTTGCATGTTGTGTGTTAAGTTCAAGTCCTGTGACAAACCTGGCACCTCAGGCATCCACCCTGTGCGATATTTACAAAAGAATTCTCCTTTTGCAGGGAATTTTTCCGGCTCATCGAACGTCCCCCACATGATGTAACGGAACTTGTCCGCCGCTTGCTCCTATCTTTGGTTAAGTTGACGTAGAGTTGCAGCGTATGCCAGATCTGATCACTCACACCATACTCGCAGATGAACACACCACAAGTGTCACAAAATTCTCGTGTTACGCCGTTGCCTTGCTTGAATAACTTTGGTTTTCCATGACTGTACTCAAAACCATCGATCGGGACCTAACTAGGCTGTCAGCCTTGCTCTCCTGTCGTTGATGACCCTGACCTTGGTAGTTAATCCGAAATTCGTCCCAAATACTCTCCGGCAACTATGACAGTGGCAAAGAGAAGTCCGGGCTTGGTCAAGAGTGGATAATGAAACGGTGTATCGAAGATTGCCGCAGACACATTTCCCCTCGTAGTTCGGCATGTTGAATATGTGGTCCTTCCCAAGCAAGCTCCACAAAGCTCGAAGTTGATGTGAGACCTAGGATAAAGATACCCTCGTAGGAGCTTGATTTTTCAGTAAACATAACAAAGGGCTTTGTTCTTCTAAAGACATATTTTATAGATGTTCAAATGCTGACGTCAATCAAAGTCTCATAGCAAATTGCGACGTCATCACGTCTCAAGACGATTCTCAGACTAGGACACCCAATGGCACAGCCCCTGTCTCCAAAGCCGGTTTCTGATGTGCGACTCGCCTATCATCTGTCATTTTTGAAGGCCTATTTTGATCTCAGTGTTTAAGTTTCAAGATCTTTGCCGTGTCTGAACAAGAGAAGTGTCTGTAACTAAATATAGCGCCCCTTGGTTAACGTCCTTTGTTAAGAACAAAGACACGTCTGCCTCGCATTGAACAACTCTATTTTTAAGTTCCCACTTTGTTCGTAGATGCTAAATTCTATTTCTGACTCCCCCAAGCGAATAAAGGCATTTCCCCCTATGCATTAACTTGTTCAAGCATTTAACACCTGTTTCCGCTCGTGACATTTCTGTTCTTCTCAAATTAATCACAACTCGCCAGCGTAACTTACAATTACCCAACAATCACAAAGATGCCTTTGGATTTATTTCCAATCGAGCTTCAATGCTCATTCATCCGCCTTCTAGATCCTATTGGTCTCATATCGCTCAGCCAAACAAGCAAGCATTTCCGCCTCCTCATTAGTCCCACAGAGGAGCACTTTGCTGAACGTCTTTTGCAGCTAGAGACTCTCGAGGAGTACGGAGGACCTTCTTCCTCCGACGAACCTTCCGACGCCTATGTACTGCTCAACTGTTGCCAAAGCCATCGCAAAGACATTCGCTGGGCCTGCACCAGCTGCCTTCGTCTTCTTCCTCGCCGGTGTTTCGGAAACAAATATGTTCTGGGCCTAAATTACAAGAAGCCTACGCGAGACGATCCACTACTAGATGAGGCAACGTCGTGGGAACCGGTAGTGAAGAACGAACAAGTGAGGGAGGACTGGACATTCCATGAGCCTTGGATCAGGCTTCGCGCCATCAGTCGACAAGACCGACGATGCCTCGAGTGCCAGTACCGCCGAGGAGAGCTGAGGTCAGATACAACTGGACTTTTGAATGCAAAAGTACCTGTTGAAATTAACCGCACGGCCCTGTTCTATACAGAACTAGACAGGTACTTCCCGGGGGTCTCCGACTATCTAGGCTGTGAGATTCCACCGGCGGTAGAAAATATTCTCCCTGGGGGTGGCAGTCCAGCCGCAATAGAACCATTCGCCTGGGACATGCGGATGGTGCGATGCCCTGAGTGCACTCGTTGGAAGGAGCTGAGGGACTTTCGTCTCCAAGTCCGGCACCTGCGCGAAGCCCGATACCCGTACCGTGCAAACGTGGACACTCTATTGAAGGATGCTTGCTGCAATGCTTGTTTCGCCAAGGCCCATGGGCGCGTTGAACTCGGCCGCGCACTTGGTAGCTGGTTCAGAGAACTGGTGGACAGGAGACTTCAGGCAACGTCGTTTCAGTTGCAGGTCCATGTACGCGAGTTCTATTGGGACACCAAGTACTCTGCGATGATGAAACTCAGGCAGAGCGTGGAAGAGCTCGGAGAAAAAGTGTTTTGTTTTGACTCGTGTCACGACTCAGTCCTCAACGAGGAAGACATTGCGCAGTTGAAGGCTTATCGAGTACATGCTATGCACATGTGGGAGCAGATAGCTAAGGACGAGCATTGGCCTACGTTCATGCTTCCACGCCCAGACCAGGTCGCCTGGGGATGGAGCCACAATTTCTGCGAGGACGTGCTGAGGGGTCTGAAGACGTGCAAGGAAATGTTTGGGGAGAATCCAGAAGCTTTTGCAGCCTGGGCACTTGATAGAGATGAAGCAACCTGGGACTGCGAAGTTGAAGGAGCTCTCACGCGGGAGCTGGGGCCGGATGTGTTTGACAGGGCATCCAGATACAGGATGGACTCATACAACTAACAAGAGGCTAGATGCAATAATTGAGGTGGATGATTGCGGTAGCATACACAACTTACTCAATGATTGAAGTTTTCTGCCAAACTAACGTTTTTTTAAGTAAAATGAAATACTGTTAACAACACTTGATCGTCGATGTCAAAGTGCCTCTATTTGTAACTCACTGTTACCTAAAAATGGCCTTGATACTAGCAGTCTAAAGCGTCCTAACATGAGCCGAATCTATACGATAAGTGCCACAGTTAACAGGTATAGTAGTGAAAGATGGTTCGACTTTTTACTGCGAGATACGAGTAGATGTCAAAAATAGCACTGCATATGGCTCACACCTGGTGGTTGGGAATGCCCTCGGAGCAAACGCCACAAAAGCACCGCCCCAGGGCGCAGCAATGATCGACAAGCTCCACCCCTGTACACGAGTAAGAACACGTCGACCGCACAGCAGGCAGCCACCTCATCCATATAATTACTATAATATGACAGCATGGGAGGCCGTTTCATTCATCTAGAGATCCATTAAACAACCCTTCCACCTCTTGGCAACACCCTGTCATCCAACATTGTTTACCTATCAGATTTGCTTCAGTCATTCACAATGGGCTCCAGCAACTCCTCACTCCCTCATATCCATCTCCTTTGCATGGAAGAACGCTACATCGATGCCTTTGAAGCCGCGCGTGTAGCCAGGAAACTCCCTTCCACATTCTCAATCGAGATTCACGACTACGCTCTATCTCAACTCCCGTCATCTGTCCAGTTCGATACTATCGTGTCTCCGGCAAACTCGTACGGGCGACTAGACGGAGCATTCGACGATGCTATTTCCCGCGCCTTTGCACCTCGAGATGACTACCATGCCCTCACAAGTGTTGCTCAAACAAAACTCTATGAGCAATGGCGTGGGTTTGCACCTCCAGGCACTTGCACCCTAGTCCGTATCCCAGACGAATTCCACTCCCGCTCACGGAACGTCTGGGGCACGAAGCGAGTTGCTCTCTGCCCAACAATGCGTATGCCCGCCGACGCCAACTGGGATCGTGAAGTTGTCTACGAATGTATCTGGAGTCTTCTCTGTGCAGTCGATAACCACAACCGCGACGTAAGAGCCGGCAAAGCTCCTGAAGGAGAAGAAGAGATTCGCAGCATTCTCATGACGCCGTTGGCAACTGGCGTGGGGCGCTTGAGTCCTGAGAGATGGGCAGCTCAGGCTGTATTGGCCATGAAGCATTTCACTGAAGCGTCAGAGAATCCTGAGAAATGGAGTGCGCTTGGATGGGCTGATCTGGGCAAGAGTTGTGTCGAGACGCAGCTGACTTGGAATCTATAATCGTTCGAGATTGATTATTATACAGATGTTCAGATAGGTAGACATAAGGGACCGCACCAATTAGCATTAATAAGAACAACTCATTTCTTTGGATCGTTGTGTCATTAACTAGCTTCTCGTCCATAATATGCTAGTTTTATCTGCAAATAGTGATGGTTACAACTTTCTTGAAACCTCCTTATGCGTATTGGTAAAATATATTGTCCAGCATAGTATCTGGAAGGAAGTTGCCATTAACCAAGAATTCAACACGTAACTTCACGACTGCGGTAACGACACCATTAATAGGTAGAAAGGAAGAATGTTTCTCGCAGTAGCGACTCGCTCGGTGCTATGAGGTGATAAACTCCTCTATAGCACTATCCAACATCTCTGGATTCTCTAAAAACATAAAATGGCTGTTCTTCTCCTCAGTAGTAAAAGTCCGGCTCTTGGATCTAGGAACCTGTGTTGCATCTCACAAGATACTAGATGGGTTATTAACACTGAAATCTACCGATATGATGAGCGTAGAAATGTTGATCTGGAGGAGAACATCTCGCCAGCGGGTCAAGGCATCCTGTCATTGCGTTGGACCTTGACGAGGATCACCCATGATGAGTAACGCCTTCGGTATAAGCGTGTGGAGATGAGCACAAGACCATGGCACGTCGGGATCACAACCCCTGTGCGTGGAAGGAGTCTGAAGTACCTTTTGTGTGTTTCTCCGCGGTAAACTTGATTTCTCGCATTAAAATGCACGTAAACGTACAACGGTGACCGACAGTTCATGCTCCATACGTGGTCAGAGACCCCAGATGGACCCAGTGGCCCTCTCCACCTCGGCTCTTAAACCCTACATAGGCGAGAGATCGCCCATCAGCCGAACCCTCTTAATTCAGCTTGTCCCTGACTTTTGCATGAAACTAGTCTGTTAGATCGATCCTTCAAAGCTCAAACGCTTGGTGTCGAGTCGATCACCTTGGGCCGCAATGCAGGCCTGGAGCCCTGGACTGTCTCGCCAACAGAGGTCCCCGTTCTTCAAAGCGGTAATCGTGAAAGTCAATATTCCCGGGAAGGGAATAATACGAAGCCCTTCTCCACCGGTTCCTAGCTTTCCCATCGTCCCCTTGGTGTCGATGGAAGGTCTCGGTTACAAAGCCCAGGACAGCAACACACACTTCATCAACGATCGGCTACGAGGACAAGTTGAACACAATTATTGCTCCACATTCACTTCTTTCATTTAACGAACTACTAACACAAAATATGACTGACTTAGATCATCATCGTTCAGCATCACATGCAAGAGAGACAACGAGTTTGATGATGGAAAGCTACCATCAATAGACGCAAATTCAAAGGCTACAGACGCTAGTACAACATTTTAAACATCACTCCTCCTCAACTATGTCGCCCAAAAGCACCAAGAGCAGTCAAAGCACGCAGGCCTACTTTCCAGCGAGACCATGAGTGTCCAAAGCCCTCTTCTCAGGTATGAGCTGACTTTCCAAATCGTGAATCATAAACTTCGTCTGTGACCTGGGACCTTTTTTGTGGGGGGTATAATCCAACAGACGATGAGACACGACTGTGGTCGCTCATCTCGGCCGATCCCAAGAGCCGCTGTGGGATGCAGACAACATTGTTGGTTGTTGTCAATTGATGAAGGGGATATGTTTGATGAGATTTCGCTCAGCAAACATGGATGCCTTCTTCAAATATGCATCAGCTTAGGCCTTGGGGGCAACAAGCTGGGAGACCTCGGGGGCGGCAGCTCCGTTGAGTTGGGCGATTATTGTCTCGACCTTCTTGGGTTCCACGACGGGCTCGGCCTTCTTGACCTCAGCGACGGGCTCGGGTACAGGCTCGGCCTTTGTGGGCTCAGCCTCTACGGGCTTCTCCTCGGCAACGGGAGCCTCGACAACCTTCTCGACTTCAGCGGGCTTCTCCTCGGCTGGCTTCTCAGGCTCGGCGACGGGAGTCTCCTCAACGGGGGCAGCCTTCTCTTCCACAGGAGCGGGCTTCTCTTCCACTACGGGAGCCTCAACAGCCTTCTCCTCAACGGCGGGTGTCTCGACCTCGACGGGCTTCTCCTCAACAACCTTCTCCTCGACAGGGGCGGGCTTTTCTTCAGCAGCGGGGGCCTCTACTGGCTTCTCGGCTTCAGCGGGCTTCTCCTCGGCTGGCTTCTCAGGCTCGGCGGCGGGAGTCTCCTCAACGGGGGCAGCCTTCTCCTCGACGGGAGCGGGCTTTTCCTCCTCGGCGACCTTCTCAGCAGCCTTCTCCTCCTCAACCGGCTTCTCCTCAGCAGCGGGAGTCTCTTCGACGGGCTTAGCGGCCTCGGGCTCGGCAGGCTTCTCGACTTCAGCAGCAGGGGCCTCGACGGCCTTCTCCTCGACAGGTGCAGGCTTCTCCTCGACGACGGGAGCCTCAACGGGCTTCTCTTCGGCGGCGGGGGCTTCTGTGGGCTTTTCCTCCTCAGTAGGCTTCTCGGCCTCGACCTTCTCAGGCTCAGCGGCCTTCTCCTCAGCGGGAGCTGGCTTCTCCTCCTCGACGGGGGCGGGCTTCTCTTCGGCGACCGGGGCCTCGACAGGCTTCTCCTCCGCGGGAGCAGCGGGGGCCTCCTCGACGACCTTCTCGGGTTCGACCTCGGCGGGCTTCTCTTCGGGTTCGGCAACCTTCTCGGGCTCTGCGACCTTCTCCTCCTCGGCGGCGGGGGCCTCTTCGGCGGGCTTTTCGGGCTCGGCCTCGACGGGCTTCTCGACCTCAGCCTCGGCGGCAGGCTTCTCCTCCTCGGCAGCCTTCTCGGGTTCAGCGGCGGGGACCTCCTCGACAGGGGCGGCCTTTTCCTCCTCAGCGGGCTTCTCCTCCTCAGGCTCAGCAGCAGCAGGGACCTCCTCAGCGACCTTCTCGGGCTCGGCGGGGGTCTCTTCGACGGCCTTCTCCTCCTCGGCGGCGGGAGCCTCCTCAGCAGCCTCGCTCGCGGCGGGGGTGGCGAGCTGAGCCTCAAGATCAGCCTTGGCCTTCTCCAGAGCCTCGATCTGGGCAGCGGCTTCCGAGAGGTGCTTCAGGAGGTCGTGGACGGTCTTGGCCTCGGTCTTGAACTTGGAGAGGAGGGCAATGGCCTGCTGGGCAACATCGCCGTACTTTTGGGCGGAAGCGACATCTAGGGTTTATTAGCGTGTGGACACACCACCCCCTAGTCGAGAATGATATGCTTACCGGCTTCTTGGACATCCCAGGAGTCGTCAAACCAAGCCATGTTGAGTGTAGATAGGCGAGTTGTGAATTGTGCGGGTAGAGGTGGAATGCGTTTGGTTTTGCTGCTCGTTCAAGCTTGTAGTTGTTGTAGAAGGCTTGAGTGAAGGATTATTCTTCTTCTCAACATTGTGAAGATGTCACGTCTTATATAGCCGGTTGCTGCTATATCCTAGACCATGCCGGTAGTCTTGACCGAGTGCCTCACAAGGTCGACTCACGACAGCTTCGTAGTCAATCATGCCACACCGGGTGCAGGCTTCCCCTCAAGAGACCCGGCCGCCACAACTGGCAAGGGAATCTCTAACCCTCGAACGTGTAGCGGGCGGCCAATGGAGGAGTTCCACGAGAGGGCACACGACTGATGATCGTCAAAGTTGGACCAGGCTGGTAGGTTATCCCACCCCCGCAAGCGCGAGAAAGAAAAGCTCAGGGTCCTTCGGCCGTGCATGACAGGTCATTCGACGGCCTGAGCTCAGAGCGAGAATGCACGCAACAGGCAACCCCTGCAGCACGCACTCTAGCGCGCTGGTGGTTAGTGGCAGAGCCAAAGTCAAGGCTGTCTAGGTGCTGCAAGAGTTGTGCTCTGGCGGCGAATAGAGCCTCGGGGCCGAAAATAAACAATGCCCTCATAGGATAAATTGTTTGGGGGTCTTTGTTTACCAGCGGCTCTTTTGCCGGTTCGTCTGTAGTTGTTTTGATACCTCTTGCTTGAGATGTCAGATGATTGACCCTTCTTTTCTCCCCCGCCAAAGACTAGGGCCACTAACAGTGAAAGACCCTGGATGTTTTTTTTTGTTGGCGCCCGCATCGGAACATCAGGCGAGGCCTGGGGTCATAAAAAAAACAGTGGCTGGGGAGCTAGAAAGAGTGCACACCCGGAGCTAAGACTGCGGGTGTTGGCACCACATCAACTGGGATTCGATTCTGGGCGTTTATTCAACTCGGTCAATGGGTACATGAGATCGTAAGAGCCTTTGTCAAAGTGTCACCGTGACCTGGAGCGGGCACCATAGCTGCGAGAAATTGTCTCATCTGTTGAGGCTGGCGTATACTGGCGCGAGAGAGGCTGGACACGGCCCATTCCGGTATAGGACACTGTAAGTTGGGCTTCGTTCTCAGCCATTCTCAGGCAGCTGTAGTCCATACGTAAACACAATTGTCATTTCTTGCGCAAGGCTCTCACAAAGATACACATTTGGGACATGACCCCCAATGTCTCGAGTATAGCCGTGATAGATGAACTACCAGGTTCTTGACTCTCCCGTCTGCGCTTGGTGTTGTACGTGGCACACCGCCATTCATCCCTCCCCCACGAACCGGCAACCCGGGTAGCGTTGAGGTGCAGCATCCATCCCATCCCATCCCGTCCCCATGCGCAATTGTTTGCTTTGCGCCTTGACCCACAAGTAGTCGACGCATTGGGGACCGGGTTTATTTTCTTGTCCACCTGAAATTGACGGTTGAGGCTGCTGGGATAACGTCATGGTCAATTTGTGTTTGGTGATGTTACCCCTCATTGTGTTAAAGTGATGCTATTCCATCCTTTCGCCATGTCGGTGAAGGATAGTAAACATGTAACAACGGCACTGAATATCATGACTTTAATATCATTTTCTGATTAATACATGATAAGCAAACCCCCTTGATTCATCCCGCAGCAATTCTCATCCTGTAAAACTGCACATTGTTCAGGGTAGCTCTCCCATTGCTCCCATCAAGGTGGCCATACTCTGCAGATCCTCTTTCTTAGCGCCCACTCGAGATGCATCAACCCAACAAGACCTGAACAAGGCAACTGACGTGTCCGTGCCTGTAAGCGCGTTTCCCAATTCATCATGTTCCGTGGACAAGAGGTGGTTAGCATGTCCGACTGACAGATCCCTCTTCGGGCCTCGTTCGATAAACAAGATGATCTAGCCCCTCATGCCGACACCTGCTGATTGGAGTGGAAGCCACCGGGAGATCCCGATATCCCGCCTGTCGGTCGACCTGGCCCATTCTTTCACTTTGTTTTCCTCACGACATCTAATCCCTCCATCACCCGCCAAGCGTGAGGCGACACCTCTGCGTAACCGCTTGCCATACGCTTTCAAGCGTGGAATGACTCGTTCTTTGCGCAACACGCGCCGTCGTGAGCAGGACCAGCAAAAGATGCACACCAATATGCCAAGCACCACAGCCAGCCCTGTTCATCGCGTTGGTTGAGCGTGTCAGTATGCCACGGCCGTGACGGGCGACAACATATTCCAATTCCGCTGCCAGTCATAGTAGATCATTTAGTGCAACCGAATATCAGCGCCCAGACAGCCGTCGCTACATTTCCCCTCTCTTGTAGGATGCCTCCGAAAGACAGAGATACGCCACATGCGCGAACCACCATTTGTCATTTTCAACGTCTGTTAGACTAAGGTTGCTGTCTCTCGGGCTCCATCCCATCACGGTATATCCTGAGAGGACGTTGTTCAGCACCATGTGGGTTAATGCGATGCTATGTTCGCCGGTTTTCAACTTCGAGGCATGATTTACGGCTCCGGCTTAAATTCCCATGTCCAAGATGCCTACGAAACGGGCTTTCGCTCCGTCTACTACCTGGAGCGCCCGGTTGGTTGTGAGAACTGTGACATGTTCACACCTCACTTCTCTACCCAGTGATCCGGAAAGACTCTTGACTCATTTGAATTAAAGCAGAAATTCCTTGACTTTTTAACACGATGATGAAGAGATTTCCAGGAAGTCACAGTTCTCAAAGTTTTGATTGCTGGCAGCGTCGAGATGTCGCAGAGTTGCTCTCTTACTTGACACCATTCAAGGCCGACCTTGAATGAGGTGTTGCGCCTAAGTATAGTCACATTGTACAGCTGGTGAGTTTTGATGACGCACACTCGCGCTGAACAAATTGTATACTACTACGAAAGTATTTAGTCCTTACACCTCCCTTCATACTGGTGAGACAAATTTCCTTTCTCTGTAACTCTCAAGCCGTTCATAATGCCACCCGCTGCGCCGTGTCCTCGATTCTAGCTTCCCCTGTAGCTTCACAAGATCAGGACAGGGTCCAAAGCATCAGCGTCGAAATTATCATCGCGAGAAGGCTTCAATCCTCTCAAGTGAGTCTCAACACAAGACCAACATGGCTGTTTCGGAAGAATAACGGCACGTCTCCTTAAGCGGATGCTAACCCCCACGGCAGCGAGCCGTCCCAGCCAGTTCCCAGATGTTCGAACAACAGAGAACCCGGCATCAAGGGGTGGTGTAAGTAATTCTTCCCAGTTGTCCACCGTGGCGGTTTGCGGAAAGGTGTCCGGAATCGTCTGAGGCGCTGTGTGCTGGTCCTGGTCACTGCATCTGACACGGGATACCAGAGGGTTACTGAGAGCCGAAAGGATGTCGAGATCGCATACCCACTCCGAGCTGTCGTAGACTTGGACCAGAGTTTCCCGGAGGGCACTCCCTTCATCGATGAAGTGTTCATCGTGGTACAAACCACGCAACCCGGGCTGGTACTGAGTAAGGGTCAAGTGCATCGACGTTTTCCAAAAGTTGTCCTCGAGTTGTCCTTCAAATGGCTTGTGGCTGAGAACAGTCCAAGCTTCGGGGTTTGACTTTCGGATCCGTGGCTCTGGTGGTGGGATGAGGAAGGACAACCCCGGCTGTCCTATGTTGCCGGGAACACGTTTGATTTCAGTCTCGACGGGCGTTTCGTATGGATCAGCCATCATGGGACTAGCGACAAAGATGGAGTTGCCATAAGTCATGGCGAAGACATTTTGCAGGTACCCAGTGTCGTAGATGCGGCCCGAATCAAACATGGCGATGCAGGCAAACGCCTCGGGCCTCGACAGTGGGAAATCCTTACCCATATCTGCTCTTGAAAACCACCGGGCATCAGTGAGTGACGTGCGGGCGACAATTGAAGAGTCGACGGTGGCTTCTGGCAGGCGTGAATACATCTCACCTGCCGCAGCGCAGGCTCGAAGCGGTTGGACAAAGCCGGGATTCTTTGCTAGAAGCTTGGTGAGGAACCATTCCGTCAGAAGGTCGTGATTAAGTTGGTCAGGCTGAAAGGCTTTTTGAAATGTCTCCCCTGTGATGAGATAGTCGGGGTTATGAGTTCGCTCCAGTCTCGGCCGTTGCGAATGAGTCGGACCCGTTATAAATATCGCGGCTTTGTCATAATCGCCAGCGTAAGGTTCAAGGTTTACGAAGATATCTCTTCCATTTTGTCCTGGTAACTTCTTAACCTCACGAGCCTGACAAAGTATTTGTATAGAGTGAAAAACTCACCACTTCCGAGTTGCATCAGGGCGGCCTGGAAATCTGTCCCGTTCCCAAAATCCGCTCGCACGCTCGCTGGATAAGATTTTATGTCCATGTCGTGCACCGGCAAGCAGATTTCTCCTCTACCGTGAATGTAGCTCATGCGATCCTTGATAAGACTCGATTCACCAGAGAGACATTCTTTTGTCAGGTCCCAATGACAGGTCACCGAACAGCCTCCATGCGCCCGGCAAGAGCAGATCGTGTCAGGGCCCTTTTTTTGCTGGCCCAATCGCATGAAATGAGATGTTTTTTCTCTTTCTCCTCGGGATGGCGCAGGCCCTCCCATGGAGCAAGCTTCCACACAATCGCAAGATGGTTGTTTAGTTGTTATTGGAATCCATCGCATGTGCCTCGCCTCCCTTTGGGTTGTTGGTGGCTTCGGTCGTCGAATGAACCCAAACTGATTGCTTACTTCGGACTCTCCACTGACAGGTTTGATAGTGGCATATTCATAATCGAGGCTTCCGTAGCGAAGATAGTACCTGATGACATAATTATCGCCAGACAAGCCTCGGTCAGTCGCGAGCTGTCTTAGGTATCCTATCCATGCTTCAGGGCTGTTCAGCAACGCGAACAAAGACGGGATGTAGGACAGACCAAAGAATGGCGGAGGACAATCCTCGGGCTTACAGAGAAACTTGGCGTGACGACGACCGTGGTTGACCAATTTGATAGCAGTCTCCCTCTCAACATCATCTCCGGATATGATATCATCTGCAGCCATGAGAAGTTGCCCAATCCAGGAGTTCTGAGATGTGATCCTCTTCATTCGGTACAATTGCGCTCTGCGCTTGGTTGAGTCTTGCGTTGATCGCTCGGGTGAGCGCAAGGTATCCAGCAATCGAGCCATAAGGTTGATGTCGTCTAGGACTGACCCGCCGAAGCCTGTCCAGGTGGCGAAGACACATCCAAGTAGGACGTACCGGAATTGATCCATAGATATCCGCGTAGAGTCCACACTGAGGGTACGATTAACGACGACAGGTTCGCCGTAGTACCTCAAATAGGCCAGTGGCAGGGACCATACCACGCTGCCACCGGTCTCAGAGGGTCTCTCAACGTCCACCGTCAGGATCCCAGAGCCAAGAACGAGTGGATCTTTCTGATGAATGACATCAGGCCCACGGCTCAAGATACATAGGTCCGGATACAAGTGCCAGGAATTGATAGCCAAGAGAACAGCACCATTCCGGACCCTCTGTGGGATGCCCTGGATAAGGGAATCCATTGAAGACATTGCATCCCTCCAGGCCGCGATGACGCTCTCGTATGGATCGGTTGAACTGTTAACCGGCATCCCAGCCTCATCGGAATACAAGAGAGCGACTTTTCGTTGTTCAGCCATCGCTGCATGCCCTGTGTTGATCCAGGATCTAGCACTGTTGTCCCAGGCTGCTAGCTCATCTCTCGTGAATTCTTGCTGGGTTGCCAGTGCCGTTGCCATAGCCTTGACCGCGTCCCTCTCTTTGTCAATGGTGCTCTCGATTTCTGCTTTCCTCTTCTCGATAAGCTGCAACCAAAGAGCGATTGACTCGGCACTGTCAAACACTCCGGCAATCATAGATGCCAGCAGATGAATGGCAATCGCATTTGTGCCAGAGGTCGCTGCTGCCCACAAGCTGGCCGAGTCAGGCCCGACAAATTGAGAGAAGATGCCGTGCCTGGCTCGCTCTTTGGGGTCTATATGCTTCCGCTCGCAGATCTCGGACACGCGCTTGCCATAGGCTGATAAGAGGTGTTCGGCTGGGGGCGGAACCCCATCAAAGAGGGCACCCAACTTGCGGGCAGTTCGGTGGAGTGAACCTCTCTCGGCATTATCCCTTCGCACATCGCTGAGGCTGTTGTCGACGCCTCTAAACTCCTTGGGGGCCTCCAGCCTGATGAGGGTAAAATCAAGGTTGAGATTGGCGGCTGCGAGAGAAACCTCGTTCTGGGCGCTAGCTAGGCTAGCAACCAGCTTGTTGACGAGAGAGCTGGCCATATCAGCTGGATTTGTGCAAGTAGTAGGTTTTTACCATCAAGCACCTTTCAGTACTGCCGTCGTAAGATTACATCGAGCGGGGAAGCCTCAGCAGAGCGGGGTTCTTAATGTGTGGTTGGTTGTGAAGAATCAGGCTGAGCTGGCTGCGAAGAATCATACCAATTTTGCAGTGAAGAATCAGGCTGAGGATCACCTTCGTCCTGCACGTACGACTGGACCGGGATTTGTACAACCTTCACGTAAGACAATGGATTATATAAATCATCCTAAACTATTGTCATAGTTTAGTTACTGGCTGAAACTAACATCCCCAAGGATAGAGCATGGCATTTTTTGGCCTCGTGGTCTGGCTGGGGTGTTCCACCATGCAGCCGCACATCGATGCCATAATTTCACCACCCTTTGCTGCTGTCCTCGCATCATCCTAGGCTCAACTCTAAGGTTTTAGACTGTAAATGGAGGTTGGAAATCTCCCTTCGGTGAGCAGGCGCAAATTGATGGAGTGCATTTGTTAGGTCCTTGCTTCACCCGATGCTTCAAGGCGTCAAAGAAGGCATTGTCTTGGCCTCAAATGAGGTGCCTCCGACCTTTGTTCTCAACTGGGCCTGATAACTAGATAGACTTGTTCAACAGCTCTGTTCTTTGTTTTCGTAGTTGGTAGTTTATTTTGAAAGCGCCACCAACTTCACCAAGAGCCTGCTGAACAACCACCCCTCTCCTTCGAGGTTCAATGCCCGTGCTACATGGAGCCGGAAACATCTGTATCGGGTCACAATGACTGAGCCTACACTGCACAATCCCCATGCGAATATGAACAATATAAATCTGGCCTCATCTCTCCAGTTATTGATTATTTCTTCAGCTTTTATTCACTCGCAAGAGCCCCCGTTCTTGGTCACAGAAATAAGGAACTGTCAACAACGACATCACAGCCGACGGAACACTAGAATATTTACCCTACATCAGTACACAATGATGTCTCCCTCATTCACCCTCTTCCCAAAGCTTCCTCCAGAGTTGCGCATCCAGATATGGGAACACGCCCTGCCAGTCATAGGACCCGCTCTGTGCCGACACAGAGAAGGGCTTTGGCACCCACGAGAGATCCAGCCAGGCGACAAGGACTATTCACAACATCTGCCAAACGTCTGCGTTGACTTTCGTCCTGAATGGATGATACAGATCCTGGTGGACCACTTGCCTCTCATACTTGTCAATCACGAAGCTCATTTGGTCGCTCTGAAATGGGCTCGCGAGCATGGCATTAGAAGATCTCCGCAAGCCAATGACGACACTTTCGTGCGACCGTTTAACCCTCAACACGACATAATATATGTCGAAGTCAACCAGATTACAGATTTCGATAGGGCGTGTCAGAACCAATGTTCGAAGGACAATCTAACATCAGACGGGGGAAGGATCAGGCTAACCGAAAGAAGACCTGAACGCGTTGCGATATCCGAGATGGCTTTTCGAAGGGACGACGTGGAGCCTCGCATCCTCTCACTAATAAACCATGCACATGACGTATTTGTTATTGTCGGAGAACAGCCAGACTTTGAGGGGCTGTGGGAAGTTGACAGCAGTCGAGGGAGGTCCGTGATCTGGAATCGCAAGAAGATGCGTTTTGAGATGGGAGAGGGCGAGTTTATTACGGACGAAGGGCTTTACAAGATTATAGAGGAAAACAAGAAGAGTCTTTCAGAAGATCTTCGTTATTTTGTTGACCTCAAAATCACACCTGCCTTTGCTGTTAGGAGGTGAACTGGTTATCAATCAGGTTGCCCTGCTGAGCGCGGAAAGGAACCGGCTGTAGACGAGCTACAGCTTCTAGAAATACAGATATCACATGAAAAAGTCAGTTGTGAGAAGGTCGGAGGTTATTTTTCCCGGACCAGCTCACGGACAGAGGCTATAGTGTCTAACACAGCAACACCCTTCAACAAACACCACACGAGCCGTCATCGTATAGGGGTTAGTACATCAGTTTGTGGCTCTCTTGAAGCACTGAAAACGCAAGTTCGAGTCTTGCTGACGGCAATCCATTCTTTTTGCCATTTGTTCATGTTTTGGAGGCGTTCAGGCTGCATGGGTTATGAATCATGATACGGCCATGGCATGCATCCATAGTTCCATTCTTTTGAGTTAAGTGGTAATTAGTAGTAAACGACATTATTTCCAACCTTGGAGCTCTGTAGTCAGTTCTGATGGTGTCGTTGTGACCGTCGGGCTGAAGTATCGTGAAGTTGAAACATGGACAGCTCCGTGAGGATCAGCGAGATAAATAAACCTAACCGTCTCCGACGTTCATAAAAAAAAAATAGTAAACTCACGTTCTGATTTGTATTCAGAGTTACTTCAAAGCTTTTGCTCCTAAAAGTCGGCATGGAAGGAGTCATGTCGCCGTTTGGGATCGGATCTTCATTCTCAGTGGTGGAAAATCAACTTCTGCAAAGCGAACTGCATCTATCGCCTCACTATATTGAATTAAACATGATAGAGAGTCTAATGCATCGGGGCATCAGCAGCTTTCGGCCTTTACCCCATCCATGCTACGGTAAGGCTGAAAAGGTTGTGTGACAACGGGCCTCGACTTCTCTCTGTTATGCACCTTTCGTAAATTTCCTGCACGTATCATCAACTTCCCTGCTTGCTCAAATTCTTTACGAGCTGGCATTCATATTCTTCTATACAGGTGACAGGGACTTTAATTATTAGTTATTGACTAAGTATAAGGTACTGGTAGTCCGTATTTTCTTCCCCATAATCTGCCTAGTCTACTCACGCTTTGACAAGGCATCTGTCATTTCTTGCCACCGATCGTCAAGTCCCCTGCCAACAACTTCACAAGGGCGAATCATTTTCTCTTTGAGCCTGTGAGGAGCACAGCCACGGGTCGATGGAGAAGAACATCACCTTTTCGCATACGAAACCCCTGAGGCCTGAGCCCTGTAATACGAAAAACGAATCCATGCAGGAAATATTAAGCCATTTCCCACCTGCGTCTCCAGTTACAGCCACCAGATGGCCATAACAATCGGGCGATACTTGATTGATTGTCGGGTAAGATTTTCACGACCTAATGGTCCCGTGAAACCGCCACTTCTTGGCATCTCAACGATCCAGACCATGTGAGAGGTCAGAACAGACAAGCTCATATTAGGATCTGAATCCCTGTTGAGAGCTGAACATAAGCTTGACAGGGATAGAGGGATCTGCAGTGTTAGTGCACCGCCTCACACAATGAGTCGACGCGCATATTAAATGGTTAGACACGCCCAACGTGAGTTATTTATCTTAATTTCTACATCATTTTCTGTCAAAATGCGCCTTGATCTGTCTGCTTCGGTTCTTTGCTTTTTGTCCTCGCACTTCTTTGGCCTGGCTGCGGCTAGACGAGGAGGAGGCGACTCGAACGATAGTGGGGGAAGCAGTGGAGGCAGCAGTGGAGGTGGAAGCTCTGATGGCGGTAGCTCTGGGGGGTCATCGGGAGGGTCATCGGGTGGCGGAAGCTCTGGCTACGTTGACCGCTATAGGTATCCCACCGGCTTGAGTGACAAGACCAGTTGCGGTCTAGGAGAGTGCGGCTGTCAACAACTCCAGGAGCGAGAGATGCTCTACGGTCTCCCAGGCATCTACTACAACGGCACCATCACAGTTCGACATCGCATCAAGGACAGCACGGTGTGGGAGATCAACGGAGCCAATGGTTGCGGCAACAAAGACGACGATGAGAAGAAGTACACCTATCCAGCTCTGTTCGTGGCAGCGCCCAGAGGAAACAGCTCCGATGTCAACCCCTTCCACTGGAACCTATACGGATTTCAACCTGGGGACCAAACCAACCAATCGCGAGGTCCTTACATCGACGTTTATCAGCGATGGATTCAGATCAGGTCAAGCGACTTTATTCTATCCAAGAGCTCGTATGGCGGCTCATTCGCCTTTACTGGCTCGGATGCCCTTTATCGAAACTCGGATTCCACAGACGAGCAACAGACCACACGCGTCTATTGGGACACCAAGATTACCGACTGGGATGACGACAAGTTCTCAGCCTCGGCAGAATACACAAATGTCCCTCCCACTGCCGACAACATGTATGCCCCTTACAACTCCCGCTACGACGTTCGCTACAGCCAGTACTTCACCCTCAGCGATGTCTGCGCGTACAATCAGACCACTGGCGTTGGAGTCCTTTTCAAACCCCTTCCGGCCAGCAAGATCCCCAAGGGCAATGATTACCTCAACACCACGACTCCAACTGTCTGGCTCAACAGGGGCGCCAAAGCCGAGATGAAGGACATTGGGGCGGATTCAATGACCTTTTCGCTGAAGCAGACAATCAAGGGGGGTCTTCCGTACATAAGCGATCGGCAGGCCGTCTGCGGAAAGTACGAGGACCTCACGTTTGTCATGTCGGAAGTTTTTGAGAGGTCTAATTTCCAGGAGATTCGCGAGTTCGAGAACTACGACGATAACTTCTGGAGGATGGATCTCGACATCGATATTGAATTTGAGGGCGAGATTGTGAGCGAGAACAGCACGCGCATCACAGGGAGACAAGACGGCGACGTCCTCTTTGCAAAGGTTTACGCGACACCAACGCCGTCAGGATATCCAGGAGCAGGAGGATCAGGAGGATCAACAAGCTCTGCCATTTCATTGACGGAGCTGTCAACCGTGGCAACATGGGTCGTGGCCGTATTCAGCATGTCGCTGCTCGTGTTTGTGGCGTGAGGGAAATATCTAATCAATCAATGAAAATCATTACCCTAGGTATCTTTGTACCTAGTAACGCCGCGTTAAGCATATATACCCGCTTGTTCGACTAACCGACTCGGTCGGTCTTGAGGAAGGTTCCGTAGCCTCCCGCCCCCACCTCTTGGTCTCGGGATTGGGATTAGACTTCTGACTGTACCCACGATTTCATGAGGCTGCATCGTACGCGTGTGCAGCGCGTCTGGAACCAAGACATCACGACTCCGCTGATGAAGAGCTTCATTTCGCTCATTGACGTCACTTGCCCCTCGTGATCGGCAGTGGCCACAGCAGCACCCTCACAAAGCTGCCAAAACAACGCATACGCTACCAGTGAAACACCCTGACTCAGGTACTTCGAATGGCTACACGCGATTGACTAGTGAGACACTGACGACAACATCTCAGGCTTGCAATGCGGTCACAGTATCGCTTCTTCATCTCCATCCCCATCCCAAACACCCTGCCACCCGAGATTGTCCTCAACTTCATCCAGACATACACACCAACCCTCCAGAGCAATCCAGTTATCGCAGACTTTACGGAGAAGCCCACAGATATCAACGGCATCACCAGCGACCCCTTCTTCGGTCCTCCAGACAACACCCTCCGCACCTTTGAGATCCACGAAGTCATCACGCTGGCCCCCGGTCTACGGAAGGAAACGAGGTGGCCGACCGTCTTTCAGTGCACCCCGCATGGCATCCGATCGCGTGCCAACGCTACGGCTGGCATTGTGGTCTGGGCTGAGTGGGTAGTCCGTCCGCGCCAAGATTCATCGTCGGCGGGATCTCCAATTGAGGCTGGAAACACTCCCAGTACGGAACGGACGCTGGGGGAGGAGTGGGAGCTGTATGAGGAGGTGACCATCGAGGCCAACCGTCTTGTGATGCCCTTTGTTTCTCGGACGTCGAATGATGTGCATCGTGAAATTTGTCACAAAGTGTTGGCTGAGGCTATGAAAGGATATGTCAATTGAAAGCGATTCTTCACACATCCTCCAACATATTGAGCTAACTGTCATGTTTCTTATCTCTAGCCTCTTTGATGATATCTGTTCTCAGCGCCCAAACCTCGGTATCGCAGCACATCATCTCTCGTTACCCACTTTCTGAATGCAGCACATCCTCGGCTCGTATTCGCACGTGATTTAGCAAGTGATCCCCTCCTCGGTCTTGGGCTTGGGCTTATTGAACAGATGAGACTGCCAACAATCTCTCAAGAATCCAATCAGACGGTCAGGGGTGGCCTCCCCGTAAGCGGAGATATAAGGAGTATCTTAAACAAGATCGAACACCTCTGTCCGGCTTAAACCACTTGGTTCCGTTCAGGCTCTCAAAACGGTGGGTATGGCGTTCTCGAGGGATTATATAGTTCAAGTCTACCGACGGCTAAGCAACAAAGAGGACGGAGAAGAGCGAAATTTAGGAAAGTTGCGATTGGAGATTTTGGATAGAAAACAAAGAGTTTGTTCGTCTTGACGCCCAAGCATTCTCTTGGCCTGTAATCATGAGGATGGTGCTGACGTGTGGCCACCCATAGAAAGAAGGCGCAGGAATGACCCAATAATACGTCTGGCCAGGTCACGACGCAGCTTGGGGGAACACAGCAGATAACATGGAGGGTTCACCTACAAATCAACAGTTCAAGTCTATTATCAGGCTTTGATAATGGCCTGAGACTTGGTGCCCGATCTGAATACTGGAGCTCTTACTAGTTTGTTCGAATGCCCTCTGGGCGCTCCAGACTTCCATCGCAACTTGTGTTTTCACGTGGCAATCAGTTAGTGATTTCGTTCAGCTTCTTGACATGGCTGTTAGGTTAACCGTATGACCATTCGTCTCGAGCGCCTCGTCAGACAGGGACGTTAAATGGCGATGCAAAAATGTCGACAGTCACAATAAATAAGGCTGCCACAGCCTGAAAGAGGCGCAGAATACCGGCCTGCATGACCACTGATCACACCGGCAGGCCTTGTAAGCCTTACAAACAACCCCGTGCATAAGTGGCTGAGTGTGGGATATAATACGAAGCCCCTCCCATCAGCTCAAACCTGTTGCATTAACGGCCCATCGCCATGGAGGCTGCTGGCCTCGTTGTTGGGGTCGCCGGGCTTGCCGGGCTCTTCAACTCCTGCCTGGAGGCCGTCGACAAGGTACAATCCTACCGAACGTTCGGAACTGACTCGCATGTTTTAGACACTCGGTTCAAGGTTGCTAAGGCCCGTTTTGAACGATGGGGCCTGGGCGTAGGGATCGAGCAAGGCAGACTGCTCCCCGATCATCACTCCGCCCTGGACGATAGAGACACGTCTACGGTAGTGACTGAATTACTGCAAATCATCATCAAAGCCATTTGCGATGCGAGAAATGAGTCTCCACGCCGGACTCGGGCCGCGGGGACAAGCGATGACGACTTTTCGAGCTTACACCAGTCGAGGGCACCTTATGCCGTGACGTCCGAGTCGAGGAGACAGAAGATAACCTGGGCACTCCGGGGAAAGGGAGGGCGCACCGAGCAGGTCGAGTTATTTGAAAAGCTGGTGCAGGAACTACATAACCTGGTGCCACCGCATACAGGTGAAAGTACGCCGTCGGCGCACAAACCGGACACAGGGCGCACCGACCTGGAAATCTCTATCCTCAATGCGCATCTTATGATGAATTTTGCGTAAACCTATCTTCTCGAACGGCACTTCATGATAAATGCTAATACTCCTTTCTGTGTCAGTCATTCAATCCTTGCAATGCACTCGGCTGTCGGAGTTCTTGCACAACAGCAACGGCTAGCCTACGGAGAGATCGTACACATGAAGCATGATCTGTCACATTGGTCCAAAGATCAACGAGCCATGATTCGCAGCTCATCGAAAGCCTCGGTACAAAAGACATTGTTCGATGGCTGTGGGTTCGATATGCAATATTACTGGCTAGGTGGAAGCAACCAAAGGTACTCATTTGTGCTTCGCGCAAAGATAACCAGGTCCTACATGGTCATCGCGCAGTTATCTGGACCGTTCTTTGGCGTGGGCTTCTCACTGCCTTTTAATATCTCGATACGAAACCTAATTCCAGACGACGCGGCGATAGTACAGGCATGCGGGAGTGGAGATAGTGAATGGGTTACACGTCTTCTCAAGTCGGGTAGTGCAAGACTGAATGATGTGACGCCCAGTAATGACACGCCTCTCAGTGTAAGTCTCAGCCGCGGGTTTACGAAACGAGAATCTTATTTCCTCGCAGATTGCCATAAAGGGAGGATTTGAAGAGGTTGTCCAAGTCCTTCTCCGACAAGGCGCAGACCCAAATCTTCCCTGTGGGAGGTTTCAAACGTAGGCAGCCAGAAAAGCCATACCTATATACATCCTGGATTCCTAACTTCACCACAGCTCTCCACTTCAGATTGCAATCGCCTTCGAAAGGGCAAGCATCGCCCGCATGCTCGTGCGTCAGAGTGCCGACCTGGAATACAGTTCGGCTAGGGGCTGGTCCGTACTTCATCATTTGTTTGATAGGGCCAGGTCTACTGCCAATGCGGAGTACTTCTCCATTTTCAGAAATTGTTTGTCGTTTGATGATGTCAAGGACTCAGAGGGTTGGACTGCGCTGCACAGATGCGCAGCATTCGGGACTGCTGAGGATGTCCACTTCCTACATATTCTAGGAGCATCGGTGTGCCTTGACCGATACACCACGAATTGTGGATGGAGTCCTATTCATGTGGCTGCCCTGATGAACAACGTGTCTACTCTGAAAGCACTTACAGCCTTGCACACGGATCAACAAACAACACAGAAGCTATCCAAGGAGAATCTCGATGTCTTGCATTCCGTTGATGTCCACGGCTGGACCCCAATGCATCTCGCTGTCAAAAGCCGCGCCGGAGACGCATTAAAGTGGTTGCTCCAAAGCGGCGCTGATCCGCATCGCACAACTTACCGCACCGCTGGTTGGTTTCCTCAAGGCCATGAAGGAGAAGGGTTTGAAGTGAAGGATCTGGCAAAGCTGTCTGGGAGGGAATTCTTTCATGCTTTTGTCGAGATTCTGAGGGAGGTGGGATACGATGTCACGGCAGATGGTGAAGACCTATATTGGCCTGCCGATGAGGAAAGTAATGCTTCCACCAGGTAATCAAGCAGCACTTCATGACTTCACAGATAAGACTGTGCGAGAACGATGACGTCTTTCGTAGTAATATTTCCATTTTGGAAGACTTCCTCAAAGTATGCTGGCCAGTTTTCTTGCCAGTTGACATTTCTGGACCATTGCCCGTACTGCGTTGTGTAGGACCTTGTTGATGCGTCCGAGCAGACATTCTTGTTGCGTGCTTGTAGTTGGTGCGTGCTCCGGGGATCCCCAGCGTGCTCTTGGTGTACTTCACCGGGCTCGCGTACCAGACTTCTTTCCTGTATGTGAAGATGGGGAGAACACAGGCCTTTAGCGCTTTCCGTAGTTAGTTGGGTCGTGGACCTCGTTGTAAGTTGTCTAGGTTACAGATGTGTGGCATTAGACGCCTCCGAAGGGTGGCATCGAAACCTCCCAGAACATCCTGGTTGACCAGTGCGGTAGTCCCTCGCAGTTCGACGGCATGTTCGATGTCGTGTGTGACATAGGCTAGACGGTCCCTTGCTGAGCGTCCGGGGGATATCAGTTAGAGCTTAAAAATAATATATTTGCAAATTGCCAAACTTCCGTTAGCACACGTCAACTTTGGACACAAAGCTGTCTTGGCACACTATGGGCTGTGAGAGGGTCGTAGTCCAGGTACTCTGCGTCAGTGAGTCTCTCTAGCAGTAATGAGCATAGAGACTCTGCCTTCTCTGCTATGCCTCCAGCCTTTCTGCCGTCAATGACCGGTTGGAAAGGCTAGACAGCTAAAACAGAATTTTGCCAATGCTCAATCTTGTACAGCTCTTCTTCGCAGGTTGCTTTCTCGACCCGGTTCCTCCAGTAGAGGATCGCTGGCATGCGGTGCTGGATAACTGTTGCGTCTGGAGAAGCGACACTTGTCCTAGACCTAGTAATTTCAAATATCCCATTCGCGACAGCAGAAACAGATGAGGCCCTCAACCCGGGAGCCGATCACGCAGTTAGTAGAATATGTCCAGTAGAATGGGTAGTGGCTCATCGTCATTATTATCAACACCGCCACAACGGCCGCCACTACTCGAACCACCCGTCTCATCCTCTAACATGGCTTCACTGCTGCATATGGTTGACCAAATGTTCCTTCCCTGCTTTCGCTCGACTCCCTAGGCCCTTAGAATCGCACCTACGGGCGAAGATATAATATCGGTAATGAGTCGTTTGGCAGCGGTGTGGATAAAAAAAGCGGCGATGCGTCACTTTCGCGAAAACGGCTTTGATTCTTTGGGAATCCCAGTTGGGGCAGCGAGGTACAACACGGCGAGGACAAAGATCAAATGCTGAGCTTCTTACCACCGTTGCTACAATAGCACTCAGTGATAGTCAGCTTGTTCATAGAAAAAGCCGAGGATGCCAATTTCCGTAATTGTATTTTGGGATGCCTATAAAAGTCTATATCGATACCACCTTTCTTCAGGGCGGCAGCCTATTAATTGGCAGCGGAGGATGTGGAAAGCGCGACTGTTCAGTATCTATTTACTCATTGACAAACGTTCTATACGTCTTCGTTGAGCTAAGTTGAAAAGTGTTAGATATCACTACCAGCTAGAGATCTTTAGTTGCAGAAAGGGCACATCTTTCTCACCGACACCCTTTTCCTGCCTCGCAGGTATTGCCACAAATGCATTTGTCCGTATCGTCCTTTGTATTCTCGATATCGTGAGACCTGCGAGTTGGTCAATAAGGGTTCATACGTTTTATTCGAAGAATGCCGTACCCTTTTCCACCTGGTTGAAAGCCATTGTTTCGCTTTCGCTTACTATCCACATCGAAAGTAGTGACGGCAAAGACAGTCTGGGAAAGACCTCCATGCGGCGCGCCTTGTTGCTGCGTAGAGCTACGGCAGCTATTAGTCTCTGTCCTCTTGGAAATATTGTGAGGAATGTACCGAATCCCTAGCAGCGTGGCCCATAAAAGAGTTATTCCCTCGGCATCAAGGGCTGGGGCCCCTAAGTTTCCTATGATTGCGTGAGCTAACTCGAAAACTTGCGCCGACTATGAGGTAGCCGTTGTTGCACACACCTTTTTCGATCTTACCCTCGTAGTCGAGCATGCCTGAGTGCGTGCTAGGGGTAGTCGGGTAGAGAGAAATAGAAGAGAATAGAGAGTTGGAAGCGAAGGATCCTTGGGAGTGAAGAGTAGGCGAGGAATTGCTAATAATAATAAAGAAGAGTTAGTTTAATAGGTTCTTGTTATAGTTGAAGCCTAGCCCTTGATTAGTTAACTAAGCTAGAATATTATTCTATACGATAGGAATAAGTCGTTATCTCACTTCTTATAAAGGCCGATTACCACGAAGTATAAAGAGCGAGAGCAGGCGGTTAGGGGCGCGTACGTTCTTAAAATGTGGTTGTATACCGCGTGCTTGGTCGGACGAGCATAACGAAGGTACGGAAACCGAGCACGGGATCAGGCCGGAATATAAGCCCTCTTAAGTAATGCTACGGAGGGCACGCCTAAGAGATACGGAGATTTCCTAGTTTACATCGTTTTAGCGCCCCCATGGTGAGACCACGGAGTCTGTACTTGACTTTGTCTTGTGCTCTGACAATGATGCATACTAAAGATCCGAGGCCCACTGTTTCAATGCATGAGCAGCCACCTGGGGGCGCACAGAAAGGATTGACTGTTTGCGGCGATGTACCTTGCATAGCTCTCTTAGATATCAGCTCTAATCCTTGCGACCTATACTCTAACCCCTGTACATTCCGGCTGAAATACAGACTAATCCCTACATGTCCTTAATACCATGGGGACACACAGAAAGGATTGACTGTTTGCGGCGATGTACCTTGCATAGCTCTCCTCTGGCGAAGAAGCCTCCTTGGCTGTGGAGATTACACTTTGGATACAGGCGGTAAGAAAAAAACACCGCCGCTCTCCCATACAAGTTTGGCGTCAGTACCGGCGGTGTTTTTTTTTATAAAAAAAATAAAAAAAATTAATATTCGTACCAATAGGCCTCTCGTGCCTCAATCCCTTGTTATTTATGTGCGAATTTGATGCTTGCGAAGACAGTGGCTAGTAATGAAGGGTATTAGGAGTCCTATCTTAGTCGCCGGCCTCGAGGGCTCGGCTTCGCGATCGATCGGGGCCGGGCTTGGCGTGATGTGATGGTGTGTGTGTGTGATTGAGGTCATAGCTGCGGCATGCGTCGGAAGATCGATCTTCCGGGCGATGTGGGGAGAAAATGGGTCTTCACATGTCACACGTGACTTGTTGGTACGACTAATAATTCTGTTGGTACGAATATCAATACTCTTTTTTTTTTTCATAGGTACCTAAATTCATATCGCCTGGGTATACGTAGTACGTTCCAACCCCTGTATGTTCCCACTGTAATACACACAGATCCCTGCATGTTCCGGCTGGAATACTTCTTCAAAAGGCTGCACAAGGCCAGGGGGCCTCGAAGCAACTCAACAGAAATAATACAGCCGTAACACATCTAATGCTCATGCCCAAGCCTCAATAATACAGTAAAAAATCCATGAAGCTTGCAACCGCTATAGATGACGGAGTACAAACA